TTTTTTTTTTTTTCACCTCCTGTGGACATGACGAGAGACGCTGTTTCTGTGTTTTGGCATCGTAATTTAAAGCTTCTCCAGAGGAGACTGGAGAACTTTTAGGCCCAGATCAAGTGGTCAACCACCGCCATCCTCTCAACTTCGGGTACTCTGGTTCGGGTCTCTCTTTCACATCATCGAACAATGATTTCAAATCCACATCCTCTGGCTTTCTGAGGAATGACTTCTTCACTATGCCCCAGAAAAGGCCCAACAAAAGACATAAGGGGATGATGAAATAGGCAGAAAAGAAAGATGGGAAATAAAAGTGTCCGTGAATGAAGTTAGTGAACCCGCCTGTTATCAAAAGGAGAGCGGAAAAGAACAAAGAGAACCAAGAAGCATAGGGTGTACCTGGAAAAGTGTACGGTAAGTCCTCTCGAGTGTAACCTTGAACTTTCATGGCTTTGGACATGCGAATATGGATTATCGAAATTGTGATCCAGTTCACCAAAAGGTTAGAGGCCGTAATACTTTGGAACCACAGGAACACAGTGGAAGCTGCATGAGATGCCGACATGAAGGCCAATGGTATAAAGATAACCGGAACACAAAGCGCATAGTACGGCATTCCAAACTTATTCGTTTTCAAGAAGAACTTTGGCGCTTGTCCCATGCTTGCCAAGGCAAATAAGGCTCTGGAAGATTGAAGAACTCCCAAATTTGTTGCAGACAAAGCAGATGTTAAAACAACACCGTTGATGATATGAGGTAAAACTCTGATTCCGGCCCTCCTCATAGCAACAACAAAAGGCGAGCCGGCAGCATTTCCTGTGGGAGACGCAATGATAGGGTCTTTGGACGACACAACCAAAGTCAAAACAAAGACTGTGCACATGTACATGAGGAAACAACGAGCGAAACACACGCTTAGCAGCTCTGTGAATAGCTCTCCGAGGATATTCCACTTCTCCTGCAAGCATGGCGATGCCTTGGACACCACCATATGAGTAGACCGTGGAGACCATGGTTTTCCAGAAGGCTATGAAGCGGCCAGTGCTTGAATCAAAGTAGAGCCAATTGAAGGCGCCATCCTTCCAGTAGCGGAACCCTAGTCTCTCTTGGCCAGGCACACCTCCCAAGTCAATGATTAGACCGGTAAGAATAAGACCAAACACCAACATGATCTTGAGACAGCCGAAAAAGAACTCAATTTCGCCGTACCATCGGATTTTTATAGCAGTTGGTGGCTATACAACCGCACTGAAAACAGCAATTCCACACTGCCGGGTTCAAGCTCGACCAATAAGTCATAATCACTGCGACAGCAGACAATTCACTGGGTATAATTGAAGCATACATGTTAGTCCACCCAAGTGCGAAACCATAACTTTCAGAAATGAAATGGTTGGATTGCTTGATGGTAGCAAACGTCACAGGCATGAGACAAGCAGTTTCAGCTGCACACATTTGCGAGGCCAAAACCACCAAACCAACGAAAAAGTAACAGAGCAAAATACCCACAGGCCCAGCCGTGGCAAGAGAGCCTCCAGAAGAAAGGAAAAGACCCGTGCCAAAAACGCCAACCACCGAAATCATGCCTATATGGCGGGCGTTAAGTGTAGAAGCCAAACGGTCCTCATAGCCAAATACCTTGTTTCTAACACTGGCAGACTCGATGTCAGTGACAGAGGTCACCTCCGAGGTTTGCTTTTCGTTCTTAAGAGACATTGCAGTGGTTGAAAAAAGAGTTTCTACATTGGCTCCTGGCCGGTTAAATACGGAATTCTCTTATTCCGCATAAGGTATCGAATAGGTACAAGTGTGTAAGGTGTGGATGCGAAAACATATGGAACAGCGCCACAAGAAGCGCCGCAACGTTTCTTTCGGCACACATTACCGTTTTCATGCATGTCAATTCAAGATAAACCCGACCCGAAGCATTTGGCCCCCAATGCAATGACTCCAAACTGTCTGACGTGGCTAATTTCGAGAACATTGTTCTGAAATTTACCTGGCGGTATATTTCACGGCCTTGCCTGGTCTCTTTTGTTTGGTAGCCCCATAAAAGGTATATGGAACATCGATGCCCGAAAAATTTACCTGTAGTGTATACTTTCACAGTTAAATGTGTGTGGGTTAAACAATGAAAAATAGGAAAACTGATCCTGACCCTTTTTCAATACCCTTTTTGTGACAAAGTTGTATGAGATGAACGTAGTCACAGGCTTGAAAAATGAGAGTTCTTTGTGGAAGAGACCAAACTGAGGGAAGAGAAGTATTTTTATTTTTTGACCTTTGTAAGCCTCATCGGATGGTGACGGGTGTATGGCTCAGACTTGTACATTCAATGTTTCAATTCAGATTCACTACCTTGTCCTTTTTTTTTCTCTTTGCTTCTATTCACCTGTGTCCTAAATTGGTCCCCTTAATGCAATGAATGGAATATATGGTATTGTACTTTTTCCCTATCTATGGTCTCTATCATGATAGAGAGATATGATACAGTAGGCCCTTTCTTGTAATAAAGTATTATCAAGCCTTTTTGGTTCTCATTCTGTCGCTTCGAGTTTAAGACCTACCATTGACATTGAAGTCATTGAATGCTCTTTATTCAAGTCATTTTCATTCTCTCTCTGGAAAGGTTGGTAAGTAAAGTTTTGAGTCAATTCAACTTTATTTTCGGTATATTCGAGGGACTGCTACATAGCTAAATTGTACTCAACCCATTGATGTGCATCTTAGTTTCCACTAGGCAATATAAAAGCAGACTTGCAAAGGTGAAATTATTTACAGTTCAATCTTTCAAAATAGTCTAACTAAGAATTGTTTTCCTCAATAGCACTTTGATGTCCTCATTTTATATTCTACTGTTCCGGTGAGAGTTCTCTTTTCATTTCTCTGTGCTGTTTGCTGTACAGTCAATTCCAAATGGAAATCGCATGCACCTCAAGAAACTGGAAGTCGCTCGAAAAACTATAAATTCGCCCTCCGAGAAATCAAAATTCGCACTAAAACCAACATTCGCATGGACAAAAATAGAAATCGTGCCTAAAGAGATCAACAATTCACACGCGGAAACGATAGTTCGTAATGGTTCTCAAATTCCCAATTTTCCCACAATTCGCACTATGTAGATTAAAATTCTCTGTAGTTTTAATCAATGTACAAACTGGAAGACGTCACCTGAATCAACTAAAATCGCCTAACGCCGAATACTCATGCACACTTAAATGAATACTTGTGCACCTAGATCGATAAGATATACATTGCAATTACGCACAAATGTAGTAAAGCAACTAATTCACTTTATCACGGATTTTGCTTTTTTGTCCTACGACTTGTGTTCACTCTGTTGCGAATTCACGTTTCCATGTATGCTAATGTTGATTTCTTGACCGCGAAATGGCTTTTCCGAGGGGCGAAATTCAATTCTCCGGGCGAACTTTACTTTGCCCAGGCGCGAATTTTAGTTCGGGTGGTGCGAAATTCGATCGACGTGCATCCGATTTCTGTTTGGGATTGACTGTATCAGGACAAAAAGACGAAGACAGAACAGTTCAAGAAAAGTAAGAAATGTCAAGAAACACAATTGGATAAAGCAATTAGTTATAGTATGAGCTTGAAGCAATTGCCAACCACGAAGAAGAATTACGGAGGAATAGTCATTCCAACTAACTGCAGTATCTAAACGGCCAGCATCTTTCAGGTAACCAATTATTTTCAATTTAAGCGATCTTTCCTAGTGAATGTAGGTCAAGTCTTTTAATAAGGTCTCATGAGCTTTCGATAGATAGTTTTGATTTGAGATGCCTCGTTTCCGGACTATCGAGCTGAAAATTCGATGACTACGTTTAGTCAAGATCCATGAACTTATAATTGACAAGGAGAAGTAGGACAAATCAACAAAGCAAGTAATTGATTTTCATTTAGTTTCTGTTTATTGGCAAGGAATCCCGCTTGAGCCATTGATTAGAACCAGAGGTCTAAGTTGACAACGATACTGTGCTGTCAACGAAGATTTTAGTAAACCACATCTATCTCTGGTCTTCTCTATCAAGCCGAAGAGAAGGCCAATAGTGTTAATATAGACCCTGGCAAGTTCAATAATAGATAGGCCCTGAATGTCAGTATTATCAACCGAAAACTTTGTCCTCGCTTCTTTCTGCGGTTTAGTATAGAAGACTAACTACTAATTCAGGCCTTTACGATACTTTTCCATCAATCTCTCTTTCTCAAATGCAACTGTGTAAAAGTTTGTATCTGGACGTGAACCTGTGGACACCAGTGGAATGACTGAAGTTTAAGGCTGGACGAATTTGGAGCTTTTTGTAAGTTATGTTTGCGGGACTTGGACCAAAATCAGACTATTCGTAAACACAGTTGTTTCAGCGGATAGGAGTAGGTTTTACTATTTCACTGCAATCTTTGGGCTTTCTTATTTGATAATGTCATTTTGGTTTTTTGCGCCCCTTCTCTTTTCCAAATTCCACTGAAAATAAGACGTTGGAAGCCTCAATGTATCAATTTGTCGACTAAAGAACTCGAAGTCCCAACGTGGTGCAAATGAAATAAGCTCGAAACGTACAATTGAGTTTAAATAGTTTACTTCTCAACAACTTAAAGCAATGACAATCTTCAGTGAGCTTTTGAGCGTCAATGACGTAGATAGTAAATTCGACACATTTACTAACAAACCTGCGATTGGTCTCTTTGAAATATCGAATTCATTGTTTGCTATGTCCACTTACTGTCTTCGTAAATGTGAGTTTTTCTTGTGTACGACAATGAACGTGATACGACTTAACCCTCGTTTTTTCGACTGACAACTATGCTTCAACTTCTTGGATCAGAGTATTCTACTCGACATCGTTAACATATGTTCCACATCTCAATGATGACATTTCAACCTCTTGCTGCCTTGTAAATTTTCCATGGGTTGGAAATTGGCTTTAGACTGCAGTATTGTGCATACTGGAACTCAAGGCGTAGAAAATACGATATTATTTGCCCAATGCATGTAGTCTAAAACCTTGCGCTAGGCTTGAAAATTTTAGGAGGAAGTTCATCGCATTGCAATTACTAGTGAAAATCAGTCCAGATCAACTTCAATCTCCGACATAATCCCAATGATCGATAATAAAGCTGTGATTAAAACTTAGTAAACGTGCTCTATGCTCAGGCTGTATGCATAACTGACCAACAAGTGAGATACAAGAACGCACTCCATTCGAAAAAATCACGCCAATACGGTTGGATTTTCTTCCATCCAGAACGCATCTTGACCGTAAACAATTATTTTTTAGGGGTGTTTAAATCCTCCCGGCAAGATGCTTTCTCGGCTACCTTAGGAATACGAAATACTAGCGCGTTATGCTACCGCATTCGGATATGTTCCGCGAACTTCACCACACTTTTGACGCATGCTAGGCACAGTTGTTAAGTGCTATGTGCAGTCCCGATCCCCTAGACGCACGGCTTTGAAAGGCTACATTGAAATGAAACACAAAACCAAATGGGGCAAAAGACCTCAAAAGTCCAATTGTCGCTGTAATCAAAAAGCGTTTTTGGGCTTATATTTTTCTCTTCTTCGCTTCCGTTGGTCTGTTCTCTGCACTTTACTATTTTCGCTCTCTTGCTTCCGGAACCATAATGCATGGCGCTTAAGTTCACGTCTGCATATTCTCTTTACTCCGTAAAAGTAGGTGGGTATATAACCCCCTGTACCTGAGCAGCATGTCCTACCTAAGAAGCTGTCAACAAAGACTTGGCAACGGAGATAGGAACTAGATGTTACTTTGGTTTAGTTTTGAAAACACGGTGAAAACAAAGCGAAAAAAAAATAAAAGAATGCAGCAAGAAAAACCTGTGCATGAACAATGCGATGACTGTGGAAGTTGCTAGTGTGATGATGCTAACGGTTAATCGAAAGGTGCAGTATTCCTGATCGAAGTTGATTATGGAGATGAATGTCGCGCATGATGCATATGGACTTTGTGCAGGTGGAGACTGCCTTTAAAGTGGGTCTATTGTTCGGCTGCATTGCATTAAGTGGAGACCAGATTCTACAACTTAGTTGGGATACTAAGTCCGGCGAGGTAAAAGGGAAATAAGCGATTCAAAGAAACGAAAGCAACCAAGAGGATCCAAGAGCTGGCTTCAATCAAAGAATAGTTTTTTGAAAAAAAAAAGTTTCTCGTTTCCTTTTCCTTGGACTTGCTGGTGATATGTCTTATACCCGATCAGTTACGTCAACGAGAATGCGTTTTCACCATTTTTGACACAATGGCACTTTATTCTCTTCATCATAGTCCCCTATGTCCCAATGGAACGTATTTTCCTCTCGATTGAAAGATTACGAATCTCAGAAATGGAAACTGAAGTTCGATCTCTTTGGTGTTTTCAGATCCGTGTAGAAGCAGGTAGGATAGCCGAGGAGAGATGAAATATTTGGACGAGATTCTAATTTGGATATCTATTTAATGCTGCGTCAGACAATAGGAACCGTCAATTTCAAAACCTGAAAAAAGGGAGCACATGGATGTGCTATGAGCTCTTTTTCAATTTTTTTTTTTTTTTTTTTTGTTCGTCGGAAAAATGTGAAATACCAAAAAAATTCAGACTAGGGCTACTGAAAGCCAAAGAGCACCTTCGATAGTCACTTTTAGTGGGAAAACACTACAGAAAATCTCCTCTACAAGACATGAAGAACGTCAAGAAAAGTAATGGTATAATCTTCTCTCATTATCGAGCGTCGAGAACACAAAGCCACAAATTTCAATTCTCAATTGAGCTCAATTTTTTCGACCAGTCGAGCTTCTGGTTTGTGTGGTGAGTTGCCTTTTCCAGACATAACGTAAGCCGGTCTTACTGCTTCATCAGGACCTGGTTCTTTTTGTTAAATTGTAATTTCTTGCTGAGGAGAAAGTATCAAACACGCGTAATTGTATTGATTCAAGATGCCAATTGAGCAGAAGTGACTTTACTACGAGACAAGATCCAAAGTGTCAAAATACTTCATATGGATTATCCCGTCAGAAAGACCGTCAATGCTCATTTGGACCATATTTTTGGCATTTTGGCCCAAGAAGTATATTAGTGAGTATTCAATCGAAGAGAAAGTTCGTAGACATTGGTTTTGTCTACCCACAATAAGTTTGAATGCTTCTGATACTGCAACAATAGCCAATGCAAAATGGGATCAATCGGCGATTTCGAAACTCCAATTCGCCAGAGAATATTATCTACAGTTTGTGTCTCCACCAAGGCTGAACAAACAAGCATGAAGACACGAACAGTCTACTTAAGCAAGGTGAATCTAACGACATCATCCAAACTCCAATATCAAGAAACATATTCGAAAGAAAACGTCGCACTTGCCTGTTGAATATTCTGCGATTGACTATGTAGCTACGAATATTCTCAGAACATCAACTGTATCTATAGAGAATATTCTCGGAGCATCGACTGTATCTAAAAGCATATTCTGGGAGCATCCACATGGAGTGTTCGACAATCCGTCAGGCCTCAGTTACTCGAGCGCCGCATACCGTCTCAAGTCCTCCGGAATGGCGTCCCACAAGCCTTTCTGGCGGAGCCACTTCTGCGAAAAAAGACGGTCGCTGTACTTGTGGGCGCTGTCGGCCAACACCGTGACCACGTTGCTGCCCGAGGGAAGCGTCTTGGCCACCTCAAGCGCCGCAGCCACGTTCAAGGCGCTGGTGCCGCCGACAAAAATGCCCTCGGCGTCGATCAAGCGGAACAACATGGCGATGGACGTCTCGTCCGGCATCTGGATGGCGTCGTCAATCAAGTCGTAGTCGGCGCCCAAGTTGGCGGTCACACGGCCCTGGCCGATTCCTTCGGTGAAAGAAGAGCCGCCGCGGACGACGTCCTTGCCGCCCGACTTGAAGTGCGAGTACAAAACCGAGCCTGGAGGGTCCGCCAAGACGCACTTGACGTCGCTGCGCATGCTCTTCAAGTAGCGGGTCACGCCGGCAAACGTTCCGCCTGTTCCCGTGGAACATGTCCACGCGTCGACCTTGCCGTCGAGCTGCGCCCAGATCTCGGGCCCCGTGGTCTCGATGTGTGCCTGGCGGTTAGCAAGGTTGTCAAACTGGTTGGTCCACACGGCGTTTTCCAACGCATCGGCGTGCCGCTTGGCCTGGTGGTTGTAGTTGGCCGGGTTGTCGTACGCCACAGCCGGCACCGCGTGCACCTCGGCGCCCAAGAGCCGGAGCGTGTCCATCTTGCTCTGCGCCTGCGTGTTGGGCATGTAGATCACGCACTTGTACCCTCTCAGACGACAGACGTGGGCCAAGCCGATTCCGGTGTTTCCGGCGGTGCCTTCGACCACAGTGCCGCCAGGCTTGATGAGGCCGCGGCGCTCGGCGTCGTCCAAGATGAACTTGGCCGCCCGGTCCTTGATCAGCCCGCCCGGGTTCATGTACTCGGCCTTGACCCAGATGTTTCTGCCGACTTCGGAGGAAAGCGTCGGGAGCTTGAGAAGCGGCGTGTTGCCTATGGCGGCAGAAAACGTCGGGGCGACGAGCGGCACGAACGGCGGCACAAAGTCGGGCGCCGTGGAGATGCGGAGAAACCGTCTGGCGGAAAAAGAGACTTTAGACATTGGCGTGTGAAACGGGCCGAAAACGGTGAGAAATGGTGGTGCACACTTGTGATGTATGCACACTCGTATAACATTCTACACAACGGCTTCATGATATTGGGCATCTATAGAAGCCACTGGGATGTTCCGCTATGGCATGTTCTTAATTGGCCTCACCAATTGGACTCACTTCATGAGATTCAGATAGATCACTTATTTATAATCTCAATTATAAAAAGTTTTGGTTATCTGCGTATTATTATATAAATGTAACACAACGCATATAGTTTGATTCCTAAACTTCATTAATAATGAAGTTAAACGAACCCATTGACTCATGGAATGGATACTCTACATTTCTTAGTTGTATACTAATTATCTCAATGTTCAGTCCACAGTCTCCTGGATCCACTGAATCTTGATACTCTATTGCACTCTTGTTCATACCTGTTACTTCAATGTAAGATCGGGGCGTCTTTAGAATATTTGAGGAAGTTGTTCTCGTTTTTGGTAGTGGTTGACCGTGCTGTAGTGGAAGTAATCAAGGACTAGCAGCACATGAAATAAAACCCAATAAGCTAATGTAGATAGTTATAGTACAAAATTCAGTTAAATCACAAAAACCAAATCACTACCACAAGCTTTATTAGGACATTCCTTAAGATATAAATCTCCTGGAGCTAATGGACCACATTCACCTTTTGTGATCGAAGCATGTTCAGAATACCACAAATGTGAAGTATTCTTCATCTTGCGTCTAATGAATTGGGCTTATTTTCAACTTATTGCTATATTGCAACAAGCCACACTTCTACCAATGGAGTCTCGTGAAAATGATGCGATCTGGTTGGAAATTTGCTGGCTGATAAGTATCGTTTAGGTGGACTTATCGGGATAGATCCTTGGGAGCCATCTAAGTGATATGAACTACAAGAAGTGAGCTTGAAATCAGAATGTGAACAGTGTAGGGAACTATCCCGCTTGAGTAGATGAACGTACGATACTGATCTGACAATAAGACTCACAGATGGAATAATACATGGGTGATCCAGATGACCTGAAACTAATCCAGATTCACCTTAACGTTAAGCTAGCATATTTGCTACACAATCTATAATATTATAGGTAGAGTTATGTATATAATCTATAAAACGTGCAGTTCAGCATGTCTCCGTAGTCTAATAATATAATACAGCAGTAGTTGAAACTTAGGAACAACTAAGAAATTGGGCAGCATACCAAAGTAGAGAAATTACCCACTTGTCACCGCCAAGGACAACAGATATACGATTTTTATGACGAGCGTGCTTAGGTAAAGGTTTCCTGCTTATGCAGATTTCAAGCTCCAATGATTGTGAGTCTGGTTCGTAAACTAGATTACTTGATGTATCTCGCATCCACGAATCTAGAGGTTAGTATCTTGGCCAGGTGCTGCAGTCCAAATTGAGGATTCCAGATACCCCATGCAATGGCAAACCTATCAAAGGACCGATCCAGTTAGTTTCTTTTGCCTCCCCATGCAAGTTTCTGCTTGGCGAAGAAACTTGCCGCTCTGCCGCTTCGATTATGCGCCATGATTATTGAGCCCATTATCTGGATACAAGCCCACGTTCCCAACCTTATGTGTACACATAAAGTTTTAGGTAGAGCTGGCCAATTATGGAGCCGACAGCAACAGGTCCAAACAGGATAGCCATAAATGCGGCACAGATCGTTAAAGATTCAATAAAGACACCTCTAGACATAGAAGTCCCGCCAGCTACAGCCTTAACGAAAGTAATTGCTCCAGCAGTAGCGATGGTAGCAGCAATGTTGGACAAAGCCAAGAATACAACTCTGACTGGAGGAAAAACCCCGGCAAAAATGAATAGCCAAGTGGCAGGCGGACCCCAGTTGGGGGAGATTTCGGAAAACATGCACACAGGAGCCATGACACCTAAACCGAAAGCTAAGGAAATCACAATCCATTGGCGTAGTTTAGGACCATTATCTTGAATAGCTGCATCCTTGCGGAAATATTGACTCGCCACGAAAATAATCAACAAGTACACAAAAGTACCAGAGAACTCATTTAAAAAAGCAATAATATGTTCCTTCGACCCAGACGGTTCGCCGACAGTGCCAGTATATGGGTTTTGAACAGCTTGGACTTTGTTCATTTGACGAGAAAATGACAGTTGACCAAGGTCAATTGAGGATATGGCCGTGATATATAACGTACAATTTTTTCGAAAGTGTAATTGGGCCCACACAAAGAAACATATAATTGGCACAAAAAATGGAAATGAGACAAAAAAGGCAAAAGTTGCGATAGTGAAGGGGAAATACGATTTGTGGCAATTGTGTGCTACTGAAATATACTCAAATCTGCAATGAATTAAAACTAGTGTTTGTATTCAGGCGACCTAAACTAATTCAGGCGAACGTCTCTCATGTAGTTTTGTATGTTATTCTATATGCTACTGTATGTTCTTGGTCTTCCTTTCCTCGTTTGAACATAATCGGATATTCTTACCTCCTGCCCTACTAGGATACTTATGTAGTATTTCCAATTGTCGACAGTTGATGGTTCATCGAATTGGTTCTCCAGAATTGATTGATTTAAAAAATTCAATCTAGAACTCAGATAGTTTACGAATTGTAGGTGTAATTTGGCAAGTTTCAGTTCCAAGTTACGAATTGTGGATTCCAGAGTTTGAATTCCATTTCTGTGCATTCTGCTTTCCTTACTTTCATTCTTGAAGAAGTTCGGTGGGTGCGAATTTTACTTCTTCTTAAGACAACTTGAATGTACGTGTGATTGAATGTACTACTGAGAGTTAAAGACTAAGAAAATTTTGGAAGCAAAACAATAAATCCTTCGTCCATAATGAATAGCCATAGCTGAAACATTTATCTCGTTTGCGATTTTTGTCTTGGTTATTTTTCTAAAAGCTGTTTGAGCACCTACAATAAAAATGAAGGGAAATTGAATAATGGAAGCACAACTATAATATTCTCAATGGCGCGAATTGAAATATTTCGGCTACATAATTCTTTAGGGAAGCTGAGTTTCGAACCTGTAATACTAGTGGGCCAAAACACAGTGTGCTTGGTCTGCATATACCCGTCTTCTCACGTGATGGGCGTTTGAAGGAAAAAAAAAAAAACAGCGTAATGTCGCGTTTAACAAGATCGCAATGGTTGTCCAACTTCACAAAACCATCAAATGTCGCATGCGCACCTGGAGGGAGTTATTCTCCCGCACCAACAGGGTTCTCCATGCATTATCGCCATGCATATGCCGCAAAGGGCAGTGTTGCTGCACGAGTGGCACTGAATGTGCGCATTAACGAGCGCTGACAGATACGACCTTCACATTTAGGGGCTGCACCCAAGAACATTCGGCCTTTGTCCATTCGGGTTATCCTGCCCTTTCTGGAATGCGGAGGAGCCCTTCCATTCTGACACTTGGAGGCAGTGCGAGCCAAGCCTTTTCTCCAGTAACATTCCGCGTTATATCCGGAACACTGGCAGAACGGCAGAGCTGTAAGGAACCGGCGCAAAACAACTTCCAAAAAAGAAAGCACTGCAACGCTCGCTTTCCCGTAATGTGAAGGTCAGGGATCATCTCACTGGTGATTTTTTAGTTAGCACCCACTTTAGCGTGTCGCGCGTGGTACTCTCAACAGCGCATGCATATGCAGATTCTGTCATGCACACACCTTTTATGTCCGGACGCAGGAGTGTATCTCCGATGCACATCCCGATATTTTCATTTCTACTTGCTTCGTTTTCCTGTCAGTGCAATCCATGGCCTGACCTTCTGTGATTGGCCCAGACACTGTTCTCCAGGCCTTGCGAAAGCCATCTATGCCAGAACGAGCGGTCTTTGTCGCAATTACGCCCCACTATGTCCATGTGCGACAAACAATGCCTGACGACCCAGATTTAATTGCGGCCGTTTTATTGTCATGCACATTTCAAGATACTTCGGCATTCTGGCCTGTACGGGTCCAGCTCCTGCCGCGCTAACGCCTAGCCATTGCAACAATTAGCCTTTAAGACAATAGCCTCGACTGGGGAAATGTCCTGCTTGTATCCGCGTTTAGCGTATTGCGTTTGGTTAGTGCTTCCGTGTTTCGTATCGGAGCGATTTCGGGTCTGAATGATGGAGTTTGACCGTTCCAGGTCGACGTTTCGAACCCAAATACCACCTGATTCTTCTCTGACTGCAAGTGCCGCCAAACATGGGGTAGCCACATGTAAGAAGCCAACCTTAACTTCGTAGAAGCAACGCTACAGACGCAACAGACTTGATGTCACTGGCGGATGGTTAAGAGACTGAATTACGAATAATTAACCTAGGAACGCAGAATTGCAAAAGAACACAGCACGACACTAAGCTCTGGCTGCAACGACATGGGATTTTGCCGCCTGGTTTCTTCGGTGTTTTCCGCGACATTGGCCCACGCTTTTCTTACGGGTTCCTCAGCCCAAGGCTGAGAAGCAAGACATGTTTGGTGTTTCGGTAAGATGTTAAACCGCAGCAGGTGCGACATTTGCCTGTGAGGGGTGCAGGCCGTGACGCACATTTTCACTACGCCACAAGCTCATGCATCAGGACTCGGGCCGGCTATTCTCAAAACGGCAGCGAGAGCGGAATTGGCTAAATGCCGCGAGGGTAAAGAATAGGGACAAGAGTTGGGCGAAGAACAAAGGGCCACAAGAGCAAAAAGAAAAGAAAAGAAGAAAAAAAAATGTCGTGCCTGCACAAGCGACTACAGCAGGGTTGGCCCTGGTGCCGGGGAACATTTCCGGCAAGATCGCCATGCGCGGAATCTAATCATTTGCAGCAGATTTTTTGTTTTTGCACCCCCTGCATTGCATGGCGCTGTCCTGCAAGACCATCTTCCCCTTTGATGCGCCGCTCAGCAGCTGTTTGGCATGCCGATTGCAGTGGTGCATGAAGCGCAGCATCAGTGTCAAAAAGGGCCCTCTATTTATTCAAGCTCCATTCCTGCAACGCTCCGTCTTTCGTGATGCACGCTTCTCCATCTTCACTTCTTCTCATCACCTATTCCTGCTAATCCGTCACTTTATTTGCATCAATGTTCATTCCTCGGGCCTCCTCTCACACCCGTCTACCTCCATTCAGCGAGTTGATGCTGTCCATTTCCCACCAGCATACACCCACGTACCATGCGCCGCACATCCCGCTTCAATTTGCGTTCCCTTCGCCGCGCTCCGTCCCGGGCCCATTCGACTTTGCCCATTCCAATGCGCCTTCTATGGCTTCTCTGGCTTCTCTGGCCGCTTCGAACCGGACCAACTCTACACTGGCGCCTTCGAGTCTGGCCAGCCCCAGCCTGGACGCCGGCGTAAGCGCCTCTGGCCCCGGCCATGCCCTTCCGCCTCTCCACGGCCTCCCCGCATACCACCTTGCCGCAGGGCCCAAGCCGGTTCTGCCTCCGTTTTCTCGCCCGGCCGAGATCCCCACGCCGCCCGCCTCGGCCGAGTTGGGCAGCGCCCCAATGGTCGACTGCAAAGCCGAGCCCGTGGTGCCCAAAAGAAAACATGCGTGCAAAACGTGTGGGCGGTCCTTCACCACGCTGGGCCATTTGGCCCGGCACAACAGAACACACACGGGCGAACGCAAGCACATGTGTCCGTTTCCGCAGTGTGGTGCCCGTTTTGCTCGCCAGGACAATTGCATGCAACACTACAAGATGCATTTGAACGGGAAGAGCAAACGGCGGGGCAAGCGGGCTTGACGACGTCACGAACGGGTTTCAATAGGAAAAGTACACGACATCACCGGACATGTGTAGTGGAAACGAGTAATGAGTAACAGGTATGAATGAATAAAGAAGTATGATGAAAGAAGTATGATGAAAGAAGTATGATGAAAGAAGTATGATGAAAGAAGTATGATGAAAGAAGTATGATGAAAGAAGTATGATGAAAGAAGTATGATGAAATAAAGAAGTATGAATGAATTAAAGAAGTATGAATGAATTAAAGAAGTATGAATGAATTAAAGAAGTATGAATGAAATGAGTAATGAATAGTAAGGATGAAAGTAAGCAAAGGAAATATGAATGAATGAAGTAGTGAGTAGGATGAACATGAATGAAGTGGTAAGGAAATATTAATGAATGAAAATAACGAGTAATATGTAGCGTGGAGGTGAAGTAATGTACATCATAATATGATAATGTATCAAGACGTAGCGTGTAGAGTGAAGAGCATAATCCAGATCTGAACGAATTATCAAACGGCACGAGATGTGTCCAGGTGAACAGACGGCCTCTCAGACAGAGGAAGCCGACACCATCTAGTTCCATCCAGTGTCAAGTTCCATCTAGTGTCAAGTTCCATCCAGTGTCATAGTACCGACCAATGTCACCCATAAAATAGAAAGTCACAGCTAACAGCTCAATGTCTATCTAGAAGACGTCCATCATTAAGTCAGGCGAAAGCTCGCCGAAGCAAACTCTCGGTAATCTTCAGCAGACTCTCGATAATTCTCAGCAGACTCTCGATAATTCTCAGCAGACTCTCGATAATCCTCGGCAGACTCTCGGTAATCCTCTACAGACTCCCGAGTATCCTCTTGCCATTTTCGAGCTTCCTTTCCCGGCTGATAATATCCGACTTCCCACTTTAGCACAATTGATGTCACTGCAATAAAATGCCATGGCATCTCATAGATTGCTCTTGTTGGTTCATGCTGGCTAGCACAACTAGACGGGATGCAGATATGAGTGGTGAAAAATTCTCGAACCGTTGTAAGCTCAACAATATTGCTAAAGGCGTCGAAGTTGCATTACCCATGGCACTGTTTAGCCATAGAATAAATGATGTTCAAAATTCTGGACAGCTAAGTACTTCCAGGCACCGATTGGCAATGTTAGAACGAACGCAAGTCCGACGCAGTTGGCCGGACCCTGAAACCCCTCGTCTAGCAGATCGAAAGCTAATACATATCACCAAAGGCAGAGCAAGCTAGGATACTAGAGCAGGAATTCTAGACACAAGGCAAAGAGAAACAAGATAAGAGCAAAAGAAAACGAAAACGAAAACGGAATCGATATCGAAAACGGAATCGAAAATGAAAACGAAAATGAAAATGAAAATGAAAATGAAAATGAAAACCAGAGCCGGCCAGAAAAATTCACCTACGCAATTAAATAAAGGGCGATACCGCCACACTGGAGCTGAAACAGCATATTAGCAATTCTCTATCGGCCAGTACCCACATCCAAGTCCGACAAGATCTAATATGCTGGCACCGTAATCTTTTGCCATGGGTGTGCAGATATGCGGAAATAGACAATGCGGCCTTTTGTCGGACATGTGTGTGTCGATTAGAGCAAACTTCTTGCTTGAATGGGGGACGGCGCCAAGCACAAAAAAAAGTTACACCCATGTCTTGTCCGTAAGCAATGTCATCCAGCACTTTCCTCTGTTCGATATGCGTGGGCTCTGGACGTCTATAGCCGTAGAACACTTGAACATGCATCAGCGCCGTAGATTGCATCAGCCTGCAATTGCGGGCGCCACTTGGCAGCATGGGCCCACTCGTAATTTCTGTTTACATGCGGCTCTTTTTCTACGGAGCTTCCTCTGTTACCAAGGGGCTGAATAATTTTTTTCCACACCCATGTCGCTTTCCGCGTATTGGCCCCAAGCGTGCATTTGAGCGCTTCTGCACAAGCATGTTGGATTTTATCCACGTTGCATTGACCAGCAGCAACACACCTGCTGAAGCTCCGACTGGGCCGGGCGGCCCTTTTTGCACTTCCCATCCGGCCGTGGCGAGACCCTCATGTCATTTGTCAGGCTCGTCTTGACACTTTCTACCCAGTTCAGGGGTTCGTAAAGGCATATCTCGTGACATGCGGACATGCCGCATGGGAGGATTCCTGCAGGACGGCTCTCATTTGCCGAAAAAGCAATGCCGTGGGCCACAACCTTACTAATGTGTGTCTGCAGTCGTAGGGAGGTAGAGAACCATATCTTTGGGCCATCTGCACGAACGGGCTAAATAAAGTATATTCGTGCTAAAAATGGTCGGCTTAGTGTGTCTAAAAGAGATTGGACATACGCACTGGGCCCCTAACACCAGTGGCCTATAATTGCCAGTTGTAATACGAGGCTGTTCAAGCCACCGCAGGTCACTGTTATTGCGGAGATAAATACCTCGCGACTGGAAGGTTGTGTAAGCGCATGAACCCTGGTCATCAAGTGGACTGTGGAGAAGATCGTGGCGTAGATTTGTGGGACAGGAGTAGAAATATGGAGAATGAGGAGGAGAATATGGTTGTAGAGAATTGAGGTAAGGGAAGTAGAGGATATGATTGTGAGTGTAGAATATGGTTGAGAGTATATGGTTGAGAAAGTAGAATATGGTTCAGAAAGTAGAATATGGTTCAGAAAGTAGATATGGTTGAGAAAGTAGAATATGGCAAAGTCAGAGAAGGTGGACGTAACTAGAAATCAACTTCTTGTCCATATTTAGTCAGAGTTGGCCCCACGAGCTTCTCTGGTTGGTTTTGCTCGTCCTGTTTATTTGGCCTTCTCTGCTCGTTCCTCGTTTACCCCACAGAGGCGCCTGCATGGCCACCTCGATAACTTATCTCCTAGCAGGATGGTTGAGGAAGATTGGGCTGTGGTTGTCGTTTGTGACAGTAACATTTGTTCATAGTACGTTGGAAGACGATGGCAATTGCTGTCAGAATTCCGCTGGCGCAAATTCCGTCATTGTCTAACGGTTTCTTCTTGGCAGTGCGACTCATGTCAAGACGGAAAAGACAAGAACGGGCACAGAAATGCCTAGAGACTGGGGAAAAAACATGAAGTAGGCAAGACAAATGACTTCAGCGCCCCATCTAGCATAGCATTCTCTCTAAAGTAGCAATTTCCAGCTGTAGTTTGCGCCGTGGTGGAAAAACGTCAGCCGTTCCGCTGAAATTCCGTCGCAATTCCATCCTATCTCGAAATTCCGATACGATCTCATCTCCACTATAAGACATCCACCATTTCAGCAAACAAACGCAAACTATCGCTTTACATTCATACATGTCCTTGTTTGCGGGCTCTGAAGCTCTTTGTGTTCCTCCTGCCCAACGGGTCTCGCTTTCTCTGAGAAACCTCACAGTCTCTGTCAAAGGCCGAGACTCTGAGTCAGGATCCACCAAGATCCTCGATAATGTCTCGTTTGATCTCGCCCCCAGCAACATGGTTGCCATCATGGGCGGCTCTGGTGCCGGAAAAACGACATTGCTCAATGTCTTGGCCCAGACCACCAACATCAACAGCCCAACATTGAATTTCTCCGGATCGGTGCACTATAATGTCGCCCTGGGAGCAGAACATCCACGGATTTCCACGGCTTTCATGCAGCAGAGCGACGTTTTCTTGCCTGGCTTGACCTTGCGCGAGACGTTGGACTTCCAGGCCCAGCTACGTCTCCCCAATGCGACGTCTGCGGAAAGAAAAGAGCTTATTGCGTCGTTGCTTTCCCTTTTGGAGCTTGACCACAGAGCAGACGAGGTGGTGAAGACTTTCACAGGGACTGTTTCCCTTTCTGGCGGAGAACAGCGCCGCCTGTCATTGGCAATCCAGCTTCTTTCGAAACCACAGCTTCTTTTCTTGGATGAGCCCACTACGGGTCTCGACACCACGTCTGCGCTAACATTGGTTTCTGTCTTGAGAAAATTGGCGTCCCCGGAAATTGGCATCACCATTGTTCTTTCGATCCACCAGCCTCGCAGCGAGATTGTGTCTCTCTTTGATAATTTGTGTGTTCTCACCAGAGGCGGCCGAACCGTATACTACGGCTCGCTTTCGGAGTCTTTGGCTTACTTCCAGGACCTTGGAGCGAAAAATTTGGTCACTAGTTTTGCCTCGAGCGAACCGTTTGAGGTTTTCAATCGGATCATGGCTCTCCTGGTGAAAAACTCCATCTCTTTGGAAAAAGAAATCGAGACTTCCAGGCTTGTGGACTCGTTGGTGGCCGAGTGGGCTAGACGCCACGAGTTCAGCCTGGATATTCCAGTCGATAAGCAAAAGAAACACTTCCGGGCAAATCTCGATGTGTTCAAATCCGCCCAGCCTCTTCCGTTGCATAGAGAAGTGTACATCTTGGCCAAGCGAACCGGCCTTCTTTCCCTTCGAGACACTGGCTCTCTTATTGCATTGCTTGGCGGCGCCGTAGTGCTTGCTATTGTGCTAGGATGGATGTTTTACAAGCCAACGCCTAACTTGTCGGGAATCCGGTCTATCACCTCTGTCATGTATGCGGTGCTTGAAATTATCGGCTTTGCCCCGCTTACAATGGAGATTGAGCGTTTGTGGAAACATGACGGTGTTTTCTTCCTCAAAGAGTACCGGGAAAAGTACGTTTCCGCTCCTGGTTTCATTCTCTCGCGAAGGCTTGCCAAGTTCTGGGTCGAAGACTTGCCCGTGCTGATTATTTTCTCGTCGATAGCATATTTCATGTGGGGCTTGAGAGTGGGGGACAATTACAACGACAGCGGCGACGGATCATACTTTGGTATTTTTTTCACCGTTGTGCTTTTGGTGTCGCTTGTAGCCATGTCTACCGCTATGCTCTGCTTTTTCTTGGGCTCTTCATTTGCCATCTCGACTCTTTATTCCAACATCTTTTACCAGATCCAAAACTCGGGCTCCGGCTATTTTGTCAACTCGAAAACCATGCCTGTCTATGTCAAATGGGTCAAGTACATTGCGTACTTCTGGTATGGCTTTGGCGCTTTGACCTCGAATCAGTATTCTGACTGGCAAGGCAAATGTCCATATCCTCAAGATGACGAGCGCTGTTTCGAGTATTCTGGCAATTACCAGTTGTCTGTCTTGGGTTTCCCGCAACATTGGGTCGGCGCCCCAATCGGGTACTTGGTTATTTGGTTTGTTGGCTTCAATTTGATGGCGTATGGTGTGGTCAAGTTGAAAAACTTTGACGTGGCAGTTGCCAAGCAAAGAAAGAACACCATTGGTGGCGAAGACGAAAACCAGGCGGCGGCTTTGGTAACAGAGTTATCTACAGCTGGTCTGGCAGATGAAAAGGAAACAGTGGGCGCCAATGGCGTGAGCATTCATGTTCGGAATGTGGAATTGGCCGTTAAGGTGAGAGAACTGCGGTTTTCCTTAGCCAAAACAGGGCTGCGTACGTTGCTCCATGGCATCAATGCCAACTTTCAGCAAAATGCTGTCAACGTGATAATGGGCCCTTCCGGAGGCGGGAAAACAACGTTTTTGAACTACTTGGCCTCTCGGTTGCCCAAAACGTCGTCCTTCTCATCCACGGGCCAGATTTACTTCAACGGCTTGCAAGAAGTGACTACAAAAGACATCTCTCGCATATCTGCCTATGTGACGCAGCATGACAATTTGTTAATTTCCCACTTGACTGTCCGTGAAACCCTCTACCACCAGGCGCTTTTACGTTTGCCCGTGGAAGAACACAAGTACATTCCCAGCCAAATTGCATATTTGCTCAGGCAAACCGGATTGGTGGATTGTGCCGATACGCCTGTGGGATCTGCTTCGGTCAAGGGCATTTCAGGCGGAGAAAAAAGACGGGTTTCCATTGCCATCCAGCTTTTGAGCCGGCCCAAGATTCTTTTCTTGGACGAGCCCACATCTGGCCTCGACGTGGCCACCTCTGCTTCTATTTTGGTCATGTTGAACAAGTTGGCTGCGGCAGGCACCACAATCATATCTTCGATTCACCAGCCAAGCAAAGAGTTGTTTGATAACTTCGACTCGATGGTTCTCTTGGCCCGTGGCGGATACGTGGTGTACAACGGCCCTACTGCCGGAATCGGACAATACTTGGCCTCTTTGGGCTATCCATGTCCCGATCTGGTCAACATGGCCGATTTTGTTTTGGACGTGGTGTCAACGCAACTTATGGAAACCAAGGAAGCGGCACAGGCCCGTGTGGAACATCTTATCAGCAAGTGGAGCACTCAGCAATTGGAAAAGGAAGCGGAACCTGCAGTCGGCACCGAAATTGACTTGGCCAAATTCAGCAAAAAGCCAACGCCGTTCAGCGTAGCTTTCCGGACCGTTTGCAAAAGACAGCTTTTGGTGTCTTACCGTGCCAAAGACGTCATGTTTGCTCGGATTTCTCAAATCACCTTGTTGGCCGCAGTGTATGCTCTTTTCTTTGCGCCCATGAAAAACTCTCAAGAAGGAGTCAGTAACCGTTTGGGTATTGCCCAAAGTGTGGTCAACTTATACTTTTGTGGCTTGATCAACAACATTTCGCTCTATCCGTCCGAAAGAGACATTTTCCACCAGGAGTACAAAGATGGAACGTACAACTCGTTTGTATTTTCGTTTGCGTATCTTTTCGTCGAGCTCCCATTCGAAATCATTCCATCCATCTTCTTTGCCGTTTTGGTGGTGTTTGGAATCGGCTTGCCCAGAACAGCTGGTATGTTTTTCGCCATGTTTTATTCATCGCTTGTGTGCGTGAATGCTGGTGAATCTTTGGGAATTATCTTCAACTCTATGATTCAACATCTTGGCTTGGTGACAAATGTATTGAGCAATTTGTTTATGGTGGTTATCTTCATGGCTGGTACCATGTCTTTGCAAATGCCCGGATTCTTCAAAGCAATGAATTACCTCAGTCCCATCAAATATGTGATTCAAATCTGCATCAACATGAGCTTCAAAAACCAGCGGTTCCGGTGTGCGGAAGGAGTTGAATCATGTCTTATGGATACTGGTGAGGCTGTACTTAAACAGTATAAGATGAAAGCAGATGTGGCGACAGCCTTTGGTGCATTGACGGCGTGTTTGGTGATTTACAGGATCATTGCAGTGTTTTCCACATACGTGAGGGCCAAGTGGTTTGTTTGACAGTATGTGCTAGATTATTATGCTCTTAATACATTAACTATATCGATTTTTAGAAAGAGCTTGTAGTTGAAACGCTCTTGTTTTTGTGGCTGCAAAAAAATGGCGACTGGGGTCGAGGGAAACATCTGTACATCCTAAAAGTATAACATCCATACATCTCAAAAAATACATCAGTACATCCTCCAACATCCGTACATTCCAAGCATAAAAACCCATACACCATTATTATCACACCTGTACCTCCTATTAAACCCGTACCTTTTGATGCTAAAAACCCATACACCCACTAAATTTACATCCGTACCTCCGTAATAAACGGCTCCCCACAGCCTCCAAAACCGAGTGGTTGCACCCTTTTATGGCATCTCGTGAAGTATAGGTGTAGATTCGTTCCAAATGGGACCAAAATGGGTATGTTGGATCGGTCTTTCCTCAGCTTAACAGAGTTCTAGACCAATCACCGCCAGCAATCCTTTTGAAATGTTCTGGGCTTATTAAGCCTTCTTTGCTCCTTCATATTCCTTGCCGATCCGCATCGTAACGATTTTAAGCAAACGTTAGATCCACCTAAACGCCAATTTGATGTGCTCCTGCACATTAGCATTTTACCTAACAAATGGGAAAGTGCTGATTCAGCAAACTACAAGTACATTTTCCAAGCATGTTTAGAAGCGTTATCCAAGGCGCCAGACTCGTATGTGTTTTCCTCTGAACGGCCCCGGTTGATTTCCGGGCCCCCCTTTTTTTTCCGCCGACCCGAACTAACCGCAGAATTCTGTTTTCAGAAAACCAACATTTGCCAGATTTCTCTCGACAGAAATCAAAGACGCCATCGACAAGGCCGTGCAGAGCTCGCCTGTGGTGTTGTTCATGAAAGGCACGCCCGAGTTTCCCCAGTGTGGATTTTCCAGAGCCACCATCCAGATGTTGGGCCAGCAAGGCGTGGATCCACACAAATTTGCCGCCTACAACGTTTTGGAGGACCCAGAGTTGCGGGAAGGAATCAAGGAGTACAGCCAGTGGCCCACAATTCCACAACTTTACGTGAACAAGGAGTTTGTTGGCGGCTGCGACATTGTCATGTCCATGGCCAAGAGCGGCGAGTTGGCGGATTTGTTGGAGGCCAATGACTGTTTGGTTCCGGAGGAGGAAGAGCCCAGCCTGGCGGACGTGAAGCCGGCCAAGAGATGATCCTGTAGATAGAATATACGTGGTTTTGATCGAATAATGGAAAGAGAAGTGTATGACGGAATAACGACGAAATCAAGAAACGAATAAAGTGAAATTAGGAGTAATGGTAGAATGAAAAGAAGGAATAGTGGTAAATGAATGAAAGGAAGGAATAATGGCAAATGAATGAAAGGAATGGAACAATGGTAAAGGAATGAAAATAAGGATGATGGTAAATGAATGAAAATGAGGAGTAATAAACGAATAAAAAGAATGGAACAATGGCGAACGAAATTAAATGAACTCAAATAAAAAATACAAATCGAATGAAGAGAGATGAGACGAAAAAGTCGAAAGCGAGAAGGAACGAATTAGGATGAATGAAGAGTAAAAAAAATCACGGCCAGAAACATGATAGACCAGGAAAAATTGTCTACGAGATAGGAACGATAATGAAGGAACCGACTCATTCCAAGAGAGGGCAGAAATGTCTTCATCTGGCCTAAACAGAATTTAATTCCAGCAATACTTATTCCCCACGAAATTGAGAGTGCTAGTCACAAATACTTGGCAGAAATGAATCGTTGTTGAAGTCTAGTCAATTAAAATGCCATCTCGACAGCTAAAGGAAATTAGTGATAATCACTCGAAACTTTTGGCGGAATCGACGGCAAATATACGTAAACCAGCGGAATAATTCTTGGACATTCTTAATAGACATAGTATTCTTGAGATTTGACATTCCGGCAGAATTCTTGAGACTTAATGGACCTTCAAACTTGTTTCTCTATAAATCATGGCTCGTTCAACGAAATCGATCATCGACTCTTCTTTTTTGATTTACAAACTAGACCTATTTTTGCTCATTCTGTCGGTCCAGTAAATCCGGAAAGATCCGAAAGCGGAATATGGAGTAACACTTTCGTATCACGTTGCAACTACAGATTGACACAGAAGTTATCTCCTAGCAGATACGACATTGTCCCAGCAGAGTTTTCTTGTCTCGCAAGGTCGACCGATTCCATCTGTAGAGACTGTACACGGGATGAAATTTTCCTGTAATGAAACCTTCATCAATGCCTCTGGATGGCAAAGTGGAGCAGTGCGACATTTTTCATGCACAGAATCCCGAGAAGCGTTTACGGGCTATGAATCCCCACTGCACCTGGAACTAAAAAGGGTGTAATTGGCGAAAAGAAGCAAGAAAAGCCTATTTCCGTGCAGAATCTGCTCGGCAATGCATAGTCTAATTATTCTTTTGGAGTGTTCTTTCCAAGGGAAATAGACAGTGCATATGCAAGCGCGAGCGCTAAAGTGGGATGGGTGTCTGTCTTGTAAAAGAAAAAATTCCGTGGGCCTTTGGCCCAGCCGTTTGTTTTAGTCACGATTACTAATGCTGACACACTTCCGCGCCGAATCTTCGCGAACATGTACGGCGTCTTCCATGCGCCATGTCTATGGCCCGAGACAAGATCGGAACGGAATTGGGAACACTGTAGTGATGTTGGATTGAAGAACGGGCGATTTATTTGTAGGTGGAGATTTCGTTAGGTGGAGATTTTGTTGCAGGTGGAGATTTCGTTATAAGAGACTAGTCTGTTCTTGGCATCTACGATCCAGATCCCGATGGCTCCTTATTATTTCATGAATTCCATGATTGAACAATCGAATTGCAGATGGAACGAGAGCCGCCTTTTCAACCTGGAACATGAAGACATGGACATGGACAGGTAGACAGGAAGACATGAACATGGATATGAACATGAAGACAGTAAGATATGAACATGAAGACAGGAAGACATGGACATGGACATGGACATGAAGACATCAACTTCAACGTCAAGACTTCCATCATGAACTTCAACGTCCAGTCTTCCATCATAAACTTCATGAAACTTCATGAAAACTTCACGATACCTTCTACAGCTTTCGGCTATTCATCCTTTCGCCGGCATCTTCCGGATCGGGCGGAACATACTTGCCTGCTTTCTGGACCAGCCAGTCTACAGCTCTACGGATCTCTGCGGCTATCCAGGATGCAAGTTCTTAAACAAAGAGTACACGGAAACCAGTTGCATGAGGAAATCATCAACCGTAAGTCAAGCCAGCCTGCTGGCTCACGCGTGGCCGCTCTTCACCGACGAGCGTCTTCGGAGCAAGTTCAGATCGTTCATGTTCAAACAAAATTTGTAGTCTCCATTGATGCCCGATATCACCGACGACGAGCGCGTGCGGCCGTCGTCCTCGTTTATCAGCTTCAGCGAGTTCGTCGACGACAGCGACGATATGGAAAGGTACTTCAAGCCCATGAGCTTGTCGTGAACCTCTTTTGCCGAGGCGAGCTCCTCGTCCGAAGCTACCGACTCCAGGCCGTAGAGATCGCTCTCGTCTTCGTCGTCTTCGTCTTCGTCACTGTCCTCGCTGTCCTCGCTGTCGTCTTCATCGTCCTCGCGCTCCATTTCGCTGAAAACCTTGCGGAAATTGACGTTCATGGGCGTCCGCGGCAAGTGCGACTTGTGGCTCGGCGCAAACGACGTTTTCGGATCGAACTTCACCTCCATCGGATCGACGTTTTCCACGGCCCGGCTAAAGTGCGCCAACAGCTTGAGGTTCACGTGCGACATGGCCGGGTTGCTGAAAACTTTCTTGATGGCAAGCGACGGCGACGCCAAGCCGTTTTTGCTTCCAAACGGACTGGTGGCATGTCCGGGTGCTCCGGAAACGCTCAACTCGGAAATCGACTGCGACAACGCATCCAACGACGACACGGATGAGTCTGTGGGCTTATCCGTGGCTCTGTCGGTTTGCACGTTTTCCACCATTTCCACCGAGGCGTTGACGTGCTGCATCTCGGGGAAATAGCTTTCCGACGCCAACGGCACGGCGTCGGCCATCCACGGATGGCTGTAGATCTCGTCAAGTGTGATTCGCTTGATCGGGTTGACCACCAACATGCGCGAAATCAAGTCTTTGGCGTCGGCGCTGATTTCGTCCCACCACGGCTCCAAAAACACAAAGTCCGCCGTGAGGATTTTGTGCGTCAACACGTCCTGGTCGTCGTCATAGAAGGGCGGGAACCCGCAGAGTACCGTGTACAAAAAGCACCCGAGAGACCATATGTCCACGGCTTTCGAGTAGTAGTTACTTTTCAGCGCCGACGTTTTGAAGCGCCGTTTTTTCGCCACGCCGCAGTGGATCACCTCCGGCGCCGTGTACCCTGCTGTTCCGCAGGGCGTTTTGAGGTTGCTTTGCGTGCTCGCCAGCGGATCATACTTGAGTTGTTTGGCCAAGCCGAAATCGGCCAATTTGATGGTTCCGATGCCGCCGCCGCCGACGCCGGGCAGGAAACGGCCCTCGTCCTTCTTGGTGCTGTCGTCGGATTTCCGTAGCGCCGCCTTATACTCGTCGGCGGGCCGGGGAACATACGGAATGCGCTTGAACAAGAGATTCTCGGGCTTGATGTCGCGGTGCACAATGTTGTTGCGGTGCAAGAAGGAGATGGCCTCGAGAAGCTGCAAAAAAACGTGCTTGGCCAACGGCTCCGAGAAGTAGGTGTACTCGATGATCTTGTTGAAGATCTCGCCGCCGTCGCAAATCTCAAGCACCAAAAAGCAGTTGTCCGGCGTGTCAAAGTACTCGATGAGGTGCAAGATGTTGGGGTGGCCGCCCACGTTCGAAAGCGTGTTCATGATGTTGATTTCGTTTTGGATATTGCCCAACTGTTTGGCGCTCAAGTTCTCCTTGTTGATGATCTTGACCGCCACTTTCTCGCCCGTCGACACATCCTCGGCCCGATACACGGATGAGAAGGCGCCTTCGCCCAAAAGCTGCTCGAGCCGGTAGTTGGCTGGCAAATCCGGATACTGGGCTAAACTGAAGGTGGGTTTTCCGTGGGAAGACATCTTCTTGAAGGGGAGAAACGGAATGGATTTCTGCTGGTTAGCAAAAGAGGGAAGGAATGGCAGGGAGTGAAGGAGAGAAAAAAATTGTACAACAAAAAAAAAAAAAACACAGAGTGAAAAGACCCGCTAGTAGAAAAATATCCTAGAGGCTAAATGTACTAGTGCGACTTGATTCCACACTTTTCCTTCTGTTTCGGTCTTGAATGCACACAGAATTATCCTCAACACACCCGTACACCACACACAGAACTCATCCACAAACTGATACGTACTAGAGTGATGGCCATGGGGCAAATTGCTGGTCCAGATTGCGGCCGGCGATCGGCGCGGTCTTAACTGCCGGGCAAAATTATTTTTATCTGCTCCCCAGACTTTGGTCATGATGATAAAAGACAAAAAAAAAAAAAAAGGGCGCAACACGACGTCATTCTGTGCGTTCCCCTCAGAATGCAGTGAGAAATGACGTAACGGCACATTTCGCGCTTTTACCATGTTCCAGTAGTGTTTTTTTTTTCTCTGACAAGACAGCGGAAGTGAGGCCCGTCGAAGGTATAATGGGGAGAAATTCCGGTCTGAAACTGGGAGCGCTGGTCAGAAAGCCAGACCGTTTCGACGATTTTCAAAAAGACGGGGTCATGTGGAGAATCTTCCCACTTTTAGCCGTACTGCACCCAGGCCGCGATTATCCTTTCTGTATGCGTCATGGGCAATAATACGGTATTGTTTAGGGAAAAAGACGATCGCGGTCTTTCTTGTGTGTGATGCCCCTAAGTAAAAAATAGCCTTTTGAAGACATGGAGACGGCTATTTTTGGCGTGCGTTTTTGTGCTTATCTGGAATTGGGACAGCCGGACCTATTGACGTAATGTCTACTTCATGGCCTACCAGAATACTTTTGATTAAATGAAGTCCATGAAATGTTAAAGTACTGAAGTTAAATTCGAAGAAAGTAAAGTAATGCGCTTCAAAGTAAAGTCTATTCTTTAAAGTTTACTCTCTTCCGAATCTACAGGCCCTTAAAGGAGACATTCAGGCCAGCGAAGATTACCTTCATTATTCCGCCTTCATTTATTCGACCTTCATTTATTCCGCCTTCATTTATTCCACATTCATTTATTCCACCTTCATTTATTCGACCAGCGAAGATTTATTCGATGTCGTCAACTCGAAAGTGCAACCATAGAAGTCTCAATGGACCCAGAGTCTTTCCTTGTCCCGCTAAGTTGTAAGGCCCAGTCCAGATTCGAACGAATTCTCGAAGAGTCAGGGCATCTTGTGTTGTTTCCAGTTGATTGGTTACTGGGGAGCTTGAGGGAGGAAATTGGTCAAGTCCAGATTTCACCAAGTCCAGCCAGATTTCAGCCTGCTGTTCCATGGAAAGTATGCGAGCAGTTTTATCCAAACTTCTGCTAAAAACGTTGTACAGTGCTACTTGGTCGTTCTATATTGATGAAACCATTTCTACCTGCAAAGTAATTATTTATTTTCAGTACCTTTGAGCGGCTAGGTTTTCTTTAGATGTGGTTTCTTTGGGCAATAGTCCAAACTTGGTCGAACTAGAATATTATAGTTCCTATATGGCTACTCGACAACATTCGGTGCCAACAAAGCTTGTGTTCGTCTTTCCCAATACTAACAAAATATCCTCGTTCTGACAAATTGCGGCCCTAGATGCATTTTTATTGTGTCTAGACTGGTTTGAGTTACTTCACGCTTCTCTACCAGATCGACCAATATTCAAAACCGGCGATCACACTATGCAAACTGCGAAAAATACCACCAGAACAGAATAATAACTTCCGAAGAAAACAAGTTCTGTAAACGGTCCCTTTTGTTTACTGGTGACTTTTGGTAGTATGAATTTTGGTATGGTTTTGGTGCGAGTCTGAAAACCAGGCACATTTTCCAGGTTGGCTCTCAATTTCATAGTGCTTACACTATGCTTAATACTGTCACACTTAATACTTTCACACTTAATACTTTCACACATAATACTTTTTTTTGCTTAATATTTGCTCAATACTTTAATACGTACCATGCTTCTGTTGTCACGTGCCGATCTGTGTTGATGCACGTGACTCCCATCACCTCTTCATCGCCTTCTGGCGCAAAAGTGACTTTCTTCCCCAATGAGCAGTAAGACGAAAAAAAACGTCTACTCGAGCGCCAACGTTGATTCGGCGGCGCTCAAGGAGCTCCTTGAAGTGTCGCATGTCGGTGTTTTTGACGACTTGACCCCCGTCGTTTCTTTTGTTCAAAAGGGCCTTTTGCTCAAGACCTTGAGTAACATTTCCTATTTCAGCTCTGTCAACAGCATCAAGCAAGTGGCACGTGTGTCGGACAACTTGGCACAGGTGTTGGACTCCATCAACTTTGTCCTCAACGACACAAACCCGGAGTCGAAAAACTTACAGTTCAAGTTGGCTCTTTTGGACCAACGCGAGCGGCTCTCGGAATTCTACTCGGACTTGTGCAAAAACCACTTGAAGTTGGTGTACAAGGTGTACGGCTTGAGAAAACCCGAGGCTGTTGCTGGTGTGTCTCGCTTGGTCGTTGCATTGTGCGAGTATAATGACCAAAGCGTTTTTTCCGAGTTTCTCGATAGTTTCGACTTCAACCACACGGTGCTACCGAAGATTTTTGTTCCCTCTAGAGACGACTTTGACCGCAAAGTTTTGTTGGCCGGGTCTATGCGGAGTTCTGCTGTTGACTTGTGGCTTGCGATCTGTTCCAAATGCCCTGCCACCTTTAGAAAAGCATTGTTGACCAATTTCAAAATCATGAACAACTTCTGGAAGTACGTGGAGATGGAGCGGTACGACACTTTGAACAAGATCATCGAGTTCCTCACCAAATACGTGTTGGACGAGAAATCGTTCAAAAGATCGACAAAGTGCCAAATCCTCAACGAAAACTTCTTGTTCAATTTCCGCTCCTTGTTTCCTTTGGCCGCCAGTGAAAACACGAGGTTGGAAGACAACGACGAAGATGAGTTCTCTGATTTTAAGTCCGCCTTCACAACGTTCATGAATGTCTTGGTTTCCGACCTGGCCCGAGGCATTTCTTATCCACAAAACGAGTTTGGTTCACTTTTAACTGTCAATAACAAGTCTTTCAAAATCAACAATAAGTTGATTTACACTCTCCTCACGGCACTCAAACCTTGGGAATCCTACTCGCAGCTCCAGTACGTGATGGAAATCCTCAATCACAATAGTGAATTGCTTCCTCCCTACATGAACTGGATTGTGGCCTTTTCTGGTGGATATCATGATCCGTCCTTAACGTCGTACTGGATAGGACATACGCTTCTTTACACAGAGATCTTGAAATCCCCTTCGCTCCCTGCACAACTCGAATATGTGTCATTGGCTCCGCTCTCTAAAAATGCCATGACAGATTGTCTTACATTTCCAAACGATTTGGTGAAGCAGTTGGGGTTGCAGTTAATTTTGCTCCAGTTGCTCAAACTTTCCAAAGCAAACAATGTCCCGCAAACGCTAGTCGAACTTGTTTTGGAAAATTTGCCCGTAAATGCAATGTTCGTTCCACTTTTGAACCACCCCAATAACACCATCAAACTTACAGCTACTATGATTGTCAGAACAATGGAACAGCTTGCACCAGCTTCTTCTTCTTCGGCCATTGTGTCGCTTATTGGAACCAATCTTGCTGGTTTGAATCTTGAAAATGACCAATGCGACAGCTTTGAGTTGATCCTTCTTGACAACTATTTGTCTATCCAGTCCAACAATGACCTTAAATGGTGGAATAAATCTTCGAAGGGAAACTCTTTTTTCACGTCTTTACTAAAGTTATCCAGCATGGTTCTGCTCAAGTCCAAACTCTTCCATATTTTAGAAAAATTGACGAAAACCTCGCTCATTTTCCACGATATGAAGTATGTGGAAAACCCGCTCTTGATGTTGATTGAAGCTACTTCCTCTTTCAAAAGCACAGATCTTTCTGATTCATTCTGGAATTGCATGGATGAAACCATATCCAGATCCATTAAAACTCCTTACAAATATCTCGACAAGTCTCATCTCGAATACGACGATGTGAGCATTTTCGTGGTTGTCCTTTTTGAGCAGCTCCGGTTTATCCCCCAAGTGGAGGCTGACAAATCCATAATGCTGTGGTTGAACAGTTTCATGCAAAAACTTGTTGTCGTCGGCGAATCTTTGACAAGCATTGAAAAACTCGCCGGTGACAATGGCTTTAGCTTGAGTATAGATTTATCATCTGTTCAAGCGAAAGAAAATATCATCACAAAATACGATTTCGCTGAAGGTGTTCTCGTGCTCAATAGATTGGTTACTACCACGAAAAGTGCTACCGCTTTGTTTGATCTTGTGTCAAAGTTAGGCAGTTTTTTGATGGGAGCAGGATTATCCGACACATTCCTATATCACTTTGTCTCAAACCCCGAGAAATGGCCATTTGTTCAGAGAATGTCTTCAAGCAACATTTCTGAAAATGATATTATTGGCATTTCTCTTTTCAGTGAATTGCTCCAGCAATTGGAGGAGCCTTTTTACTCGACTCCTTTGAACAAATTGGTTTTCGAGTCGTGTAAACTTGAATTGCCTAAGAAAAATCAGGCTGTGGTTGGAAAATTCTTGTGGATCTTGTCCGGAGACCAAATCAAAGAATTGGCAAACGAGGTCTTTTTTAACGAATTGTTGATTACGAATCTTTACAAGAAGGTTATTGACATGAAGTTGGACATAGTTCCTGATTTTGCCAAGCTCATGGCTATTTCGTCCCAAGAGATGAACGGGATCTTGTCTCACTTCAAGCCTCCCATCGAACAGATCCATTTGGTTTTGGGAAATCCCCATTTCCACTTTCTTCTCGATGATCCAAATGATGATGTTATTCAATATCTTATCCAGGCAAAAGATATCAGTGATGATGTTTTGTACCGAGTCGCTATTTATAGCAGAGAGCTTGCGGAAAAATACAAGGAAAGAGTGATTCTGTTGGCCATGTCTTTGGACAATTGGTCACAGTCAATGAAGATTTTCACATTTCTTCTGGATTTCTTTGAAATGAATGATGTTTTAGGCTTAGTCATGCTGCATGTGGAAGGAAAGCAAAAACTTACAATGACAGCAGACTTTGCACGTTTCTTAACTAAAGCTTTTGTGCTGGGTGAACTTCCAGAAACCGTGAAAATTTGGTTCCATAAAGCGATGGTATATATTACGAAGAAATTTGCTGAGTCGCCGACATTGTCAGAAAACTTTGATGCGTTTTTGCAATCTATGGAGGGTTTCATTTCTTCGGTCGAAAAGCCTTGGAAATTAATTCCATCGAGCGTCGTCAATACGCAATTTGAAGTTTTATTGAAGCACCATGTTTGGGCAGCACAAGAGAAATATCTTTCCTATGCCAATAAGGTTATTCTCAAAGCAGAGGCAAAAGACATATTGTCCGACAAATTACTTCAGATTTTTGTGAACAACGAGCATAATGTGCTTAATAAGCTTCCCAACACAGATGATGCCGGCGTTCGGTTTAATTCCGCTTTGCTAATCTATACGCTCTTCAATCTTGATGCAAGCAGATCTGCCACCATCACGTTACTAAACAGACTTTTGACATTTTACCTCGGGTCTACGCGATGCGAAGACTTGTCAATAAAAGTGGTTTTGAAGGGCATTGAGAAGAACATAACGCAAAGCTGGGTCAACCAAGTGACCAACTGGGATTTTCTGGAGGAAATCAGCCAAAAGGATTTGGAGTTGGTTGGTGAAGAACGGCTTTTCATCAGAGACCATTCAAATCTTGTTGTGGCATTGAATAAGAAATTCGTTCAGAATACCGTCAACAACATGGCCGACTTGCCCATTGCACCCAAGACCCGTGACTATACAGACTATGAACGGTTTGCCCAATCATGTCCTGTTTCTGCTTACCAGGAAACCGTTTACGACGCAGAGTTTCTTATTCTCGTCATCATCAACAATGACGAGCTTATTCGCGAAGAAGAGGAGGGGAAAATCACATTCAACATGGCGAAGTTGGCCGATTCCGGGTTGCTTGGGTTTGTTGTGGCTGCGCTTTCCAACGCCGAAATCAGGGACATCTCCAAGATTCTTTTGCACGGAATGTTGAAGTACATTAATGCGCTGGAGGCAAACTTCAAGGACAAGAGCATTCTCAAGGTGTACGTTTCTTCGATTTTGCACACGTTGCGTGTGGCCGACCACAAGACGCCCTTGGTGTGGCACATTGTCGGAAGTATGGCCAGCATTCTCACCAACCCGGGCCATTTCCTCTACGATCGGGTTGTGCGGTACATTTTGGCCACACCCGTGTTCAAAGAGCTCGAGATCCCGCTCTTCAACACCATCATGTTCTCTGTCCGCGGCGACGAAACGTCTGAAGACGACAACTACTACAGACAAGTGCTGTGGATCTTGGAGCAGTTGACCCATGGCGTCCAGAATGGCACCGACTTGAAGCTTTTGCGGTACAAAAACGTTGTGGAGCTCATGCTCAACATGTGCAACTCGAGCTATGTGTCGAGCCACATGAAAAGCGCCGTGCTTCATCTTCTCTATGTCATTCAGCGTATCCAGAAGGAAGGCCTGGACATGTTGGTGACCAAGTTTGGCGCCTTGTCTTCGCTTGAGATTCTCAAAAGTTCCGTGGACACGGGCGTGCTAGCCGGGCTTCAGCTGGCGCTCAATGCGGACCAGGTGGCGCTTCGGTTTGGCGTTTTGGCGCTGGGCCTGAAAAGATTGCAAGAATGGACAAGCGACGATGTGCAAGTGGCGGTGAAGAGAATCCACGCTGCGTAAGCAGAATAAACAATTACAACAAAAAATAAGTAATAAAAAAAAAAAATGCAAAAGTAAATAAACCGATTGTAAAAGTAAAAGTAAAAGTAAATAAACTAAACGTAAATAAACAATCTACCGATTGTCATGCAAATTCCCATTCCCAGTACAATATAATAATATTTCCATGCGCGCGCTTTCCCCAAACCCCAAAAGCCATGTCTGTACGTATATTGGGAAAAAGAAATGGCATAGCCCAAACGGCAATGCCGGCAAAAGCTCTTGTGCTGACGCCAGCTCGGAAAACTCACGCACTACGGCGTGGATTTGGTGCTCATTTCCATCATTTTGGCGGGAATCCACCGCAACACGGGTCTAGTCTTTGACACGGCCCATTTGTCTTCTGCGGACTTCCGCAAGTGGTTCGGCCAGTACTTGTCTGTGGGCGAGTACTGCTACGACCGGTGTGTGTCGCTCTTGCGGATGAGCGGATACTTCAAGCAGAAGAACATGAGCTCGGGCCGGCGAGACGAGCCTCTCTAGTATAGTGACAATGGAAGGAATGGACAAAAATGTAGGTATGAGTGGAGAATCGAGAGAATCGAGAGAATCGAGAGAATCGAGAGAATCGGGAGAATCGAGAGAATCGAGAGAATCGGGGAGAATCGAGAGAAGCGAGAGAATCGAGAGAATCGGGGAGAATCGAGAGAATCGAGAGAATCGGGGAGAATCGAGAGAATCGAGAGAATCGAGAGAATCGAGAGAATCGAGAGAATCGAGAGAATCGAGAGAATCGAGAGAATCGAGAGAATCGAGAGAATCGGGATGGAAGAAGAGAAGAACAGGACTGTCATACTGTTGGGAGAATCGGGATGGAAGAAGAGAAGAACAGGACTGTCCATACTGTTGGGTGGGATTGAGTGTCAGAATACCGGAGATTTGCGAGGGATGCTAGGAGGGAAGGTGATTGGGGATATTGATATGAGTTATTAGGTAAAGCTAGGTGGTTGACAGAATGTGGAGATGGTTAATGCGGACTAGGCTGAGAAGCTAGGCAGAAAAGAATAAGGAAGAATGGCAGAAAAGAATAAGGAATAAGAATGGTAGAATAAGAATAAGGAATAAGGACAGCATGATAAAGGAATACGGAATAGGAATGAGCTGAGGTACAAATCAGCAGTATGAGAACAGAATGAAATATGAAGAGTATGAAGAGAAGAAGAGAAGAAAGAAGAGTATGAACAGAAAAGAGTAGAATAAAGGCATAAAGGCATAAAGGGAAGGAGTAGAATAAAGAGTATGAAAGTATGAAGCGTATGAAAGTATGAAAAAACACCATGATGGAGGTCACCATATTGGTTGAACCTCAAATTCAGTCACCAAATCAGTCCATATTCAGCCATATGAGTCCATATTCAGTTTATATTCAGCCACTAAAGTCAGTCACGGCAGCAAATGGAAAGAAGATAAGGAACATACTAAGAATCCAGAGTGAACAGAACCACAAATCAGAACAAAATCAAATTGCACCTGTAGGGCAGAAATACCTATACTAATGCGCTTCACCCACAATAGCGATTATATCCTTTTTTTCATTCTTCTCGTACTTCCGTTATTTCTCCGTCTTCATTCATTTTTCGTCTTCCTTCATTTTTCGTTTTTCGTTATTTTTCGTCTTCATTCATTTTTCGTCTTCCTTCATTTTTCGTCTTCCTTCATTTTTCGTTTTTCGTTATTTTTCGTCTTCATTCATTTTTCGTCTTCCTTCATTTTTCTTCATTTTCCGTCTTCCTTGTTCAATGCTTTGCGCAACAAACAGAGCTGTATACACAACTGTGTTTGGAGCTGGTAGACCAGAGACTAACCCAGAGGATTCCTTAAATGAATCCTCCAGTGAGGATCTAGAGTCAGATGGTTTCATAGCATCAGCAGGAGCAGTAGATGGAGTAAACATTGATAAGTGACGTTTGATTGACATAGACATATATGTATCGGGAGATGGAGAGATGATCCTTGGAGAAAGGAATCCATCTTAGAGAGAATAGATGATCTTATATATCCGTGAGAACTACAAGGTGAAACCTTCTTAAAACAGAGAGGGGTACGATGTGTAGCCCTATAGTTTCAGAATCTGTAAGATAACGATGAAACTGTTCTGGAGTAATCCTGACGTGCATATTGCATGTAAGAGATTCTCAACATTCCTTCATCCTGCACCATCCACATCAACAGTCCACCAAAGTACGTGATCTTTCTTCAGAGGCAGACACCGTGTCTCGCGTCTAACAGTGAGATCGCAGAGCAAGCGTGTTGAGATGCGCTGGGCCGCCGACCTGTGGCGTGTCCACGAAAAACCAACACCGACATTTCTGAGTCTCACGTTTCTGTTTAAGTTACTAATCAAGATATGAACAAAACACTCGCCGAGTCGTTCCGTAATGCCATTGAGCTCGAGCAGAAGGCCGACATGCTCCTAACGGCGTCGTATCTCGAGGCGTACTCGCCCAAAAAGCTCGCGTCCTTCGGGTTGGCCGTAGTCAACTTGGTGATGCAGAACATGCGCACGGGACTAGGCGGCAAGACGTTGGTGGAGCTAGCGTTGGACCCGGCGGTGTCCCGGCCCGAAGAGGAAATCCTGCCGGGGTCGTTGAGAGTAGGCGATATTGTGAGAATCGATCGCATGGGCAACAGCTCAGAAGACAAGACGTCTTTGGAAGGCGTGATCACTCGGCTCTCGGGGAAAGCCCTCACGGTGTCCGTGGACGAAGACGCAAACGACGAGACGCTTCTAGGCTTGTACAACAACACAGGGAGCGACAATGTGCGCATGTCGGTGGTGAAACTAACAAACTCCATCACCTACAAGCGAATGATGCAGGCGATGAAGAAGTTGGAGGATTTGGCGGACGCAGACAAGAGCGAGGTGGTTCGTCTTTTGCTAGGCGAGGCCCGCTACACGCCTCGGCCCAAGAAGGGTCCGTGGGACGTTTTCGACGACAGTCTCAACGAGTCGCAGGTTTCTGCAGTGGACTTTGCGCTTTCTTCGCCAATTGCCATCATCCACGGGCCGCCGGGGACAGGCAAAACGTACACGCTTATCGAGCTCATCAAGCAGCTTACGTTCAACCATGGCGAAAGGGTGTTGGTGTGCGGAGCGTCCAATATATCTGTGGACAACATATTGGAGCGTCTTTCGGCGGACTTTGGCGGCGAGAAGAAGGAGAGGACTACAGAGAAGAAAAAGAAGGACAGAGAAGGGACTACAGCCAAGGAGAAGAGAGCGAAAAGGGAGAAGAACGACAAAAACGCCAAAAACGACAAAAACGCCAAACGAGCCAGGGCAAAAAAATCCACGCCCGAAAAACTCATCCGCGTGGGCCACCCGGCACGGCTTCTTCCCTGCAACCTCCAGCACTCGTTGGACGTGTTGTCCAAGTCCAGTTACGGCGACAGCGGCGACGAGCGGAGCATCTTGCGAGACATTGAAAAAGACATTGGATCCACGCTTGGCCAGATCAAAAAGTGCAAGCGGTACGGCGAGCGGCGGCAGCTCTGGACCGAGTTGAAGCAGCTCAAGCGGGAGCTCCGCACGCGCGAGAAGAAGATTGTTCGAGACTTGCTTGTCAATGCGCAAGTGGTTTTGGCCACGCTCCATGGGTCTGGGTCCAACGAGCTCTTTGCGGTGTCGAAAGAGTTCTCGCCCGCCGAGCCCTTTTTCGACACGCTAGTCATTGACGAGGTGTCGCAGTCGTTGGAGCCGCAGTGCTGGATCCCGCTTCTTGCCCATTTGGGCATCCGCCGCTTGGTGATTGCCGGAGACAACATGCAGCTTCCGGCCACGGTCAAGTCGCGAGAGGAGGCAATGGCGCTCCAGCACAAGGGCCTGAAAGTGGCCGACTTGGAGTACACGCTCTTTGACCGTCTCGTCGACAAGCTCCACGGCAGCGAGTACAAGAAGCTTTTGAACGTGCAATACCGCATGAACGAGAAGATCATGGAGTTCCCCTCGCGCACGCTCTACAACGGCGAGCTCCGGGCCGCTGCCGGCGTGCGGGACATTTTGCTCTGCGACTTGCCAAACGTCCAGTCCACTGATGAAACATCGGTGCCTTGCATGTGGTTAGATACCCAGGGCGGAGATTTCCCCGAGCAGGCCGATGATGCGGGCGCAAACCACTTCTCCGGCTCCGGCAGCAAGCTCAACCCGGGCGAGGTCGCCGTGGTGCAGCGCCACGTCCAGGCGTTGGTGGACGCCGGCGTCGACGCCGCCTCGATCGGCGTCATCTCGCCCTACAGCGCCCAGACGGCTTTGCTCCGCAAGATGGCCTGCATGTTTGGCCCCGTCGAGGTGGCAACGGTCGACGGGTTCCAGGGCCGCGAGAAGGAGGCCATCGTGTTGTCGCTCGTGCGGTCCAACGACAACCGCGAGGTGGGTTTTTTGCAAGACCGCCGCCGCTTGAACGTGGCCATGACCCGGCCCAAGCGCCACTTGTGTGTGGTGGGCGACATGGCACTTTTGGACGCCTGCGGCGTGCGCTTCTTGTCGGAATGGGCCCGCTACGCTGATTCTAGCTACGACGTGGTGTATCCCGATGCTGGCCAGGTCTAGATCGTTGGTAGATCGTTGGTTGTTTCCGTTTGTCCGTTTGTCAGTGTTTCAGGCACGTTGCAACGATCAGGACGGTCAGGACGATCAGGACGATTATTCGGCAAGATCTTCTGGCCTCTTGTGGCTATCGCTTTGTTCGCTGCAAGGCGGAATGGCTTCTTTCCTGCACCAGCGCCGCGCCCCGCCGCACTGGCTCCTTCCACACCTGAGATGTCTGCACCTGCCCACCATCTAAGCGCTGGCATGAACAATGGGTGACAAGTGGCAGGCAGCTTTGTGTAGGAGCATCTGGGCGTGGCAAAAGAAATGAAAGAGCAAAAGAAACAAAGAACACAAGAAAACCAGAACACCTGAACACCTGACCTGAACACCTGAACACAAGAAAACGAGAAAACGAGAACCTGAACACAGGAAAACGAGAACACCAGACCAGACCAGACAAAACAGAACAAACAGAACAAACAAACAGAAGGCTAGACCCGTGCCTTCGCCGTTGCCAACTACGGACTCGGTTTCCCACCGGCGATATTTTCCCACTGCAGGATCTCGTGGCCCCGACAACCGGCTCTAGGCCATCCATGCCGTAGTCCCACAATTCCCGTTTGGGAAGGGCAATGTGGGCGCGTTTGTCGCGTTTTGCGGCGCGGCATACAGTCGCACTGTTGTTCTTTGCCGCGAATATGCAAGGGGACTGTTCGTCTTTACCATCTGCGTGCAGGCGATCCACCATTGAAACACCTTAGCCGGCACCGATATTTAAACCGTGTATTCCGCCGTCTGCAGCCTTTTTTTTTTTTTTTTCTCCCCCATCTTCAAGTCTTTTGTTCCCCGCAGCCCACGTTTGTGCATCCGCTCCTTTCCTCTTTCTTCCAACCGTTTACGTTCCTTACTTCCTCTCACACATCTCTCAGCCATGAAGCTTTTGTCTCTTGTTGCCGCCGCGTCTCTCGTCTCGAGTGCCGTGGGCGAGGTTTTCTACGAGACCCGTTTCCACTACATCACCGTGGATGCCAACGGAAACATCGTTGGCAGTGTCATTTCCGAGGCCTTGGCCGAGACTGGCCTTCCGGACTTGGAACCTGCCTCGGCCACGGCTCTTGCCGTCGAGTCCGACGCCCCTGACTCCGCTCCTGCGGCCTCTACCCCTGCCGCAAACGCTGCACCTAAACCCACCACTACAACCCAGGCTGCGCAGCCAGCCACGACGACCTCGAGCACTGCCCCTGCCTCGTCGACGTTTGCGCAGGCATTGGCCGACACCGGCTCGTCGTCTGGCGTTTACGCCGAGATTGGTGCCTCTGGCGTCGACGAAAAGTTCGCCAAAGCCATCTTGGACGCACACAACCAAAAGAGAGCAGACCACTCTGCGGGCCAGTTGAGCTGGTCGACCGAAGTGTACCAGTACGCGCAAAACTACGCCAACGGCTACGAATGTGGTGCCGACTTGAAGCACAGCGGAGGAAAGTACGGTGAAAACTTGGCCAGCGGCTTCAAGGACGGTGTTTCTGCCTTTGACGCTTGGTACAGCGAGGGCAGCGGCTACGACTATGCTTCTGCTTCCACCTTCAGTCATTTCACGGCCATCATCTGGAAGGGCACTACCAAGTTGGGATGTGCTTACAAACAATGTGGAAGTGATGGCATGTACGTGATTTGCTCCTACGATCCAGCTGGCAACATTGTTGGCGAGGGCAAGGAGAACCTTTCTCCAAACTAGGGGTTTTCAATTTGATTGGTTTAGGTTAATAAAACTCGTGTATGAAAGATGTAGTGAAAAGCAGCGACAGCGAACGAAACTTCGAGCCAATGAAGCGTCTCGAATCACCCAGTCGGGTCAAGTCCAATCAGCTCAAACTAGAAATCGAAGATGAAAACACAGATGATCGAACAATGGCGGACAGCGGCAATTCGCCAGAACCTTCATGGTTAGTATACTATTGTTCAGCTTTGTTTGTTTGCATACTTGGATGTTTCATATGGTTAGTAAATAAGATAAGCTCGCAACACGTTAAAGATTAACTATCATAGTCGGTGTTAGGAGCCTGAAGGTGTCTAAAGCTAAATATACGTGAAACAGTGTGGCAGAAGGAGGCGAAAGAATGACCAGGTCAATTCACTGCCATGAACAAGCAAGGGTATTGGAAAAAATAATTGAACAATACAAGAATGAAAAATATAGTACAAAGTCAGGAAATCAATAGAACCAATCAGATATTCGAGCAAACCAAAGTAATCAACCAAAAGTAATCAACCAAAAGTAATCAGCCAAAAGTAATCAAAAATCATACTTAATCATTCGAGCAAATTGGATTCCAACTGAAATGTGTCATTACACTATTGTTCTGGCCTGGCATGTGCGGTTATTGAACGCTAGATCGAAATTGATGACCGTGAAACGCCCAGAAACTACTTCTGTGGTTAGAAGGGTCAGAACACAAATCAGCAAATTTGCCATTGCGTCAGCACAGCCCAACTATGAAACGTCTTTGTTGGTTAGAAAGCTATTGCCTCCTTGCTTCGAAACTTCAATTGCAGGCTCAAACGGAGCATCCAAACATTTACTGATTGACCTCGGCTCCACATTGGTATTCCCGACGTTCTCTTCTCAGGATTCTAGATTACGCTTGTTCAGAAACTGCAATTAGTACAACAGTTGAGATTCGTTTCCTTTTCGCAATCAGAGTATAATTAGCTCACTAAGATTCTCTTTTTTCTCTGGTGATAACTCTATTGACTGTGTCTATATCTCTTTAACGTTAGCTTAAGAGAGCAGAAATAAGCCAGTGGAAATTTATTGAGCTGCCATCAAATAACATCACAGGTAATTTATTTGAAGTTTTTCTCTGCTCTTACTTTATGCTCGGTCTTGTTGTTTGTAGCCCATTTGCTTATAAACCTGCAATACCACATTTCGGCACAGACTGTTTCCCAAAGTTCATTTTCTAGTTCAATTAGGGCGAAGATCGGGCAGGCGTTTTTTCTGTTTTGTTCTCTCAATTAATTTGTTCCTCTTTATGCATGATGAGTCAGTAACTTGAGTGAGCACAAAAAGCAAAAACGACAGACAATCGCACCGATTCGCTAGCATCAAAAAGGAAGCTTTCAATTACAAAAGTAAGCATTCCAACGTAATTCCATTTCCTCTACTTGCTTTTGTCTTTCTGTGGCATCTTCTGTTATCCTGCATATAAGCAACGATTTCGTTTATGAATAATTCGCCAAAAAGTCGAAATTTCAGTATTTCCCCCAAACTGAGACGCTTTTCCTCCTCAAGCCCCTTCCCTCTTGAAACGACTCCAAAGCAGCCCAAAGTCTCAAATCGGTTGCCAGCAGATAAGCCGCACAAACCGTTTTTTCCTAAAGGTTTCTCTCCTGCAGATACACAATCATCACTAACCCTACTACTCCTTCTGGCCCAGCCACCAAAACACCCCAACAGCAGCGCTACACCCCTTTGAACAGCCTCTCCAGACGCACATTCACTTTCCATTCATCGTCTTCTCTTTTTTCGGACATGGAATCGGACCCCGTCAAGGCCGAACAAGGCGAACTACTAGGAGTCGAACAGGACCCGGACCTGCGCAAGAGAACAAGCAGAGCATGCATTCGCTGCCGTTTCCGCCACACAAGGTGTCCCGGCGGCCAGCCGTGCGGCAAGTGCCAGATGGCAAAGACAAAGTGTGAGTATGTCGAGTACGAGAAGCGATTAGTGGTTTCGCGCAAGTATCTCTATAAGCTCCAGGAGGACATTGTACGGCTCAAGAAAGAGAACGCGGCGCTTCGAGCGGCCAACGAAAGCAACGGCTCGGCCATGCGGCCGGACAGAGACGCCAGCCGAGAAAAATCGCCAGATGTATCTGCAGACCGAAGCTCGGAGCCACAAGTGTCTGGAGACTTGGACGGCCAGTTTTTGACGCCCGATGACCCGTCGGTGCCCGAGGTGATCCACCCTTCTCTCGACAAGCATGGGCGGCTCATCCAGTCCCGAACAGGCGAAAAGTTGTATGTCGGTTCTTCTTCGATGACTCTTTTCGGCTTGGAGATCGAAAACATGGCGCCGCCGTATGCGCCAGACTTGTTACACTCCAATTCGTTGGTGCTGACGCCAGCAGAGTCGCCGCAGTTTGGCAAGTCCGAGACCCGCACCGAGTTCAGTGACTCAAAGCGGGAAACAAAGATCTTGGAGAAAGAAGGCAACGCCTACAACATCACATTGGCCAAGACCAACACGCGGCCGGGCTTGCTGGTGAACTTTACGCTTCCATCGTATCTGTACGCAATTCTTCTTGTTGACACGTTTATCAATTACAACGACGGGTGCTTTTATTTTTTCAACGAGGGTCTTGTCAAGCGGTTCTTGATGAACCTCTACTCTGGCCGCGGTGCTGAAAACAAAAAGATCATCAAACGAAACATGTCATCCCGTCTTGGCCCGGCAGCAGACGAAAACACCATCAAGAAGGACACCGACGACGACACGATATTGGAAACCATCTGGTTCTGCAAAATCCTTTTGATTTTTGCCATTGGCGAGATGTATCTCGGCACGGAGTCGGACACGCACATGAAGAACCTGGAGAAGGAGGTGATTATGAACTACGGAAAAAACAAGACGAAAAAGAGAGCCATGGGAAAGGGCAATACGCTTCCGGGATCCGGGTTTTTTTACCAGGCCTCAGAACTTTTCACAGGCTTATTCGCCTCGGGCGCCATTGACAATATCACCAAGGACGGCGGTATCGAGGTGATGTTGCTCTATGCGTTTTACCTCCAGGTGGCCGACTGCACCATTGCGTCGTACTTTTACTTTGGCCTCGCGTTACGGTCTACGTTGATTTTGGGATGGCACGTTGACGCGGACATGGAGAACTTGAACCGGTTCGAGTTGGAGCACCGCCGCAGAATATGGTGGACCGTGTACATGTACGAGCGCATGTTGTCGTCCAAGGCCGGGTTGCCGCTAAGTTTTGCCGACGACAGTGTTTCCACAGAGCTTCCGTTCGACTTCAAAACGGACCTTGACGATTTCCCGAGAGACGAAAACGACGTGAGAGGATACTACATTTTCCCCTCGGCAGAGTACATCAACAACTGCGTGACCATCACCCAAATCAACGCCATCATCTTGTCGTCGCTATATACGAAACAGCCCACGGCCAACATTCTTCCTGTGGTTTCCGACTTGGTGCAGCGCTTGTTCAAGTGGAAAAACTCGTTGCCGCAGTTTCTCCGCGTGGACTTCTCCAAAGACGACGTCAAGATCTCCCGCTTGATTGTCAACCTCATGACAGAGTACTTCCAAGGCATGAACTTGGCGGTGCGGCCGCTTCTTTTCCACTTTGCCACCAAGAAACTCAAGGAGTTGCAGTTGCAGAACAACCAGAACAAGTACATTGACTTGACGCAGTACTCGAAGAACGTGCTCACGTTGCTCAATGCGTCGTTCCAGGCGTCCATCAACAGCATCAAATGCATCTGGGCGCTCCTCCCGCAGAACATGGTGGCGCTTTTCGGCTGGATGGACCGCGAGTATCTCTTCACCTCTGCATCCACGCTCATCCTCTTCAATGCGTCGTTTGGTGTCCACGATGCCACTCGGAAACATCTAGACCACGCCCTTACGCTCTTCACCAAAATGAAAAAGCTTGGCAACTATCCGGCGGCCCTCCGCCGTGCACAGCTTCTCAAGTTGATCCGAGTTCTAGACTTCAACGGTGTCATGCAAGATCTCTTGCAGAAACATGACGACGACGATGGCTCGGCGGCTCCTGTTACAGGCCCTGCAGCGCCTATGGATGTGGATCCAAGCGGCTTTGGCGGCGCCACGCTGTTTGCGCCGGCTTCGAAACCGTCTACATATGCCGAGCCCATTCCCATGCATGCGGTGCATCCGATGGCCGGCGGCCCAGAACCTCTCCAATCCAACTTGGACTTTATCCAGTTCAACGGGCCTGTGCCATCTTCCACACGGCATGCCTCCAACCGCCATACGCCCACAATTCCAGCGTCGGCCAATTTGGCCAACGAGGAGACGTTTCGGTTCAACGGGGCTGCCGCTGAACGCAAAACCGGGGACGGTTACTTCCCTAACCGTGACTTGGCGGGCATTGAAGGGTTGACGTATCTCGACGAGGAGCAGAAATTGTGGAACGAAATCACCAATGATGCAGGCTGGTTGCAGCCGTCGGGGGTGCCGTCGGTTCGACCAGAAAGCCAATACAACTTCGGCCCGGGAGCCAGAGGAAGCAATCTTCCGAGCCACAACTCCATCAACAACTTTGTCGGTGCCTACACAGACATTGTCAACCTCGAATTCCACGAAGATACGTGAGGTGGAGGGGAAATAATTTGGTGGGGCTAGATTTGTCTAGGTACAGGGAACGCATAGTAAACAATTTATGGTACAGTGTATATAATACAGTAAATTTACAAGCGGTTAAAAAAAGTCCATGGAGAAGTCGTTGTGCGGCAGCTGCTGCTGTTGCTGTTGCTGCTGCTGTTGCTGTTGTTGTTGCTGGAGAATCTGCTGCGGCAGAATAGACATGGGCTCGCCTAGCCCGTTCAAGCCGCCCGAGTCTGCGAACATCAGCATGTCCGGTTCCTTGCCCAACATCTGTCCTGCGCTGGGGTTGAACAGGTCCATGCTAGGCTGCTGTGTCTGCGACATGGCTGGCGCAGGCGCACGTCTTTGCATTCCCATAGGCGACGAGTACTGCGGAGACTGGCCCATGTTGTAGAACTGGCGCGACTGAAGCTGCTGGCGCTGGTTCGCTTGGGACGGGTGGTTTGGCTGAGTGGGCTGGTTCAGTTGACTTTGGCTTTGGTTCGGCTGGATCTGGCCTGGTCCCAGACCAAGCAGATTCTGAAGCAGCAGGTTTTGGAGGTGCAGGTTTTGGCTCTGCTGAAGCTGGCTTGGCTGGCCGAGTTGGTTCTGCTGGAGGTTTTGCTGGCTGAGTTGGCTGTGCTGGCCGAGTTGGCTTTGCTGGCCGAGTTGGCTTTGCTGGCCGAGTTGGCTTTGCTGGCCAAGTTGGCTTTGTTGGCTGAGCTGGCTTTGCTGACCCTGCTGGAGCTGGTTTTGTTGGCTGAGCTGGCTTTGCTGGCCCGGACTCTGCATTGGCTTGTCGCCCTGGCGCATCTGCTGGATCTTCATTTTCAAAAACTGGATCGCCTCGGGATAAAGGTCCTGGAGCCGCTTGTACAAGGCCTTGAGCTCGGGCGTGTCTGCCGGAGCAGACAAAATCACCGGGAATTGGAGGCGGTTGGGCTGTTGGGCCGCCGCCTTGTTGTGGTACAGGTCGCTGATGTACGCCAAAACGCTCAAGTTGCACTGTAGTCGGCGGTTCCAGTTGTTGTACTGTTCCAACAACTCCTGGCGGCTCTGAGGCAGCAATTGTTGAAGCGCCTGCTGATTACTGAGAATGTTGACGTAAACCGTGTAGGCTTTTTTGATGAGCTGCGCATTGATCAAAAGAAGCACGGTTGCTCTGTCGCTGTCGAGGTCGATCTGTCTTCGTGCGGACATGGCGACGGTCCGAGAAGTCAAGAAGGCGCTGGTGAGAAGATGTTTTTTGGTGTTTTGTTTGGTGCTTGAGGAGACTGCAGGCAAGGATAAGAGAGGGCAGGCATAAAGACTGGGAAAATGAACATGTGGAAGTGTTGAAGGAAATTAAAGACATGAAAGGAAATTGAAGAAACAGGCGGAAATGGAGAGGTGGGAGAAGTTGCAGTTGTTTGTGTTATTTTTTTTTTTTTGTTGAACTTTCGATTTTTGCCGGCTTCCTTTCGTTTTCTTTACTGTGTCCTGCGCCTCGAGTTTTCTCCATTTACATTTTTTTCGCCCATTGTCCTGATAAGCTCGAAACTGCATCAAGCACAAGGGAAGACAAGTTAGCTAACTTTGTTAAAATTTAGAAAGACAATCACAGCAACGATATTTCTCGTAAATCAGTCCCCGAGAAACCAGTTTAGCACACAGAGAATTCATAAAGAAATGCTGGCTATAGGATATTTCGCTGCCTCAACATATTTGCTTGAACTACTTGAGTAAGATTAGACGGTTGGATTATGTAATTGGACATGAACGGACCAAAACTGCACGGCTAATGAAATATACAACAATTCAATTCAGGATTTCATGATTACCGCAGCTGTTAACTTTCTCAAATATTATGTCTCACGGAATTCAGAGACAAATTCTCCAAGAATTGACAGTAGCCGTAGCAACAGTACCTAATAAAGCAAAATGTTTAAATTCATGACACATTTCCACATTACACATAGGGTGCTTTCTGCACAATAGAACATCCATAGTACCTCTTTCCCTCAATGCGTTATGTACTATGATTTTGCGATAGTACCTGACCAATATGTACTTAGTCATTTCACTTCTTAAGACTATCATCGGTAAAGCAGACTAGTCATATAATGCCGCGTATATTGTCGGTGCCATATTCCGTAATGCAAATTTAGTGCCTCTGATCGAAATGCTTGAATGAACTAAGGTGATTCAAAAATGATCGCCCATTTTTTTGAAGGAAACTTTTCGACCTAGGAATTTAGAACTAGCTAATTCTTTTTTTGAAAGTTAAATCGTTGTCTGCACATTTAGGATAGTCAGAGTCCAATAAGGAAATTGTAAACAGCGTCACTAAGGCAAACATGATTGTCGACAGTATCTACTAGAAGCGATCCAATGTTCATAGACCACTTTATGAGATACTTGTATTAAATTCCAATGAACCAAAGTACTTCGCCGAAAGGGTCAATAAAATATTTACGTTATCACCGGCACATTTTTATTTCCTTTACATTTTATTTCTACACTTTATCTCTACATTTTCATTTTTATCTACATTTTATTTCCTCTACATTTTATTTCTTCATTTTATTTCTACATTTTATTTCTACATTTTATTTCTACATTTTATTTCCTCCACATTTTATCTACATTTTTTCTACTCTAATGTTCTTCTTATTCACTTCATTGGCTTGGCTACTTACAATTTGTTTGTCAACTCAGGAACAGCCTCATTGAGGTCAGCCACCAACCCAATGTCAGCCACATTGAAAATAGGAGCCTCCGGGTCCTTGTTGATGGCAACGATCGTCTTCGAGTCCTTCATGCCTGCAAGATGCTGGATGGCACCCGAAATACCCACAGCGACATAGAGCTCAGGGGCGACAATCTTTCCTGTTTGGCCCACCTGCAACGAATTGTCACAGAAACCAGAATCCACGGCCGCTCTCGATGCGCCAACGGCAGCGCCCAACTTTTCGGCCAAAGGCTCAAGCAAAGCATCAAAAGTCTCTTTGTTCTTCAAACCGCGGCCGCCTGCAACCACTCTCGTGGCCAGACCCAACTCAGGTCTTTCGGACTGGACCAAGTCCTCGGAAACAAACTCAGTTCTGTTACCGGATTCGGCCGAAGCTGACACTTCCTCAACTGGCACAGCATCGCCATTGGTCTCCGCAGCCGGGAACGCCGACGCACGCACCGATACAAGAATCACCTTGTCCAGAGACTTGACTGTGGCCAAAGCATTGCCCGCATAGATTGGCCGCACAAAGGTGTCGGGCGCCTCAACACGGATGATATCGGAAACGGGCTGGACATCAAGCAACGCCGCCAACCGGGGCAAAAGCGATTTGCCAACAGCACTAGCCGGGGCTATCACGTGCGTGAAGCCTCTAGACTCCACCACTTCCTTGAGCAAAGGCGCAACTTCCTCGGCAAGGTAGTGGCGGTACTGCGGCGCCTTGGCCACCAAAACGTTCGAGAGCCCTTCGATCTTGGAAACAGACGCTGCCGCTTCCGCGCCGTCGGGTCCGGCCACTATGGCGGTGACGGGTTTTCCAATGGCCTTTGCAGCGACAATGGCCGAAAGCGACGCAGGCGTGACTTTGCCATGGGCCGCCTCCACAAAAGCCAAGGTGTCCAATCTCGCAAGCGACTGCGAGAAGAGTCTTTTACTGGCAATTGAACGCAACATGGGGAATAGAAGTGACTCAAATTTTTCGACTCTGTCTTGTGCAGAACGCGAGTGATAATGCGACTCGGCCTCGGATCTTGGATATGGGATACTGGTTATTGAATTTACGTGAATAATTAAATTTTAGAAAAATATTTGGGTTGCACGAAGATTTGGCTTGGCTTTTGGCATAGTTAAGATTTCTTCAGTTAAGATTTTATTGTTGTACGTGCAAAACCTCGGTTAATGAGCCTCATTCCATACAGTAATAAGTCCATTCGACCGAGAATTGGCCAAACGAAAGAAATAATGTCCACTATGAGCCAAAAAGAAAACCAGAAAGCCACACAGCTTGAGCGTATATGGAGAGTCCCCGAGATGTTTTTGTCACGTTGACTTCTTCCACAATGTGCTTCTATCTAGACTACTCAAATTCTCTAGCACCTTTTTTCCAGCAAAGAAAACCGGAGCTTGAACCACTGCAATACGCCAGCCTATTTTCTGTGACTTCTACCTGTCAGTCTGTTTGAGTTTAGGACATCATTTTGACCCGCTTTTTAAGTGTGTTTAATCACTATGCCACAATGCTGAGTTACAGAACTTGCTCAATATGTCTCACAAAGTTGAAGGAAAGTGAGCATTTGCACCCAGCATCCAATTTGTACCTAGCTTGCACCCACTTGCATCGTAGAAAAGATTTAAGAACAGAAGAAAGGAAAAAAAGTTTCATCTCGTTAACAATTACACACCTGAAAGATTTATGCTAGTCCCTTTGCTGCACGTTCCCATCGCTGGTCATGAACCCACCCCGCATTAATGATGTCAATATGATCTTTCAATTTGAATCGTTTCCCGTCTTTCAATTTGCACCCATATACATTAACCGCACACATGGCGCCCAATATTTACATCCAAGATAATTCCTATGGTAGTACTTGGTATTGTTCTTCCCCGGGTTGTCAGTCACGTGCATCAGTCCAGATAAGACTCCACTTTTCTATGAGACTGCTCATGTCTATAGCATACTCCACGTGACAAGTCTGCCAAGACTATCAAGAAACACCTTGCCAGAGGCCCTGCACTAAAGCGCTAGATGCTACTTCTTTTCTGTTTCTCCAGCTAGCCTGATTCGTCTCTTTTTCTCCAGTGGCTTCCCCAGATCAGACGTTTGATGCAGTGCCCTCACGTGGATCTTGACATAATTAGCGCCGCACTAATTCTATATATCCCATTGCGAGTCTCGTTACTGGCTGATTACCTTCAAGACTCAGCTCACCCGCTTTAGGTCTTTGCCCTTCTTCTTTCGCAATGAGCTTCCAACGGGGTCCGGCCTCGGATCGGAAAGGCGCCGAAAGGATGACTTCGCCCACGCCCAGCGCCCGGCACATTTCGTCGAAAAGAATCAACCATGAAAGAGACCCGCTTCTCCGAACAAAGGACAGCGACAACTCCCAAAGCTCTTCGGAATTGGGTGCGCCACCGTCCAGAGACATCATTGCCGCGTACAAGGACAGTGCCATGGAAGCCAGCGCTAGCATAGACTACGTGTCTTCCTCTTCCCAAACTAGGCCTCAATAGAGAGAGCTCGGAGTACGTCCCAACCACGCGTGACCACGACATCAAGTGGAAGGTCTTGCTACCTTACTATCTTCCGATCTTGTCGTGGGCCAAGGAATACTGCGTGGAGTTTGCTTTGGGTGATCTTATTGGTGGAGTATCTTTGGCCACGTTCCAGATTCCTCTTGCCATCTCTTACGCTTCGTCTCTCGCGAAGGTGCCCATAACATGTGGTCTCTACTCTCTTGGATTCGCGCCGCTAGTGTACATGGTTCTAGGTTCGGTGCCGCAGATGATTGTGGGGCCGGAAGCGCCCATATCGCTTATTGTGGGTCAGGCAGTGGAACCGTTGCTTCACCACTCGAAAAAGAAACACATCGGACCTGTGGACTATGTGGTTGCCATCACATTTGTGAGTGGGGCCACATTGTTAGGCTTTGGTTTGGGCAGATTTGGCTTTTTGGACAATGTGCTCTGTGAGTCCTTACTTAAAGGCTTCATATGTGGTGTAGGCGTGGTGATGATTATTAATTCCAGCATCACCATGCTCGGCTTGAATCTGCTACTCGACAAAATCTCCGCTGAAGACTCGCACATCCACTCTCCTTTCGACAAGATGAAGTTCTTGTTCAAGAATTTCCACGAGTACCACTCTCTAACGCTTCGCGTGAGTATGGTGTCGTTGATAACGGTCCTCTTTGTTAGACGGTTGAAGTCTAAAGCAGCGCTGTCTAAAAACCCAAAACTCCGTTTGGCTGTTTATGTCCCTGAAATTTTGTTGCTTGTTATTACTACAACCTTGATGACAGAATTCTTCAAATGGAATCACTCAGGCTTAGAGGTAATCGGGCACATGGATGACATAGAAGATTCTTTTACCATGTACAACCCATTGTCGACATCTCGGCTAGGTCTAATCAAAAGCCTTAGCACTTCTGGATTTGTTTGCGCAATGTTGGGTTTTTTCGAATCCACAACGGCTCTGAAGTCTCTTGGTTCTAGGTACGATTTGCCCATTTCATCCAACCGTGAGCTCGTTGCATTAGGCGCTATCAATGTTTTTGGGAGTGTTTTTGGGTGCTTACCTGCCTTTGGAGGATACGGCAGATCAAAAATCAATGCATTATCAGCTAAAACCACAACTTCCGGTGCAATAATGGGTCTTATCTCTTTGGCCACAGCCAGTTCAATCTTGGGGTACTTGCACTACATTCCAAAGTGTATATTGAGTGTCATCACAGCAATAATTGGGATTCTGTTGATCAGTGAAACACCAGCAGAGTTGCTTTTCCACTGGAGGGGCCAAGGTTTTGATGAGCTCATTACGTTTGCAATAACAGTTACAACTACAGTATTCTCTTCGATGGAAGCGGGAATCGCTATGGGTCTTGTCTATCTGTTGATCAGAGTGATCAAGAATTCCACCGTTTCACATATTCAGATTTTGGGGCGAGTGCCGGGAACAAATACTTTCTTGGACGCAGATTTGGCAGACTGTGTCAGCGTTAGCAATGAACAAAGCTCATCACAGACGCCCACAAGTTCAGTGTCTCATGTTCGCCCATCCTATACTGGTGTATTCAGCCAAGAGAAGAGATTGTCTCAGCTCAATCCATTCATTGACAATAACTTCAGACAACTAAATTACCAAGCGTTAGAAGAAGTCGAGGGCTGCCTCATTATTCGCATTCCGGAGCCTTTGACATTCACAAACGCTAGTGATTTGAAAGTGAGACTCAAAAGAGTTGAAATGTTTGGCTCTACCAGAGCACACCCTGCGCAGAAAAGAAGCAGAGACTCCTCCATGACCAAGTACATTATTTTCGACCTCGAGGGAATGTCGCAAATAGACTCTTCGGCTGCCCGTATATTGGTGACTTTGTTAGAAACATACGAGCGTCGACACATTCGTTGCTTCTTTGTTCACGTTAACAAGAGCCCTCGTCTTCGCGCCAGATTGATGGCAACGGGGATAACAGATATGCTTTTTGATAACTTGCGTTCTATCAACTACGAAAGCTTCATGAGACCCAGAGAAGTTCACCTTGAAACTTCGCAAGGCACTTCCGACGGATATGCGAGCGATTCCTCTGAGGCTCGATCGACGCAATACCTACCGTATTTTGACCACATTAGAGACGCCCTCGAATTAATCGACGCCTACGAGTTACAGCAGTCTCCCAACGAGGACGTTTGAATATTTAAACAAAAAATAAAACACGATCTTTCATGGGCCCAACACGGTCACGTGCCCCAAAGCGCACTAGGTTTTTTTCTAACTTTGTACGTATACGTTATACATATCCAGGCACAATGGCAGAGGATCAGCTGGTCAATATCAAAGACGAGTATGAGTTGTGGAGAAAGAACTGTCGATACATGTACGAGTTTGTGAGCGAGACTGCCTTAACGTGGCCTTCGCTCACGGTGGAATGGCTTCCGGACCATAAGATTGGTGATGTTATAGACGCCCAGTTGTTGCTAGGGACACACACATCGGGCGAAGACACCAACTACCTCAAGCTTGCATCAACACAATTGCCAAGATCTGGAGTCCAAAGGAACGAGGGCACACCTGCTCCCAAGGTTTCGTCGAAAATCAAGATTATGAAGAAGTTTGAGAACACGAGCGAGATTAACAGGGCCCGTTATATGCCCCAGGATGCTAACATAGTTGCCACGATCAACGGCAGCGGTGAATTGGATTTTGCCGATTTGAATGCGGGCAAGTCCATAGCCCATGTTTCCCCACACACAGAAAACGGCTACGGTTTGTCGTGGAACGCGTCTCGAAAGGGCTACTTGCTTTCGTCGTCGGACGATAAATCTGTCGTTTTGACGGATTTTAACACGCTTGATAAAAACGACGGGCGTGTTTTCAGACTGGAGGTACATACAGATATTGTGAATGACGTGAAATGGCACGCTTTCGACGAAAACGTTTTTGGCTCCGTGTCCGATGACGAGAAAATGCTTCTCTTCGACACGAGGTCGCCTGAAAAGGCAGTCTCCTGTTACAGTAGCGTCGGATCGAAGGGAATCAACTCGCTTGCGTTTTCTCCATTTTCAAAGAACTTGTTGGCCATAGGCGACACCAACTCAAACATCAACTTGTTGGATCTCCGCAAGCTCTCGTCCATTTCCAAAGGAGGCGAAGCACTTCATACTATGATGGGCCATGGGGACGCCATTACGTGCCTCGAGTTTTCTCCCCACAAAGACGGAATCATAGCGTCGGGTTCGCAAGATAGAAGAGTGATTATTTGGGACCTTTCGAAAATCGGAGAAGAACAGGTCCAGGAAGATGCAGAGGACGGCTGTCCAGAAATTTTCATGATGCATGCTGGCCACACGGGTGCGGTTACAGATCTCAGTTGGTGTCCATTTGTGGACTGGACTCTTGCCTCTGTGGCGGACGACAATATTGTTCATCTTTGGGAGATAAGCAAGTCTTTGGTCGAGGATGCTCCTGCGGTTGTCAATGACGCCGACTTGGAGTAGTATGTAATTTTATAACGAAAGTCAGTAATATATGCTGTGGCATACTTCTATAGAACTTCTGACACCTTTACTTTATGTAGCTTGAGGCATTATGAGCCACATTACTGATAGTTCATTGCCTCCATTGATATTCCTGGCCAAACGAAATTAATATACTCCAAAACAAACTGTCCTGACATCTGAACAGATAGAAACCGGCTAGTCATAGCAAATTAAATCAAAGCTACAAATTTCAACTGCTATAATTGTCATAGGGCAGTATATAATTGTGATTATGCTTTGCAAGTGCCATGCTTGACCTTGTGATAACCATATTCACAATATATTGTAGCAGATTCACATACAATGCACCTTTTGCTACCTTAATTAATCTGGTAAATAGTCATTTGTCAGATTTGGCCTTGAATTGAAAAGATGATCAAGAATAAAAATTCGTATGAGGCTACATCACATAGTCCTCGCTTGATTGTCTACACTGATTAAGAATATTTTTTCTGAGAACCACTTACGGAAGGGTCTTGGCAAAACATCCAGACCTCTTTCCAGAAGGCGGAAAAGAAGCGAGTTAGCATTTTTTGTCGACATTTACCACAAGCACAAACTGTGACAACTCCAATGTCTGACTTCCCACCTAACTTATCGATTCGCCCCTTGACAATCGAAGATCTCGAGCAATGTATTGAATTGGAGAATAAAGGATTTCCCGAGGCCGAAAGGTGCACTCCAGAAAAGTTGAAGTACAGATTGACCACATGCCCGGAACTATGTTCCGGTTTGTTCATCAGGCAGTATGGGTACAAGTACAATGCTGTGAACTTACCTGAGGTCGCCGCTAAATTGGAAAAGGAGAGGAAGGACAGCCCCGAAAAGGAAAGCGAGGCTGGATCGAAGAATGAGGATGATTTGGCTGAAGTAGATGACGAAGACGATGACATCAGCTACGAAAAGCTACCTGTGAAGCTGTCTGTGGTCAACGAGACGCTTATAGGCCACATTATTGCCACCAAAGTTTATTCCAACAGAATCACTGAGTCATCGATGAAACTTCCATCAGCAGAAGATCCTACTGCCGGCCACATTGAGCAATCGAGAAACATTGGAGTCCACGGCTTAGTGATTGACCCTAAATGGCAAGGCAAGAACTTGGGCACTTTGTTGATGCACGACTACATCCAGAAGTTGTCGAACCAAGATGTAGGAAACAAGGTTGTTATCATTGCCCACAAGGAATTGGTTCCTTTCTATGAGAAGATTGGTTTCGTCAACCATGGAGAGAGCGAGTGCAAGTTTGCTGGCAGCTCTTGGTTTGACATGAGTATCGATTTGATTGCTCAAGAGTAAGTGGTAGACATATTGTTCGTCGTGTTTTGAACACAGCTAAGTGAGCGAGCAATACTAATATTTGCTTTCCATTAATAAACGAAGAAACAGAACAGAACAAGAAAAGTTGGGGAAATGTAACTGAACAGAACTGCAACGAAAAGAGAGGAAAATAACGAGATGGGAAAATGAAGAAGAAAGTCATTCAGTAGGCAATGGTAAACCTGACGTAAATCCCGAATGTGGAGTCCTTCAAGGTTCAAGGTTCGCGATAACTGAAAATGTGAATGTGCATCGACATTTTGCATTACTGTGAACACCATCATTCCTCGGCAATTGGGCATGAAAGTTCCAGAACCTATCCGAGTCGTTTTTGACACTTTCCCTTTACGTACTTATGCCCCTGTTCTAGACAAGTCCACACAAAATGACGAGCATATCTTTTTCTTTTCCAAAAAGGGCGACAGTTCAACCACCGAAGAGTCAGAATGTTTCCACTTAGGAGTACACAAAGTCAACAAAAGTCTAGTTATGGATAAGATGGTGTTTCTCCCTTCTGATCCAATTGGTTTAGCAGACTGTTTGATCTTATGTCACCGCCATAACTTGCTTCTTCCGAGAGATGCGAAAGACGAAAAGTCCGTCCATAGCATCACTGAGCTATCATACTTGGCTTCACCCGACAACGAACTACCCATATTGCTCGAGGGAAAAGACGCCGTGGCTCAGAAAATTGTTTCTTCGGGCGAGATATCGAAATCCGTTTCCAATAACTACTTCAGCAAGAATTCGCAGGCATTCTTCATAAATGACTACTTAGACAGTTTGGTCGACTTGTGGATATTCATCTTACTTGTCGACATACCGCAAAGTCACAACCCCTGCTCCACGTATTCCAGCCTATTTTATCAGGATGACCAAGTGAAGCAGTCCGACTCGCTACTTTATCTTACTACTCTCAAATTGATAGGCGAGATGGCTAACTGGAACTTCTTCAAAAAGAGATATTCATATCTCTTCCAGCAAGAAAAGTCGATTTATTCAACAATTTCACGCATAAACAAAAGCAATTTTCTCAAAGCCTTTGCAGTGTGCAATGAAACAGCGTTTGAGAAAGTTTACTTTGAAAAGCTAATGGACTTTGAGAGGTTCCTTTTAATGGTGATGAAATATCTCGAACAAGAGCAAGAAAGCGAAGAAAAGACCATTATTGAAATAAAATTAGCGTCCTTCTGCTTCGTCTTTTCTCTGTTAAAGTGTCAAAATACACACATTGAACGCTTAATGAAAAAATACCCCGAAGTGATAGAGTTCAGTGAAAGAATAATTTCCCGATACTAAGAAAAAGATGCACGGTTTTGGTGTATATTATATTTAAAGGCCACTGATATTTGTATACTTGACTCGTAAGAAAACTTACTGGATGGCAAGAGAGTTCACATTACTTGTCAACAAGGATGTGATGTTCTCCTCTATGATTTTCTCCGAAGTCTCCGTCAAATGCTTCTTTGGATCTTGCTTACCGACATATCTGGTCTTCAATTGCTCCTCCAGTAATGTTTTTTCTTCAGACACTCTCTCGTTGTATAATTTTGCAATTCTCACCAAGCTCTTGACGTTTTCTATGTTTTCATGCTCTGCATGGTTGTAGTCAGACATCTTCAAGCCGCTCTGCCACGATTTCTTGTGGAGATTCAAAAGCATGTTTGTTTCATTCAGCGTCTTGTGGTAGTCGATGTTCAAAGAGTAGTAATGCCTATTGAGGCCGTGGATTAATGCCTGAATCGACGGTTTGTTCAAGTGGCCAACGTTAGAAGTGGACTGTCTTGGTTCCTGTCCCCTCATGACGGTAGTGGCGTCGATGGTACGGAACGCATCAATGACAACTTTACCTTTGACAGATTGAATAGGATCCACCACCACTGCCACTGCTCTCTTATTCAACTGCTCGAAACTCTGCTGCGTATTAACATCCACAGAAGAGAGCCAGCATCCAAAACCTGGATGCGAGTGGTACCAGCCAACCACCATTTGGTCACGTCCTGTTTGCCTCAACATATCCATCATTTTAGTTTGGAACACATCGTCAACTGCCTCAACAGAAACACCGGTACCAGACTGTGGCATGGCAAATACGTCGATGACATGGATGGTGAAAGCATCCACAAACTCTCCGAGCATCAAGCCCATGACTTCCATGGGGACACCAGCTCTACCGTGTTTGAGCATTTTCAATAGCGCCAAAGAAGAAATGTAGACGGTTTCTGCATCGTCAATTGCTGGAGCGTCATTTTGGGGCAGCCCACCGGCTCCGCCTAATCCGTTTCCTCCACCTAATAATCTTTGTAATCTCTCCATGGTACTGTTGTATGGAGTAAGGCTTTTGGTGCTCGCTCTTGGTAGTGGCAACTTACGTATTGGTGTGCGCACGTAATTGTGATTTGTGGATCTAAGGAAGTGAAAACGCCCTCTAAGTGCTTGGCACTTTGGTTTGAGACTTTTGAAGCTTTTTTTCTCCCCTCACGCTTTGGTATTTTACTGTTCTTTTTTACTAGCCACTGTTTGCGATGTTGTCGAAGCTTCACAAGTTTGGCCGCTAAGGGAATCGGACTATATGCGCTACAGAGAAACCAACAAGATTCCTCTTCCTCGTAGTAGTAAAGGGAAATGAAACTCTTTCATATTGTGGTGGTCTCGTGCCAAAAGCGGAACCAGTGCTCTATGAATATGAAGTGCCGTCCCTTGAAAAGGCTTTCGCACAAGATCTGAGAAGTAGCACCGACAAAAAAGAAAAGCCTTCTCAATCTCGTTCTCATGCCATTCGGACCAAAATCTTTGGAGGGCCGCAAGTACCCAGCAAAGGAACATGCTAAGAGAGTATACAAGCATTTCAGAGAGAAGAATGACGCCAAAAGAGTTTCGTTCTTCATGAGCGGCGAAGACTTGGAACTCTACCAATACTGTGATCAGACGAAGCCTATCCGCCAAAACAGATACTTCTTCTACTTGAGTGGGTGTGAGGTGCCAGGCTCTCACGTTTTGTACAATGCGGAAACTGACAAGTTGACGTTGTTCTTGCCTAACATTGACTACGAAGACGTCATGTGGAGCGGAATGCCTCTTTCGATCGAAGACGCCCTCAAGAAATTTGACGTTGACTTCGTGAAGTACGTTGACAGCTTGGAAGAAGCCCTTCAAGCTTTGTCGTCTGATGGATTTACCATTTTCACCACAGACTTCAATAAGTGGAACGAAAAGTTCAAACGCTTCATGACTGAACAAAGCCCAGACTTCTTCTACGCTTTGGACGAGGCCAGAATGATCAAAGATGACTTTGAGATAGAATTGATGAAACATGCCTCTGCTATCACCGACAAGTGTCATCTTGGTGTCATGTCAGCTACACCGATCGAAACCAACGAGACTCACATTCACGCTGAGTTCATGTACCATGCTCTTAGGCAAGGATCGAAATATCAGCTGTACGATCCTATTTGCTGCTCTGGGCCCAACTGCTCGACTTTGCATTATGTGAAGAACGATGACGAAATAGATAATAAGAGATCCATCTTGATCGACGCCGGTGCTGAGTGGAGTTGCTACGCTTCAGATGTTACCAGATGTTTCCCTATCAATGGTGATTGGACAAAAGAGCATCTTGAGATTTACAACATTGTGTTGAAGATGCAAAAGGCCACTATGGCCCTCATCAAGCCTGGTGCGAGCTGGGACGACATTCATCTCGAAGCACACAAGGTCATGATCAGAGAGTTCATTAATTTGGGGATTTTCAAGAACTTTCCAGAAGAGGAAATCTTCGACTCTAACATCTCGGCCCGCTTCTTCCCCCATGGTTTGGGCCATTTGCTAGGTATGGACACACATGACGTGGGTGGATACCCCAACTACGAAGACCCAGATCCAAAGTTGAGATACTTGCGGTTGCGCCGTAACTTGAAGGAAGGTATGGTACTCACTGATGAACCTGGAGTCTACTTCTCGCCCTTCTTGTTAAAGGATATTTTGGAGGACGAGACCAAAATGAAGTACATCAACAAAGACGTGCTTGACAAGTACTGGTACATTGGCGGTGTTAGAATTGAAGACGACTTACTCATCACCCGTGACGGATTTGAAAACTTTACGAAAATCACATCCGACCCAGCGGAGATAACGAAGATCATTAAAGACAGCATTGCTAAGGGTAAGGAGCATTTCCATAATATTGTATAGATGATACGCAAAAAGAATAGAGTGTTCTTGTTACTGGATACAAAATAGTGTTACGGAACAAAAAGCGACATTAGACTTAATATCCAAATCACTCAACCGTTCCTTCATCGTGTAAAGAAGTCAGACGGTAGGAGCTCTCGCCAGAGATGTACAGGTTTGTCAAGATTACAAAATCCCCTTCCAAAGATTGCGCTTTGGGATCAGAATAGATATACTACATTTCAAAAATGGATGAGAATTACGACGTAATTGTCTTGGGAACAGGTCTTACTGAATGTGTCCTTTCCGGAATTTTGTCTGTCGAAGGTAAGAAAGTGCTCCATATCGACAGACAGGACTTCTACGGAGGTGAATCTGCGTCTTTAAACTTACTGCAATTGTACTCCAAGTTCAAGCCTTCTTCTCAAAAGCCAGATAATATCGGTGGACGTGACCGTGACTGGTGTGTTGATTTGATTCCAAAGTTTTTGATGGCCAATGGTGAATTGACAAACATCCTTGTACATACCGAAGTCACAAAGTACATTGAGTTTAAGCTGATTGGCGGCAGTTATGTTTACCGTTCCGGAAGAATCTCTAAAGTGCCATCGAACGAAATGGAGGCATTGAGAAGCTCATTGATGGGAATCTTTGAAAAGAGAAGAATGAAGCGCTTCATGGAGTTTGTCGCTGCGTACGATGAAAATGATGCCTCTACTCATAAGTCCATGGATTTGGATAAGAACACCATGGACGAAGTCTACACTTATTTCGGATTGGAAAAGGGCACTAAGGACTTTATTGGCCACGCCATGGCATTATGGGCCACCGATGATTACATGCTGGAACCAGCCAGACCAACCATTGAGAGAATCATTCTCTACGTGCAATCTGTCGCAAGATACGGCAAGTCCCCATACATTTACCCATTATATGGTTTGGGCGAATTACCCCAAGGTTTCGCTAGATTGTCTGCCATTTACGGTGGAACTTATATGTTGGGCACTCCTATCGACGAAATTTTGTACGACGAAAATAAGAAATTTGCAGGAGTGGTGACTAAAGAAGGTACGGCAAAGGCACCAATTGTCATTGCTGACCCAACCTACTTCCCCGAAAGAGTGAAGAAAACCGGCTCTAAGGTTATTAGAGCCATGTGTATATTGGATCACCCTGTTCCTAACACTAATGACTTGGACTCCGTGCAAATCATCATTCCACAATCTCAAGTTGGCCGCAAACACGACATTTACATTGCTGTTTTGTCCGATGTCCACTGTGTGGTTCCAAAGGGCTACTATCTCGCCATCGTTTCGACCATTGTCGAAACAGACACCCCTCACGTGGAGTTGGAACCTGCCTTTAAATTGTTGGGCTCGAGGCTCGACACATTGATGGGCCTTGCAGACTTGTATGAACCGGCTGATGACGGTACAGAGAGCAACATTTTCATTTCTAAAAGCTACGACTCCTCGTCTCACTTTGAGAGCACAACTGATGATATTAAGGACTTATATTTCAGAATCACTGGAAAGCCTTTGGAGTTGAAGAAGCGCTCTACAGATGAAGACTTGGAAGGTCTTTGATCAAGCAACCTAGGTCAATTGACTCATGTTCTAGTATACTCTTAGTTAAATAATAAAGATGCTGCAAGTTCAACATTGCCGTTTGTACTCCTTAAGGCCGCAGCCGCTTCATCTCGCGTAAATCCTAGCGAAAGAAGTTGGTTAATACTCTCTACTGGGAAAGTTTGTTCCTCTGTCTGAGCTGATGAGCCTTCAGCCGAAGCGCTTGTACCAGTTGGAGCAGATTCACCAGGAGAATTACTTGAACGGCCAGATGGAGTTGGCTTCGCAACAGAAGTAGAGCTACCAGCAACATTTGCTTGCGGTTTAACAAGCAGAGGTTTGTTGAGAGAGCTAAGAAGTGAATCACGAGCAGACTTTCTAGCATCAGAGTCATAGGGTTTCACATACTTCTCAATCTCACTTTCGTTCAAGAATTTAATTTCAAGGCCGCCAATATCCAAAACATCTTTGGCAAGATTGATGGTGCATTTGTGTCTTTTGAGCATATCAATTCCAAACAAGATTCCCACTGGGATATCCAAAACAGTGAAGGAGCAAGGCACATCAATTCCTGTGTCTCCTAAACTGACGGGCACGCTATGAATTCTGCCTTCACTGTATGCGGTTCCGACACCAGCAGTCATGGTAGCAAACCTCTTGTCTACCAAATTCAGAATTCCACACTCTTCTGCTAGCTTGGGATGGATAACCGTCAGCTTTGCTCCAGTGTCAACCAATGCAAAAGTTTCGTGGCCGTTAATCTTCAACTTCATGTATAAGTGACAGACATCAGTAAACGATTCTGGCGAGGTATCGTATGCAAGCTGTAAGTTCTCCTCAATCTGCTGCTCCCTAATTATTTCGAGGATTCTCTCTTGGTTCTTTGGATCATCGGGATTCTCTTGAAGTCTTCTCAACTCCTCGTCACGTCCATGGTTTCCTGAAACCTCTGATTGCATAACTCTGAGAAAGACCTCTCTAAATCTGTTTGGGTCATCGATAGCATCATGAAGCTGCGGGTATGTATTTCTGATTTGCGAGTTCATTGCCGGATTAGCCAATATCTGTTGTCGATATAACTCCACACTATCATTTAAGCCGGCTCCAGGAGGAGTGATCGTTGCGGCTTGTTGTGTCTGTGTCCTCAAGACAAGTATATCATCATCTGCTAATCCCAAATTTTGAAGCGTGCTGTCTGAACCTTGTAACTGTTTATTATTGTGGCACAACACCATATTAGTTTGGTTTACTCCGCTTTCTGCTTCGATGTAGGCTTTCAAGTCCGCCAAAGTGAAATCATTCGAGATCTCTATCCCCGTAGTGTCTCCATTTTGTTCGTTGACGATAGTAATTTTCATGTTTAATGTAATGTGTACGACTTTCTTTGAAATTCGATTCAAGACTATTTATATGATGACGCGACTTCGCCACTCTCCACAAATTGATGAGAAGACGCTTCGAAGGCGAAGTCTTATGCATTCTAAAATGTGCCAAGCGAGTGACCATACATTCAAATACTGTTCTTTTTGTTTTATTAATAGCTCCATCGCTTCACTATGTAGAATCACTCTAGGGAACGCCAACTGTTAGCGATAAACAGTAGAGCCGGAACTGACCGTGTCCTAGACTCCACATTTCAGCCATGAAAAACCCTTTTGAATCAACGAGCATCGACCTTTCCAACTTATAAGATACATGTGCCAAATTGGCGTACTTTGAAACTCAAGAGCTCGTACATAACATGGCAATTTGAGCACCATTCAACAACATCTTCTTAATTGGCTTTCCTTCATTACCCTCAGAGTCCAACTCAACGACGTCTTCCAAGACAACATTGACAAAGTCATCGAAGCCCACTAACTTCCCACTGAACTCTTTGTCGTTGGTCAACAAAATCTTGATGTTTGATCCAATCGCGCGGTCAATAGCTTCTAGTGGAAGGACTGTTGGGATGTCTACTGTAGACTCACCGTTTGGGTTTTCATCAGTAGCATTCTTGTGTTCTCTGTCTGCGCTTGCCGTAGACATTGTTTATCACGTTAGGCTATGGGCCGTTGAGTCTATTTTTTCTTATACACATTAGTCTGCACATAAACATATATCCGACCTTCACATTGCTGACACCTTCTCTTGACGTCCCGACGTTAAAGGTTTTGCTTTAGAAGGTTTTAGGTTATCCAGTGTAGTGCTATCTCCTGTAGAGCCTTTTGCACGCCACCTATCAAAGTTGATTAATGACTGCATGCATCCCCATTCTGTAATTTTGTTCTGAAGCCACACAAGATTCACAGGTTTCGTCAAAAAGTCATTGCATCCTGCTGTCAAAGCATTGTTTTTGTCAACTGATGAATTGGAAGAAGCTGTCAATGCTACTATTATCACAGGCGACCTGAAAACTTTGAGGTCTAGATTCTCTTCTTCTTTCACAAGGGGGCTGTTATTGGCACCTGATAGTTCATGCTGTGCAAACACACCAATGCGGTTAATTCTTTCTAAGTATCGAATTTCTTTTGTAGCCTCAATACCAGACTTTACAGGTAGTTGAATGTCCATGAGCACTAGATGAAACCCGCCCTTACGCCACTTATCCACTGCCTCCTGCCCGTTCTTTGCGATTTCATAATGAATCTTATGCTTCCTTAAAAAGGCTCCTAAGATAGCTTGGTTAATAGAGTTATCTTCCACAACAAGCACCGAAATCAGAGGTAAAACTTTCTCGAAGGTCTTTGTGTTTATGGTCTTTTCATTCAGTTTTCCTTTGCTGGGAGCTTTAAAGGGTACCTTCTGAGGCGCTGTCCCTGATGATGCCCGTCTTACGGTTTTAGACGCAGTTTCTTCAGATGAATTTTGATTCTGGTTCTCTTGTTTCTTATTTTCATTGGGGGGCGGCATCGAGTCAAACCCACTCACGTTCAGATTGAAACTCGATGATTTTTCTAGACCATCTCCTATTGTTATGTTCGATTCATTATTCTTTTGGACACCTCCGGTTGCCGATGGGATATCTGTAACATCTCTTTTGTTCACAAGAGATTCATCAAGGGAATATCTCTTCAAATTTGAATGATTTTGCTCTCCAAACGAGAAGTTTTTTGGTATAAGAAGGACTGCCTGGGAGTTGTTGGCTTTATTAGCCTGGCTATAGGAGGTAATCGGAGACTGAGGAGGGTTTGAACGAGAACGCTGATGGAGCGGAGGATGTATAGGCGATACCCTTTGTGAGAACGTTGGAGATATAGATAGATTCTTGCCGAATATGCCATGCTTCATAGAGGTTGGATGTTGTGGTTTAGGTTGGTGATATGTGTCGCTCATGGAGCTCAAGGGAGATAATTTATTTTGGTTGATCCATTGCTGGCGAGGGGAATTTGGTCGTTCGATAGAAGAGTGATTGTTACTAAAATCGTCGACTCTAGAATACATTCTGTTGCTTGATGGCGTAGGTGCTGTGGATTGGAATGGCTCTTTTGCTTCAAAATCAACATCGACAACCAAAGCATCTGCCATGGACATAGAGTTGGGAAAACATTCGCTCAAAAGCTCCCAGACATTTTGGTCAGGTTCAAGATTAACTCTGTAGCTTGTGGGAGTGGGAGACTTCAGGGATGACTCGTCCGAAGCTTCCATGAATCGATTTGTTGGGGTCTTCTTCGAAGCGAGTCGTCTCTGGAAAGCGGACTTATCGAGTAGCTCAGCTCTAATTTGAATTCGAAGATCTGCTGGATCGTAGTATTGACCCAAAGAATGTGGAAACTTATTGCATACCGCAAGCTTTAGATCATCTATAATATCATTCTCTTGGACCATGATGGTTGTTGGTGTCCCATTGGTTCGTTTTACCCATACTCGTCTTGCTGGGCTAGGCTGGGAGCGTATCATTGTGGAATTACGCACATGTGCGCCAGAATTATTCATGCCCTGGTTATGAACGTGGTTGAAATGTTTGCCCATCTCAACAATGACAATGATAAGAGGCTATGAGAGGTTCAAGCTAAAGATCAAATTGAAAGCTATGGCTCAGTAGGCTAAACAGTATAGAAATGTATGATTACAAGCGAGGAACCCTAAGGATTGTACAGTAATGTGCAGGTTGTAACCACCTGCGCACTGCAGCAAGCTCAAGGTTTCTCCACGGGTACAGCAGCGTCATCTTCCTCTTCTTCTTCATCCTCGTCATCATCCCATGTGAAATCCTCTTCATCTTCATCTTCTTCTCCGTCCTCTTCATTGGCAGAGGATTTGTCTTTACTCAAATCTTTCTTTGACAACAATTCTTTTCTCTTAAGCTCGTTTTCCTTAAGCTCATTCTCCAACCTGAAATATCTGTACCAGAAAACATTGTAAGGAATTTTCACAGGCACCAACAGATTCATAAGTTTCTCTAAAGTGTCTGGGTATTTTTTCAACAAGGAGCTTATGTCCGTTGTTTTCGATTCCGCATCGAACGACTTTAGTTCCTCTTCCTCATTTTCAAAAGCCTCCAAATAACGAGATTCCGTAGTGTGCAACTTGAAGAGATCAGTCTCATAGCGAGTAGAACCGTAAGCAGCGCTAGAAACGGCTGAGGTAGAGAATATTGTTTCTGGCTCCTTAATCTCGGGCTTTGCTGGTTTGTCAATAGATACCATGCTTGAGAAAAAAGAGGCAAACAGACTCACAATTTGGCCTGCTTGTTGCTCAATTCCTTCTAGCTTGCTATCCAATGAATCCAAAGCCTTGTTTGCTTGGTCGGAAATTGTTTTAAAGTCAATTTTCGATTCAAAACCTTTCACATGTTCGCCTAAATCCTTCAATTGATTTTCTAGTGACGAAATGTTATGTTGAACAGACTCGTTGTTGTTAATATTTTCCTTCGCAGACTTCAACTGATCCATGAATTTTTTCTTTCTTTCTTCCAAACCCATCTTATCTTGCAAGCTTTGAGCACCAGAAGAAGCATTCTTCCACAAGGATGAGAACCTGGCTTCAAGCGAAGAATAAGCAGAATCTATATCTTCTTCCAATTTGTGAATCACTTCTTCTGTCTTTTCATTGGCAGAAGAGTTTGTTGTAGTTTCCTTCCTTTCAGTATTGTCAGCCAATTCTGGGATATCAGCACTTGTAAAATCCATTTCTGATGTAAGTTCAGCGTATCAGGTAAGATTATGATTGTAGTGTGACGCATCACGTGAGAACGAAAAGGATAAATCATTATGTATCAAAACCTAACGGCACTGCCATAATTGTATACAATGAAACCTACTGTACTGAAATACATTCTAAAACTTGACCCTCTTGGTAGTCTGACTCTCTTCTGATGTAAGTACGAATTAATATGCTTTAAACTGCTTTCTGTTATAAAGACGCGCAATCGCTGTGAATTTCAGAATTCGTCTTATCTTCGCACATTACCATTATGACAAATGCAAGAGGTAATTGTTTGGTCCAGATAAAGAATGCATTATTTCGGACGCATTCAATCAAATCAAAAAATCAGCCATACGTTTTTCGTAAACCAATTGAAAAGCTTGAATTATTCCGCCCGAATGATCATCGTTCCTTTTGGGGCATTTTAGGCCCCAAGAAGTCAGCACTTATGAATGTTCTCGCTGGTAATTACATAGCAGAACCTCCAACATCACGCAAATACCCAATCATCAATGATTTTCTGAGAAAAGATCAGATCGGGTTCCTAGATTTTCGTGAAAGTTCAGGTTTAGACAAAGTTCATTTATCAGCTCGGTATGAGTCATATTCATACAAGGGGAAGTTGGAAATGGCAGATGATTGCAACTCTGTTAAGAATTATATTACCGGGAAAAACAATTACAACCGAATGCATGAAGAAAGCAACGAAGACTTTATACACGAGATTATGGATCTATTCAACCTTGGACATTTGCAATCAAAGTGGATCAGCTCCTTGAGTAATGGCCAGATGCGAAGGGCAAGAATTGCTAAAGCTTTAATGGACAAGCCAAAGCTACTTCTAATTGATGACCCATTTCTTGGTCTCGACCCTGTTTCAACATTGAGTGTTTCCAACTCATTGAGAGTGGTTGCGCAAGAATTGGATACATGCGTAGTGTTGGGCCTTCGGATACAAGACGAAATTCCAGACTGGGTAAACCATCTTGCCTTTGTAACTGAGAATGGCACCGAGATTTTAGGTGAAAGGAAAGAAGTAGAGAAAAGAATTATGGATATCCTGAAACCTATTATACTGAAACACAAAGCCCACAATTCTCATCACCAAAGTGAGTCCTGGGTGAAGAAGGAAATGATCGAAGCTTCCGATCCTATCATTGAATTCAAGAACGCATGTGTTGCTTACAAGGGACAAACTGTCCTTAAGAACCTTGATTGGAAAATTCAGCGTGGGTCGAAATGGCGAATTCTAGGTAACAATGGGACAGGTAAAACCACGCTTTTGTCATTAATCACAGCGGACCACCCTCAATCTTGGCGATCAGTTGTTACAATCAATGGTGTGACGAGAAAGACGGGCAGTGGCGTCACATATTTTGACGTAAATGACAAAATTGGCATATCATCTCCAGAATTACATGCATTAGTTCCCCCAAGAATGACAATGATGAGTATTATAACGAATGGCTTAGTTCGCGGCATTGGGAATGCCAATTTTTCATTTAAGTTCAAGGAAAAAGAATTGGGCCCACATGCTGTAAAGTTGTTGAAGCATTTTGAGTCCGAGATTAAGAAGAATGAAAATAAACGCTTCCACGAGCTAACTGTGTCTTTACAAAAACTTACGCTCTTTTTGCGGGCCGTGATCAAATCCCCAGACATTTTAATTCTTGATGAAGCATTTTCATGTATGGATGACGAAGAGTTGGTTATCAAATGCCACGAATTCATTAAAAGCGAACTTGGCTCTACAACTATTTTGACAATTGGCCACTTGGATTGGGAAGTACCTGAAACAGACTTCACATTAAAATTACTTGGTGACGAGAACAGAGGTTACGAGTATTACGAACGTATTAAATAAGGTAAAATATTTGATTTTTTTAATTACTTGTTTAGTGGAGTATTATACTACCCTAGCATATCAATATCTCTGAATTTTATTACTCGCGCAGACGAAGTCCTTGGTTAGCTCACAACAACGCGACCATGCTATGTGCAGAACCGCATATTCTTTTCTCCTAAGTGGACTTACTCTCTTTATATACTACAATACGTACATACTGACCATTCTTTGTTTACTTTTGCGATGTCCACACTGATTCCAAACGCGCCGATTGATGATCGGCCCGCAGCTGTGAAAGCTGATTTGGAGTACGGAAAGTTGACATCAGACGAATACTTGTATGTTTCAAAACATCCTGTTGGTGAACCCTTACCCACTCCCATTGATGACGAGCCGCCATATATAATATACTTGGCAACATTAATCAGTTATCTTATTTTGATTATAATTGGGCATATCCGTGACTTTTTTGGTAAAATTTTCAAGCCACAAGATTACGAGGATTTAGTGGAGAAGGACGGTTACGCTCCATGGTATGATGGATTTGAAAACTTTTATGTTCGCCGGTTGAAGACGAGAATTGACGATTGCTTTGCAAGACCCATTCATGGTGCTCCCGGAAGATTCATCAAATGTTTTGTACGGGAAAGAGACGGCAAGAATTACGTTTACAATGGTGAATCCGTGGAATGTTTAAATTTATCCTCTTACAATTACTTAGGATTTGCACAATCTCATGGTGTTTGTACAGATAGGGTTCTTGAATGTGTTGACAAGTACGGCACTTCGTCGTGCTCTCCAAGAAATGCAATTGGCACCACTGACTTACACGTGAAATGTGAAAAAGTCATTGCAGAATTCGTTGGTAAGGAAGATGCTGTTATCGTGAGTCAAGGATATGGAACAAACTCAAGTGTTTTTGCCAGTTTAGTAGACTCTCAATGTTTGGTTATAAGCGATTCCCTCAATCACGCTTCCATTAGATTCGGTATTAGAGTTTCAGGAGCCTCGGTAAAGGTTTTCAAGCATAATGACATGAAGGATTTGGAAAAATTAATAAGAAATCAGATTGCCCAGGGCCAACCAAAAACTCATCGTCCATGGAAGAAGATTATACTTGCTGTTGAAGGTTTATACTCCATGGAGGGTAATATGGTTAATTTGCCCGCTATTGTTGAATTGAAAGACAAATATAAATGCTATTTGTTCGTTGACGAGGCGCATTCTATTGGTGCTTTAGGTCCTCACGGAAAGGGAATTTGTGATTACTTCCTGGTTGATCCGGCAAGGATTGATATTTTAATGGGGACATTGACTAAATCTTTTGGTGCTACTGGTGGATACGTTGCTGCTGATAAATGGGTTATTGATAGATTGAGATTGAACAATTTGAACAGCAGCTTTGGTGAAGGTGTCCCTCCTCCGGTATTGGAGCAAATAATTTCGTCATTGCAAATCATTAATGGTACCATCAACCCAGGAGAAGGTGAAGAAAGATTGAAGCGAATCGCTTTCAACTCTCGCTACTTACGTCTTGGGCTTAAGAAGCTTGGCTTTATTGTCTACGGTGCGGATGACTCCCCTGTTATTCCTCTCTTATTGTACTTGCCAGCGAAAATGCCAGCCATTTCGCGGATGTTGTACGACATGAAAATTGCTGTCGTTATCGTCGGTTATCCTGCTACCCCAATTACTACTGCTAGAGTGAGATTATGTGTTAGTTCCGCTTTAACAAAAGAGGACCTTGACTACGTCTTAGCCAAGTTCAGTGAAGTCGGTGATTTGTTGTACTTGAAATTCAGCAGCGGCGTAGCAGGGGGCTCTTCTATTCCAGGAGTTCCACCACGCATGTCTATACAAGAGGTACTTGCAACAAATGTGAAAGACAGTAAACTTTCCAAATTATTTTAATGGAAATACATCGTTGAAGTTTATTGCAACAGCACCTAATTATGTTGTTGCATTAAATGTGATTTTGAACATATATATTGCCTTATTCCATGGCATATTTGCAATTACATCGAAAATTATTAATGAATAACTAAAATAATATTACTCTAGATTCATTCCTTCTTTGAAATAATTTTTTTGGTAATCGATTACGATTATCCGCGCGCTGTATACACATGCCATGATATCACTTCCTGAATTCTTTAGTGATGGAAAGCTCGGATCAATTAGTCCCGCCACTTCGATTCAATATTGTTCAACCAGAGCTTTATCGGGGCGGATATCCTAGAAAGGTTAACTTTCCGTTCCTTGAAAGTCTCAACATCAAGACAATAATCTCTCTTACTCCTCACCCGATTACCTATGAAACAGACCCGCAACTATACACATTTGCAAAGAAGAATGATATTGAATTAATTCATATCGAATGTGCTCAATCAGGGAAGGGTAAGAAGAGAGGTGTACCTATGGGTTATAGCACTGTTCTTGAAGCATTAAGATACATGATTCATAAAGAATTTTCTCCCATCTATTTACATTGCTTGAATGGTGGACAAGTTACCAGCCTTGTCATTGCATGTCTACGAAAGTTACAGTTTTGGTCTTCTATTGCGATCTTCAATGAATTCATTAATTTCACGACTAATATTACCGTGAATGATAGGAGCTTTGTTGACGGCTTCAAAGGAGAGATTAACATCAATACAGACACGAAAGTGAACTGGTTATGGGTGGGCCTAAGCAAAGGTGTTGTAGGCAACCATCCTAAGATACGAGTTACTGAATCTTCAGAAACACAGTGAGAAAACGCGTTTCCTTGACTATTTGATAAACTTTACTTCTAAACCCTCTGATAGAATAAGCAATACGCCGATTTGGTCAAAACAGAGGATTCATCACAACCAACAGTCACTTTAGCATCATCGAAATAGCACCAGCCTTTCTCTTTTTTGACATAAGAAGTGTAATGCCCCGTGGTCAAGTTTCCAAAATGATTTACAACACCATACAACTTGTACTTGAAAGGAGGACTCTGGTTCCGAACTGGCATTGTTGCTAGTAGCTCGCGTTCTTTCTCAACACTGATTCTAGCTGATGAATCTTCCTTGGTGTAGCTGCCAACTTCTGGCCAGTATGAGGTTAGGTCCAACTCATCATTCACTGGATATTTTATGAACGTGTCAAGTTTCTTAAATCTGCCACTTGATTCGTACCCAAATCTTTTAAAATGTATTATAAGTGCCTTTGGTAATCTTGTGATAGAAATTTTCTTCGTCAGCCTCGTAAACGTATTGCAGCGAGGACAGTGCCATTTATTATCGTCGTCCAAAAGCTCGGTTTCAGTAAACAAATCCAAACACTGAGACAACAGTACAGACCGAGGATATCTTGCATCGCTCTCTGGTATGGGTAAGGATAAGACAGAAAACGTGTTGTAAGTCGTAGATGTAAGTTGACATACCAAACATTTCAACTGTGACAAATACTGTCCCTGGAAATAGTCAACAATGACAGAGAAATTAAGTTTAAGATAGCGTTCCCACTCAATAGTAGAAGCCAACCTAATTGGAAGCACTTCTCTGGCACGTTCTTGTTCTGTTGAGAGTTCCATAATAGAAGCCCGCTCCTCAGCATTCTTCACTGCCCGCTGGTTCAAATCCTCATGCAAAGAATCTAAAATGTAATTCAAAAACTCAACACAGTCTTGCTGGTCGGAATTTGCAAATTGCGCTCCCGGAGACAAAGAGCCCATAATCTTCTTGAAAACATTGGGTGAAAATGACCCACCGCTGTTGTTCAACATATTTGAAAGAAGCTTCACATAGCTTGTAGTTATGACACCTTTGGTGCCAAGCTTGTTGTTCATGTTTATGTGTTGTTTGTAGGAGGGTTCCGCAGATTTGTCTCCTTTCTTGAAGAAAAAATCTGTCATTTGAGGTGTAGCAGCAAGACACTGGATGATACAGTTCATGTAACAGGAATTCCCTAGATTTGTGAGACCCGTTGCAAACAGTTTCAAGAAATCATCTGAAGAATTTTCTGTTTGAGGTCTTCCCGCTGGTACATTGTTCTTCTCCACTTTCCGAGAGACCTCCTGAACTGTCTTAGGCCGAGAGATAAGTTTCATAGGGGAACTATCCACTCCCTTATGAGAAGCAGGTTCCATTTTGGAAGCTGGAATGACTGAATCCGAATTCGCCTTAACACCTTCGGATTCTGGGATAAGCGCGCTATAATCCGTGGAATGTGAATGAGCACTAATCAAATAGTCACTGAAATTTCGAAGATAAATACTGTTTTTCATAGCCTGCGTGCCATCCAGAGGTTTCTGGGACAATTTGTTCAAGGTAGAGTCATTGGAGACCACATTAGTTAAGCTGCCTTCCCCGAAAGTCTGATACCATTTATGCAACCCACCACTAAGATAAAGAGGATACTGACGCAAAACTGAACTCAAATACTTCGTGCGGAACATGAGCAAGTCTATTAGCTTAAGGAATGGATTGGCATACGCAAGCCCATCCTTGTCACCATTTAATAGCAGTTGCTCCAATGAAATAAATCGATCACTAGCTGCACCACCGAACCTCAAATTATAGATGACAACAATATCATACTTATGTCTGTTGCTAAACATGGCGAACTTCTCAGGTTCTAATTTGCTTCTCAAACAATCTTCGAGGTCTGAGTCTTTCGCGTTTGGTTGTTTTTCTAACAACAGCTTTACCAAGGATGGTTCAATATTCACAACATTCAGGAAGTTGATATGACTGTAAGAATATTCTTTCTTGCTTCTGAAGTCAAGGAGCAAAATACTTTGGGGTATCTTTCTGATCAATTGATTCAAACATTGAGGAGAAATACTGTCACTTTTTTTGTACTGAGAAACATCCATTCCGTTGATATTACCCTTTAACTTTGAGAATCGTTGCAATAATGGGTCATCAGCCACAGACTTAGCTTCCTGATGAATGCATGCACACATAATGTTGAAGTTACCTCGTTGATTTTCAAGGGCCTCTCGAATCTGAATCAAGAAGCTTTCAATTTTTGGCAGATTGAGCTCACTTGCAGAATCAAGAAGCATTTGACTAACTCGAAAGGAAACAAATGCCACTCCATAATCGCAATAGCCTAGCTTCTTGTGCTTATCGGCCTGGAATTTGAAATTCTCAAGCAATGTGATAACATGATCAACTAATGTGCTGCCTTTCGTCATGGATGGGACTATGTGTTCAAAAACCGACTTGGAGGTTGATTCGAGCTCCGAGATTGAAGGTGTAATAGTCATTGCTGGGCCTAATGGAGGATCATTCTGCGTGGCGAATAGTGGCATTGATCAACAATAATATGTCATACAGTACTTCCCACGATAAAGTCGCATGTCCAGCATCCCAAATTCGAATACCCCGTTCCAGAATTCGTAAATTGAAAAGGTCGAAATTGCACCTTGTAATCAAAGTTCGTACCCAAAAGGTTTCAAATTCGCACAAGCAACTCTATAGATTCGCCCGCGTGAAGTTCTAATGTCACAAGTGGAAATTTCAATTTCGTGCCCAAGAATTTTCGATTTCGCGCAGTGATCTTCGTTAAATTCGTATCGCCAAGGACTTGAGTTCGCATGGCCCAGAGGGGATATTCACACAAGATCGCTCAGAAGTTCGCATTCTGCTTCTCCCTTAATTTGCATCTGGTAACTTCGAAGTTCGTACGCTGAAACTTTGAATTCGCTTTCCAACAATGTTAAATACGCTACGTTGAAGTGTGAATCCGCACCAGCCATTTCAAAAGCCGACACATCATGTTTACTTTTCGCTAGCAAATCATACATGCACACCTCTATAGTCCAGAGGACACCCACCTCACTTTCCAAATTCACATTCGCTGAAACTCAAAATCGCACAAAAGACATTTATAATTCGCACGCGAGATATGGGGTTTCGCACAATAAAGCTGTACTTACACTTGCAGTCCTTCGATCAAGCTTCGCGCGTGCTGCCTGACAATTCACGATCGCGTTACCAAATTCGCACTTGCAATTTCAGTCGTCGCATAAAAAATATCTGATTCGCAATTCCATGATTACAAGTACACCTTTTCAAAAACTTGATTTTCGCAAGTTGTTTAGCCAAATTCGCATCCTCACATCAAAATTCGCGCCCGTACACATCCTCCGAAAGTCGCGAAGCGAAAATGTCCTATTCTCACCCTGAAATCCTTGGTTCGTACACGGGAGATATGTATGTTTCTTACTCCCGCACACGTGCACATTAACATCCGGTACGATTTGTGTGTTCTGCCCCCACACTTGTATAAAAGACTGTTCTTGCCAACCTTAAAGCCTAAATTTCGATTCAGATGTCAAATGCGTTTTTATGCGTCTTCGTGTTTTATGCTTTCGTAGTTGCTTTGGTAATCGGAACTGACAATTTGCTTAACCTTGAAGGGGCTATCGCCTCTATCATTCTTGCAGGATGCCAAACTATTTATGATGCATGGCATCCTATTGTGTGTGAGGAACCAATGAGTAGGAAGTGTATCAACCTAAGACGCGGCTGTGTATTTGTTCTGGTTATCTGTATCTTATCAATTGTGTTTGTTGTAGCAAAAATTGTTTTACTCAAGTTGAGACGAAGGTGAGACTTTCCCTTTCGAATTCGACGCGGTTCTCATTTCGGTTTCATATATATATATATCTACTGACATCCATCAGTCAGGCATTGTGCTCCATCTTTGTTATCGTTGCAGTAATTATCAATACCTCCATATGTATTGAAATATGTACATCTTCCTCTATCTCATCAGTGTGCATATAAGTAATCATAACTGTTTCTGCACTCTTTCAGGTCATTCTTGATATCGTAATATGATGTGAATGAAACTGCACTGTTCAATGGCGAGGACTCTATTAATCGAAGGTAAATTTGAACGGGCTAAAGAACGTACGGAGTATATAAGCAATAGATAGTCTGTGATTCTACTTCTCCATGCGCGAACCACGCTTTTGGAGGAACATCTAATTAATGACAGGATATATATCCTGGTAGGTTTTTTCATTTACGGGTGGAAGCAAGTTTGAATTCAATCATACGATAAATATATAGACACATGCACTATTCTTAGCCAACATGGTCAATTGGCCACGTCGTCTTTATGAGTAATATTAGCTGTCTAATGTAAAAGCTTTAGACCCCAACTGCATTAGCACGGGCTGGACCTCAAGCTATCCATCCTAGTCCTCACTGTCTCTGAAATTCATTACTTGAATAGTTTCAGATAGTTTTTTTTTGCATGATGTTGAGGTCAATAACCTGTGGTAGGTGTAAATGGTGGCTGTAATGTGATTCATACTCACCAAAATGTCCAGACAGTCTGAAGTGATCTAAACAACAAGTCCAAATTAGTTTGCCTCACACACATTTATGTACTGCAAAAAGTAAGAACACAGACCCAAGTCAACCACGACTGCGATATTGAGGGAAAGCAAAATAAATCTGCGTCAATGGACGGCAAATAAATTTATAGGATATTGAAGAGCCCTTTCATATTGTTCTAAATCAAGTACACCAAGATAGAAGCTAGTAAAGTCAACAACAACCTCAAGACAAATCAGAAAAAAGAAAAAAGCAACAATGTATAAAAAGTCATAAAAATCAAGGAGATAAAGATACTCCATATTGAAAATGAAACAATTCCGTCCTCAATGTGAAAATAATAAAAATACAGAAAAAAAATCAGCCATAAAGCTTTTAGATAAGAAACAAAGCTTTTAGATAAGAAACAGAATGTAGAAATCGCTCTCTGGCAAAAATGCTATGATCTGTCTGACCCACTACTAAGTCAGTTGTCCTTGATTATTTTCATTTGTTGTTTCCAAATCGAACACTCGAATAAAATGTATTCAATACCCAAGAAATGATTATTTTTCATAGAACAATTACCAGTAAGTATGAATCGTAAGAACAGATTCAATAGATAGGACCTATCAAATAATGTAACCATTTTTTAAGAAAAGTGATATAACCATAAAAAAAATTGCATGCTTCATTTGATGAAAGAAAAATAACAGCAAGTTACCATAGAACAACCATAAAAATTACAATAACTTTGTGGTCACATTGTTATGCATTCTATAATCTTCAGTTTCTTCCAATATTTACATAGATTAGGAAACTTAGAGGTACACCAGAATATATCAATATGCCATGATAACATTTATATGGAGTCCCAAGGGGTATCAAAGATATAATTTCATTTTAAATAGCCATCCTAAGAAATTATACACTGAATAGTGGTATCAATAATGATGCTGCCATGAAATCTTGCTACGCATCTGGATGTATCTAAAATAATTAATATTGCTACAGTTGTAGAAAAAAGTTAGAATAACTAGAAGCAATGAAGAATATTGATAGTCCTGACTTGTGAGTAAAATTTAATAAAATAAAATCTTATACAAACATACTTTCGGTTGTTCCTGGTTGATATGTAGACACAACAAACACGTATACAATAATTAAAAAAAACGAACTTCTTCATAGTCAACAAACCGATTCCTTACATACATTTTTTTCTATATAGCTCAATAAGGATTACAGTTAAAGACCACCTTTTATAAAGTTAATAACTAAATTTAAGTTATAAATAGACATAACTATGTTTTGGCGGTAAAACTGACAAATTAATCTACTTTACCTATTTGATTCAAAAGCCTCTACTCAATGACTGCGCCCGGTGTGTCTGTCTCCGCCTGAATGTTTCTCGCCAGACGAAACTGGCGCCTGTAATCGTGAATTGACCTCTTAAACTTGTACTTTTGCATCGCCTGGATTGACCTCTTGTACCTGTATTTTTCTTCTGTTGGCCTGGATTACCCCTTGTATCTCTACACCTTCGCCTGAATTCTTTGTCTTTTCCTTCCTTTCGCCTCGATTCTCCGCTTCGATAAGATGCACGAAGAATTTTTCGTGGGCCACATTCATGTCTGTGTCTTCCAAGAAACAGAAATCCATTAGTAGTTTCTTTACCACTGTCAAAACGCAAGTAATATAATAAGGATGCCCACTTACTTGGTCAAAGTAAATACATAAAGATAGTGTAATCCAGACCTAATTATCTTTGTTATTTGTAAACGATGGTAGACGTCCAAACGATTTTTTATAGCACTTGTTCTATTGAAATCTTTTTGATTACTCGGTTATCCTCTACTACTATTATTATAAATTTATTGGAGAGAGTTTACTCGGAAATAGTTTTAAATGAGTAAAATACTAACATTATTCATGAAATCTAACTTGTCAACCTATATTTTTGTGGTCCTTAACGATTGATGGTCCATTTCAGTTCTGACAGTGTCTGATATTTTTCTTCTAGTATATCTTAAACTTTTTGTATTCCATGAGAGCATAATATCTAATGTGTAGGTGAAGGGTAAACAATATGAAAGAATCATTACGGACTTATTTTCTCAATAAGATATTGAAGAGAGATATCTATTACATTAGTGAATATTACTTTATGTCAATTTGATGTTTAACATCAAACATAATGGCGATGAATTTGTCGTTGATGAGATCATTTAAATTCTTTTAATAATATGTGTAGGTGATAGAGATGTTAACAAGCCCCTTAGTGTAAGACATGAAACCATGTGCTTGGATGCGTATATACGTTGTTCGCATCGTATATATTTGATATTTTATATGATTTTATTTGATAATACGACAATTATATTGTAAAGTACATTAGGTATGCTGCTACCGGTTTGTATACCATATTGGTAAAGTAACTTCTAAATCTGAATTGGTTGTGGAATCCATTGGAGATTAAACTTAGTTATCAAATATGTCTGTCCATTTAATTTAGGTGAATTTAATTTTAAATTTAGTTAACCCTAGTACGTTATCCGTTTTGTGATAAATGGTCTTATGATTTTTTGTTTCGATAATTATTTTTAAGCTTACTTATTTTTGTTGAACAAAAAGTAACTAAATAATTTGAATATTATGTTAACGTTAAATATGACTTATTATTGCATTCACATGAAGATAGAATTTTTCTTGTTTTTTGAATTTGAGTAGTGGTATATTAAATGTGTATGTACGTGCTACATTTATTGGAGTTGTATAAAGATGAATTTAAGGTGTTTCAACTCAAGAGAAAGAATAATAATTTATTTCATATATGCCATTATAGTTTTTAGTTGATTTTGAAAATTTTATTGGAGTACTTATTTTGTTCCATAAATATTAAGAAATCAGTTGTGAGATTTTGTAGAACGAAGATTAAGTGCGACGAGTATTATGTAATGAACTTTGAGTATGGATGAAACTTGGGAGATTCGAATATGAACTCTTTAAGGATGACGAAGTGTACACCGGATGTAGATGATGTTTGGGTTTTGTTGTTGCTATTCCCTGGAGAAGTTTAATTGAGGTCAATAACGGGGATATATTTTTACTATTAGCTTGTTACTGTTCGTTCAATCTTGTTTTCTTTGGGATAGAGTTCTATTTGCACTTTTAAATACTTGTAATGCGGTAATGCCGAATAGCTGCCGAAGTGACTAAAATTAGTTTGACGGTTGTAGCTAAGAAGGAGGCATTGGCAAGACCTTCCTTGAAAGATGATAAGCGGTCGTTCCTTCTGAAGTTGTAAACAGTACTATACTGTGTACTCGTGAGAATGAGCCTACACTTCATTTGTTGAAAAGCGTCAAAATTGATTCTTTGTACGGCAATGGCTGATAAACAGAATGTATCTAATCTTGTTCAGTTAAATCTGTGTACATAGCTCTTCGCATACATTATCTTGACTGGGGAAGAGATATACTGAGATTGGTGTGGCTCCCTCCATTACTTATGATATATATAACGAGATGAGACTTTGCAATTGATTCGGAGGAGATAAAGGCATATTTCTGTATAGTATGTTTTAACTGCAAGTCTAACGAGTTTTACACATGACTATATGTAGTTAACATAGAGTTTGGATGTTTCACGTTACAGTATTGAGGTATTCATGATTAAACTGTTAGTAAAATAAATGTTTTTCTTTAAGTAGTGGAATTCTACTAGTTAAGGATGTGTTTAGTTCATACTCGGTAGTGTATGTACCGAGCATTTCATAGTCGAACAAAGAGACTCACTGTGAAGTCTTCTTCAAAAATACAAATGTCTGGTACCGAATTTGATATCACAAAAACTTATCTCAAGTTTTTGGAGGATGACCAAGATATGACCATGCCTATTGCGGCCATTGAGTCACTCGTGACAATGTTGCGCGTGAAACAGCCTTCGACTTCAAGTGAATTGATCAATTTGGTTAAGTCGAATATCTCTACATTGAAACTGTCGATCTCAAATGCCATATCCCTATCCGCTGGATGTGATTTATTTATGAGATTCGTCTCCAGGAATACGAATTTGTACTCTGACTGGGAATCTTGCAAAAGAAATTTAGTAGAGAACGGTGAACTCTTTGTTCAAAGAGCAAAAGAATCAAGAGCTAAGTCAGCCGAGTTTGGCGTACCATTTATCAAAGATGATGATACGATTTTAGTGCATTCTTACTCTCGTGTGGTCTGTCAGCTTCTCATAAAAGCGAGGACTGAAAAATTTTTGAGATTTAAGGTCATTGTAACTGAAGCTAGGCCCACAGGAAAGGGCTATCATATGGCTAAACTACTTCGAGAAGCAGACATTCCTGTTGAGGTAATTGTGGATAGTGCTGTGGGGTATATGCTTCATAAAACCGATAAAATCATGGTAGGCGCTGAAGGTGTCGTTGAAAGCGGTGGTATTATCAATCACATCGGTTCCTATCAGATTGGCTGCTTAGCTAAAGCCAATAACAAACCATTCTATGTCGTTACAGAATCACACAAATTTGTCAGGCTCTTTCCCTTAGCATCTAATGATTTGCCGCGGGAAATGTCAAGAATGATTGATGAGACACAAAATGAAGGTGACGATTCGTTTCTTAAGACGCAGCTTGTTGACTTTACTCCTCATGAATTTATAACAGCATTGATTACTGATCTTGGAGTCTTAACTCCTTCTGCAGTCTCAGAAGAGTTAATCAAGATGTGGTACGATTAATCACTTCTGGAAACTTGGAGCAAGTTTCTTTGAAGGTCATATTTGTCATAACAATTTTGGAAGTTTTTATCTCTCTGGATTTCAACACAAGTAATATTTTTTTGTTTGAGGAAACCTGTGTCGACAGGAATATTAGGCTGCTGAATATAGAATAAATGAGTGACGAATCTGTCCCAATTCTCAATTTGATCCAGATTGGATTTAGTAAGAGAGTAATTAGCCAGTTCAACGATAATTCGGACATAATCAACGGCTTCCATGCCATATGTTTCACGATCTTCACATCCATTAAGTAACAATATCTTTTTTCTTTGAACATTCAGTTGCTGAGCGATTGCTTTACCGACACCCTTGAGGATTACGATAGGTATCACACTCGTCATCAAGGAGCCAATGGAGAAAATAATTACTTTAGCATTGGCCATAGTTGATGTGACTTTGCTTTGCGCTGTAGGACAAATTTCCTGCCCATAGGGAGATATATAGAAAACTCTTTTTATTGGAGAAAGGAGTGGTTCAATGTTTTCTGTCTTGTTGAAATGAAGTTGAGATTTCTTCAATTCAGGGTGAGTGTACTGTGGTATGTTTCCCAGCTCTTCGTCAGATGACGAATCCCTGTTGTCTTCTTTTTTGTCCTCATAATTCAATTTCAATTGAATTTCGTGAGTTGGTGTAGGTGGTCGCGTGTGATGTATTGGAGGGGGATAAACCTCATTCACAGTAGATGGATGTGATATCTGAGACTGTCCGGTGATAAGATAACCATTTGAAAGCATAGCCCCAATATGGTAGCTGAAATTTGTGTTAATACATGGTAAGACTTCAATGTGTGGATCGATGTCCGTCAATTTCATGAACAACTCTATGGCAGAATCTAAGGAACCAATAAACAATCGAACACCCGTCAAAAAGAGATTACCCACATTCGCAAGTTCGTAGCGAAATTGCCTATTGTTGGTAGAGTTTGAAGTTATCTTTGATCTCTTCAATAATTCAACGTGAACGTGAACCATGAAAGCTCGAAATATTTCTTTCGTCGACAAATTAATACCGTTCCACAAAGGGTGAGTTCCTTCAACAATTTCATTCCATTGTGACCTTGCCCGAGAAGGGTCGGAATCTAGTCGAAAGCTAAGGAGATCGCGAAGCTTTACTTTCAGATCTGGGATTAGTCTTGTCAATCTGGAACGTATGTCACCTATGGCAGGTCCACCAATGACACGTATGATTTCTGATGTCGATCCACCGTTATCCAGAATGGGTAAGACGTATGTGACATGAGAGGATACTTCTTTGAAAACAGAAACAAGTTCATTGGTAGCTGTTCCTCCGCTGAGTACCACAATCCTCTCGCTCATTGTATACTGCAATACTCTCTCTACTTAGGTATCTGATAAGTGCGTCTTTATGTACACAAACGCGATAACACAAACGTTAATACATGGAGGCGGACTGCGTCCATATTATACAAATTGTTCAGTTATCATCATCAACTACATTGTCAATCCTCATTATCATCATATTACGCAAGCAGCTGTAAACTTGGAGCATCAAAAAAAATGGAGTACATCAACCTAGTTCAACTCTAACTACAAATCGCGTTTTTGTGTAACAATTTTCGGTAAAAACAGTCACTACAATATGGAGTAATCCCGAGCACGGTTACGCAGTATATTTCAGAACGTTATTTGCTTGATGGCTCTCACGTGATCAAACAATTTTTTTCTAGGTGCACTGTTGAAAAATTTTGTGACTTTTTTTTTCTAACATTAACTACAATTTACTTGAAATGTCTAACCAGGAAGTTTTGGTTTTGAGAGGTGCCTTGGAAGGTCACAACGGTTGGGTCACATCTTTGGCCACCACCCCAACTAAGCCAGACTTGTTGTTGTCTGGTTCCAGAGACAAGACTTTGATTGCCTGGAAGTTGACTGGTGGTGAGGACAACCAATACGGTGTCCCAAAGAAGTCTTTCATTGGTCACTCTCACATCGTCCAAGATGTCACCATCTCTGCTGACGGTGCCTACGCTTTGTCTGGTTCTTGGGACAAGACCTTGAGATTGTGGGACTTGGAGACTGGTGAATCCACCAAGAGATTTGACGGTCACACTGGTGACGTTATGTCTGTCTCTATTGCCAGAAACTTGAGACAAATCGTTTCTGCTTCCCGTGACAAGACCGTCAAGGTCTGGAACACCATTGGTGAATGTATGCACACTTTGACCGGCCACAAGGACTGGGTCTCTGCTGTCAGATTCTCCCCAGACAACGAGAACTCTACTGTTATCTCTGCTTCTTGGGACAAGACTGTTAAGGTATGTTTTTGATTTTCTTTTTTTTTTTTGCGGAAAGATGATGTTTACTATATTTGCTACTTCAGACGGGGCTTAAGCTCTGAATGAGACATTCTTTATCACCAAGATCTCTGATTTTCCGATTTTTTTTTTTTTGAAAGATTTACTAACTTCTATAGTCTTGGGACTTGAACGACTACAAGCTCAACGCTGACTTCATTGGTCACACTGGTTACATTTCCTGCATCACCATCTCTCCAGATGGATCCTTGAACGCTTCTGCTGGTAAGGACGGTGTTATCATCTTGTGGGACTTGAACTCCAACGACACCTTGTACACCTTGAACGCTGCTTCTGAGGTTCACGCTTTGGCTTTCTCTCCAAACAGATACTGGTTGGCTGCTGCTACCTCTTCTGGTATCAAGATCTTCAACTTGCAAGAGAGAACCTTGTTGGACGAATTGAAGCCAGAGTTCACTGTTGGCCCTAACGCTAAGGACCCAGAGGCTATCTCCTTGGCTTGGTCTGCTGACGGTCAAAACTTGTTCGCCGGTTACACTGACAACATCATCAGAGTCTGGCAAGTTATGACCTCTTCCGCTTAAATTAGCTAATCTAATCGTAGGGGTATTCAAATCAATATAATTCTTTATGTTCTATGTATACAAGTAGACCTTGCCAGCGGAAGTGCCTCCAACAATCCAATTGTGCGTTGGGTGAAAGGATACGACAGAAGGAACTGCCGTCATGAACTCAGGTTCAAATAATTGGGCAATCAATGACCCTTCTTGAGTGTAAATATCGAAACTTCGGTTCATGTTTCCAATAACAAACTTCTGAATACCATCTTGAGGATCTTTCTGCCAGCGGGCTTTCAATATCGATACCCATCTTCCTGTCTGACAGTTATGTGAAATAGACTTGAAGGGTTTCATAGCATAAGTGATATCACCTCCGGTGTGTCCTCTATGGAGTGCAAAATCTTTTTTCCAGTCGTTGACGTTGGAAGTCTTACTATTCCCACTCAAATCAAATAATCTAATCGTGTTGTCATATCCATTGCATACTAGATGATTCTCTGAATTCCAATCAACTGTTGAAATTGAGAGCCTTGATGAGTATCCTCCGTAGAAATGTGGAGATGCCGTATCATTGTCTACTTCAGATAAGGAATTTCTTTTGGATACGTTCCTTAAATCCCAAAGTCGAAGCGAGCGGTCTAGGGAAGACGTTGCAATCTGATATTCTCGGTTGGGGTTCACAGAAAATCCCCCTATCTTTTTATCATGTAGACGCATCATTTTTTGTGTATTGTGTATCCTCCGTTTCTCTCTCATGTCAAACTGATACAATCGGCCGTCCAACGTAGTACAATAAAGGAGGCTAGGTTGGCCTGAGGGCATACAGGTGTCAGATACACCTATTGCTTCCCCATCACTGTCATTAAGGGATAAAATGTCAATGGATTGTTGCTTAGCAAGGTCCGTAATTCTTACAGAGCCATCATATGATGAAGACAAAACCTGCGACTGATTGTGAGGGATTTCACAGAATTTCGATACTGACTTTCCATGTGGCTTGAAAGTGATTATTAGAGGTTCGTCTTCCTCCATAGTTTGATCCACAGACCAGATTCCAATGTTTCCCGATGTATCACCACCGAAAACAAGGCGGTCTTTGGTAGACAGATGAAAATGCAAACAAGTAATTCGCAGCAGTGTCAATTTGAGTTTTGAAGGGTCTTGGCCATTGAAAAACTGTAGTTCCTCGATCTTCTTCTTTTTGGGGGTAATATCAGTTGAAGTCAAAGACTCTGTCTCAGATGAGGAGCGCCTTATGTTTTGTTCGATTGATGCAAGTACTTTCAACTTCTCGTCTAAATCGTGTTCCTCTGTATCTTCAACTTCAGTTACTGTATCCTTCTTAATATTTTTTCCTAATACACGGTCCTCATATCTCAAGTATCCCAGTCTGATATCTGAAAGTAGGTCCAGCAAGTAAAAGTCTCCAGACAACAGACGGCTCCTAGCGTCTCGTAATCTTTCATTTTCCAACCGTGCTTTCTCTTGATCTTCTTGCTCTTTTTTTATTTCTTCGTCATTTTCGGGAGTATTAGCCAATCGTCTTGATCGGCGAATTGGTACCAGGCTTGGCTTCGTTACTCTTTCCTTGGATTTTTTGGAACTTTTACCTATTTTAGGTGGGGGTGAAATTGAATTATAAGCTTCATGAATATTAAGTTTGGAAAGTAATTCTTTATTTCTTTGAATGTTTTTATTTCTAATCAGCTCTAATGTCTCTTCGCCCATTACAGATATCTTCGAAGCTTCATACACAGGCATATAATACATCTTTATGGCCGCAAGTAGCGCAACATGTCGGAACAGAGGTAGAGACTGCCACAGATCACAATAGGCCTCGTATCTCCTCCCCGTCTCAATTCTTTCATATTGAGGAATAATTCATGAACAGACCCTTTACATTGGCGAACGTCACTTAAAAAGTTAGTTGCACAATCACTAATTTTCTGTTCCTCGTAACATTTTACCCAAGGCATATCTGCTGGAGGGGTGAAATGGAAAGGTATGACTGTATCTGCTGACCCCAATGACAAGTGTTTCAATAAGTTTTGAATAGATTTTCCCTCAGTTAATGCTATTACAAATATAATTCCTTTATCTCGGTTCAGCATCTTTTCGACATATTTTCCGAGTTCAATGGCTGCACTTTCATTATGTGCCCCATCAAGTAACGCCTCAATACCTGTCTTAGGGTCTTTTATGGTTTGTAACCTGCCTGGCCAAGTTGTATTTTGGATCCCCTCTTCGATTATACCTTCGGTGAGCTTTTCCTTTATTTCTTGTCCTAAATTTTCGAGCACATTCAATGCAACGGCCAAGTTCTGTTCTTGAAAGGAGCCTTTGAGTGGGGACATGCGAACAAGTTTATGAATCCGGGGATCCGAAGAAGCTTTCACAAAATATAGTGGTGCGTGCTCCTCTTGAGCTTTTTGCTTGATGACTGACCTAACCTCCTCGTGATTTGTTTCATCCACTATAACAGGAATATTCATCTTTATAATCCCCGCCTTCTCTTTAGCGATTTCCTTGAGTGTGCTACCTAAAAGTTTTTCGTGGTCTAAACCTATCTTAGTGATACCTGTAGCAACGACGCCCCCCATGTAATCGCTAGTGTCAGAGGTAAATGGCTTTAAAACATTAGTTGCGTCCAAACGTCCTCCCAATCCAACTTCAATTAGTGCCATTTCAACCTTTTCAAGCTCAAAGATCTTGAATGCTGTAGCAGTCAATAATTCAAATTCTGTACATCCCAATTGTAAGCTGTTGTTTTGCAGACTGACAAATTCTCGTATTTCTTCAAACTTCGTCGATGGGTATGTTTGGTTGTTTATGGAAATGCAGTCATTATACTCCAAAAGATGCGGCGAGGTAAAACGGCCATTGCGGATCTTCGCTTTGGTAAGGATGGACGAGAGATATGCAAGCGTGGAACCCTTCCCATTTGTGCCAGCAATGTGAACAGACTTATACGCTAAGTGCGGGTTCCCTAGATGAGACAACAATCTGGTAATTCTTGTTAGGCCTAGTTCGATTGGCATTTATGAAGATGTAGTGCGGATATAAAACATCAACATAAAAATGCGCTTGCATTATCACTTCCTCTAATGACCCAACGTGGTTTCATTCAAGAAAGATTGGAATCTCTAAATGAAATAGACAACAATGTTGTTGGCTTGCTTGACAGAGTGAGCAAACTAATAGATACTTATATGGAGCCTAGCCGAAATACAACGGCAGATATCTCAAGCACGAAGGAACAGTTCCAGGAAGAAGTCAAAGAAGTTTACAGTGTCCTCAGTGCCCTAGCCATTAGCTTAAGAAAAGAAGTAAAAATAATGGACGAGAATATAGGGGTTTATGATAAGAACGATGATCTGATTATGATTCTTCCGATGAATGTGGACCAAAAAAATACAACCCTAGGTAAGCGCAAGCTTGAGGAAGAATTGGAAAAGCTAGAGCTGGAATAATACACTGTGTTGGATATATGTTACATTTAATGATTGTTATACCTATTATATTTCCTCTAAGTAGCCCTGTTGTATCAACCTGTCCACGTCAGATTTTCTGACGTAGAATTGAGAATCTTTGATGAGATTGAAAACGCCATACTCCGTTTGAATCTCTCCTCCATCTTTAAGGACACGAACGTCTATAAATATCTCCGTTGGTGGCTCAAGGTCTCCTGAAAGATCAATATCAGAAATGCATTGACTTAAAATCGAGAACCAACTCTTGGTAACGTTTGAAATATTCCTGTTCGTGATGGCTCAAATTGTCTAACGCTAGTTTTGTGACTCCAAAAGGAGATGTTGGGGCATCTGTATCTTTTTTGGAGTTCCTGTTCGTTTCTGAACTTAGAACTGGATCTATGTTCAACCAACTAAACTCGTCAATTTTGTCTGCTCGGAGTTTCTGATAAGCAAGTAAACATCTTTTGTTCCTCCTCATAGATAAGTGTGTGACAAACAACTGGCATTGGTTCACCTTCCTTTCCTCTTCGCCGATATCTTCAACCTCTTCATCTTGAATCTTTTGTTGTTCGTCCAAGTACTCCACATCCCTATTTAGATCGGACATTTCTTGCACTATATCCTTAATCAAATCATGTTGGTATAAAGGAACCTCATTCAAGTTAGACGACCTTTTGGCCTCAAGCATTAGCTTGTTGGCAGCATCCCCATACATTGCTAAACACGGTTTACTTGGTGAGACATGTAATGCAGTCAGGTAGGCGCGTTTTTTAGTGCAAAATCAATATTGGTAATGATTTCTCGTGCAAACAAATGTGTGATATGTAAATAGTAGATATCTGATTTTCGTGATTTTCCTGTAATCACTCACGTTAAGGTGCCTACTTTTGAAATCTACTATTATTATTTTTTGTTCGGTTATGGATACTTATTCATGATTATTCACGTATATCACAATTTTTTGCATTAAGTGCGAGCGAAATAATATGTGGATTACATGACTTGAGGAAAATCAGAACCCTCTAAATTCTGTTCCATAGTGAAAGCTCACCTACTTAATATTGTAAAAGAATATATTTTTCATATTGTGTTTAGTGTCTAGTGCACATGCCAGGCATAAAATCATCCTATGTATTTACAACGCCTAAAGCTTCAAAGTCTGGTTCAATATCTTTAACACTTTTAACTCTTTCCGGAAGTTCTGTTGCAAGTGATTTTAGAATTGCGTCGATGCATAAAAGAGAAGACATTCCATCGTCAATCGTGCAGAGAGGATCAGCTTTTCCACGTATGATATCCACGAAATGATCGAGTTGCGCGTCAAAAGGCAACAATTGTCGAAGATGACTCCTCTTATTTAAAAGAGTTGTTTGCGAGACAGGGCTATTCCAACCATGTTCGTGATCTGGCAAATCTTGCTGGTGGTACAATGTGAGATCCGGAACAGAAAGAGTGCCTTTTGAACCGAAAATGCGATAAAACCCTTCAATCTTATCATCAGTTGGGATCAATGGGTTCTCACCCGTACCTGCCTCAAAGTTGAAGGACGAAGTTACGTTATCTGCACAGATGAAGGTGCCCGTAATTCCATTTTCAAATCTCATGACAATTGAAGCACCTTCATCAACATTTGTGAAAGCTGTACGCTGTTTTTTAATCGGTTCTGCGTAAACCCTTTCGATTTTTCCAAACAAGTATTGCAAAATGTCAATATCATGAATAAGGTTGATGAGTAAAGGCCCGCCTCCGCTTCTGGAGTCTGTCCGCCAGGGAGACGCCGTGAAGTAAGAGAGTGGTTTCTTGAGGGCCCATGACCCTTGAACAGCAATAACATCTCCTACCGAATCAAGGTTCTCCTTTGCAGCTATAATGAACGGGTTGAAGCGTCTGTGGTGACCCACCAAAACCTGAACATCCTTATCTTGAACAAAGCATTTCAAAGCCTTAGCTTCCTCTGGACATATGCTAACAGGCTTTTCTATAAGCAAGTTGACTCCTCTAGAAGCCAAGTCTGCAGCGATTTTGATATGTGTGTGGTTGGGGGTGCAAATAAGAGCACCATCTGGGGCGTTCAAATTGTTTTCTTGGAGGTAAACAAAGTATTCCTCTATCGACAGATAACAGGGAGTTTGGAGGTCTTGAGCAACTTTTTTGGCATTCGGAGACGGATCAATAAGTGCAGAAAGAGTGGTACTTGGGTTGCTTTTGACATGTTGGGCATGGCGTGGGCCGATTAAACCCGCTCCAACGACAATGATCAGCAAAGGTGGAGACAAAGTCATAATTTAGAGCATCAATAACCCCAACTTCTTCTCTAGTAACTATGATGGGGAAATCTGGAGTACCAGGTTGCTTTAATGATTGGTTTTTTTTGCATGAAAAATTTTGTGTCTAGTCGGAAGGTTTTGCAACTATATAGTTTCTTTTTGTGCTCATGTGCAGATCATTGTGGGGTACTTTAGAGTCATCCTTGCAGAAAAAGGAACGAACATTAAAATCATACGGTTCACCGCAAAACACAGGAGTCGAATATATTTGAAACGGATGGTTTACATCTGAAGACCAGTACACTTTTAATTCTCGATGTTTCAAACGTATTAGCTCAGATTTGAGTATTATTCTATGCAAAAGTGACAGGTCGGTACTTAATCTTAGTGAGCTTTCGAATTTGAAGGATGACCTTTTTAGTATAACCTGTTCTTCCCCATAATCACAAACATATCACAGAAAGAAGAGGTAATCGGATATGCTTTGTGCGTAGCTTACATGGCTAACTTTTCAGATTCTCTACTTGTCTAATAGCATCAATGCAGGTTTGCTGGTTTCGAGCATCAAAGCCGTCACCAGTCAAATGTCCTTTGACATCAACTGGGACAAATTGGTCTCAGATGACTCCATCAGCAACTCAATCAAAGATTTTCTAAACGACCAGTTCAATGAAATCAGTCTACCGTCATTTGTCGACACTCTTTCCGTCACTGGGTTCTCCTTAGGTAGCATTCCTCCCAACATCACCATTAGACACATTGGCAATCCCTTTGATGAATTTTACAAACGGAATGTGCCAGAGGAAGAAGCAAAGAAAGGTCAGCTTCCAGTGTCACCAGAGCTAAGTGGCTCGGACTCTGACAGTTCTGAAGAGGAACCGGCGATAAATAATCTTGACAGTACAAACCAACAAGACTTCACCCCGCTCTTACCTGAAGTAGACCTGCTCCGTCGGCAAAACCAAGAATCAAAGCATTTCAACAACTTTAATATGAACAATGTTGGGTTGGGACACATGGACCTAGATACCCCCACAAATTTCTTCAATCCCCACGCTTACAGGCTTCACTCAAACTCCGTGGGTCGCAACGAGCTGGTCAAAAAGAACGACAATGATATTCAATTTATCCTTGAAATCGATTATAAAGGCGACGTGGCGCTTGAGATTGTCGTCAACTTGTTGGTAAATTACCCTTCAGCGCATTTCATTACTTTGCCTATTAAACTCAAAATCACAGACTTGGTGATCCATTCATTGGCCGCCGTGGCATATCTCGAGAATAGCGTTTTCATATCTTTTCTTTGTGATCTTAATGATGCTGACTCTGACTATTTTACATCAGCTCTGATGCATAGAAGACTGGATGCCCATTCTCGCGGATCTCACATTCCTCCAAGTAGCGGAGGTAACATCACGGATTATGTGCCTTCAAACAATAAAGAAAGAATCGACGTCATAAGAAGTGTCAAGATCGATACTGAAATCGGAGAAATGGAGAATAATGTGCTACGTAATGTTGGAAAAGTGGAAAAGTTTCTTGTTGAGCAGCTCCGGAACATCATCAGAGATGAAACTGCGTGGCCCAGCTGGATTTGCCTTGATTTCAACGATGATGATGATGATGATGATGATGATGATGATCAACCCTCAACTGCTTCTACACAACATTCATCACATACCAGCTGAATCTAATAAACAACATAAGATTAGTTGTAATATAAGTTACATAAGAGTTGTTCTGCCACCTATCTCGTTGCTCGCACTGCCATCGGGCATTTTCCCATCTCTTCCTGTCAAGAACTGTGTGTAAATGTGATCAAGCTTTGCCTTTTCTGAAGCAGAAATTGAAGGTTTAGTCTCTTTTAAACTTTCCAAGAAATGTTCTTGTTTAATCAAAACCGTCTGTTGCGCCTTCGTTTTCGTCTTGACAGTCTTGTCTCCTATGTTTTTCAGATTGAATAGATTTTCAATTTTCTGGAGAAGCTTCAACTTCTCTGCCGGCCGTACCTTGTTACTCTTTAACTGTTCAGAGCTAATTTGGAAAAAGTCATACACATTATTCAGGGAGTTTCCCTCTTCGGAAACGTTTGTTTCTTGCTCCATCAATGTCTCATGTACTGCCTTCAAATATGCGTTGTAACCTAATCCTTGCATATCGGCTCCACTAAATCCTGCGGTTTTGCTGGCAACAAACTCAAGATCCACGTCCTCTTGCAACTGCATTGATGCACTAACACATTTAAGTATATCAATTCTATCCTGTAAAGAAGGCATGTCGCAAATGATGCTCTTATCCAAACGGCCAGGACGCAAAAGCGCTGAGTCGATTAAATCTGGTCTGCTTGTAGCTGCAAGCACATAAACACCATCGAGACCTTCTGCTCCATCCATCTGGGTCAACAACTGGTTAACAACCCTGTCTGTTACTCCAGTGGAGTCGTGTCCTCTTTTGGGGGCGATGGAATCGAACTCATCGAAAAAAAGAATACAAGGCTTTGCTGCTTGAGCTCTTTCAAAAAGTTCTCGAACAGATTGTTCCGAAGCACCAATGTATTTGTTCAAAATCTCCGGTCCCTTAATGGAAATGAAGTTCAATCCACATTGTCCTGAAATTGCGCTTGCAAGTAATGTTTTTCCACAACCAGGATAACCATACAAGAGAATACCGGACCTTAATCTCAAGGGGCAATTGGCAAATATTGGCGCATACTTTGTGGGCCATTCTAATGTTTCTAAAAGCACTTTCTTTGCCTCTGATAAGCCACCAATGTCTGCCCAACTAGTAGATGATTTTTGCAATTTCACTCCTCTCAATCCAGAAGGTTGAAATCCTGAAAATGCCTTTTCAACATGATTTTTGGTGATGATATTAGCTTCGTTGCTTAATCCTTGACTTGCAAACACGCTCTCATAGAAAATCCTGTCGCTGATGACTTTCAAGTCATTGGGTAGGTAACCTTCACTCTCCAGGACAATATCCATGACATCCATCTGTATTTGACATCCAAGCTTGTTGACAAGACAATCTTCTAAAATCGCACGTCTTGCTGCTTTCCCTGGAGGTGACAAGTGGTGATAGCCTTCAATCAAATGCGACAGGAATAGCAACTTGTTAAAAGATTCTCTGGCTATGCCTGAGATTAACAAGGACACGTTTGTATTGTTCTGTGCCATCACCTTCGAAAGGCTGGAGATGAAAAATTCTGTCGTTTGATTTGATGAAGTAGAGTCTGTATTTTCTGCCTCTGCTGGTAAGATCTTGTCTAAATTGTCCAACACCAACAACGAAGGTTCATGCCAAGCTGCCTCTTGTATGTACTTTGTTATTCTAGCCGACAACTGGTCAAATGTTTCGTTCATAATCGTCTCACATGCGACATACTTGATAAACATGCCACAAGTAGCACTCACACGTTTCGCAATCCATTTCAACAAAAGTGATTTGCCACTTCCTGACGCTCCGTGGACTAAGATTCCCGAATTTCTGAAAGTGCTCAAGTGCTCCGTAATATCCTCAAGCATCTGTTCCAGGCCGTGTATCGGCTCAAGATCTGTGATTGTATTCGGGCTCTCCACAAAACTAGCACTTCTTAATACATCTTCTTCTACTTCAATTTTCGCAGACCATTTAGATTTTCGATCAGGATCAATCCAAGCATTGGGGTCTCTCTTTCTTGCAAAGCTTAAAATGCCTCCGTAGGGTAACACATCGGGAATAGCAGGTATCTTCGTGAAGTTTGTGATTGGATACTTGGTTATAGGGTCTTTAGAATTGAATAAGTATTCTGAAACCATCTGGTTTATCTTTTCATGTTGATTTTTGCTGGCCAGAGCGTTCAACTTGAGCAGGTCGTTCTTCTTACTTTGTATAATGTACGGATGCACAAGAAAAGTGGCTGGTCGCCTTGAAAGGCTCTTCCCGGCTACCCGTAAAACAACCTTGAATCCTACTAGGGAGTCAACGTTCAAAGATACTGCTAACTTTCTGCTCAATCCCACGGTATTTGAAGGGACACAATTGGTGAAGACAAGTTTAGCAATGATGTTTTTGTTTTCAGTCACCGGGGACAATTTCTCCTTCGTTTTTTCTTCATCAGCGTTCTCGTTTGTCGGTGCAACATTTTGCTTCGCGTTTGGTCCAGGTACTATCGATACAGACGCATATGGCGAACGTTCGAATGTATGTGCTAGCTCGTCCATTCTTGCATAAACCTCGTATCCATCGTTTTCTGTCGCTTGTGGTTCTTCTTGAAAAATTTCGTGAGGAAGAGCTATTCCCCTTTTCAAAATGCTTGGCCCATGGGCCCCTTCTGATGGAATGGATTTCGAGCTCTTTGTAGATTTCACAGACTGAGCAGAAGCAGATGTCTTCTTTTCTCTCACTTTTGGCGCAATATTGATCTCTGCAAACGGATCTATGAGAGCGTAGGAGGAGTCTGGTATCCGAATGTCTTTGACCAAAAGCCTTACCGAGGACGTTTTTGTGGGGTAAACAACTAGAACCTGGTCTACCGCAACGCAACGAGATTGCTCGATAAGCTTGGCTTCAATGTAAGATGCATGAAGCTCCACTAGCTCCCAATCAGAAGCAGTCTCTGGTTCCAAGAAAACTGTGGACGTTTTTGGATTTCGGATTTTCACATTGACAATGATGGATTGCTTGTCGGCCAATTTTAACGAGTGGGCAAAAATCGGATCTATCGATATGTTGGACACGCCAGCAGAGCTCATCCCAGACCACCCAGCATAGGATTTATGCTGTGACTGCAGCACAAGTTCAACAATCACTTCTTGCGGGGAAACGCTGGCATTGTAGAGAATGCTCGTTAAATTGGAGGGCAAGTCAACCAAGTTGTTCCATGACGGTCTGAAAGATATATTAGCCGAGAAGCCATCCATATCTAGTTTTCAGTATTTCGGAAAGTTATGGGTCTTGTTGGCGGCACCTTTTATGTACGTCTATGTCCTGCAAGGTAGGAGTTTTCCAGTGAGATATCGAGTCATGTATACCGAGGCCTCGAGTGCTCGCCTCCACAAGGAAAAAGATGAACATGGCTTAAAATGGCAATTATTTTTATCTGCCAGAAATCTTGTTTTGATGTACATGGTTGCCTTGTCACTCAAGCAACCATATTATGGAACAAACTCTTCATGGCTACAGCATAACGCTCTTATAGAGGAGATACGATCACTATCATAGCGACATGAATCGTGTGTAGACTACGACATTGCAGTGACAGAATTGTAAGTTCCACTATTTACATTAACAGAAGCCCAGAGAACTTTTCCAAGGTAAACCCATCAACATGAACTATCTCTTGGACTGAACTTCATTAAACTTTTCCAACAGGTCATCATGCGTAGCCAGATGTTCGTGCTTCTTACGCATTTTCTCTTGGTTTGCCTGTTTGGCTGCCTCGACTGTTTGGAAAGATCTTCTTCGAATGGAGCGACATTGTTCCCAACCAACAACGCTGCCTAGGAAAAAGCCACAAACACCCCAGTTGGCAGATTTTCCTGGGTTCTTGTGGATGAGAAACGTCACCACTCCCAACACTCCCATCGCCTGGAACCCTGTCAACATGGCTTCTCTAAAACATGGCATGCTGACGTAATTTTCGAACGTGAAGTCTGAAAGTTTAATCCGTTCAAATGCATCCACTATTGTCGGCTGTTTGGCGTGTGTTGGTTCTTGATCGGCAAATTTGGGCGTCAAGTCTTCAAGTAGTTGCACATCTTGAGGCTTATCTGCTTCCTTCAATTCTGACACGGCAGAAACCTTCGACGGTGTGCCTCCAAACCACCCCATTTCGATGAGAAGCTGGTTAATGCCTTGGACGGTTGGCTAGAAGTGCAGTTGTGTGCACGTGATCAAATGGTTTTGAGAATGGAAAAAAATCTAGCGCCGCCAAGTTTCGATCCTGGGACATCAGGGTTATGAGCCCTGCGCGCTTCCACTGCGCCACGGCGCTGCTAGATGAATGAAAAAGTTGTTGTGCCGATATGTCTATGCTAATCTAACTTTTTATCTCTTTTACTTGAAAATGGGCTTTAGATTGAAATTGGTGTAGCAATATGTAACTTTGAGCAGTCGGATGTTTTGTCTTTGCTTTTCTCTGGTTTTCTGTATTTATCCTCTTAGAGTCCCTTAATTGTCTCCCATTCTCAAAATACTTGTGATACGGACTAACATTCTCAAAATTGTAAACGACATGTAAAAAAGCAGAACAGAGTAAAAAAACCTCTGGCCAACCAAAGAAGTATATAAAATCTTTTACAGATTCGTGGGGACTATTTCTGCAACTACAAACATTCAGAATGGAACTGAAGTAAAGATTCAAACTGGACAACCTCTATGGACCTGCAGACTGCCAAATATCTTCTGTGAACTCCGTTGTCTTCAAACTTCACCTCCAGAACAAAGAGCAATAAAATGATTGCAGAACTTTTGATTGATCCTCAGTTGAAATGGTGGATGCTTCTTCCAATTTCAGTGGCCATGGTGTTGGTAGGCTTACTCAGATCCAACGTGACATACCTTGTTACTCCGAAGCCAAAACTTGAGCCGCTCAAATCGGCCAGAGAGAAATCTTTCTTGCAGAGGGTTTCGGGATTCAAAAGAAATTTCAATGTTTTGAATGCCGAGGAGTTTGAGGCAAGGAGAAACTACTTCATTGAGAAGTTGAAGAGCACAGAATACTACGCCAAAATCGAAGACCCCAACGCTGGGCCACAAAATCCGTTTGGTGACGCAGCCACCAGTGACGCCTTGATGAATATGGCCAAGGGAAACTTGATGAGCTATGTGCCGCAGACTTTGATCATGGGCTGGGTCAACTTTTTTTTCGCTGGCTCCATTGTGATGAAGCTTCCCTTCCCTTTAACAGAAGGCTTCAAGAGCATGCTACAAACCGGCGTGAACACGCCCAATTTGGATGCCCAGTACGTGTCGGCAATTTCATGGTATTTTGTCAACTTGTTTGGTCTTCGAGGTGTTTATCTGTTGCTTATGGACGACCCTGCAGCAGCTGCAGAACTAATTAACCAGCAACAACAAAATATACCCAACATTGGCGCCCCTGGAGGGCCAAAGGCAGAAAAAGTGTTTAATGCTGAGGCCGACAGCCTTCAGATTTTGGACCATGAAAGTCTTTACACGGGCATTGCCCAGCGGATTCTTCAAAAGTACGATAAGCAATAGCTCTGGCACCTACAACCATGCATGCGAACTGCATACTAGATACAGATCTCAATACGATTTATATACATAAACGGTTGTATTACATAAGGAGCCTGTAACTGACGATATACCAAGGGATTTTATGCGGCTTGGGAATTTTAGCATCCGGTAGACATGAATTACCATCACTAAAATTATAATGCCTTGAAAGTTACATGAACTTTTGGTGCTTTCTAAGCGCGAGAAGGTACTGGTTTTCTACAGAAGATCATCACTCTCAAAGAAGGCAAAAAGACACAAGTTTCCCAAAAGGCACCATGGCTCCAGCTACTGTGATTTGTATTGGTATGGCCGGATCCGGCAAAACCACATTTATGCAAAGACTAAACTCCCACCTCCACGCCAAGAAGACCCCGCCATATGTGATTAATCTTGATCCAGCGGTTCTAAAAGTACCATACGGAGCGAATATTGATATCAGAGACTCGGTGAAATACAAAAAAGTGATGGAAGAGTATAACTTGGGACCAAACGGAGCTATTGTTACGTCGCTTAATCTTTTCTCCACCAAGATCGACCAAGTTATCAATCTTGTGGAAAAGAAATCAGACAAGTTCAAAAACGTCATCATTGACACTCCGGGCCAGATCGAGTGTTTTGTTTGGTCGGCGTCCGGTGCCATCATAACGGAGGCATTTGCTTCCACTTTCCCTACTGTCATTGCTTACATCGTGGACACACCCAGAAATGCTTCTCCTACAACATTCATTTCCAATATGTTGTACGCCTGCTCAATCTTGTACAAAACCAAGTTGCCAATGATTATTGTATTCAACAAAACGGACGTCCAAAGTGCTGAGTTTGCCAAGGAATGGATGCAAGACTTTGAGCTGTTCCAGATGGCTTTGGCTAAAGACCAGGAGTTGAATGGAGAGTCTGGATCTTCGTCCGGCTACATGAGCAGTTTGGTGAGCTCCATGTCGCTAATGTTGGAGGAGTTTTACTCCCAGTTGGATGTCACAAGCTGCAGTGCATACACAGGCGAAGGATTCGATGACTTTTTGAATGCAGTGGACAAGAAAGTCGATGAATACAACGAATTCTACCTCGCTGAGAGAGAAAGGATATTAAAGCAAAAGGCGGAGGACGAAAAGAAGCGTAAAGCCAAATCTTTGAACAAACTAATGAAGGATATGAAATTGAAGGACAAGGCTGGCTTGGGCGACTCAGAAGTACTTTCTGACTATGAGGAGTCTGAAGAAGAAGTCGACGAAAACCTTCAAGGAGAAGTTGACAGAGACGAAGATGAAGCAGAGAGGGAATATACTTTCCCCGAAGATAGACAATCGGAACTTTCGAAAACAGATGAAGATTTACAAGCACGGTACCAAGCGGCTTTTGAAGCAACCGCAAAGACCGCTTCCTCTAAGACAGCTGAAAGCATTGCTGAGTACATTAGGCGCTAGTATTTTTGAGTACTTTTACTTTTATTATATCTTTAATCATTAAATACATTCAAGAGAAGAGCAGTTGGATGCTGTAAGGTGTGGCATATTCGTCTTGAAAGATCAAATGAGGTTTGTGCTTGGCAAGATGGAGAATGGTTTTCCCAAACTCAGAATTACACCAAGCAAACCAAGGGCGGGTGTAGTCCTTGCCGCCTGGTTTGCCAACATTAACACTTTCGTGTAGCAATCCGAGAGCGGCAGTGGAGTTCATGACTTTTTCTAAATTGTCGAGGATTTCCTTATCGTCGTCGGTCGTTCTGATTCTCATAAGCAAAGACATTGGCCAGGCATTAGAGGTTCCAATATGAGGCCCGCCGATACCTTCGAAAAAGTCCCCATGTAAAAAGTATGGATTGCCCAGCTTGGACAAGATCATTTTTCTTGTGTTTTGGTACACCTCGTCCTTTATATCCAAAAAGCCGATATCTGGCAACGAAAGTAAAGAAGGGATATTGGCATCATCCATAAACACATTTCCACCATACCCATCTACTTCGTAGGCATATACTTTGCCCCACTTCGGATGGTTTACAATTGCGTGTTCTTTCAAGCCATTTTCGATATTCTTGATAAACATTTCAGTGTAGCGGATATGGTTCTCCACCTCAAAAGTGTCAGGCAACTTCAAGAGTATATTCTGCAAAGTCCTCTTCAACTCTGTTAACATATGGGCATTTCCAGGAACGAAAAATTGAAGAATTGTAGCGTCATCCGATGGACGGAAAGCGGATCTGACCAAGCCGGTGTTGAAGTTGACAGGATTGCCTGCTCCATCCAACGGCAAAGTTTCTGTTCCGATATTTGTCTTTCTTTTGAACGCATACATGGAAGGTAATACCTTCCCAGTTTTAGGATCAAACAGTGGCTGCGATTCCCGTTTCAAGACCGTGAGAACCCTTTCGTACGCCGTGATCCATGATGGAGTAATGACGCTGACGTCGCCATTGTAATTTTCGATAAAGTCGTTCGTCAAGGTCAAGAAAGATGCAAGTGAGTCGATTTCGTACTTGCATTCGAACACATACCTCCAGTCTGGCTTTGGCCGAACGTCATCCACAGCTGAGTCGCCTTTTTTAACACCCGAAGCTGGAGGAGGATGAAACGCATTGCAGTATGGCGCCTTAATCACATACTTCTCTTGAGTTCTGATAGCCCCCACAATTAGATTTTTGAGTTGCTCGTCGTACTTGACCAAAGGCTGGAAAACCGAAAGCTGGCGAGCACTGTCCCGCAACCATTCCGCATGGATGTCCCCTGTCACCACAAATGTTTCTGGTGGAGAATTGGCGTCTCCAGCAAGATGCCATAAAATGGTGGTGTCTAAGGTGTTGGGCAAGGCGTTTTCAGTCAAACGGGCAAGGTCTGGATCTTTTAGTTTCCTCTTCAAGTCACTGATGAGCTTTTCGAGCGACAGAGACGTGAACGTCCGACACTTGGGTGCTGGGCGCATGTAGGGATACTTATACTTGCCCGCAGAATATGGTGGGTGGGGTTTTTTAGAGTAATCCACGTAATTTGGGCATTCTGATGTTTGCAGATCCATTTCAGCCAAAAACTGCGGCGTAATGTCGTCGGCATACTCGAAATTGTCTTCACTTTCCTTGCTTGTCTTAGTTTGGTCTGTGTTGGAAACGTTTGTTAACGAATGTTCCTCCGGTTGCTTCTCCCTGTTTTCATATTGAATGTAAACAAGAAAGAGAGAGGAAAAGACAATCACCAAGACAAAGGTTCTAGTTCTCGAAAGCGAGAAGTTGATCATAAAAGAAGACAGCTTTGATTTGGCGCTTTAGCATTAACGCGATAAGAAAGTGGAGTGCATGAAAAACCGTTGACTCCAAAAGATGAAGGAAGAGGAGAAGAAAGAAGAAAAAAAAAAAACCAGCAAATTCAAACTGGTAAGATCTTTGAAAAGTGGATGCTTTTGAAATATGAATAGAGGTCTTCAAAAAAAATTCGTGCCTGATTTCGTAACAGGAAAGTAACTTCAAGTTCCGATAACCATTGTATCCAGGTTGTCACATGTGGAAGTTCACAGGTCGACACCTACGGTTTTGTCTTTATTTTATTTCATTTGAATTTTAAATTACCAAATATGATTTTCGGTATTATTATCCAAACAGTGCTTAATATTTAGAATTTTTTAGGTCGTATTAAAGGAGGAACAAGCGTGATCCACTAATTGAGGAAAAGTTCATGCTCTCCAATTGTACTTCAAGAATTAAAAGCGCCGAAGAAGAGAACGCTCTTTCAATGTTGAATAACCTTACGAGTTGGTGTTGTCTTTGTTATTGTGATATTAGCAAACCGTAAATTTTTGGTTAGTATTATTGCTTTTTGATATTGCTGCCCTATGTTGGTTCAACCAGTTTATTGCAAAACTCGGCAATACATTTGGAATTTCTTCGTGTCTCAGCCGAATTTTTTTTGGATATATACTTATCCATATTCAGGCTTTCAACTGTTTGATGCTTTAAATTGTACTCATTGTACTTTAATTCAACTCAAGAAGATTGTAGACAGTTTTGCAGTTTCTCAACTGTTATGTTAGGTAGATATTTTCCATACAAAGGGAGGCAAGCTTTCAAATAGAAAAAGGCCCGCAGAAGGTAAGTATAAAAAAATCTATGCTTATGTACATGTACTATGGAGATCTACTTGAATAATGTGAATCCCAAAGCACCTTCTTCGACTTTTACAAAACCCCATTGTCCCAACTTTTGAAGAACAGGAATGATACCCGACACTCTTTGATTGTCTTGATTGTGCTTCTCTTCTGCCCACTGTAATAGTTCCTCATATGTGGCATCGAATTTAGCAGTAGGCTCTTCAATGGAACTTTCTTCTCCGATGACAGAATCCCGCATATCTGAAATCTGTGAGGACACACGTACAGCAATCACTTCAAAATCTTTCAGCTTTTCCAAAAGCTCAATAACTGGTGAATGGTTCTCCTGCAAGATAGGATGTTCAATAGTGAGGATATAGATGTCATTGTAAACCATGTCAAAAGGAAAAACGCTCTTTATCTGATCAATACTTTCTATCGATTCAATTTCTCGAAGTATTTTTCTCATGGGGAACCGATTGGGAATATCATTAAGAACCGCAGGAGACTGGGATATATTGTTTGCGTCCACTAGAACAGGTTTCTGGGCGTTCAATAGTTCCTGACTTAGTCTATTGTCCAGCGGAAAGTTTTCCCAAAATGAGCCGCTTGATAGCTCCTCCAAGGGCATCCTTCGTTTACTCTCCGCCAAAGTTGCAAGCTTGAAAATGTCAGTTGACACCAAGTCTGTTAGATGATAATTCCTTATTCTCTGATCTCTCTGAACTGAGGTATTATATGGCGCAGATATGGCCGAAATAGAGCTTTTTAGCTGCTCCAACGCGTGGTTACGGAACAACACACTGGACTCGGATAGGAGTGTTTGCCTCTGTTTCAAAAAGAATATAATGGGCGAGTTGAGAAGAAGCCTCTGATACCATACAAAAGATTTGAAGGATGAATTTGCCCGAGGAAGGACTGAATACGGAGAAAATGCAGATGCAAATGTCAGGAGAACCTTAGCCTGGTAGTCTGTAAAGTGTCGTATCGATCTGTGACGTTCACTGACTATGGGACTTTGCGATGAAGACTGGGTGATATTCTCGACAGAAATGTCGTCGTCTTCTAGTCGAAGGGGCCCGTCGAAAACTGGAGCAAGGATCTGCGACATTATGGGAGTGAAGTTGGCCGAGTCAAAGACAGGGCCGCTGGTATTCAAAGATCCGCTGAGCTTCGCTCTATTTAGCATATGAAAGCGAGATTCGCCTAGGTGCAAGTATTGGGCGGTTTCGTTATTTTGAAGCGGGGAAAACGCCGACCCCACATTCTGGTATATTCGAAAAACATGAGCCACGCCTTCTGGTAGCCTCGATAGTGTATGGCGGGACATGGTGTATTATCCAAGAAGATGGTATCTGAATTGGATGCAGAGCGCATCGATAAGAACATCCGTACACCACGAATAACAAGCATTGGAGGTTTCACAACGACACAAGAAAGAGATGGGTGGATAAAGATATGGGAGCTACTGAATAAAATTAAGGCTTTTTAGTCTGAAAGTGGAGACTTACAAGTTGCGCAAAGATAACGCTCACAACAAGGCAACTTGTCCGAGTGGTTAAGGAGAAAGATTAGAAATCTTTTGGGCTTTGCCCGCGCAGGTTCGAGTCCTGCAGTTGTCGTTAATTTTTTCAGTTTTGTTCATTTGACTTTTTTTTTTCTTTTTCAAGAGTGATCTGGGCCAATGTGACACTTTCATGTGCCTCTCGGCGTATTTGTGGTCTAATTAGTGGCCAGTCGCTTTTCTAAGTCATCTCACCTTCGCGAAGAAGTACATAAAAGTTCCAGCCCGTATACACTACCATATCAGCTTTTCACGTCTCCACCATCCACAAGCATAATGTCGGACGACGAAATTGATATCGGCGGGGCGCTTTTCGAAGAGCCAGAAGGTTTCTTGCCGCCGCCACCCGAGTCGCATTTTGTCGACTACGAAAGGGTCAAGGGCAAAGAAAACCCGAGCAAAATCACCTTGAAGCTCGTTGGAAAATCTCCATTGTGGGGCCATTTGCTTTGGAACGCCGGCAAGTACACGGCAAACTTCCTCGACGAGCATGCTCTGGCCTTGGTGCAAGGGAAAAAAGTTTTGGAGCTCGGAGCAGCGGCCGGCTTGCCATCTCTTGTGTGTGCCATCAATGGCGCCGATACGGTGATTTGCACAGACTACCCGGACCCGGACTTGCTATCACACATCCAATACAATGTGGACCACTGCGAGGGGATCCCACAGGACACAAAAGTGAAGGTGCAAGGGTTTATCTGGGGCCAGGATGTGCGTTCGTTGTGCTACGATGAAGCAGACGCGGAAACGCTTCCGGAAACAGTTGACGAAAAGGACAAGTTCGATTTGGTGATCTTGTCGGATCTCGTGTTCAACCACACGGAGCATGGGAAGTTGTTGAGCACGTGCAGACAGTCGATGAAGAAGAACGGTGTGGCTCTTGTGGTTTTCAGCCCACACAGACCGTGGCTTTTGGAGCAAGATTTGAACTTCTTCACCACGTGCGAAGAATACGACTTGAAGGCCGAAAAAGTGGAGATGGTCAACTGGGCGCCAATGTTCGAGGAGGACGATGAGACGGTGGAGATCCGCTCTCGTGTGTACTGTTACAAGTTGCATCCACAATGGTGAGACGTTAAAAAAATTGGATACCATTGGTATGACCAACGGACAGACCAATGATTCCTTTTCAGATTTTATTTCCAGTTTTGCGCTATCCCAGCCGGATATCTGGATCTAGAGTATTAGAAAACTGAAACGTAAAGGCAGTGGTATAGATGCACATAGACTTATATACTCAGCGCAGGTCATTTAATACCGACAGTAGAAGGACTCGTTGGCTTTGTTTGGTGTTTCGTTGGCCTAGTCAACATAGTTGCCTGTTGCTCAAACCAAAGTGGAATGTCTTTTTGGATGAAGTGTACTAAATACCATTCGAACTAGATGGTGATGCATGAGATGTTTCCTTAGGGTGATTGAAGAACGACAAATGGAATGTATCCGTAAAGGAAAGAAATAAAAGCACGAGGAGTTCAGTACTCCATCGCCTCTTCAAAGCATAACTTGTCTCTTAAATGGGTTTAGATCCTCCATTTACTTTCTTTCCATGTCCTTGATTATGAACAGCGAATGAAATATGTCGTTTATAATCTCTAAATTGTGGTACAACACAAAGCAGCTACATACGATAGTGGAAGGCAAAAAGAAGATTGGAAACGAATCTACACTGAAATAATATTAGAAGATTCGTGGATCATCCTGCGTCGTCTTAATCCGAGATAAATCAATTCAACTGAGGCAAGAGCAAAAGACATTACAATGACAGAAAGTCGAAACAAGCCCAGATCAATTTCGCTTGTTTCTAGTCTGTTTGCCGCCACTGTAACATCGTCGAACATTGCTTCTATCATAGAGGCCAAGCGAATCTACATCCATTCCAGCAACTCAGGCATACTTCCTCACTTCTCAAAAACTCTACTCTACCATCATCTTGAACTAATGTTATATTAAATATACATTTCGAGTCTCGTGTGAAAACGGTCATGAATTATGGATGCTCAACCGCGCTTAAGCAGCGTTGGAGTTAGCCTTTCTCTTACCGTTGACCAAAGTGACGTTAACAAATCTTCTGGTGTACAACAATCTCTTGTAAGCTCTTCCCTTAGGCTTCTTTGGCTTTTCAGTCTTGTCGACCTTTGGAGTTTGAGACTTAACCTTACCGGCACGAGCCAAGGATCCGTGGACTTTACCCTATTGGTGTTAGTAACAGACTTTGATGAGAAATGGAAGCTCTAGTAGATGGGAAAAAGGAAAGAAAGTTAAGGACGGAGAAAGACGATTGAGAACCAATCAGACGTTTGACTAGGACAAAACACATTGGAAGAACTCAAGGATGGAAAAACTGGATGGAAAAAGATTCGGTCCTAAAATGTGGCGCTTTGCCTCCGGTTTTGGGGACACCGGCACTAAGGACTGCTAGATTCATAGGAAGTCGGAACACACTGCCTAGAGCTTCTCATATGGTACACCAAACCACATACCATTTTTGTTGATAATAAGTATACTGGTAAAAAGGGAAATAGAAATCTTTCTCGCAAAGTGGGTGATTGCGCGAGAGGAAAATTTGATGTCGTGCGCGGGCAAAGAGCGCCACTGAGCGCGCGTGATCACTAGGGCACGAGCCCTAACTATGGGGCAGGAGGGAAAGAAACCACAATAAGCAAAACAAATAAGAACTAGCAAATGCGCTTGGCGGCGCAACTCTACAAAACATTACAGAGACAGGGGAGCTTCATTAGGTTATATGGGCATGGGGATGGGATCTTCGTGCACTATATGCAGTACGCTAAACGTATAGCACCAACAAGACCAGAATTATAAGAGCACTGACGGCCGTGATTAGAATGGAGACGGAGTATCGAGAAACAGGATAGCGGGTCTGGAGAAGCATTTGCTGGACGCGGAAGTAGCGCAGAAAACCCATGAACAATGTGAGAATTCCAATGCAGATGATGCTCGCACCCAAAGGTTTGGCCCAGGACGCCTGGAGACGGCCCAAACTGTCTGGTTTTTGGATTTTCAAAAGCTGCGCGACGCCAATGCCTATAGTAACCAACGACAACGACGTTCGGAGCCATGCAAGGAAAGTTCTCTCGTTGGCCATCTGCAGTTAGTATGTAATCTTGTGGGAACGGAAATAGCACAACGTACATGATCTCGGGCCACGGAGCCCTTGTTTTCCAAGGTGACGGACAGGAACTGGTGGAGGCTTCGAATCGGAGCGTCGGCGCCCTCTATGGATCCATAAGACATGACGATGAGATGTACTGATGGAATCAAGGTTATCGATTAGATAAGGTCTTTTGGGACGATCTAATGAATTTTGTCGCTGTGTGATTACCGTAGAAATCGCTCAATGTCGTAATACCGTCGTTGATCTGGAATGGAAGTCTAAGTCTGGAATGGAGCCTATCAAGTCTGGAATGAAGTGTATGGAGAAGTATCTTGAATATGTTGGCCAGGTCTCGCGCGAAAATGAAGGTGGATAAGAAAACCGAGAATCGGAAAGCAAACAGAAAAATCGGAATCAGAAGGAAACACAGCGGAGAAGGCTCAACATCAGATCCCTATGGGATCGAATTCAGTAGAGGAGCCACACTTGGCACATGATAGTGTCGCGACATGCCGTGATCACAAGATTATTCGTATGCAGATGTGCGGCTAAGACGAGAAGAAAGACAACGGTGACGTTAAAGGTAAGAGAGAAAAGAGCAGTTTGGGTAGAGAACTTTTCCAGACCCAAGCTTCAGGCTATTCAAAATATTTGTCAGCTTTCGTGTTCATTTACATTTAGGTTCTAAGGTTTCTCAATGGGTTTCTAAGGTTTCTAAGGTTTCTCATTTAGGTTTCTGTTAGAGTTTTCACATTTAGGTTTCTGTTTAGAGTTTTCACATTTAGAGTTTTCACATTTAGTATTTTCTAGTTTTTTCATTTACTATTGTCCAGCATTTTTCATTTAGTATTTTCTAGTACCTTGTATTTTCTAGCATTTCCTTGAGCTTTTCTCATTCAGCATTTCTCATTGAACATTTCGCATTGAGCATTTCTCAGTTAATTCGTTCAGCCCACTTATCCATTCTTATCCTCTTCCTTGCCCATCTCATTTTCCCACTATACTCAGTCTTTCGACTGGAAAACTCAATTGTAAACATTCTTCATTCCCTTCATCTCGACGTAAAGATAACCCCGACAGAAGATAAATATAGCAGAAACAAGATTCAAGCCTTGCTCCTGTCCACAAGTCCATGTGTGGAAGCTTATTCTAGCAGACACAAAAAGAGCACAGATTATGCAAGCAAAGCACCCCTGCAAATTATTAATAGGCCGAGCATAGCCACCTGTAGTATCCACGCTTATGTTCGCCTGGTTTAGACTTGGTCGTGCAACCTCCAATGCTTATTTGAGTAACAAGCTTTCCTTTCCAACAATGACGCAGCCTTGACGTCAGATAAGCGGTGCACTGGTCTTGGGTCTTGGAAAAACACAGCCTGTTCCTCGGCAAGAGTCTTTTCTTAGCATACAGCAATCGCAATCTCAGACTACGGACCGACCACAAAGTTACGACTACAGTAGAAATAAAGACAGAACTTTGTATTGGGCTTCCGAATTCGGAAGCGGCACATGCCTCGAATATTTCCCGGCGGAGGGAGAATTGTCAAGCCGTAAATGTACTTCTGGTAATGCAAAACGAGTAAATGCAGTGCGTTCCGCGTCTGTTGCGCGGACCCATGCTGCATGCAAGATTTAGGACCCCGTGCGTCCTCACATCATGAGGATCCCGAACACCACCAAGAGTGGCATAAGATACCGGGCAAAGGCAAACTGTGGAGACGGCAAATTGCCTGATATGGGGGAAGATGCTAGTCTGTTGCCGGCGTTGGAGATGGTCACGTGCGCGTACGACCGGATCCCGCCAACGGAGCCAGAAAGCGACCCGATTCCCACTTCTCCGGCAGGAACGCTGCTGACGTCAGTGTAAAACGACGAGAACTGCTGCGTGTATGGTGTTTGCACCGTCAGAACGGCTCCATTGTCGTATGTGACTGTGACCCAGATCAATGTAGGCAGATATGATGACGATGACGAAAATGACGAAGATGACGAAGCGCTGGAAGAATCAGCACATGAAGCAAACGATGCTAGGAGGAAAAGGAAAATGCTAACAATGTGCCATTTGTAGGATGCACTCATGCTGGAAGGACGAACTTATGTGGGACAAAAGCCAAAGGGAAAAGGAATGCGAGGGCGAGAATGCAAGTGTAACCAAGCATCACAAACAGGATCCCAGACACATATATACATCTGAGAGTTGAAGAATAGCATGGAAAAAAAAAAAAAAAAAAGAAAAAAATAGTATAATGCACCTTGATCGCACATCCGCGATTCGGTCCGCTGCAACCTTTCTGATGCAGCTATCTCACCCACACCTGCCTGCACAACGGGTTTCTCCATAGTCACAGAAGCTTTTGGAGAGGGTCTCGAACGGGCCTGCTGGGCTCAGCCTTGAAGCATAAAAACATGTTCCAAGAGAAAGACGGAAGCCAAATTGGATGTTTTGCAAAGAAGGCTCAAAAATAGCACAAGTGTATCATGTGGCAACAATCGGAGCCCCTGCCAGCTTATTTCACTCCCAGTAAACATAACAAATTTCTATACATAGACTGTGCGCGCGGATTAATGTCTGAGGTTGGGCATTGAAGATTTTCCGCCGAAAAGCTGAGGGACGCACGAAGCGCTGCAAGCATAGCCTATAGACGCTCCGAATTGCGCAGAAGCAGCTTTTCCGCCCTCTCTGCCGGCGGCCTATCCGCACAGATGTGATAGATAATAAGCGTATGTGTCAAAAGTTAGTTGATCGTAAAATGACACACAGGACGACGCCGCGTCTGTGTGCAGGCCGCACATCGAAGGAGAAAGAAGACGCATAGACGTGGGAGTGGCCAAGAAAACAGGAAAGGGCTCGCAGCCCCTGCCTTAAGACAAGAAAAATGACGGAACAAAAAAAAAACTTAGGCAAAAAAGCTCATTCGCCAAGATTCAAGAAACATGCTTGTTTCCTTTTGCGTGTCTAAGCCTTCAGAAGTGGTATCCTTTGCGATCCCAGCAGCGCCGCGGCTAGCTGCGTATACCACTGTGGTTTGTTTACCTGTGGCACCTGCACACAAATTAAACGAGAGACGTTTCATGCGAGCAAAGTGAGTCAAAATTCCGATGCCTGCGAGAAATGATCATGTTGGATCCGTATTCCATGCGTGATTCGGGTGGGCTCGAAACCACACACAGACCGAGGAAGGACAAAAGAGAGAAAGCATCGTCATCTGGCACTAAAGTTACAATTTAGGTCTAATTACCAACATTAGAACCTCGTGGGACCGTTGAGGTTCCAGAATCCATCCAGAGAGATCCATCCAGAGATCCATCCAGTAGAATGTAGAAGTGGCGGCCATATTTGATTATCACCTCAAAATGCAGATCAAGTAGGCTCCATAGATAAAAGATCAAATGGCAGATCATATCCAGGGCCATCGGACTGAATTATCCGCATCACGGCGAAATGTCCGACAGATTAGATGATATGTGTCACATGTGAGATGACAGATTAGAGATGACAGACCCCTCCATAGACATGTGTAGACTTGTAGACACTGGACACTTGTAGACACTGGACACTTGTAAACACTTGACACTTGTAGACACTTGTCAAGACTTCATATACTTATCCAGACAACGGATACTTATCCAACCCTTATCCAGATTCAGATGGCACTGCCAGACAGATATCTGACAATGCCAGCCTTGACATTCAGATGGGTTTGTCCACAGAGTCATATGCGAACATCGTCCAGATGCGATCCAGATACTAGAGACGATCCAGATACCATAGACGATCCAGGCCATCTCATGGCACAGTCGTCTTTTATTGGGACACCAGGAAACTCCCCATTTGGTGTTTCCTGGCACCCACCCGAAAACGTGCCATTGGCTAATTTACAATAGTGTGATGGAAAGTTCCATTGTTACCACACTGTTCCACTTTTCTTGTTTCTGCTCTCGCCCAAGTCCCAAAAGCCGCGAAGACTGTTGTCATCGAGCCAAGAACAGAAACACCGGCAAACGTCAGACGCATCGCGATCAGAAATAAGGTAAAGCACAGAAGCCAGAGTCCAAGCCAGAAAGTAGTCCAAGTAGTCCAAGCCAGACCAAGCCACTAGATAAAGTAGTTCAAGCCAGACTAGATAAAGTAGTCCAAGCCACTAGATAAAGTAGTCCACGGCCGGCTTCTTCGACGGCACAAGGCTCGCGTCCTGGTGCACGGCCTCAAACACCTTGTACTCCCGCTCCAACAGATCGTTGATGGTGAGAATGGACGCCACGTTGCCGCAGCGGTAGCAGTAGTTGGGCGCCGACCACACCGTGACCAACGAGCCCGAGAACATCTCCTTGTAGCCCTCCATGACAAGCTGGTGCGCCCGCGCAATGAGCGAGATGTCGTTGCGGCGGCAGAACTTCTGCGTCTCGGCCTCGCCAAACAAGTAGCCGGCGCCGCGCGGCGACACCGCCCACGACGGCACCTCCTCCGGGTCCGACCAGAGAAGATCGCACATGGCGCCCTCGTGCGGCACCTCCTGTTTCCGGTCAAGCACGCGGATCTCGTCGATGGTTTCCACATCGGGGCTGAGGCCGCCGTGGACGCAAAAAACGCCGCCCTTGCCGCCCACCACCGCACCCAACAGGATGTAGTCAAACACCTCGCAGCAGTAGCGCCACACATTGACGCTTCCGTACTTGCGGAGACACTCGTCGTAGAAACCGTAAACGGTGGTGATCTGGCGCAGCTCGTGGTTGCCGCGGATGAGCGTGATCTTGTCCGGATAGCGGATCTTGAGCGCCAACAACAAGAGCAAGCTTTCCAACGAGTAGAAGCCGCGGTCGACAAAGTCGCCGAGGAAAATGTACTGGGCCTGCGGACACTCGCCGCCCGTCTTGAAAAGCGTGATGAGGTCGTGCAACTGGCCGTGGATGTCGCCGCAGATGGTCACGGGCGGGTGGAGCTGCTGGATGTTGGCCTCTTCGACGAGGATTTCGATGGTTTTGCTGCAGATTTGCTGGACATGCGCCTCGGGGATGTAGCGGCACGCCTTGACGTCCTCGATGGTTCTGGCGTTAGTGGGAGAAGAGAAAAATCTAGACGGACACGTACTTTTCCAAGTCGAACATGGATGTGTTGGTGAGACGCGATGAACGGCAGATAAGAGAGGAGGAAGAAAAGACGAGGAAGGACGAAAAGACGAAGGAAAAGAGAAGGAGAAAAAGAAGAAAAAGAAGAAAAAGGGAAAAAGAAGAAAAAGAAAAAGGAGGATAAATAATGACAAATAATGACAATAATGACAAATGACCAATAATGACAAATAATGACAAACAAATAAAAAGTCGATTAGCTATAACTGGTACGTCAATTGGTTATCGCATTAAGACACGCGCGATCAAGCCGTTGAGTATAATTAAGAACAAAGCAACGGACCAGGTAAGTCAGTTTGTCATCCAAATCTCTATATTTAAGCTCAAAGAAAGACAAAGTCAGCCACGGAGCAAGGCATTCAAGTCATTGGATTAGGATTGCAGATTGAATGCAAGACTAATTGTGTCAATAAGTATTCAATTAAGCAGGCCAGCCAATCAGTGTACTTAAGGAAGTCATGGAACAAACTCAAGTTCAATAAAGGAAGTCACGGAAAGTCAGTCAAGTAAAAATCCAATAAAGGAAGATGGAACAAAGTCAGTTAAATAAAAATTCAATAGAAGTCCGCAAATCCAATCAAGGCTGCTGGGTATAACACAGGCACAAGAAATTCAACTTGATGACGCTAGGGTCTTATGAATACTGTACTGTTATGAATACTATACTGTTTTTATTCTTGTTTCTTCGACTTGTTTAGAGAATTTTATCAGCGATGATTAAATCCTTACCGGAATTCTTTCCAGTGAACATTAAAGAGCCAATTTTGGATTCGCCAAAGCCAGCCTTCAAGGAGGCTTGGTTCATCTAATCGTGAATGACTCACATGGCAAATGCCAATACGCTACTGCTATTTGCATCCAGACAGCACAGAATTTCTTGTTCCTACTTTAATCCTGTACTATCTTGAGACCAAAGATGCACCAGTTGGTATATTAAACTTGCTTTTGAAAATTACATAAGCGGTCTTATAGTGTAGTGGTATCACCTCGGATTCTGATTCCGGTAACCCGGGTTCGAACCCCGGTAGGACCTTTTTTTATTTTTCCTTGATGCAGTTCTAATGTTTGACAATACGGGCAGAATTTAATATTTTCTTGAATTGGAGGACAAAACTAGTGTTGAAAATAAGGTTCAACAGAATGGTGACTTGATAAACAACTTCCAGTGAACCTGAAAGAATCTGTTTTTAAGAGATCCGATTGGGACAAAATCGACAAATCCACTTTGACTCCTTCTCTCTTCTAGATATTTCTTTTTTTCAAATGGTTTGCTCCACTCCGTATGATTGTACTAACTAGTTTATCCGGAAATTGTCCTAACTAGTTTATCCGGAAATTGTCCATGGTTATTAATTTTGTAGAAAAGTCATTCAGACAAGAAACTCAACGTTTGTTAGCCAACACTAATATCAATACGAATGTAGTCTCAACGGCCCTTGCCGTGTCTATTGCCTAACCGAAATTTATTAAAAGTCCTAAATGCTTCAAAAGCTCAACGCACCGAAATTCTTGTCGGAGATCTTGTAGTAGTAGTCTTTGGTCATTCTTCTGAACTTCTTGCCCCAAACCAAGAAAATCACAAAGCCTCCGTTACAAATCACCGACAACATTAAACATCAACCACGTGGTGGTCGTGAGGCCGTCTCTGTCCAACCAGGGCTGGATGGCAAAAGTAAAGCCGCAGCCAATCATATTTCTCACAAACAACATGAGCACCAAGCCCTCAGAAGCCATGTTGGGGTAGCACTCGATGGCATAGGTCAAAGAAATGGGGCCCGTCGCACTCATGGCAAAACCAAGGAAGCCCTGGCCCAAAATGACCGAGATGGGCCATGGTTTGCGGTTGACCGAAGCCAAGCCGTACGCCAACAAGCCTGCGGCATTAATAAGCGTGGGGAAGATCATGGCCCAGAGCCGGAACTCAGGCTCCAAAATACCCTTGTTTCTCTTGGCCAACTTGATCGAAAGCCAGTCCACAAACCATCCACCGTAGGCCATACCGAGGATAGAACCGCCCAAAGGAGCCAAGTTCGTGAGACCCGTCGACGATGTGGAAAAACTGTAGTAGGTGGAGTAGATTTCCGACTGCGTCGTGGCAAGCAACGACAACCACATCATCTGGGACCCGTACACTATGCCACCCCAGATAATGGCCGGAAGCGGCGCCATCAAAAGAGGCCGGTAGAAGATGGTCAACCACGATCTTCTCTCGTTGAACTCCAACTCCATGAGCTGCATTCTCTTCCAGTAGCTTCTCTTGGAGCCCACCAATGGGTCTTCTCTTTCTTCCTCGGTCGAGTTTCTTTCGCTGATGATGTGCTTGACCTTTTCGTCCTTCTCGGACACGACGCCCGACTGCACGGCCGACAAGACGACGTCACGCGAGCGGATCTGCTCCAAAATGTCCTCTTCCGTGTGTTTTTCCTCGCGCGAGAACGTGGTGTCTTCCATCAAGAAAAGCTGGAGCGCAAACATCACGCAGAGAATGATCACCTGGAGCTTGAACGCCCACTGCCAGCTGGGCAAGTAGCCGGCCACCACCGGCCCGATGTCCGAGCCAAAGTACAAGGCCAAGATAAGCCACGACAACTTGGACGCTCTCTCGTGGGTGAAGAAAACGTCAGTCGAGGAGATTTCGACCAAAGAGTCGACGGGCGCCGCGGCAAAACCAGCAATGATGTTGGACGCATAGAGATATTGCACGCTGTTGGCGTGGATACCAATGGCATTGGCAATGATGGCCAAAATGGTACAGGTCAAGTAGACAAAACGGCGGCCCAACTTCATGGCCGTGGGCTGGAGGAAAACACAGCCCAAGCCCAAAAACAAAAAGCACAAGGCCGACGAGATGTTCAACTGGGTGAAGGTGCAGTTGAACTCCTCGGTCCACTCGGTCCAAAAAGGTCCACTCCAGTTGACGGTGACGGCCAAAAAAAACGCCCACACGAAAAGAAGCGTGAATTGCGCGTTCTTCTTGGTCTTGGACCACCGCAACGGGTCGTTGACGTTGTCCAGCGGCTGCGGCTGGAGAATGATGTTGCCGCTGCCGTCTTTTTGCACATGCAAGATGTTTTCCACATCCACCAAGTGGACGGTTCCGGGAACCAACTCCTCGTCGTTGATGGACAAGCGTTCGCCCGAGAGGACTCTGTTGAGATCTTCCGTGAAGGCCATGAAAGAAAAGATCAGTAGGTTAGATCAGAAGTAGTAGTTGTAGATAGTAAATCAGTAGATGTAGATGTAGATAGATCAGTAGATGGTAGATAGATCAGTAGATTGATCAGATTGATCAGTGGATTTGGCAGATCAGTGGATTTGACCAGATAGATGACCAGATAGAGTCCAGATGTTTTTTCCGGATTTCTCGCCTTTATAGCCGCATGCCTCATCTTATCGCTGAGCGAATATTGATAAAGACATGTATGGAGTGCGCATGGATGTTCTTTGCTTCCGTTTTGGGAAAGTCCCTCCGGTGAGGGGCCTGGTGTATTTTCTCCACGTTTTCGAAAGCCGCTAACTTTGGTTTGGCGGTTGGGTACGCTTCCTTTTTCGGTATTCTTTACTTTTTCCGCCGCTCCGTTTCCGCCGCCTCTGCGCTTCTTTGCGTCCACTTTGCTTCGCTGGCTTTTCTGCTCTTGTCCGCGAGGCTCGAGGCGCATATATCTCGGTCTAATGAGAGAAGGGCTTGTCCTGCACACAGCACCCAAGTATACCCATGAAAATTTTCGGTTCCTGCTCTGTATACACAACGCATGCCCAATATTCGGCCTGGAGATCCCGGTCAGCCAAGCAATGGCGTACTTAGCGCTAGGCTGTTTCTGGGCGGAGGCACGGGTGTCGGCCCTGACGCAAAACCAGCAGAATTCGCCCGTTTCGGCAGGCAAGCCTGTCAATAGTACCAGGCACGACCAGACGACAAGACGAAACACGACAAGACGACAAGACGACAAGACGAAACGCCAAAAGATATAAGCTCCGATATCAGCGTCTGTTCGGCTCGAGATTGCCTAGATAAGACGAGCGGAATTGGGGTCTGGGCCTGTCTGCAGTACGTAACCATTGGCGGAAAGCAAAAGTCGGCCCAGATGCTGGTCCTCGGAGCTTTCCTTCGTTGGAGCTGCCGATAAACGCCTGCAAATCTGCTTGGCTTCTGGTTTCGGACGTAGGTTTCCTATCTTATCACCGTGCGCCGTTGTGTTATCCTCACGTGAGAAGAAAAGGTTGGCGAAGGTGTTAACGTATCAAAGTTGTCAAGGCACGATGTCTAATCGCACGGTTAGGGGCGTTGGGAAATGACGGGGGAAGGGAAAAAGAAAGACAAGAGAAAAAGAAAGACAAGAGAAAAAGAAAGACAAGAGAGAAAGAATAAAGAAGAGAAAGAATAAAGAAGAGAAAGAATAAAGAATCATAATAAAGAATCAGAATAAAGAATCAGAATAAAGAATCAGAAGAAAAACGAAAGAGAGACACGTAGACTAGTATTTGTCCGCATTCTACTGCTTTTATTCTTTGTTGCACCGTAGTCGAGACAATCAGATGGGATTTTTCTCACATTACTAACTGTGTTGTTTCGACTTCCAGAGAAAGTAGGCCAGCCACATCTAGATACTATCCTGGCACTGCATTGTTAACGGGTTCTGCCAACACTTTAGCCCTTTTCGCTTTCGATTACCCTTTTCGTAAAGCGGGCCCATTGTTCCTAGTAATAAGTTGCTTTGGGAACAACATGCCGCTAGCACCTGGTCTCGCCGTTGATAGACCATATACTGGCAGATAGCTTGTCCTATCTTTGCAATCTGTAAAACCGATCATCCTCTTTTGTGGGCAAAAAAAATATATCTAGGTTCCCAAGAAATGCGGGCTTTTTCTTCCTGAAATTCGAGTTAGGGATTTAAACTTCATCTGTGGGTTGGAGAAGAATTCCAACAAAAAAAAATAAAGAAACTGGATGGAAGACAACTCGGGATGCTCGGATGAGGACACTTTTACAGTATAGAAGAGACGATACAACATTGAGGCTTACTAAAATCAGCAGAAACTAATCCGGAGGCTAATGGTTTTTCCTTGTTTCCCTCTTGTTTTCCATCCGGACTTCCCTCTTGTTTTCCATCTGTTAAAAGCTCTTCAATAAGATGACATTCCCTACAGATGGTTACGAAGAAGCTGACACTCAAGTTTTTGAACGAATAAACAGAAAACTGTCATGACCATTTTCAACAATAGCCAAACCAGAAAGCAAGGATACTGGAACCTTTTACGGTGCTACTATCCCGTGGGCTACATCATCTGTCAAGAAGACTAATATCTGATTTCTGAATAGCGTTTTACCACTTGCCATAAACACTGAAACTCATGTTGGACAAAAAATGATTTTTTTTTTTTTTTTTGTTTCGGCTATAACAGGTCACCGGCTGGGCTCTTCCTCATTAGCATAGAATATATCTTGTCTTCATAGTGCAAGTGAGCTTTAACCCGTATCATGTCAATATTGGAAGAGGCCCGACTTAGGTCGCAAAATATGCACCAGCTCCTAAAGCGCGGAAGCATGCATTTTACACACGCATGAAAGTTGACATGAGCACATTAGATAAAAAAAATACAGGTCCAGGCTACATTGCGTACGTTAAATCTCTGCCCATTAAACCATACTCTATAATCGCCGCGTAATTATTGCCACGAGGGCAAGGTGTACTTCATGAAGGACTTTTGCAACTGCTTACGCACAGTCACCTTTTGTGCCCCCACAAAACTGTCGATGCTGACCTTGATCGCTCTGTTCAAGTCGCCTTGGCTGACAAAATCACTGAGTCTCATTCTTGCAAAAGCCTCGGCAATACGAATGATACTCTCCAAGTGACGAACAGTGATGGGGAAAGAGCCGGTTGAAATGGATTCTCTTCTCAAGTCAGCATACACACGTGCCACCTTATCCATGTCCATCTGGTGCAACTTGGGCAGGATCTTTGTTCTGGCGTAGCTGATGTACTTTGCCAAAACGTCTTGCGGAATGGGCGAGATTTCGCTTTCTCGCTGCTTGGTCTTTTCCATGACGATTTCTCTGCGCGAGTGAGGCTCCAACTGTTCATCCGACTCTTCGAAAACATCGTCGTCGTTGGCCGGATGAGACCGCATGTGCGAGTCGATCACAAACGTAGCCAATCTTTCGTCCAGCTCCGGGTTGACCACGTCTCGGACAACACACAAAATGTCAAACCGCGACAAGATGGGCTCGGTCAAGTTGACATTCTGCGAAAGCGGGAGCGTCGAGTTGTATTTTCCACCAATCGGGTTGGCCGCCGCAATGATGGAGCACCGTGCCTGCAAAGACGTGACAATACCGGCTTTGGAAACGGAGATGGACTGCTGCTCCATGGCCTCGTGAATGGATGTTCTGTCCTGGTCGTTCATCTTGTCAAACTCGTCAATCAAACAGGTTCCCTTGTCCGCAAGCACCAACGCACCTCCTTCCAACGTCCACTCTCGGGTGATTGGGTCTCTGCGCACAGACGCAGTCAAACCGACGGCAGACGCACCTTGGCCCGTGGCGAAAACGGCTCTGTTGGCGGTTTTCTCGGCGTACTTCAAGATCTGCGACTTGGCCGTTCCCGGGTCACCAAGAAGCAACACGTTGATGTCTCCACGGATGGAGTGTTTGCCGTTGACGTTCTTGGCCACACCGCCGAAAAGAGAGCAGGCAATGGCCGTTTTGATGTCTTTGTGGCCGTAGATGGAAGGCGCCATCGAGGCGATGATTTTGTCGATGATTCCGCGTTCTCTCGAGAGCCTGCGGAATTCCCGCTCGTCCTCCTCCACCCAGGCAGCCTGGCCCGTGTCGGAGTTGAAGACAGACGACGTTTCTTTGCGCTTGACCGAGTTTGCCTCGACAATCGTGGCAAAAACAGGGAAGCCGTTTTTCGCATTCAAACGGCCGTCGTAGTTGTTTTTGTAGATGCCCACAATCTCCACCTCCTCGCCCGGCTTGGCCACGTCGACCAAGTCCGAAAGCAAAATGACTTCTCTGTGGCGGGGCAAACGGCCGGCCGGAACAGACCCTGGAGCCTCTTGCAAAGTGATTCTTTGGTAATTACGGTAGAGCGTTTTCTCCGAGTTCAACTTGAACGGGCCCTTGGCGTGGCAGTTTGTGCAGAAGCTCACCTTGACCTCTGTGTTGGAGTCCTGGATGAACGGGCCCAACACCACGCCACATTTAAGACAGTCAAACTTGACATACTTGAGCTGCGGGAAAACGCCGGTTCTTCTGGTCACCACGCCGGTGATTTTCACCAACTGGTTGAGGTTTTTCTCCCGGAGGTCCCGCAACGACAAGTGGTTGGGGAAATCGGAGATGCGCACGTGGATCTCCTGGTGGATCTGCGAGTAGTTGGGGTAGTGCAATTCTGTCGCCTCCATGGCGACAATGTCGAAGATCTTCAACATCTCCGCCGGGCTGGACGCCAAAAACAACGCCAAAATGGCCTTGGAGTCCGCCAAGTGGCCGTACGAAACGTCCAAGGACTCGGCATTGACCTCACCCAAGGTCCGGATCCGGGCGCCGTACACAGACCGGCCCTTTTCGTCGGTGTACTCCAAAAGAAACGACTTGAGCTCGCGGGCAATGGAGCGGGACACCGCGGGCTGCAAAATCCACTCGGTGATGGACTGTGCCTTGACGTCGGCCAAACTTTCAAGCGACAATTCCTCGTGGAACGGGTCGATGTCGGCGTCGTCCATGAACATGTCGTCGTCGTTGTCGTACTGGCGCCGGCGCCGGCGCCGCTGCACGGGCAAGCCAAACTCGTTGACGTCACCAAGATCGTCGTCGTCCAAAAGCGCCTGTTCTCGTCCTCGGGCCGTTCTTGTCGTGCCCAAAAGCTCGTCTCGGCGGTCCAACTGCTCGTCGATGCGGCGACGCGTGGCCGCGTCCATTTCCTCGTACTCGGCGTCGTCGATGTTGCCGTCGCCCAAGTCGTACGTGTCCTGCTGCTCGTTGCGGCGGTAGTCGTTTTCCAAGTTCTCCATCAAGTCTTCGCCCTCTTCTTCGTCGGACGGGTTCAAGTCGGTGACGTCATTGTGGATCTCCTCCTCCTCCTCTTCGAAGGGGATGGCGGGAGACGACGGCGGCAATTGCGGGCTGGACGCCAACGACGGCGTCGATCTGTCTGACTGTAAGTCCTCGTCGGCCTCGGCCTGTCTTTTTCTGGGGCTGGACATGGAAGAAAAGTCAGGAAACTGAAGAAACTGAAGAAAGTAGAGAAGGGTGGAAAAGTCGAGAAAGCTGGAGAAATCAGCTGGGAAATTGACGAGGTGAAAAAGTGAAAGAACTGGCTGAAGTTGGAACTGTGAACTGTGAGAAGGGTATGCGAAAAAAACGCGTTGCCCAAACGGGTAAATTACGTGCAGTGTGCAGGCGCTTCGCATTGGGAAAAAGACTGCTTGAGACTTTGTCGAATTTACCTTTGGCTAGTTAACAAAAGGTTTGCTAGCTGAAAACCGTTGAGACTTTGGCTAGTTAACAAAAGGTTTGCTAGCTGAAAACCGTACTTTTCAATATCACCTATTCAATCCAATTTGTATAATGTCATATCAGTTATGGCACTAGTTAACAAAAGGCTGGCCTTTAATTAATACATGGCTTGTTAACAAACGACACTTTGGCACTAGTTAAAACAAATTTGGCACAGTTAAAAAATTGTTTGGCAGTTGACAAAAAGTATGGCACCTTTTAACAAAGAATGGCACCTTTTAACAAAGAATGGCACCTGTTAAGAATGGCTACTAAACAAAATTCTTTGGCTAGTTAACAATAGTTTAGCCTGAGAAAAAAACACTACTCAGCAAAAACTGTGTGGCTACAAATGTAGTTGGCATAATGGCCATGGCCATATTTGTGGTGTGTTATGTGATCACTTCCAGACGTAATTTCCTAAACGACTTCACAACTCTTGATTTTCTACGATGTGCAATGTTCAAGTCCATAAACCTAGGTTTCTGCTGTGCGGCTTCATATTAGTTGAGCATAGGAAGCTCAGAAGTTTATGTCAAATGATCAATTCGGGAATTGGTAGCTGGCCAAAACGTTCTCGCTGTTTAATTGAACAGAATCATACATTGCGTGGACGGTGCATTACTAGGTCGTTTATTCTGAGTACTAGGTCGTTTATTCTGAGTAGTAAAGTAAATAGACTAGTGGTGAAGATCTCTACATTGTCTGGCTCGCCTTCCGATATAAGAAACGCATTGATGAACATGTAAAATCAAATGTTTAAGACTTTAAAAATTATCGGCTTATCATTTTGGCGATCTTATACTAGTGTAACCCTGAATTCAGTATTTGCTAAAGTATCGTATCATGGTAATGTTCATTCACAGTGGAAGTAGACTGCAATATATATGACCATATGGGTGAGGAACTCGGCTTCACTTTAGTGACTATGTGATGGAATTGATCTTTTCCAATCTGCGATTAACCGGATGCCAAATCAAATTCTTTTTGATGTCCATACAGTTACAATGAGAGTGATCTTCAATACCAATGAAGCTTCAGTACTGTATTTTGGATGCTTATTTGCTTAGAACACGTCCTCTTAGTACGTATACTTTGATGTATAATTGTTGGATGTGGAACACTGAAACTGAGAGCATCCTAATGTTGGTAAATCATACGCACTGCCAACAGCTGAATCGTGTTATCTACTAAGATTTCTAACCATAATCAATCATTATTGATGACTGTTTGGCTTTAATACTAAGCCGATTTCCACATTGATCCTGTTTCTCCTAGATATATCGCATCACTATAATATAGAGAAGGTGAATTGATCATTACCAAAAACAAGAGTGTCTACATCACTATGGAGAATGAACACACCATTACCGAAAACAAAAGAGGACAAAAGCTGAAATTAGTTTTTTCCTCAAATATCAAAGAACCTCAGAGTCTTCCAGTGATAGAGTTTACGAGTCTTCTATATAACTAAGCTATCAGCAAGGAATACTTGACACCTAAGTCTAAATCTGGGCTTCAACTGGGGGACTGATGTTTGAATTCATGTCACTCTACCAAAACAAAGAACATGTCCTTCTTTGTCTGGTACCGTTACTCTGCTCAACAACACTATCTTATCATTCTTATCGTAATATACATTTCACTTATTCGCACTGACATTATACACTCTTCTCACCTCTAACACTACACACTTCTCTTCTACTTCCAACACCACTCACTTCTATTCTACTTCCAACACCACTCACTCTTACAAATTACCACAATTTCCACCAACATGGCCGATTCTGTCACGGCCGTGGACTACTTGGAGCAGCAGCTCTCGCTCGAGCGCCAGGCCCGCGAAATCATGCCCTACGAGCCCGACTGCTGCACTTATCCCAGGCTTCTTCGCCAGTTGGTTTTCGCGTGCTTGACGTGCCGCCGCCACAACAACGGCGCCAACGTGGCCGTGTGCTACCTGTGTCTGATCCAGTGCCACTCGACGCACGAGCTCGTGGAGCTTTTCTCGAAACGGAACGTGGCCTGTGACTGTGGAACAACCCGAATGGGAAACGGCGCCGGCTGCCGGCTCCGGGCCAATGCACCGGGAAACGACGATTCTGGAAGTGGAAGCAGAGTGCCTCGTCTCCGAACGGGCTCGTCGTCTTTGTTGGAGCCCGTCCATGTGTCTTCGTTGGACCTCCAGGCCGACGACATTCCTGTTCTGGACAATGTGTACAACCAGAACTACCGGGGCCGCTTCTGCCTGTGCCACGTGTTGTACGACCCGGAAAAGGAGACGGGAACAATGCACCAGTGCTACTTGGGCAACGTGTGTGGGGAAGACTGGTTCCACCAGGAATGTATCATGGGAGTGAAGAAGGAGGAGAAGAAAGAGGAGAACGGGGAGAACGAGGAGAACGAGGAGAAGGAAATTGGGAACGAAATCAAAGAAGACAACAAAAAGAACATAAAGGTGGAGAACGAAAAGAACGCAGTGAAGACAGAAACCTCCGATCTTGTGAAGACAGAAACGACCTCCGATCTTGTGAAGGACCAAACTTCAAACAGAATATCTGTCGATCCTACAGAAACAGAGTCGTCTGACGCCCCGTTCTTCCCCTCCCTTGACTCCTTCAGTGAGTTTGTCTGCTGGCAATGTGTCCAGTCCCACAAAGAAGCCTTCAAACAACTCGCCCAACACGCAAATATCGTCGCCCACAAATTGCCGCATGTCCTGGTCGACAGTGCCCTCGAGTGGAAAAAACACTACGATGCCTTTGTCAGCGACGAACCGCCGCTCAAAAAACGCCCGAACCAAGAGACTCCCTTTTCCGTCATGTTAGCGCCCGACTTCAAAGAAGAATTGACACAGCTCAAAAACAGCCTTGACGATAAGAGTCCCTTGGCACGCCTCTTGCAAGAATACCCGTTCTTGTATGGAGAAGATCCAACTTACGAGCCGGAAAACGACACAGACTCTGTTTCTTCTGGTGCTTCTCTCTTTGAATTGGGCTCCAATGCGCTTCTGAGTCTTCCGGCTCCTCAAGCGATCGAGGGCTTACATGCCTACGGGAAAATGAAAGAGAAGCTCCGTGACTTCTTCAAGACTTTTGTGGATCAAAAGAAAGTAGTCACAGAGGAAGAGGTGAGAGAGTTCTTTGGGAACATGGATAAGTAGCAAAATAGGATAGCTCAGTATCATTGCAAATTCGTTTATTGCATCATTCCATTATGTACAGTGTGCTCTTTATTTCTTCTTCTTCTTCTCGTCTAGCTTGGCAAATTCTTCCTTCCATACACTGGAGAATTTGTTCTTGTCTGCGTTGGGGAAAATCGCCTCGAAAACGTCAGAGTACCACAGCACAGGAATGAACTTCACGCCGCTCTTGACCTCGTCTGGAATCTCTTCCAACTCGTTTTCGATATCTTTGGGGAAAATCACCGTGTCGCATCCGTATCTCTTGGCCCCTAAAATCTTCTCCCTCAATCCACCAACAGGCAACACTTTACCTGTAAGGGTGATTTCGCCTGTCATTGCAATGGTGGGTGGCAAGGGTTCGTTGACCGCCAAGGAAATCAAAGATGACGTGAAAGAGATACCTGCGGATGGCCCATCTTTTGGAATCGCTCCATCGGGACAGTGAATGTGGATGTCAGCAGCCTCGAAAAATCTGTTCTCGGGATAGTTCTTCACCATGAACAGTTTTGCAAACGAATACGCAATCGAAGCAGATTCTTTCATCACATCCTTCAAATGGCCAGTCACATGCATGCCGGCATGCCCCGATCCAGACCCAATGGCGTGGGTCAATATAGATTCAATGTACAACGCATCGCCATTGCCCGAAGTGCTGTAAGACAAGCCTGTGGCCACACCAGGAGGTGGGATATCGTATACACGTGCTCTCGTGTAGATTTCTGGACCAACATAGTCCTTCAAGACCTTGGGCGTGACTTCCAACTTGATGTTTTCTGGAATCTCCAAAGGCTTGCTCTCCTCTTCCGTGAGAGTTTGTGCATTTTCTGATGTTTGAGCGGATTTGGCAGCAGCCTCCGAAGATTTACTTTCCTTGGTTTCCTTATCCTTAACCAAAGTTTCTTTGGAAGTTTCCGTCAGCTCTTTTTCCTCCTTGGTCTCCTTTTTCCTCGAGCTCTTCAACAATCTTCAAAGACGCCTTACTGAAGATTCTCGTGATCAACTTCTTGATGTTTCTCAATCCACTTTCTCTGCAATACTTTTCGATTAATGTGGTTATGGTTTCTTCCGGAATCACCACATGGCTTTCGTCCAAGCCAGCCTTTTTTGCTGCTTGCGGAATTAAATGCTTTCTAGCAATTTCGAGCTTCTCGTTGTTTGTGTAACCAGAGACATCAATCACCTCCATTCTGTCTCTGAGCGGGCCGGGAATATTACCCAAATAATTGGCTGTGCACACAAATAAAACCTTGGAGAGATCGACCTTAACGTCAATGTAATTGTCCACAAAGGCATTGTTTTGCTCTGGGTCCAAGATCTCCAAGAATGCAGACGCCGCCCCTCCGCTTCTAGACAAATCCAACTTGTCAATTTCATCAATCAACATCAATGGGTTGGAAGTTTTAGCCAGCTTCAATGCAGCTATAATACGTCCTGGAATAGACCCAATATATGTTCTTCTGTGGCCCTTCACTTCGTGGACGTCTTGGATTCCTCCCATGGCAATACGTACATATCTGCGGTCTAAGGCTTCTGCAATAGATTTAGCAATGGAAGTTTTACCGGTACCTGGAGGTCCGGCCAAACACAAGATTTTTCCGTCTACTTTGCCTGAGACTTTGCCCAAAGAGATGAACTCCAAGATTCTTTCCTTCACTTCTTTCAAGCCATAATGGTCGCGGTCCAAAACCTCCTTCGCAAGTTTAATATTGAAACGGTCCTTCGAGAAAACTCCCCACGGAATGGACGTCAACCAATCAAGATATCTCTCGCTGACTGCGAGCTCGCTGGAGTGCTCATTTTGACTTTCCATTTTGGCCTTTTCCGTGTTGTACGCTTCCAACGCTTCTTCTGTAAGCTTCAAGTGTTTTAAGCGCTCGTCGAATTTGTGAGTTTTTGATTTTTCCGAATCCACTAGCCCGGCGTTTCTTTGCAAACCCTTGATATATTCCTTAACGATTTGCTTCGTTTGCGCCTCGTCTGCTCTGCTGGTCAACTCCTTCATTGTTTTGTCTGCGATGGTATATGCTTCAAGTTCGTTCTTGAACAAGGCCAAAGCTTTTTGCAATCGGAGCTCGATGTTGAACTCTTCTAATAACTCTTGGATTTTCTGTGGTGTAGCACTAGTGGTTGAGCCGATAAAATCCGCAAGTTTATGTGGAGACGTTAACAAGTTGCTAGCGTCTCTAACGGTATCTTTCTTGTTGGGAATGACACGGGCCATCTTCGCCAAGAGCGCCTTGACGTCTTCAATAAGAGCCTTGAATTCTGCGCTGCTCAAGTCATACGGTTCGTCTTGGCAATGAGTGACTTTCGCATACGACACGCCCAAAGTCTTCAAGTAGTCTGTAGGAAAATGCTCCTCGTCTTCTTCTGCTGGCTGCTGTTCGTTTGGAATAGACAACTTCTCTAACTTGCATCTTTCCATCGGGTAGCCCAATATCCGCAAGTAGGGACCATCTTCGTAGTACCGCTGCACATAGCAGTGGACACCGATGTCGTACACAGATTCTCTTTTGTTGATGATGTCGGTGTCGGGTTCTTCCGGGTCTTTCATGTGGAACAAGACAAAATGGGGCTCTCTTCTGTCGCAGATTTCGATGATCAGTTTTTTGACTGCGGGGTCGGAAATGTTGATGGAAAAGGGCCTTCCTGGGAGCGGGATCTTGTCCTTCATGGCAATAGCTAGAAGTGGCGGGTACGACCCGGAAACAGAGTCGGCAACAAACAGGGGCACGTGATCGGCGTCTTTGTCGTTGTTGTTGTTATTGTTGTTATTGTTGTTGTTGTTGTTATTGTTGTTGTTGTTGTTGTTGTTGTTGCCACCGCCGCCGCCGTTCCCCGTGGACACTGAGCCCGCAACAGCGCCGGATCCGGCGCCTTCTATAGATGTTCCAGGCACGTTTTCTGGCGTTTTCTCGGGCGCTTCCGGGCTAGGCGGCTGCTTGTCCTTCTCGTCCTTCTCGTCTTTCTTCTCTCCCTTCTCCTTGTCGCCGGACTCGCCTTTCTCGGCGTCGGACTTGTCGTTGTCCGGTTTCTTCTTCATTTCCATAATGGGCGAGTCTATGTGCGAGCCAAAGCTGTTTCCGTAAATCGAGGCCAATTTTTGCGGCGCTGGAACCACAACGTGAGCTTTCTGGGCCAACACGGCCACCTCTGAAGCGAAAACTCCGCTTTGGTCGACATTGGTGGCGCTGGTGGCGTTTCTCACCAAAACCGGCAAGCGAATTCGGCAGGTGCCGCTTAAATATGTGCGGGAGTGGCATGCCGCCCGAGCAGGACCAGCCACATGTTTCGATCTGAGCATTTGAACAGAGGAATAACCAACAGGGGAGAAAAAAGAAACTGTACGAAACTGGAAGTCTGATATCAGAGGGCGAATTTCTGCGACCGGTGGGTTTGGTCACGTGCAGGAGACTTCTGGATCATGTGCACACGAGCGATCGGAGATCAGATTAGAAGGACGGATGGGCAATTGGGAAATTTGGAATTTGGAGTTTTGGAGGATTGGGCAATTTGGGCTTTGATTGGAGTCATTTGAGTGGTTGGAAGATTGACTTTTTTTTTTATGTTTTTTTTAATTAAGATTGTGTCTCGATGTAGATTTGGTGATAGAGGTTTTGAGATGTAGTTAATTGTTCATTGATATATAAGCAAAGTCTGTTTTATTGAAGCTGTACTGTTTATTTAAATAATCAAACTATTAGCATTTCTTGAGTTGGTTATGAATTATCTGGTGAGAATGACCCGGTAAAAATTCAAGAATCTACCATAAAATCAAAGCGTTTTCATCAATTGAGTTGAAAACTTAGCATTACATGTGTAGATGCGATTTTCTTTCGACAATGTCTAAGCTTGTTGAACCGCTTAGGATTAAATCAGGATGATCATAATGCAGTCTGCTCGTATTTCACTTTAAAGAAGACTACGAGTACATGCGTCGTCAAGCAGTTCTTACTGGATTTCGAGCTGAATATAGGATTTTGAGCCGCATTATCTTTCAAAATGTAGTCTTCTTTCTTCTGTCAACTTCCATGCAATTTAGCGATTATATTGCTTTTATATTGATTGCTGAAACTTTGGAAATTAGTTCATCTAGAAAATGTTCATTTTCATAGAAATATCAAAACCCAGGCATCCAGATGAGACTCTAGGCAAATACTGGATCATATCTTGAAAACATGTCTCTTTTTCTGCGGGGCCTCCGACTCAGGCGACTCTCGTTTTCTTTTTGCGGGGCGCAAAGGTGAAGACGTGTCCTCCTTGAAATTCTCGTCGTTGTAATAGTTGAGCGAGTTCATGTCCTCATCTTCTACGCCAAGGTCTGTGGCCTGGGGAAAAATTGTAGTAGATGCCTCTGCAGCCAAGAGTTGTATTTTCTTTTTCTTTTTTCTTTCTGAAAGCGTGTTGTTGGCGCTGTGGAATGTTTCATCTTCTGTGTCTGTAGCCATTGAGGATTCAGGGAGTTTTTCAGATTGTCTGTTTGTTTCTTCAGTGTCTGCTGTTTCACTATTCTCAATGCTGCTCTCTCCCTTCTGTTCGTGTTTGTCTTGATTTGCCGTTCCTTGTCCGTCTTCTGCTTCTTCTCCTGTACCTCTTTCAGCATCGTCCGTTTCTGGTTTAGACGGTGTAGAATCCACACTGGAGTTGGCAGGCGAAAAGCCAGCCTTTTTCTCCGTTTGAGAAAGCTTCAACGACGCCTGAGACACCAAGGACGAGACGCCAAAGTCAATGCGAGGCGCTGCGTTGCCGCTGCGTTTCTTTTTGAAGATGGGCGATGCGCCAGAAAACATCGATTGGTTGGGCGATAAGAACGTGCTGCCTGCAGAAACTGATCTTTCTCCCAATCTTCCCGAAGAGTTGGGCGGCGACAAGATGCTCGACCGTGACATGGCAAGCGAAGATCCCGATACTGCCCTGGTTTTAGGCGCCGCTGCTGTTGCTTCGTCCAATTTCTTGCGGAGTTCAGCCACCAGGTCCTTCAATTCGTCAATCTGCGCCTCGTGCAACTTTTCCTTCGTGGAAAGCTGCAGTTTCAACACCGACACGCGGAGCTCGTAATCTAGGAGCTTTTTCTCCGTTTCTAGGTCCTTGGCGTCTGTTTTCGGCGCCGCCTGTGTTTGTGGAGCATCTTTCTGGTGCAAAGCTAGAACTTTGAGAGTACACAAATGAATAAGCAAGTTGCGGGACGTGTTCTCCGCCTCAAGCTCGGAAAGCTGCTGCTTGAGCCGGTAGTGCTCGTCCAATAGGGTCTCCATCGAAAAAGAAGGGAAAAAAAGACAAATTGCAAGGAAGAAGGAAAAGTAAATAGACAAGTAAAGAAGATGTGAGCGCGCACTATTTACCTAAGATATAAGCATCGCGAAATGGGATTCTCATCTGATCTGGTTTTTATTGTCCAACAGATTTTAGGATCTTCGGGAGTTTGCTTGGTCTTTCATTCGTGTGGTGATTGATATTTTGATCTCATCTGCATTTCCTGGATTTACTTGAAGTGATTTCCCAGACTCCGAATCTTCAAGTCTTCAAAGTATATCCAAGTCTGCTTCAAGTCTAGGGTAACTTCAAGTCTAGTTTATCCAAATCAACTTCAAGTCTAGTTTATCAAGTCTGCTTGTCTTCTAAATTTATCCAAGTCTACTTGTTGTTTCTCCAAGTTTCAAGTCTTTGTCTTGTCTTCGTCTCTTAGATTCTTCATGATTCTCCAGGATATCGGTCCCAGCTGCAAAGGCAGCAAAAGAGAAGAGCGGTTCAAGCATCTCAACGTCTTTCAAGCATGCGATGACTCGTATGTGGTGGATGCGCTTCTAAACGAAGAAGCGATTCTCCGATCGCCCTACCACAAGATCACCGAAGAAGGAAACCGTACCAAGATCTTTTTGGACAAAAGCGCCCCGGACTACGACGACTTGTTTGGCCACAAAGGAAACGCCGTGGCGCCAGACGACATTCTAGAGGTGCTCAAGCCGCTGACGTTGAAGATTCCCATAAAATACAGAGAGGAGTTTGGGCCGGACCAGCTTCCGCTGGCAGAGCTTCTTTCGGCGTTGCAGTACTATGCCAGCCACTTGGAGCTTCCGAAAAACAGCATGGACGAGACGGCGCTTTTGGCGTTGGGCATTTTGGCCGAGTCCTGGGCCGATGAAATGGTGTCTGAGTCTGTGGCTCTGATGTTCATGGAGCTTGCGGAAGAAAACACGCCTGCTTCGGCGGAAGACATGTATGGCCCTTCTTCCGACTCGGATCTTCTAGATTCGCTGGACGGCGACGTGGTCTGCGGGTCAGACGACGATAGCGACATCATGTCTCTAGAAATGGAGGAAAGCGACACCGAGGACGAAGAAAGCGAAAGTAATAAATCCGACGTCGCCTCGGTCTCTTCGTCTTCGTCTTTCTCCGACTCTGGAACGACGTGCTCCGATTCGGCTGAGTCTGAGCCTGAAACTGCGACTACAAGAGCTGATTCAAAAGCTTTTGCGCCTGAAGCTAAAGTTTCTCCTTCTGGTTCTGCTCCTTCTGGTTCTGCTGCAGGTTCTGCTCCGAATTTTGATGTGTCTGGTTCTTCTAATGTGTCCTTTGCGGAGCCTGAAAGATATAGTCCATCACCTTCGCCTTCTCCTCCTAGGGCATATGCCTCGGCGGCATTTCGGGAAGCCACCAAAGTAGCCCCAATCATGGAAACACTGACGGAGGAAAGTTCGGACGCCGAGTCGAACACGTCGATTTAACGAACGAACATTGGACCAAGAACAGTCTAGAGCCTAATCATTAATGCATCTCGTTGGTTGTTCTCATGTTTGACTGTAGGCATATTTAGCAATTCACCACTAAACATAGCTTTCAATTCACAAACTGAACATAGCTTTCAATTCACCAAACTTAACATCAATTCACCACTTAAAATCAATTCACCAAACTTAACATCAATTCACCAAACTTAACATCAGTTTTTCAATTCGCCAAACTTACATCAGTTTTTCAATTCACCAAACTTAACATCAATTCGCCAAACTTAACATCAGTCTTTTAGTTTACCAAACTTAACATCAGTAGCACTTCACCACTGAACATAGCTTTCAATTCAGTTTCCAAGCTCCCCTATCAAGCTCTTTCGTTTGGCTTTTCGTCTAATACTTCAGACTCAATCCATTAATTCTTCGAGATCTCGGTTACATGCAACTTCTACAGAACGCTTTCTAACGTTTTATTGATACTTCTACAGAACGCTTTCTAACGTTTTATTGGTACTTTCTACAGAACGCTCTCTAACGTTTTATTGATACTTCTATTCTACTTTGTCTCAGTCTTTTCCTCAGTTTGCTCAGTCTCCTCGGTTTCAGTCTTTTCTTCAGTCTTTTCTTCAGTTTGCTCAGTCTTTTCAGTTTCCGTCTCTTCCGAACGGGCCCGTTTCTGCGCCTCCACCTTCATCTGGTAGATTTTCTCCTTGCCCTCGTCGTTGGCCGACGTTTCAATGTCGTAAAGACGCATGAGCAACTCCTGGGTGTCGTGCTTGTTCACCATCAAGTTGACGTTGGCCCTGCCCTTCCACAACGGCATGAACAAGTCCTCAAGCCCCTCACGCTTGATGGTCAAAAACACACAGCCCTCCGACATGGCCTCCAACTTCTCGCAGAAGGCCGCATCCGTTTGCTTGAGGTTCTCGATGCGGGGAAAGGCGTCCTGGAACAAAACCTTCAACAAGTCCATGCTGGTGGTCAATTGTCTGGCCGGGCCCAAGTGCTGGCGGAGGAGAGGCAACGCTTCGTTCTGGGCCCTCCATGGACAGACGCCGCTGTCGTTTCTCTGGGCGCTGAAAAGCTTGATGCCCGCGTGGATGAGCTTCAACTTCTGCGTCTCGCTCTTCAAGATTTGCGCAATGGATGGGCTCACGTAGTAAATCACACGGCACGCCTCGCCCGTGGCGTTTCTCACCAACTCGGTGTTCCGCGGGAACTTGTCGTCGACGTCGTAGAAGGCCCAGCACTTCTGCAACAGCTCGTTGGCCGGGTCCAAGAACACAAACGGCTCTTCGTTGGCGCCGCGCGGCGTTTTCTTTCTGCTTGTGGGCACCGCCTGGGTCTGCTCTTTCTGCTCTTTCTGCTCTTTCTGCTCTTTCTGCTCTTTCTGCTCTCTCTGCTCTTGCTCGGTCTGCTCTTTCTTCTCCGTCTTGGCTCTCTTTTGCTCGGGCTCGCCGTCTCTCTCGGAGCCTTCTCTCTTGAGCTCGGCCTTGGGCTTCTTCTCAAACACCGTGATGAAGAATCCGCCCGTGTTCTGCAAGTGTGGGTACACACGCACGCATCTGTCCAAGTGGAAGGCCTGGGCCTCTTCTTCTGAAGGTGGGAAAGCGGTCGCATGCACGCCTTCGTCGCCCTTCTGTTTCTCCTCCAACTCCTTGTTGAACACCTTCCACGACGAAACACCGGCCCGTCTCTTCAAGCCCGGCAACTCGGCCGAAACGTCCACAAGCGAAGCCTGGGGAAACCGGCGCAATGCTTCGGCCACAACAGCCTCGTTTTCGATCGGAGACATCGAACATGTCGAGTACACAAGACGCCCGCCCTCCTTCAACAACTGCAAGCCCCGCGACAAGATGTTCACCTGCAACGGATGCAAGCCCATGCCGTCGGCCACAGTGAAGTCTTTCCACACGTTGATGTTCTTTCTCATGGTGCCATCACCGGAACAGGGCACATCACACAAGATCCGGTCGAACTTGATGTGTTCGCTGTGCTTCTCGAGCTGCACCCGTGGGAACAACTGAGCATCATGGTTCACCACAAGGAAGTTGGGCGAGTTCAACCGCTTGACCTGGTGCACCAACATGTGCGATCTCTTGTAGTCGCTGTCGTTGGCAATGACAAAGCCCGAGGCTGGAGTTTCGGCGTCCTTGGCATGTAAGGCCTCCACAAGCTGGGCCGTCTTGGAGCCGGGCGCCGCACACATGTCCAACACCGCATGGTGGGGCTGCACGTCCATCAAAAGCGGCGGAATCATCGACACGGCTTCCTGACGGGAAATGTTGCCCACGGTGGTTTCAAGCACCAAAAACCGCTGCGTCTTGGCAAACTCGGCGTTTTTCCGGATCACCAGCTTCGGCACGTCCAACTGCCACCCCAAGTTGTCCGGGTAGAAAGCAATGTTCTTTGGCGCAAGAGGCATGCCTTCAAACGTGGCGTCTTTCAACTTGGACACGTGGTCGTCCACAAACTTCTGGTTGACCTCCTTGGCATGTGCCTTGGATCCCGTGATGCGGAACGTCAACGGCAAGTCCCGCTGACAGTGCTGTTTGAAGGTGTCCCATTCGTTTTCGGGAATCAACCCAAGCGCCTTGTAGTAGGCCTCCCACTTTTCGTTTTCGCGGCTGACTTCGACCCAGTGGCCTCTGTTGTCGGACTTGTTTGCGCGGGCGCCGTCTCTCTTGCCGAATTTTTTTCCTCCTCTGGTGTTTTTTCTGGCCATGATGCTTCTGAAGATTCTGAGCATGGTTTTTTTCGCGATGCGATAGTGTGTAGATAATGGCGATGCTTTCACGTGAATAGACAAGCTATGAAAGTGTTAGACTCCCAGCTTTACAATATGGTGGCTATGGTTACACTATGACTTAATACACGATGGCTTAAGTATGGTTAACTATGGCTTAATACAAGAAGCTTAAGTAATGGTTAACTATGGCATAATACACAAAGGCTTTAACTATTTTAGCTGCACTATGGCTTAACTATGGTTTAATTACACGATGGCTTACTAGTTTTACGATGGCTTAAACTACGGTTTAATTGCACTATCGCTTAAACTATGGATGTAATTACTATCGCTTAAACTATGGTTACACTATGGCTTTACAGGCTTTACGGTATGGCTCTATGGCTTAAGGCTTTGGCTCAAACGGCTTTAATTACACGATGGCTAAACTGGTTTTACACTGGCTTACTCTACATAACTCCACATGGTCCTGCTTTAGTGTACGTCATCCAAAATGCTCGACTATCATCTCAGATTCATCGTGGTTTGAGACTGTCATCCGGTCTAGACACGGATCTTTCAAGGGAGCCGTGATCTTCCAGTTGAAAGCGAAAACGGGTCCGATTATGTTCACTACATGCAATCAGTCCAGGAATATCAGCAAGGTATTTCTGAGACAAATGTGTTTCTACCCATCTTCTCTGTCCTTGCAAAATTAATGTACATGACGATCCGAAAGACGATCAATGCATACAATGAGATCATGGATTAGAATTCTTGCTCACTAGACTTCAAAAATATGGTTGAAATGTCTGGGCTTAACCGACAAATTTCTCATGCATTCTTTACGTTTCTAAGCTATAAGAGGCGAAGGAAGCGATGAAAGTATTGAGGCTGAACTGGTTTTAGAAGATTTCCTTAGATATTTTATGTGAACGTTCGTTGTGGAAGTGAGTCCATTTATCAACTCTTCAATGTTTGGATTAAAATATAATAAAGTTTGAGCGGAAATACAGATTAGAAATTAGATAAGTATATTTAAAATCAAATCATAATAATAATAATTATTATTTTAATATAATGTCTGATACATTTTAGTAGGTTTAAGAAGTGTACAAATACAATTAGAGAATGGAAAAAATGAAGACTTAGAAATCCAAGTCACTCCTGATTTCATTGAATCTAATTTAACTAGAGATGTTAGAGATTCTGATTTAGAATTAATATTAACTGATTAAAGATCTCCCATCCGGCCCACAATTAATGTACATTCTTTTACTCTTGCTTCGATCTTAAATGGCTCCACAACAGCTACATGTGCGATCTGCCTAAAAGATGGACTGGCTAAGACTCGAACTAGAGACTTTGCATTTTTTGACAGTGGAACCGGCCATTTCTGTATAAGTACGGAAAAATCACCCACCTCAACTACCTAGCAATAGATACTCTGGCCATTAGTTCGGTCTTTCTTAAGTAAAACTTTTGGTAAATGCAACTGTGAGTAAATTCGATTTCAAAAATTCGGCAATTTTTGAAAAACAAGTTTGCATTGCATTTCCATTTCTACAGAATTCATTTCCATTTCTACACAATCCACTCGCACTTATGCCAAATGTCAGGTCACACGACAATTACAAGACAAAAAGGCCCAGCAAAAATCGAAACGGCCCGAAAAACACACAAAAAACCACCACAAAATTCATTTCAGCTCCACTATAAACCCCGCTTCTCCTCTCTTCTCCTCTCTTCTCCACCCTATCGCTTCCTGTCAATCTTATCCTTCCGGCTTTATCAGTAGTGCCCGGACCATTTTGCACCCATAAACCGCACCAGGCCATTCTTCTCCACAACCATGGTAAATGTCCTACTTCAACACAACATGGAAAAAAGTGTTGGGCTTGGTATGTGCGCCAGACGGCAATATTTCTTTTTTTCCGCTGCTAACATAACAGTGTGGGGCGTTTTTGGGCGTCGTTTACCATCGCAGCGTCTCGGCGCCGCTTCAAAAAGAGCCGCCCAGCCCCATTCTCGCGTGGAAGCTTAAGGTGGCGCATGTGGCGTTGCTTGTGCTTTTTCTCGGGGCCAACTTTGCCAAGTGGGCCGTTTTCGGCACGCTCACGGCGGCCGAGGTGGACATTCTTTGGGAAAAGGCCGGCTACACCATCTGGGAGTTTGTGTTTGGGTTTCTCGTGTTCTACTCCAACACGGGCCGCCTTCTAGATGCGCATGCGGTGTTCAAGTTTGCCGGCTTGTTTCTATGCGTGTGGCTTGTCAAGAGCTTCCACTACTTGATAGCTGCCCGCGTGCAGAGACTTTACTCGAGAGAATTGGAGAGAGAAGAAGAAGAAGAAGAAGCACAAGACCTTCGAGAGCCCCGTTTTCTCATGTACCGAGTCGGGCTCGGCATTGTCGTTCTCAATGTCGTGGACGCTCTTCTCATCTTCAAGTACTTGCACGACGTGCTCTTGAAAAACTACATCCAGCACAATGTGCTCATTACCATTTTTGGGTTCGAGATCCTTAACCACTATCCGATTCTTCTATCAACGTCGCTCCGGTTCTGCCTCGACATGCGCCCGCTGGCGAGCGAGTCGTGGAAACAGACGAGACGGCAGCTTTTTTTCCTTGTCGAGTTGGCCTTGACTTTGCTCCTGCTCGCCATGTCCGTGGTGTTTTCGCTTCTCTTCTTCTACCACTACACTTTCCCAGTATACATGTTGCCGGCAGCATACAACAGCTTGAAAGCGGCAGTGGTGAAAACACGCATCCTCGTCGATTTCCGCAAGCGGGAACTCGTGCTCCGCCGCCTCCAAATCCCCGACTCCGTGGCTGGCGAAACGTGCATTTTCTGCTACGACGACATGCGGCCAGGCGTCGACAACATCCGCGTGACGCCGTGCTGCGCCCACTGTTTCCATTACGACTGTATCCGGCTGTGGTTGGAGTATTCGCCGTCATGTCCGTTTTGCCGCAAGAAAATATGAGCCACCACCGCATAATAGACACAGAATAGCAGAATGTATTTGTAGGCTTGGTAGCGAAAGCAATACTGGCAACGTAAGAAGCCAATAAGCAAGAGTCGGCCGCTCTTGAGTTTTGAGATCTGGCTGAATCGTTCGATTTTACACGACACCCATCTGTCCGAGAGCATATGGAACGTAAAGTTCATCATCAAGTCTTGGTTCCACCATGATTTTTTTTCAAGAAAACCAGAAGTGCGTTTAAATTGAACTTCTCTGAAATAAGCCGTCACTCTACTTAGTTCTTTGGCCCTTTCTTCTTTCAGCATGAGTTCTGCGCGGCTTTATACGTTTGAGGAGGCACTTCTGCAATCTTGGCATCACTTTCTTGTAGAGAGGATTCAAGTCTTACAGTAGGGGTAGCGCCGAATTCATCAAAATGTCAGTGAGATCTGGAAGACGCAATAGTCCACTTCAGTGAAGCTTTGAAGAATATACGCAGAAGACTCGTTTCTTGTTTCATTTAGAAAATGCCACGTTGTGGTTTCACTGCTAGCATGGACATGGGCACTGAGACATACGTGGGCATTTGACTAGGACCTCATTTTTTCTCAGACTTACTCTGTCCAACTGTCGCATAAAGCGTTTCGAGGCTGTTCCGGATCTACTGACCGTCACTGTTCCGAATCTCCTTGTAAAGAGGATCTTGTCCAATCTCACTTCCTAGTAGTATGTGGTGCCCGCAGCCAACGTGTCCATGTCGCCCTCCTCGCCCAACTTGCCCAAGTCGTCTATGCCGTTGTCGATGTTGTTGATGTTCTCCATGTCGTGCCGCTTGTCCTTGAGCTCGCCATGCTCCATGTATTCGTACTGGTACTCGTCCTTGCCGCCCATGGCCGGCATGTTCTCGTCCAACGACGCCACGTGGACGTCGCCCATGTGCATGTTTTCGTCCTGGCCCGCGCCAAAGTCGCCCCGCTCGCCCGTTTCCTCGTACTGGTGGAAGTAGTCCTGTGCCGGCTGCGGAAGCTCGGGCTCCTGGCTATCGAGCTCCTCCTTCATGTACGGCTCGTCCGCCTCGGGCGCCGACTTGGCGTCCGCCCGCTGCAGTTTTTTCGCCAGCTTCTTCGACGTCCGGCTCTCGCCCCGCTCCTGCTTCAACGCCTGCTGCTCTCTGTACTTGGCCAAGTATATCTTCAACACCTCGGCGTAGTTCTCAAAGCCCAAGTCGTGCATGGAGTACAACACGTCTTCACCGTTTATCGTTTTTCGTTTCTCCCGAAGACACTTGTCGCTGGCCTCGCTCGTGATGAACGATATGAACTCAGACACACACTCTTGCATGCATTCTTTGGCGTCCTTGCTGACCTTGGCCGACGCCGGCAACGTGTTTTTCATGAGCCGCGCCACGTTGGCGATCGGAAGCCACCGGTCCTGTTCCCGTAGCTCCATGTCCGGATTCCCCTGCACATCGTGGTCCCCCGTGTCTTTTCCAATGGGGAGGTAGCTCATTACGAAAAGAAAAAGTAATGGAAAAAAAACTTGAAAAGTAAACACCAAACGTCGCTGTGCTGGTTTGGACAAATGAGTGGCTGGATCTTGGTTTTCCAGGTTGGAGTAGGCTGACGTTTAGATGGAGCGTGAATGGGTCTTTGAAGATGCGGCAGATTGGGCGGCGCACGACCCAGGACCGTTGGTGGATACTGCTAGGGACAGCTTTGGGTGGATAGAGGGCGGTAGCAAGCTATCTGGGTTTTCTTTTTCTTTTTCTTTTTTTTCGTTTTTTCTTTTTTGTTTGCTTGTTGGTTTATCTTGTTTAGCTTGTGGCTATTTGGTGGAGTAGCTGTGTGCCGGAGCAACAATGTGACAACTTGAATGACAAAATGCGAAAGTTGATGGAAAAGTTGATCGAAAAGTAATCGAAAGTTAAATTGAAAGTTAAATCGAAAAAGTTAAATCGACAGTTAAATCGAAAGTTGAATCGAAAAAGTTAGATCGAAAAATTTAGATCAGAGCCTTTTTAGGATGAAGGTAATCGAGGATTAAGGTAATCGAGGATTAAGGTAATCGAGGATTAAGGTAATCGAGGATTAAGGTAATCGAGGATTAAGGTAATCGAGGATTAGGGTAATCGAGGATATGGTGACTAATGTAGACTTGACCTCCTCTATTGCCCAGATGTGACTAAGTTACTAAAATGTCGTAGTGTTTTCGGTTTAAGTTCATTGAAGCTAGTTTAACTGGAAGATCAAAACATGACAATATCAAAGTGAAAGCAAAGCGTGAATTGTTCTATCAGCAATAAGCAAGAGGAAAGCTATATATATATATTCCTTCTCTTCACCCTTTTATCGTTGAACGAAATCAAGAAATTCGTTGGGGTCATTAGAAAGAAAAGTTGACAGATTAGAAATTGAATAATCTTAAAGAGAGGACATTCCCCAATGGAATAATAATAAGCAGTATCTTAGACAATTCATTATCACTATGTCTTGACGACTTTTGGCATAGCGCCATGTTGTCGAATGAATGTGTTGTCGAATGAATGAGAATCGAATCAAAAATATCATTTTGTTAGTCAAAGAAAGAATACTTGAGAGATGCGATGAACAAGCAGTGGGACTATTACGATACTTTAATGAAGAACTTGTCATTGATGAAGGTTACTCAAAAGTACTAAACTTCCACCAGTAATCCATAGTGATATTCTTCGAAATGAAGCAGATGATACTACAAAGAGCAGTTCTCGGGTACTCTAGCGAATAGTCTGACGAAACCATATGCCTAGTTCTAAACGAATCCCCAATGGCTCATGTAATCCAGCCTAGTCCAGTTTGTAGATTCTAGTATAAAGTGTCTGTTCAAGCTTATGTTCGGCTTTTCAGTTAATTATTCAGTTGTTCTTTAGTTGTTCAGCTGTTCAGTTAATTGTATAGTTGTTCAGCTGTTCAGTTAATTGTTCAGTTGTTCAGTTAATTGCTCAGCTGTTCAGTTAATTGTTCAGTTGTTCTTTAGTTGTTCAGCTGTTCATTTTTTTGTAGTTTATTCGTTCAGCTGCTCAGTTAAGTTGCTCAGTTTGTTCGTTTAGTCAATCTGTCAACCTAAATGCACTATATTCTCGTCTAGTACTAAACCACTTCGTCCATCAGTTTGCGCAAGCAAAAACAGCCTAATCATGTCCAATCATCCATCAAAGTCCAGTAGTCCAAGCCAGCTAGTCAAGTCGTAGTCTCAATAATCTGATCTAACTTATGTTCACCAGTCAGCCAATCTTTCAGTCAATCGTCTCATCCAATCTTTTCAGTCGATCTTCATCAGTCTTCTAATCAATCAATCATCCAATCTTCATCTAATCTTCTTCAGCCAATCAATCAATCATCCCATCGTCTTCAGTCAATCGTCTTCATCGTCTTCATTCAGTCTAGGTCAAGCATGAGGATAGTCCCAACTCTATCTACCGTAACCATGGCCAAGCTCGCACATGCCCATTGGAATAGAATATGGACAGTTACGAATTTCTGGCTCCACTAGTAGTCAGTCAGTCGTCTGAAGTCTTCCATGCATAACAGTGCGCGCAGTCTTGTCTTCTATCTTAGTGGGTCTATCTAGTTGGTCTATCTGGTCTATTTTCTTGGCCTTTCTAGTTTTCTAGTTGGTCTATCTACTTGGTCTTGTCTGAGTCTTCATGTCCGGAGTCTCCTCCTTGATTCTCTCGCAGGCGCTCACAAAAGCCTTTACGTTTGCGTCCAACCAGCTTCTTGTGCACAACATCTCGCCCGAGATCTTTGGCGTGGCCGCGTACTTGGACTTTTTCAATGGCACGGTGCTCTTTTTCAGCCGGGAGGCTGAGCGCATGGCGGTCCAGCGGGCGCAGGACCCGTCGAAGCCAAGGTTACGCCAGAAGATCGTCAACTTTGCCTACTTGCCGTTGTTCTTGGGTGTTCCCATTGCAACTGGCCTATACATGCTCCAGCGCCATTCGGACTTGTATGTTTCGGCGATCCTGCCGTTGCCGTATCACGCCGCCACGGCGGCGCTAGTGGCGCTTCTGCTCTTTCTCGAGTTGCTCAGCGAGCCAGCGTATGCGCTCAACCAGTACAGCTTGAACTTCCGCCTGCGGTCGAAAATCGAAAGCGCAGCGGTGTTTGCCAAGTGTCTAGTGACGCTTGTGGGTGTGGTGGCGAGCAAGAAAGCTGAATACTTTGACGCCTTGGCGGTCTTGGCCTTTGCCTCGGGCCAGTTGGCTTACTCGCTTACGAATTTCGTGGCATACTCTCGGCTTGGGGGCGTCCAGGCGCCGAGGAGAATCGAACAAACAACAGCACAAAAATCAACATCAACAGTTTCCTCGTTTCTCGACCCCGCCATCTGCCAGGTGTGGAAATCGCTCTTTGTCCAAATGATCTTCAAACATCTCCTCACCGAGGGAGACACTTTGCTCACCAGCTATCTTTTCAGCGTGGCCGACCAAGGCATCTACTCGGTGATCAGCAACTACGGCTCGATTTTGGCGCGTCTTCTCTTCCAGCCCATCGAGGAGTTTTTGCGGGTCTCTTTCACCAGAGCTTTTGCCAGCGAAACGAAAAACGTGGCTGCGTCGCTCACTCTCATGGAAAACTTGCTAGTGTTCTACTTTGACCTCTCTCTCCTCATTGTTTTGGGCGGCTATACCAACGGCGCTTTCATGCTTCGGCTTCTTTTGGGCCGCAGCGAAAAGTGGAGCGCATCTTCGGTGTTTGACGTTTTCCCCCAATACGTCTTGTACTTGCCATTCATGGCGTTCAACGGGATTCTCGAGGCCTTTTTCAGCAGTGCGTCGACTCAAACGGAAATCTCTCGCTTTTCCTATTTCATGTCGTTCCTGAGTATTTCTGTGTTGGCCCTTCTGTACGTATTGGCCAAACACTTCCACTTTGGCCTCGACGGCTTGATTTTTGCCAATATGGTCAACATGACTCTTCGTGCGGGCTACTGTTTGAACTACTTCTTTCATTTTTCAGCCAAACACGGTATTTCTGTGTCAAGACAGGGTTTCCGCTCGAGACTAGGCCTCCCAGCCATAACTGTTGCTACAGCTTTTGTCATACAGAGCCAATTCTTCCGCCAATCTTCCAGCTGGAGACAGTTTATAGCAAGTCTTCTTTTCTGTCTTGTTTGTCTAGGCGTGATGCTTATCCACGAAAGGAAGAATTTGCTTCCACAAGTGAAAAGGGTTCTTGGGAGAAAGCGTGATTGAGAGACTTGAGAAGAAAGAGCACAGACTGAAAGGATTTCCGGAAAACTTTCTAGTCTCTTTTAGCGAGACTAGATCATAGAGAGAACCACATGAAGTAGCGTCATGAAGGTACAACTAAGAATTGATTGGGGTGAAACGTCCTTCATGAGGCCTGGCCAATTATGGTATCTTAATTTCACACAATCGGGAAATAATTGCGATCACAGAAGATTGGGAAGAATCTCGGCCACTTGAACTCACTATATCGAGACAACATTATAAGATTTACTGAGAACAGATAGATCTTCATCTAGTTCCAGACCGTATAAAAAGGAGATTAATACAACACACGAGTAAGTATAAGCCACCTATCGAGCAGTCTTTGGCAGAAAGAATGTTGGGGCATTTTCTAAGCTTGGAAGATTGGAACAAAATGGAGAATGCAAAGTTGAATGCAAAGTTGACCAAGACGATATTTGCGAAAACCCGACTTGGAGTCATATTCGCTATCGTAAGAGTCGATAATGTTGGTCATAGATGTGATGGAAACCTCTCATTCTCATTCTCCTCTACTGTCTGTCCTCAGGTCCACATCAAGAAATCTAATTAACATCTTTTCAACCGGCCGTCTCTGACTTAATCGGTCTCTACAGATTTATGCATACAGTATAAACCAAACGAGAAAAATCATTCAAACCAGACGATGAATAAATAAACCAGTATGAAATGGCAGACAATTTAATCGTTCAAATAACCATGCATCTTCCCCTTTTCACAGTTTTAGCTTGATCATTTGGATCAGAAAAGCAAGAATACTCACCGTAGCCTTCTATTGTTTTTTTAGGTGAACAGGCAGTTTTTGCAGGTTTAACATCTTCTAGGTTTCCATACTAGTTTATTTAATTTTGGTTGAAGTAATTTTTCTCTTTGGTTGATTAATTTTTCTCTTTTGTTGAATTAATTTATCGCTTTGGTTGAATTAATTTTTCTTGTTTTGTTCGAATAAAAACCCGAAAGACCCAACGAGAATTACTGAAACATCAACAAATTATACCCAACTCAAAAACAAAAAAATCCTGTGGAGTCGCATCACTAGGCCCCATACAATACTTGCCAAAGCCAGAAGATGTGCCATCCGTTTCGCCTCCCCACGGACAGGTCCCCGTGCTGAATTGCTTCCCTCCGGGTTTAAGCCTGCTTGTTAGCTGGCGGTCGAAGGCTGATTACTCAAGCCGCTTCCGCCGTGGATAACCCACGCAGGGATCGAACCGGACACTTCTCCTGTAACAAGCATCGCAAAGGGCGCGGTTAGCGCGCTTCTGCCAAATGCCATCACAGCAAAAAATTTTCTTGGAAACAGGGCTGTGTGCGGTGGAGGAAGGTGTACGGATGTGACGGGATGTACGGGTGTTAAAATGCTGGTGTATGGGTTTATTGGACATTGGTGTACGGATGTTCAAGGATGTGCGGATGCATTGGTTCTGGTGTACGGGTTTTAATACTATGGTGTACGGATGTATTACCCAAGGATGTACGGGTGCAAGTTCCGTTTGTGCTTCGCCGTTAAGTAGCCTTTGTGGCAAGTCCAAACTGATTACTTCAAACCACTTTTCTTCTCGGCTTCTCAGAAAGATAATCTATTTGTGCAGTAAATCTTTCACTGCTTCTTTTCTCCTCAAGCCGCTTTCCTTCTTAGATTCGTAGCAAAGCAATTGAGTCCGTACAACTTTTCCCAGACTTACCAGCATAGGCCCCTAACTTCCTAAGCGCCTTGTAATTGTCCTATACTTTTAGTATTTTTGGCGCTTCACTTGGTCAAGAGGCATCGGACATCCCACCCGTACACCACAAACTTCTATCCACCAAGTACAACATCTTATCTGCTGATGCTGATAGCCGATGTTTCCAAAACTTTAGGGGGGCTAGCAGAAGCCATTCACAAGAAATCGGCCGAGCTAGAAGCTTTGGAAAAAGAGTATAAACGGAAACTTGTGCTTCTCAATCTGTACATTGGGAAACTTGAAGCTAGGACTGGTTCGCAAGACCAAGAAGCTCCAGAAAAGACAGAAGAAGAAATTGTTCGTCTCCTAGAAACACAAGTAAGGTGCAAGAATTGTCTGAATGTGGTATACGATCCGAGCTCAGAATGCGACTATGTCCTAATACCAAAGACTCGTGTGAATATTCTACAAGATGCAAAGTTGGGCCAGGACCTGACAACGGAAACGGTAAAGACCGAGGAAATCATCAAGGACAAAGACCCTACAGAGACAGAAGAAAACCATAAACTACCGGGGTTCCTGTCTGACAACAAACACCGGAAGTCCAAGCTGAAGAAGACCTGTTCGTATTGCAACAAAGCTGGACATTCTCGAGCCCGATGCTTCTCCAGACTCAGCAAGCCCCTCGAGTAGTGGGTAGAGCAAAGCACGGATGACCCAATAATTGCATGGTTGGCTAGTAACGCATGGCTTTTCATTTTTTTTGTGTTGTATTGAAATAGTACAGAACCGTAATATACACATCTAGTTGCCCTCTCCTCCGGTGGATATGCCAAATTATTTGCTTGCTTGGGCCATGGCCTCTGTAAAAGTTAGTATATCGGATCAGCAGGGTCGGAACAGGGGGAATAAACATACCTCTTCTCGACGCATCTTGAAGCAAAGTGCAGTCAACAGAGCTGGCACTCAAGTGCACGTAACGCACGTTGGAGCCTCTCACAAACAAGGTTTTCACCGCTTGCAACTGGGGGTATTTCGTTTCGTTGACGGTGGAGACATTGTGCAATTTCAAGTTCAAAAACTGGTCGACGGACTTTAAGGTGCCCCTGATCTCAATGTCGTTTTTCAATTCCACGACGACTTCCTGGTCAACAAGAGTCTTGAAAAAACTGAAGAACAACATGTCTGGGAAAGATGCACGCTGTGTTCAGTTGTACTGCTTTTTGGACACTTTGCTAGTCACTGACTTTTCAGAAAATAGTGCGCAGCACGACTTTGCGAATGGGTAAAACCGAAAGGAAGCGAGAGGGAGGAAAGAATGTTGCAGGCTAAGCATAAACAACCTTCGAGTGTAGACTCATATCGTGGAAAATGGCCTTGAACTGTCGCCCCAATCGACGTATTCTTTCTCTTTTTCGGAGTTCAATGTTGAAAGTGGCGACAGCAAATCATTTCCCAGACTGGCTGCGGGACGGATAAGGATTGTGGATTTTAGCACCTCAAGCTCCTCCTTGAAACGGCGGAAGCTGGAGTCGCAGTTGTCAGACCCCAAATCTGACGAGCTGTACACTTTTCGGGGAGCAGTGGTTCTCTTTTTGAGCCCGTGCTTGCAACGCAATACAGGACTGTGTCGCTTCGTTTTCGAAGGCGTACTGGCCGGATTATCCGCAAGATGCCTAATCTGGAGCGGTGTGGAAGCGCTGCGCCAGTTGTTTACATCTTGGGTTGCGCCTATGGTCAGATTCCAAGACGCATTGCTGCCCAAGCTGCACTGCAAAAGGTTCTCGAGCGTTTCCTTGGCCGCCTCGTATTTTCTAAGCGCCTCTTCGAGCTTGCCAAAGGTGATTTTTCTGGGCCGATAATTGTAGTATGTGTTTAGCGGCTCTCGATCTGAAAGGGAAGTGTAGGTGACTTCTGGAAAGCTGGCATCCGATACAGATTGGGGAACTAGAGACAAATCTTGGGGAATAACGTACTCGGGCTGGCCAGGCGACTGAGCATAAGAATTGGAGCTTTCATGGCCGATTGTATTTCCCTGAGAGCAGATGTTTCCATGATGGTCGAACCTTCTAACAGAATTGACGTTTGCGAAGTAGTTTGTTCCCCCACCAAAGCTGCCAGCAGATGTGATTCCGGAAAAGTGTTTCTCTCCAAAATAGTTTTCTCCTTGGCCTTTTTTTGAATTCACTTTTTCCGTGCTCTTCTGTTTGTTCCCATGTGAGCTGTCACTATCAAGGAATAGCGGAGGGCTTTTCTGTCTGGTATTTCCTAGTGGCTGAAGCGCCTTGCGTGATCTTATACGGGCTTTCTTCCGTGTGGGCACATCTAAGTTCTCCTGGTCGGTGATAAAGTTGTCGTCAATCTTTTCCAAGCTGCTGCGTTTTTTCTTCTCGCCCGAAGTGTAGTTGGAGGGCGACCGGCCCCGGACTATGAGAGGCGGTGTCTGCGTGTATGCTAGAACAACATCTCCCTGTTCAGTGACACCTAGAAGTTGCACTTCCAAAATATAATGCTTGTTATTGGTGGAAGATTGTTTCCTGGTGCCCGAAGCAGATGACAGGAACTGGATACGCTCATAGCGGGCCACAAGCGACACTTCCTTGTCGTCGGGATACGTAGAGAGAATGCAATTTGTGGTAGCCACCAACTGCTGGCGTTCCGAATGCGGTAAGTGGAACAAGCGGTTACAGCGGGAGATCTTGTCGCCGTTGCGGATGTTGGCAACCAGTTTCATGACATGATGTCCCGGAAGCCGGCCAGGCACCGCGTTGTACACGGGCGGGCTGAATTGCGGGCCCTTGTCTCTTTTCGCCGTGTGTTGCACCAATGAAATTTGCGTCTTCTTATCCTCGGCACACGTGGACACAAGGCGTAGCTTGAAGTAAAGCAACTTCTGCCTTTGATTGGTGTCCAAGCACAGGAAAGTGGATGTTGAGCATACGGAAAGCGGCTGGTCTTCAAAGCAAAACGCTGCCACCAACGTGAAATAGTTCCGCTTGTAGCCAATCCACAGACCGTCAATGAGATTGAACCCTCTGTCGAGCCGGGCCGTAATCTGCGGCGTCATTTTCTCGCCAAGAGCGTCGTTGTAGATGTGACGGGCGACTACGGTAGTGCCAAAAGGCGGCCCGACACGAAACTGATTGCTGGAGCGGGGTGCTAGCTTTTTTGCAGCGGCTTCATTTGCAACCTGCTGGCTGTTTGTGTTTTCGATATTTGTGCTATTGCCGCCTGTCTCAGGGGCAATTTTTGTGGGACTTTCCATGCTCCAATTTAGCCGCTTGGGTGCAAAAAGTGCAAACGCGGATAATGAAAAGGTCGATAAAGAAAAGGATGAGAGACGAAGCTCAGGAAAGAGATAGACGAAAGAAAAGAAAAGAAAAGAGAAAAGAGGAGAGAAAAGAGGAAGAAAACTAACAATGAATAAAAAGACGAAGAAATGAGGAGGAATAAAAAAGAAGAAGAAGAAGAAGTGAGAATAATTTCGTGCGAATTTCTGTCGTAGATACTATATTTGCTCACGTTTGGTTAAAGCTGTTTCGATACATTAACATTAATAAGGATTGAAGAATCAAATTACTAGTGTCACGTCTCGGTCATTTCAGTCAATCAAAATTGTGGCTGGGCTTAAAATGCCATGATAAGTTGAATACTCCATAGATTGGTGATTCTGCGGAAATTTCTGAAGTGAAATTGAAAGTATGTTCTTGCTGAATTTGCCTGTTTCTATCCAACCAGATCATTCTTACACCTTGTCTATCCACTGTGAATTACATTGGGCGAAAAAAAGAAAGCTCCGATACGGGGAATCGAACCCCGATCTGCTCGGTGAGAGCGAACCGTGATAGCCATTACACTATATCGGAATTTGTTGAAAACAGAATCTTGCCACAACACCCGGAACCGTAAAGAATTCAAACATGAGTAATATGTAGAGTTGAAACTACAAGGATATTTTCTGAAAATCTGCATTTTTATGATTATGAGTTCGCATTATTGTCGATGGTTTCCAGACCATAGAATACCTTGTACTAAATATTCAAGCGCTGTCAAATATGGGGAAAGCCATTATACTTCTTATACTATAGTATCTGTTCTGCGTTGAAATTTTTCTGGATCATCGATTCAACAATATTCATACTGATATTAATTAAGTTTCTGTAAGGTTATCAGTTATTGCCATTCTTTCATAGGTTCAGTATGACTAATGCTTTCATTTCTTTCATTTTTATATCCTTCAGTAAATATAATCAAAGTTGGTTATCGAGGTGTTTTCAGTTCATTCAGCCATTTCTGTCAAGTCAGTAAGTTTAGTCATGAATTTCTGCCAGCATGGCAAAGAAGATCTTTAAAGCTGTTTCCTTTGGCAAAATTTACGAGGGAATTACTTGACTCAGACAAATAGTAAGAGTCCTTGCTACGATGAGGTACTCAATCACCCGTCGCCTGAGATGGATTATTTCCTACAAATACTGAAATTGAGCAAATGGGTTGGAACAGAATAGAAATGCTTGAAAAGGTGATATTTGGTTTAAAGATTGTTGAGTTATTAGAGGGTTCCAGAAGCTTGGTCTGTCATTGGTGCTGCGGTTTCAGTAAGTTCTGTCTATTAGTTCATTCTCATCTCTGATATTTCTGTCGTTTCTTCATTTCGTTGGTTTTTATTTCAGTTAGTTCTCAATTCAGTCAGTTCTGTCCATTCAGTTAGTTCAGTCAGTTCAGTCAGTTCAGTCATTTCAGTAAGTTTTTTTTTATTTCTGTTGTTTCTGTCGGTTCTGTCGGTTCTGTCGGTTCTGTCATTTTAGCAAGTTCAGTCATTTCTGTCAGTTCTGTCAGTTCAGTCCGTTCAGTCATTCTGTTATTTCTGTCGTTTCTTAATTTCTGCCATTTTAGAAGTTCTGTCACTGTCAAATCTCAGTTCTGAATTTCTGTCATTCTGTCATTCTGTCATTCTGTCATTCCGTCATTCTGTCATTCTGTCATTCCGTCATTCTGTCATTCTGTCATTTCTGTTATTTCAGTTATTTCTGTCATTTCAGTCATTTCTCATTTCCGTCAGTTCTGTCATTCTGTCATTTCAATCATTCCTGTTATTTCTGTTATTCCTGTTATTCCTGTTATTCCTGTTATTCCTGTTATTCCTGTTATTCCTGTTATTCCTGTTATTCCTGTTATTCCTGTTATTCCTGTTATTTCAGTTATTTCAGTTATTCCTGTTATTCCTGTTATTTCAGTTATTTCAGTTATTTCTGTCATGTCTGTTATTTCAGTCATTTCAGTCATTTCAGTCATTTCAGTCTATTCAGTCAGTTCTGTCATTTCTGTTATTTCTACATTTATACATTTCTTCATCTCATCTCTGTTATTCCTCTTTCTTCATCTCATCTCTGATATTCCTATTCTTCATCTCATCTCTGTTATTCCTATTCTTCATCTCATCTCTGATATTCCTATTCTTCATCTCATCTCTGTTATTCCTATTCTTCATCTCATCTCTGATATTCCTATTCTTCATCTCATTTCTTATTTCACTAGTCTATCAAGTTCATTCTCATTTCATAGTCTGTCAAGTTCATTCTCTGTCTGCTTGTGCTTGCGCACAATCATCTTTTCGCACACTCATCTTTTCGCATCATTTCGCATTTCGCACCTTTTCTTTTTCACCTCATCGCACATCAACCACATTCTTCATGGGAAAAAAAGCCATCGACTCGCGGATCCCCGCGTTGATCCGAAACGGAGTCCAGGAAAAGCAGCGGTCCTTCTTCATCATCGTGGGCGACCGCGCGCGCAACCAGCTCCCCAACTTGCACTATCTTATGATGAGCGCCGACCTCAAAATGAACAAGTCTGTTCTCTGGGCGTACAAAAAACAGTTGTTGGGGTTCACGTCGCACCGCAAGAAGCGCGAGAACAAGATCAAGAAGGAGATCAAGCGGGGCACACGCGACGCCAACGACCAGGACCCGTTCGAGGCCTTTATCTCCAACCAGCACATCCGCTATGTCTACTACAAGGAAACGGAGAAGATCTTGGGTAACACGTACGGCATGTGCATTTTGCAGGACTTCGAGGCGCTCACGCCCAACTTGTTGGCGCGGACGGTCGAGACCGTTGAAGGCGGCGGTCTTGTGGTGATTCTCTTGAAGTCCATGACGTCCTTGAAACAGCTCTACACCATGACCATGGACGTGCACTCGCGGTACCGGACCGAGGCGCACGGCGACGTGGTGGCGCGTTTCAACGAGCGCTTCTTGTTGTCGTTGGGCCTGTGCGCCACGTGCTTGGTGGTGGACGACGAGTTGAATGTTTTGCCTGTTCTGGGCGGGAAAAACGTCGTGGCGTTGCCGCCGCCCGAGGACGAGACACAAACAGAACTCGACCTGTTGAAGGAGTCGCTTGCCGAGGTGCAGCCCGCGGGCTCGCTCGTGGCGCTCCTGAAGACCGTCAACCAGGCCCAGGCCATCTTGACGTTTGTGGATGTCATTTCGGAGAAAAGCTTGCGCAGCACCGTGGCGTTGACGGCAGGCCGTGGTCGAGGCAAGTCGGCGGCGCTCGGCATTGCCATTGCCGCGGCCATTGCCCACGGCTACTCCAACATTTTTGTGACGTCGCCGTCGCCGGAAAACTTGAAGACGCTTTTCGAGTTTGTGTTCCGCGGCTTCGACGCCTTGGGCTACGCCGAGCACGCCGACTACGACGCCGTGCAGCTGACCAACCCGTCTTTCAACAAGGCCGTCGTTCGTGTCGACGTCAAACGCTCCCACCGCCAGACCGTGCAGTACATTGCCCCAACCGACCACCACCTTTTGGGCCAGGCGGAGCTTGTCATTGTGGACGAGGCCGCGGCGATTCCTCTCCCCGTCGTGCGCCGTCTCTTGGGGCCCTACCTCGTGTTCATGGCGTCCACCATCAACGGCTACGAAGGCACCGGCCGCTCGTTGTCGTTGAAGTTGATCCAGCAGTTGCGGGAAAAATCGGCGCAGGCCGACTCCTCCGACACGGGCAGAACGCTCCGTGAAGTGGTGCTCGACGAGCCCATCCGGTACGCGCCGGGCGACCCGGTGGAGAAGTGGCTCAACAAGCTCTTGTGTCTCGACGCCAGTGTGTCCAAAACTTCGCGAGGAACACCGCACCCGGACGAGTGCACGCTCTTCCGTGTGGACAGAGACACGTTGTTCTCGCACCACCCGGTGTCGGAGGCGTTTTTGCACCGCATGATGGCGCTCTACGTGTCGTCGCACTACAAGAACTCGCCCAACGACCTCCAGTTGATGAGCGACGCGCCTGCGCACCAGCTCTACGTGCTCTTGCCGCCGCAGAAGCAGGGCGACCGCCGCATTCCCGACCCGCTCTGCGTGGTGCAGTTGGCCTTGGAGGGCCAGATCTCGAAGGAGAGCGTGCGGGCGCAGTTGGCGAGAGGACAACGCGCTGGCGGCGACTTGATTCCGTGGCTCGTGGCGCAGCAGTTCCAGGACGACGAGTTTGCGTCGTTGAGCGGCGCCCGTGTGGTTCGCATAGCCACAAACCCGGACTATGCTGGAATGGGCTACGGCTCGAGAGCGCTCTCGTTGTTGAAGGACTACTTCGAGGGCAAGCTCACCGACATCTCGGAGAACGACGTGGTGGAAAAGTCCGTTGCCCGTGTCTCCGACGCCGAGCTTGCGGGCGCCTCGCTCCAAGACGAGATCCGCCTGCGCGACGCCGCGTCGTTGCCTCCGTTGCTCTTGCAGCTCTCGGAGACGCCGCCGTGCCACTTGCACTACATGGGCGTGTCGTACGGCTTGACGCCGCTGTTGCACCGTTTCTGGAAGCGTGCCGGCTTCGTGCCGGTGTACTTGCGCCAAACGGCCAACGCTCTTACAGGCGAGCACACATGCGTGATGCTCCATACGTTGGGCGGCGAGGCGGCGTGGCTCACGGCGTTTGCGCGCGACTTCCGCCGCAGATTCATCAGCTTGTTGGCGTACGACTTCCGCAAGTTCCCGGCGTCGCAGGCGTTGGCGGTGCTTGAGGCGGCCGGAGACGCCGGCGCAGCCAAGTTGGCCCGTGCCGAGGTCGACGCGCACTTCTCGCCGTTCGACTTGAAGCGTTTGGACTCGTACGCCAGCAACTTGGTCGACTACCATGTGATTTTGGACATGCTTCCGCAGATGGCCCAGTGGCAGTTTGCCGGCCGCACAGACGTGTCGCTCTCGTCGGTTCAAAGTGCCATTTTGATGGCCGTCGGCCTTCAGCACAAGGACATGGACACGGTGTCTGCTGAGTTGGGCCTTCCTGCTGCGCAGCTGATGGCCATGTTCGCCAAGATCATCCGCAAGTTCTCGACGTTTTTCCGCAGCGTGCTTAGCCGGGACATCGAGTCGCAAATGCCGCAGTTGGAGGACGAGGCTGTGCGTGAGATGGAGGGCGAAACAGAGCACATTGACGCCGCGGCAGTCGAGCTCCAGATGACCAAGGACTTGGACGCCGAAGGTGCAGATGCCGTCCAGGCTTTGAGACAGAAAGAGTTGATCAGTGCGTTGAACTTGGAAAAGTACGCCATCGAAGACATGGGCGACTTGGACGAGAAGGAGGCGAAGAAGGCCGCTGCCCGCAACGGTGTGGTGAGTGTCAAGACCAAGAAACCAAAGCGCAAGACCGAAAGCGCCGAGCAGATTTACGAGACCGAGATGAAGTCGACAAAGAAACAAAAGAAGAAGAAGCACTAGCGCAAACGTTGCATAGAGCCCGACTGTGGCTTGTATACTGATTATAAAATGTTAGACATGTGATGTAGGAAGCAAATTCAAATTTTGCATCGCCTGAATTTTTGTATTTTTCCCTTCTGTTCGCCTGAGTCACTGCCTTATAATCACTGCCTCACCAGGCCTGTAATCGCCTGAACTGTATTTTTGCATCTTTCGCCTGTATTCTGTATTTGCTTTCCTTTCGAATTGGCGCCTGAATTGCCTCTTAGATCCACGCAATAGACAGAAAGATAATGTAACGTTGGCAGTGATAAAACTGGCTTGCTCGAGAAAACAGATCGACCAATTATGACAAAATTCTGATAGAGGAACCTCTTAGTTAATTATCCTAAAAGGTGTTTTTATAGTGTGAAGATTCTTGAAGACACTTCGTCCTATTTAAGCCGCCCTCGAGTCTAAACGGCTGTTATATCAAGCAATTTGAAGTAATTACGACATTTTGTGTAGTTTCAAATTAATACAGTTTTTTTTGAATCGAATTTTAGTTACAAGGTGCTCAAGATATCAGTTATGAAAATGGTCATTAAAATTAAATATTTTACATGATAACATTTGCACAATAATAAGTAAAATAGAACTATGCTACAAAAGTGTGGATGTTTAAACTAAGAATCTTAAACTAAGATTCATTTATGGCTTTCTTTCACTTTTATGGATGTTCCTTTAAAAATCTATAATATTTACCCACATAAACATGATAATCTTTTCATTTACGATCGTAAATTCTGTACTTGAGTAAATGTCAAGAAGGTACAAAGACGCTTAAGTATGAGGATGTAAAGGTGTTGAATGTTGGGTGTATGGATGTTTAGAAAAATAGGTACGGGTGTTTAAGGATGTACAGATGTTATTTCTGTGGTGTATGGATGTTTTATGTACGTATGTACGGGTTTGTTTAAACAAGATGTACGGATGTGTCTTCTTTTTGTGGCTCTGGCCTACCCACCATTTTTGGGTACAAAAAGGACAAACGCCCACGTACTACTTTCTTTCAGTCCTTGTGTAGAAGAAGTGATGGAATCGCCCAAGAATGTTTAGAATTATAGATCTGTACAATCGATTATGTTTCAGAAGTACTGAAAGTGAAAATGGCAATGTACTGGCACGAGAAATGGAAGCAGATATCATTGGGACTGAATTATGAAAGCTAATATAACCAGGATGTAACTCATATTACTGAATCTACACGGATAGGATTCATTTAATAAAAAATGAATAGTGTTAATCCGAGTAACTTTCAATCCATTGGAAACCACGAACAAATTTATTAGAGCAGCTATTTTAGCTGTCAGCTGGACAACTTTAATGATTAAGGACTCAATTGAAGTAATATGGTGTATAGCCTTAATATATCAAGTAGTTTTAATGAAGTGAGGAGAAGCGTTATCAATAATTACATTTATAAGTTCAACGCACAACAACATACATTAAGTATAAACAACTCTAAAAATCAAACTAATGGGCAACCAATGCTAACTACGTTCGCCTATATTATGACATGCAATCAAACGAGAAGAGCGATGAATGAACTAACATATACAGTCAGAATCACCTTAAACCGAACTGGTTATTTTCTTGCATTCATTGCATAGAAATGTATTATAATATTGTCACCTACCACAGGATTTTCTTCAACCAGCTGTCCATCTTTGGGTTTAGTCTGATATTAATCTACTTTCTCGTAGTAATAACCGGTTCGAATCACAATTACACCTCGCATCATATACATTCCAAGCCCTGTCGCAGAATAACGTATGTGCTATGAACCAAATCCCATCACACATAGACCCCTTAGTGTTAGGTTACAGATATTCATCTGACTTATCTAGTGACATGTATCTGAACTATTATCTAAAGACATCATCTAGACTATCATCTAAAGACAACATCTAAACTTCTGAAGGCATCATGTAGTCTATGATCCTAGACATAGTCTATTACTAGACATATCTATTATCTAGACATATCTATCATCAAGACATATCTATCATCTAGACATATCTATCATCTAGACATACTCTATTACTAGACATAGTATAACATCCTAGACATATCTATTATCTAGACATACTCTATTACTAGACATATCTATTACTAGACATATCTATTACTAGACATATCTATTATCTAGACATATCTATTACTAGACATATCTATTATCTAGACATATCTATCATCAAGACATACTTCACTTACCCTACATCCTGGTCATTGTAACGTCCATTCTATGTACACACTACGCCTCCAAAGGCAACTCCACGTCGTCGCCAAGCTGCGCCAGCAACTCCTCGCGAAGCAAATCCGTCAAAGCTGAGCCGTCCCGTAGCGTGACCCAGCGGCCGCCAATCATGTCAAAACGCTTGGGCCCGCTGATCGGACTGCTGAGCCAGATCTGCTTGTTGGGCGGCTGCTTGTTGATCACATACGTGAGGTCGCCAACAGACAAGGTCATGACCCCCAGAGAAAGCTCGACATCAAGCTGCGGGAAGGTCTCGGCGAGCTCCTCCAACTCGTCGCTAAGACTTTCCAAGTACGTGTTGGCCGCCCGGCTGTACTCGTTGTCCGAGAGCGGATCGATGAGCTGCTCGACGTGTTCGCCCGATGTGGATACGGCGGAACGAACAAAAATGGCGGTGGGCCGGGGCAAGCGGCGGCCGGAGTTAAGCGGCAAAAGAAGCAGGCGCCGAGAAAGAACAAGCGTGCGGCCGGAGATAAGACGCCGCGGCACAAGGCGGAAAAGGCTGCTCATGTTGAAGGTGTGGTTTAGTAGAGCGGCGAGAAGTGTGGAGGTATGCGTGGGTCACGTGATGACGTCTGGAGAAAATGTTTCAGAGGGTATTCATTTAGATAAAGCTTAGTGATAATTATGTTATGATGTTTATTAGAGAATTTGTTGGTGCTATTTCATATTTAATCTTTTTGAAATGCACGTATAGCAGCAATATTATCAGCTTAATCAGCTGTATTATTAGATGTATCAGGATGTAGATTGGATTTTTCAGCTGATTACTATGTCTGGTGCGGATTGGCGAAATCTGCAATTTGAAAGGTTTGGCCAAAGAGCCTGATTGTTATCTGCACCGATATATGAATAATGGGTTATAAATTCTGCTGAATGTCTAGTATGATTCCACTGACCCTCATACATTGGAGATAGCTTTGTATTCACTTATATTGAAACCTGATTCATATATACTTCCATGAATTGAGTAGAGTCGATAGCCTTACCAGATATTCTTCTATACCGTTCCCTCTTTGTCTTGATCTGTGACGAAACCCAGATCAGAACTAGCAAATAAATTTCAAAAGTGTACCAATATGTCTTCCGTACGAAGTTTCCAGCAAATATTCACCCATCGTTTGAGTTTATGCGCCATCACAGATTATTCTGCTGAAACACCGCTTTTTGAATTAAGACAAATGAAATAGTGAGAACACTTGCAATAATTTCTACACGTACTTCAATTCAGTCTGCGAATGACGATAAGAAGATGAATGAAATAGATAGGATAAACAACATAATGAGATAATAGAGTACCAAAGTATCGATAACAAGTAACAAATTATAGATAATAAAGTACCAAATAACAGACAATGAAGTACCAAAGTATCGATAACAAGTAACAAATTATAGACAATAAAGTACCAAATAGATCATAAAGTAACAATTATCGATACTAAAGACCAAATAGATAATAAAGTAACAAACTATCGATACTAAAGTACCAAATGGATAATTAAGTAAATAATGCAATACAAAAGACTTACCAAAATAAATGTACTATAATTTACATGAAGACCAACGTGACCAAGCGATGCCGTATTCGTGTGATCCAGTCTTCATATCTGAACCACAAAAACATGAAACGATATCAAATCGACAAGTGGGCACAAACTCACATGAATAAAACTCAAACTGAAACCATATCCACTGACAAGGAATTTTCTTGCAGTAGGGTGTGCGCACGTGACCCAGTCATATCTCCATCCACCGGATCCGAAACACCATCTTCACCATGTTTCTCATTCTTCTCGCGTGTGTTATTTTGTGTGCCGGTGTCATCTACCTCCCATACTCGGCCGGGCTCACACATATCGAAAAGAACCACCATGTGAAAAGTGCCAAAAAGGAAAAGGAAACGAAAGCGCCCCAGTACGATGGATACGTCCCGCCCGATGAGGAAATTAGACTCCAAGAAGAGGCCAAAAACGCCCGTGCATCGGCGCTCAAGGAAAAATTGACTGTGACTGCCGAGGATATGCCGCTTCGCATCCGCTTGAACCAAGACTCGGTCTTGAGAAAGAGACAAGAACACACCATTAGCGATGGCAATCCCAACACCTACGACTACGACTTGGACGAGTTGATCGAGGAGGAGACCGTGGGCGCTGCGCAAAAGGCCCAGGCCGAGCTTTATTCGCACGAGAAGATTGGCGGCGACAAGGAGGCGATGGTGTGATTGTATATAGATCGGGAGACTTAGCGGAGACTTAGCGGAGACTTTGCCGAAGGCGAAGTCGACCAGAATTTAACGGAGACTTTGCTAAAGTCGACCAGAATTTAACGGAGACTTTGCTGAAAGTCGACCAGTAATTTTCACGGAGACTTGGGTATAGTGTTGATCGACTAATAGTGACTAATATTGACTGAAAGTACAAGCTGGCTTTGATTCCAAGAAGAATGGATCGACTAGCGTTTATCGACTAGCGTTTATCAAATAGATCGACTAGCGTTATCAAATGGATCGACTAGCCTTTATTGGCTCAAAATTGAAGTCAAAATGCCTTCTAAATCGATCGGCCAATGAATGTGGTGAAAAAAAATTGAGATTTTTTTGTCTTAATCATTTCACGAAAAATACCTAGTTTAATCCAATGTTAGACACTGCTTTCTGTTTCTTTATCAATTAGTACCTTGGAATTTTTGAGTGGTCGCAGTTAACCTAAAAATTTAATATATACAATTTTTTTAAAATTTTTTTAATATTTGGGGCTATATGCCCCTTTATATGGATCAGACACTTTTCTTATTACAGTGTAGATAACCATAATAGAAGTGTGGAGATACTTCAGCAGAACCAAGACTCGAAGTATGTTGGTGCCTAAATAGCCTGAGCTCTCACATGTGATTCACATATACATAGGTCTGCTTGGAATCTCCATTTCTATGTCCGGTGAAAATCCTTAGAAGAATCTAATCTAGTCATTACTTGCCCTGGTGATTCTTGGACTGAAGATTGAACAGATCGTTTAGTTGTATTGATGCAAATATATTAGGCAATGCTCTTGAACTATAGTCCATATCGCAAGCATGAAATCGGCAATTCAGATGCAAGATCCATGAGGTTGAGCTTGCGACGAAATATCTGAGTTCACATATCAGTTCACATATCAGTTCACATATCAGTTCACATATCAGTTCACATATCAGTTCAAATATCAGTTCACATATCTGAGTTCACATATCTGAGTTCACATATCTGAGTTCACCTATCTGAGTTTATCTGAATGATGGCAGATCCGATTGTGGTAGATCTGAATGTTCGCTCACATCGGAACTCGCTCGAAGATTATGAAATGCTTCTTGATCCAACCCAAGAAAAAGCCCTTCTAAAGAAAAGAGCTTGATTGCCCTATTCAGAAACAATGTCCAACAAATCTATAAGGTAGCCCTTCTTTATGTACACGTATTCGTCTCGACGGTAGAGGTCTCTAGCAGACAAAGTGTCTGAAAACAGCGACTCTCGGGCCCTCGCGTCACCGAGTTTTTTCAAGTATGCGGCTTTAGTGTGGACAACACGAGAAAGACGCTGTGTGTCCGGATGCAAAGTGGCTTCGAATGCCTGGAAAACCGCCGTGATCAAGCGATCCGAGAGCTTCAAAAAACGGGCAGGCGCCGGTTCAAGAACAGGCGACTCAGACAAAATAGTGCCCAAGGTGTCGCTGACTGTAGGAGGAAGTTCCAACAGATGGAGTTTTGTGCGGATCCACGAGTCTGTTTCGCCGTAGTTTACGTCGTATTCTGTAATAAGCTTGGCGGTCACATAACGAAGATTTTCCACCAGCCACTTGCGGGAAAGAAACAGATGCAAGATGGTTTCAAAAACACGGCTTGAGAGCGGAAGATGCCACTTCTGGATCCGGGCCAAAACGCCCTGTATGTCCTCGAACAGGCCGTCTTGACAGGTGGCCACCAAAAGCGGAAAAAAAGTGTCTTGAGTCGGATGGAGCCGCATCACTGGCAGGTTTTCCATCTCTTGATGCATTGATAGACATTGACGGTACTGTTCTCTATCCTGTTGGGACAAAAGACGGAGAAATCTGTCTGGCGTAGAGAGATTGTCAACGTTCTCGGATTCAAGAACTTCAGCAAGTTGGAAAGCCCATTCGGCATGATTGAGACGGACTAGAGCCGCCACCAAACTGTTAAAAAGCCGGATATCAAGACACCCCAAATGGCGCAGAGAAAAAAGCTCTAGAGCCGAGTGAAAGCGGCGCAGGTCGCCTTGCATCGAATAATTGTCAAACAAGATGCGGAAAGTTTCGCCGTCTGGTTTCATTTCTGCAAGCAATTCTTCCACCGCTTGGAGATTGTCATGACGGAAAGCCGTCTGCAAGAAAACATTGTGCATGTCTGTATCGAGATCGAAGTTGAAAGTGTTTCGAATTTGGCCGTACGTTTCCATGTCGAAAGACGTTTCTGTCTCGCGGAGGCTGTTCTTCTCGTGGCCGCCATAAACGATTTTGGCCAACTCTGGATACTTCTCCAGCGCTTTCCCGACATTAGAGAGCGCCTGCTCAACCACTTTCCGGATATCAGGCCGTTCGCGGTAAAACGTCATGAACACTAGCTGTTTCTGCTCGTGCTTGGACACAGGAATGCCAGCGGCCTCCATGTCACGCAAGATCTTCCAGAACATGGCCAAGTGCCTCTTGCGGGCCTCTTTGGCGTCGCGGTAGGCCCAGATAATCAGCTCGTTCAGCGAATCCCACATGCTTCGAGGCGAAAGCGCATTGGGCTTGACAAAGTCCCGCCGCGCTAGCATCTGCGCTATGAAGGGCTCCATATCTTCCACAGCAAGGTGTCCCACGCCCGGAGATGGAAGCATGCTGTAACTGTGGAAAAGCAGAGCATGGTTTATGTTGGGAGCAGACTTGTATGTGGAAAACCTGCTGAGGCTGTTTCGCCGCGGGTAGAGCTGGCGCAAAAAGTCATTATACAAAGACGGCCGTACTTTCTGGCGGGACGGCAGTTTGTGGAAGCGTAGGAGCGCTTGCTGCCGTAGTTTGGCTTCGGTCGGCGTCAAAAAGTATGACAGGGCAGTTTTCCCGGTTTGAGCCGATACGGCGCCGGATTTTTGCGGGGCTTTCACGATTTGCAGAAGAAACGGGGCGCCCTGGGCTTTGCAGAGATGGTCTTTTAGTCGGGCTAGCGCCGAAAGCCCGGGAACCAGAGACATGATCTAAGGTGAAGAGTATGCACCTGTACCTCCACAGCAGATGAGACCCCACAATTCATGCAGGAGGAAAGACGTGAATGTATTGACCGGGGCTTACGGTTTTCCACTTGTTAAACCTTTGAGTGATAGCTATTCATGTTGACAAAGTGCCTATTATAAGTCCTTATTTTATATTCGTAATAGATGATGTTATCGTATATCGAGAATAGAATATTTACTGAGGTGATGATCTGAGGTGAACATGGGACCAATAATAAGAGTACGGTTATCGTCTCCCAACGTAACGATACGTTAGTCAATTGAGAAAATTGCTTAAGTTTTTATATAGTTGGCGAAGAAGAGTGCCATTCACGGCTCAAAGTTGTATGAAGAATTATAGTTCGAAATCGCACCTCAGGCCCACAATTTCTCACTAAAGTATCCTTCCAGCCTCTGACATCCACAAAGACAGAAAATACGAATTCCTGCTTGTTCATTTTCAGTTTGCATTGGCTCGAACATGGCGCATTCGCTGAAGTATTGTATGCGACATAGCTTGATTCGCACAATACTAGAACAAGATGGAAAACAAGGAAAGAGATGAGACAGACACATAGAGAACCAAGCGACACCAGAAAACAAACCCAAACGACACAGACAAGACGAAATAACAACGAAAACTACCAACAGAACAAAAACAGAAAAGCAGCAGAACCACCACCTCGACCTCCTCACGTGACCACGCGACCATCTGAAAGCCCGAGCGAAAAAAAAACCACCTTCTTCAGCCACATGAAAATCCAAACCAGAGCCGCCGGCGTTCTTGAAAGAACGTCGCACTATCTCAAGGCGGGCGTGATCCGAAACAAGCCGTCGTGGTACAATGCCGTAGCCGCGTTCCCGCCAGCGACCGACTTGACGAAAAAACCCGTGAATCTCCAGTTCAACCAGCGCCAAGACCCCTTCAGCCAGATGTTCGAGAAGAAAGACGGGCGGTTCAAGACGCGGGCCAACCGGGCCGAGCGCCAGCAGCAAAACAACAGCGTGAGCCGCATTCCCAAGTTGGCCTTTCTCGAGGACCAGTTGCGAGACGTGTTCTACCACCAGCATCCGTGGGAGTTTGCCCGGCCCAAAGTTTTGGTGGAGAACGACGGCGCCGAGCAGCTGAAGTGCGACTGGTCGCATATGCTCCAGTTCCACAAGCCGTTGGACGGCGAGAGCGTGGTGCAGAGAACGTTGTGGCTTTTGCAAGACGCCAAGAAGCTGGGCGAGGAAAAAACGCTTTTCGACGCCTACGACCAGGCCCGTTTCGAGTTCTACCAGTTGCGCATGGCCGAGGAGATGGAGTCTGCGGTGGCCAAGGAGGAGCTGGCCATGTACGGCGCCGTTTTCGCCTCGTCCAACATGCTGTGGGGCTTGGAGAAGGAGCAGGAGTTTATCGACGTGTGGGCCAAGGTGGGCGAGGAGAGAACGAAGATCAGAGAGGCGTCGAGAAACCGCTCTTCGGCCGGCAGCGGGGCGGACGAGCCGGCAGAACCTTCTGGCTCCATCTGGGAGTCCACCTTCACCACCGAGGAGGAGCTGAAGTAGCATGTACATAGTAACATACCTTGAGATTGGGTTACATACCTTGAGATTGGGTTACATACCTTGAGATTGGGTTACATACCTTGAGATTGGGTTAACATACCTTGAGATTGTAGTGGTAGTGACATGTAGCTTCATGGTGTGACAGCTTCATGGTGGCTTCATGGTGGCTTCTGACATGGTTGAAGGCAGTCTGTTGTATGTTGTCTGCTCTATGTCTCTATGTTGTCTACATCTATGTTGTCTGTCATAAATGTCTAGAGTTGTCTGGCTCTGTCAAATGATTCTTCATAATACTTTGTCATCATTTTCTGAGCTCATTGACCGTGTCACACGAGTTGTTAATGGAGATCTTTTCCTCTTAACGACTTCATTGCACTTGGAGTTTGGCCTTTAGAGATTAAATAGTGATTACCACTTCCCTATTCAAATTATGGCAGATAACCTAGGATATTCCAAACTCTGTTCTTAAGAACTCTCATCCCATCATTTTGTAAATTGTTTCACATGGATCACTAAAGTAATTGTCTATAATAATTGTCTATAATAATTGTCTGTAATATTTGTCTATGGCAATAGTCTAAAGCAGAGTCTATAGTAGAGTCTATAGTAGAGTCTATAGTAGTTGTCTATGGTAACTGTTATGTCTATAGTATGTCTTACGATTTATCGTCGTATACTACATTGGTCCGAAGTATCGTCTTTAATTACGTGAGTCTACAATATAGTAACAGAAACTCCATCACAGTAGTCATTGTCCTCTACTAAATGTGTTAGATAATTTATAAGTCCATGCTGGTGGCTCCTGTCTTATACTCGAAGCTTTATTCTTCCCTTACTCAAGGATGAAGAAAATTTATTGAGTAACTTGATAATTTTACAGAACCCTGGTTGGGAAAGTTGATTGATGTAATAATTTGTACTATGCATGTTACATAGAATGTAGTGGAGAAGGTTGAAAGTTATTACCAGCCAAATCAGAAAGTTATAAAAGTGAACGAGTAAGTAGGCCCAAGTGAACTAACTTGAGTAGTTTAGGAACTATCTTTTAGTCGATCATCAAGAGACTATTGTCAATTATAGATACCGAAGGGCATTTTCGAACAGCGAATAGATCAATTACAATCTATTGTCTTTGATCCAATGCTATAGACTAGTTCACATCCCGCTCTACCAAAGATGTCTAGAAACCAAAGTCATTAGACCTCACTTCATACTTATGCCCAAGACGGCATTTTCATGGACTTGAAAATAACTCGCCAGCTCAGTGACAAGTCATTCTTAGCACCTTGTCTCTGCTGTCTGTAATCGCGTTCATAATTGGTCGAAAATAGTCTAATATAATGGAGCACAGACAAGATTAAGACAGAGGAGCAGATCGGACGCAGAGCAGATTTGATTAAATCTCCATCACAGGATTAACTTCGGATGTTTCCAACATTCCGAACCGATCTCGTTGTCATTCCTTCGTTCTTCCGTTATCGATCTTCGATTCGATTTTCGATTTCGATTTCGTTCTTCAACTCTTCATTCTTTTCTTCATTCTCATTCTTCTCATTCTTCTCATTCTTCTCTTCATTCTCTTCATTCTCTTCATTCTCTTTCTTCTCTTTCTTCTCTTTCTTCTCTTTCTTCTCTTTCTTCTCTTTCTTCTCTTCATTCTCTTCATTCTTCCTTCTTCTCATTCTTCTCAATCCGCTCCTCTACACGACATTCTCGAATATTCGTTTCTTATGCTATATCTATTCAGTGGTGCTCGTCCTTTTTCAAAACCAACTTCTCATAGGCGAGATAGAGAGAAAACGCACCAACGGCGATTCCGAAACCGGGAAAAGCTGCCTTGAATCGGTTGAGACGCGAAAACTGGCCCTCGTATCTCCAGGCGTCTCTCTTGGCCCAGGGGTTGCTGCTCATGATGGGGAAATGTAATGGTGGAGTTTGTAAATTTATCTGAGAAAAGCTCATTGGTGGACGTGTCGTGCGGTGCACATAAGGCCACAAGTCTTTCTCGCCTTTAAGCTATTCTTCTGTGCATGCGCGTGCATGCTTCTAGCCGTATACCGTTGAGCCTAAAACGCACAATTCGGCGTTTACAGTTGGCCAAAACGGGCGAGAATGTTCTTGACGTCATACAAATGCAACGAAAAGTCCATTTGCTTTTGTTTGCTTTTATTTTCCGTGCTGTTTCATTGTGCCACAGTATCCTTCTGTCAAATATGCAAGACCCTGTATCTTCGCCGTTCCGCGTACATAACCCCAAAAAATACTGATAACGGAAAGAAGCCTTTTTACGCCATGGGCACCCGAATGTCGTCTTCTTCCACCGAACGGCACGTCAATGAGCTAGAAAGAGACGAGCAGAACGACGTGGCCGAAAATGTCGTGACAGACTCAGAAGGCGAAGATGAGTTTATTCGCAAGTACGGCGAAATAGACTTCAAGTACATCAAGAGACCAAAGCCGGCGGTGTGGTTTATCCGGCCGCATGCGTTGAACTACTTTGAAAACGGCGTGCTCTACCGGACCAAGGGAGAACGGACGTCGGGAAAGACAGAATTGTTTTTGGACTTGATGTATGTGGGCATCATCGCCAATGTTGCAGGCGAGGCGTCGGAGCATGCGCTGTGGGGGTCCTTTCTTCAGTATGTGCTCTTCTTCATTCCCTACTGGACTGTGTGGGCCGACATCAAGGACTTTACCAACTACTACTACTCCGGAGGGATCTTTCGCACGAAAACGTACATCTTAGTGGATTTTGATTTATGCATCACCCTTGTCTGTCAACCAGCCCACTCGGCATGTGCTCTAAGGAACAAGGCACGGGCGCGGCCATTGACCAATTGTCCCCTACATCTTGTGCCGGCTTTTCGTTAGGCTGGTGTCTTTGTTGGTCTATTCGTTTTTCATTCCGCAGCACCGTGCGCAAATGAGACTCTACTTTTGCTTTCTCATCGCCACGTCGTGCCTCTGGATCCCGGTGATTTTCATCTCGACCCGGGCCAAAGTGGCTGTGTCGTTTGTCGCCATCTTCTGCGAGCAGGTGTCGTTTTGCATCGTGTTCCATCCTCGCACGAAAAGGTGGTTGAAACTCACACAGTCAACGGCTTTGAACATCGAGCACGAGGTCGAGCGGTTGGCCACGTTTGTCACCATTGCTATTGGCGAGTTCTTGTACAAGGTGGTGGCATCGCTGCCCTTGGGCGTCGGAATGACCACCGCTTTCGGAAGAGGCTGTTTCCTCTTGATTATTGCCTATAATCTTTTCTGGCTCTTCTTCAACGGCGGAACATCGGAGAAGGCCATCCATCCGTTGCGCCACAGTGCTTTCCGGGCCATTCTCTGGATCTACGCCCATCTCCCGCTTGTCGCCGCCATTGTGCTAGCGGCAGATGCTGGAGGCGACTTACTTACTCGTGATCTGGTGTACCATACGCTTGAGGAAGTGCATCGGAGGGCAGAAGAGGAAGCGGAAGAGCCCAACCTCCGGGCCTTGTCGTTTTTCTTCACTGGAGGCATCTTTGTTGCGCTTTCGTGTATTTGTCTCATTGGCCTTTTGGACGAGTGCAAGGACGAGTCCGGAAAATACATGGTGCCCAAGTTCTGGCGGATTATCTGGCGGTTCCCGGCGGGCATTCTTATCGTGTGCTTGTCTTTGCCAAACCTAGACCTCACGCTATTAATGGGGCTTGTTGCGTTGATCACTGCTGTTCTTTTGGTTTACGAATCGATAGTGTCTACGCCGCAGAAGGTGAAAGAGTCTAGATATGCTGTTGAAATATGATTGTTTTAATGTATGAGTAGATAATGTATGAGTATATGAGTATAATGTATGAGTATAATGATTGAGTATAATGTATGAGTATAATGATTGAGTATATTGATTGACCTTAGAATTTGAACGTTGATCCAAAACCATGTATGTGAAGTAAAGACTCCTCTGATTTGAAAACCACGTATGTGAAGTAAAGACTCCTCTGATTTGAAAACCACGTCGAAGAACTACCAGTTGGATGCTAAATTTGCCCTTACGAATGTTTTCCATAAGTCATGCCCCTTTGATTTCAATTTAGCCCTCACTTTTCATTCAATCATCCAATGTCCAACGAAGAGCCAATTGGAAAAGACAGAAAGCTGGAATAAGTGCTCTAACAGGTTATTCTTTACTGAGTTTGAAGACATTATCACACAGCTAGCTTTCCTTTTTCAAGTTTTAATCTCTGATTATGGTACGAAATTGATATTTTATACTGGAACTGTCGACATTCATCCAGTAGCGACTCCGTTATGAATTAGGCCTCATGCTTTGCCCAAGCCTTTTCCATTCCAGTGTAGTCATGTGAATAGTTCGTTCACATAAGTTCAAACGAACAACTACGGAAAGCTGGATTAGTCAACATCAATCCAAAGACTATAACCAGACACTAGCAAAGATCTCTGCTTACTCAACTTGAAACAGGACTATTCCGCCTTGCTCAGATGGCCATACTAGATGCGCATTCCGATTGTGCAAGCTACATATCATTTCTCCAACTGATCCAACTAATTCATCTGATCCATCTGATCCAACTGATCCATCTGATCCATCTGTTTCGCCCACTGTTTTTCTTATTGGCTTTGCTTCTACGCTTCTATCACGTTTGTTTAGGTTCGTTTTTTTGTCTTATCAACCTTTTCCACGACTGCACCTACTGCATCACATAATCAGCTCTTTAGGCCATGCTCCAGATAAAAGGCCCCCAGAGAGGAAACGGGCGAGTTTCTTTTCACACAGAATATACACGTTCACGAGGCGGGACTTCGAGAGCGTTTTGGGTGGTGATTGGTTCCGACAGACTACGAAAACTTGGACAAGGAAACCGAGGACTAAAAGAGGAAGGCAAGACAATGGAACCAGAGGGAAAGACAATGCTACCAGAGGGAAAGAGAACGCTGGAACCAGAGGAAGACAACGAGGAACAGCTAAGACTAGAAGGTGAAAACGGGACAACCCAGGCAACGGATAAAGACATAGATAACGCAAACGAAAACGAAAACGAAAACGAAGACGAAACCGAAGACGAAGACGAAGACGAAGACGAAAACGAAAACAATGACCAAAACTCAAACCAAAACTCAAACCTCCCCAACGGAACGAACAAAGACAGCCAAGCCAGCCGTACCGACGCAGACAGCGAAAGCGAAATCGAAATCCTCGAAGTCAGACCCATCCACTACTCGGACTCGGACTCGGACCTCTCGTCGCTCGACGAAGAACTCAACCATGCGCTATCGTCGACCGTGACGGTCCCAACACAGATCGACCACGTTTACCGTGGCGCCCCGGTCAAACCAGAACCCATCCACAAAATCCTCCCCAACATATACAAAGCAGTACCTCCACGGGCATCGCCGGCGCCGCCAGGCTACCGAAACATCCCGCCGAACCTTGTTTCGACCATCCAGCGCGAGCTCAATCTTTTTTTCGACACCGGCAACGACGACGACTTGGAAGTGGTGGGCCGGGTGGTGTTTTCGCTCAAAGACCCGTACCTGGCCACCAAAATCCGTCTCCCGGTCAAGGCCACCACGTGCCGCCACTTTGAGTGCTTTGACTTTGACAACTTCTGTCTTTTCCACAAGCTTCCGCTCGGCATCAAGGGCAGCTTGAAGAAAAACCTCGTGCTCAAGAGCCACGACTCGCGCAAGCTCGAGCAGCTTTTCATTCGCCAGCAGCAGCAGCTTGCTAGCGGCGTTCTTCTGTTTCTGTCGCCGGGGCTTGTGTATCCGCAGTTTTCCGAACACGGCCAGATGTTTTTCACAGAGATATACAATCGCACGCCGCCGCTTTATAAATGCCCGTTGTGCGACGAGAAGTTCGGCTTGAAGCAGCTCTACATCTCCGACATCTTCAACTTCTTCGTCAAGACAACGCCGCTCCACACGACGCGGATCGAGTTGGTTGAAAGTGACCGCTACAAGATTCTCGAGGACGAGGTTGTGGAGCCGCAGGAGAAAAATGCAGAGTACGTTGTTCTTTCGGGCGACAGCGAGTCGGAGCCTGATGCTTCGATGAGCGTGGACGACTTTAATGATGGCTTGGACGACGTGCTTCTGAAAATCCGCCAGGGCGACGGAACCTGGGGGAACCCCGTGACGCTTGACTAACAGATAGACTGACAAGATTGAAGAGTGACAAGACTGACAAGATTGACAAGATTGACAAGATTGACAAGATTGACAAGATTGACAAGATTGACAAGATTGACAAGGCAGACAAGACAGACAAGACTGATGAGATTGACAAGACTGCCGAGACTGACAAGACAGACAAGACAGACAAGCCTGACAAGACTGCTACGACTGTCTTGATTTTCATGCCGATAGGATGCCTTAATACATGTACATACCGGCATCCATCGGTCATGTACCTTAGATGTAATATAGAACGGTGCTTAAATGAAGGCGTGCAAGTATGTAAGAATTTTTAGGGCAATGGCAAGACTTGTAGGAGTGATCACATTTCTAGCACTGAGTGGGAAAATTTACGTTTAAAACTGTTTATTTGTCTAACTAATCTATGTTTGCTATCTCTTTGTTCTAAGTCTCGAATTCTAAAAGCTGGTCATAACTTCAACTCTTGGCATGTTGCTACGAGTCCGGTAATTTTTAGATGAACGACTACACCTTTAATCCTATACATTCAATACCAGCTAAACCTTTCATCAAGAGTTGAAGAGCTCCTAAGGATCTAACGCCACAAGATCATATCATGTTTATTTCCACATAAAAAGAATTCCTTAGCGAGGATTATGGACGCTCTCTAGACATAGTTTTACTACAATTGGTACGTTCAGACTCATTCCAAGTTTACCCAGAGAGAATCTTAGTTTTACAATTCACTTCACAAGAATGTCATTCTGTGACAAAAGTTGAAAAGGCAATATAAATATTCCCGTAGCCAAGGCTCTGTAATGTACAATTGCCTCACTTAAGGCTATAATTACTTCCTTTCTGCCCATTCTTCATAATGTCGTGTCAGTATTGTTCAACCGTGTTCTTGATCCACGTTATCAAATCCACACTAAAACAGAAAACTGGAGGTTTCCACTATCAAAGTATTAAGTGTGGAGACAGACCAGAGTCAACAATTGTGAAGGCCCCAGGCCATTGAAGTTGACTAATTTCGCCAAAGACTGTACTTTTCCAAATCTAAAGCTAAAAAGTGATCCGACCAGTCTAAATATCCTTGCTTAAAATCTCAGACATAAATCGAACGCTCCTACTTGGTTGAACTCTCAGACATAAATTGAACACTCCTACTTGGTTGACATTGGTGGCATCAATGTCGTTAGTATTCTGGCATCAATGTCGTTAACATTATCAATGTCGTTAATTTTCTCTGGCATGTAATTTAGCAATGTGCAATGTCGCGCCTCGTGTCAAGTCGCAAGTATTAGCTCTAGCCACACCTACGACATGGCCATGACAACAGTAACAGACGTTTGGAAAAATCCAGTAGGAAACTCCAGTAGGACAAACAGCGTAGACACGCCAACAAACTACAAAAAATCACAGACCGGCCCACCGTTCACTATGGAATTACGTAATCTGCGCATGTCGCAGCACGGCTCCATGTGGCAGAGGTACGGATGCTCCATTCCAATCCCACCCTAAAGCTTCTTTTCTTGTGCCTCCTTTCCATAGCCGTACTTCCACAGCTCTTTCCCAAGCCTACTGTATCAACCCGTCTTTCTTCGACTGCCCGCTGTCACATGTCCAAAAAACCGTCCCGAAGTCCCCATGGTCCGTCTCTAACCAGCACGTCGCCCAAGTTGGCGTTTGTTTTGACCCAGATGGTCCGTTTGGTCCGGGCAGCGCCCGTGGCGGCCTCCAGCGAGCCCAAGACGGCGCCGCATCCAATGACCCGCGAGCAGTTCTACGCCAACCTCGCCACGTCTGTTTTCCTCGTGTTGGCCGGCGGTGTTTTCGCCGGCTTGACTTTGGGCCTCATGGGCCAGGACGAAGTGTACTTGAAGGTGATAGCCACGTCCGGCGAGCCCCGCGAGCGCAAGCACGCCCGCAAGGTGTTGCGGTTGATTGGCCGCGGCAAGCATTGGGTGCTTGTGACGCTTCTTTTGTCCAACGTCATCACCAACGAGACTTTGCCCATTGTGTTGGACCGGTGCCTTGGAGGCGGCTGGCCTGCCGTCGTCACGTCCACGGCGCTGATTGTCATCTTTGGCGAGATCATCCCGCAGTCCATCTGCGTGCGCTACGGCTTGCAAGTGGGCGCCATGTTTGCGCCGTTTGTGTTGGTGCTCATGTACGTGATGTACCCTGTGGCGTACCCGTGTGCGTTGCTCTTGGACCACATTTTGGGCGAGGACCACGGCACCGTGTACAAAAAACTGGGGTTGAAGACGCTAGTCACCTTGCATAAGACCATGGGTGTCGAGCGGTTGAACCAGGACGAAGTCACCATCATCTCGGCCGTGTTGGACTTGAAGGAGAAGCCCGTGGCGCAGATCATGACGCCCATGGACCACGTCTACACCATGTCGTCCGACAGCATCTTGGACGAGAAGACCGTGGAGGAGATTTTCCACGCGGGCTTTTCCCGAATCCCCATCCACCTTCCGGGCGAGCCCATGAACTTCATCGGCATGCTCTTGGTGCGCGTGTTGATCTCGTACGACCCGGAGGACGCGCTCCCGGTGGCGCTGTTCCCGTTGGCCACGTTGCCCGAAACCGCAGCCGACACGCTGTGCTTGAACATACTTAACTACTTCCAGGAGGGCAAGTCGCACATGATTGTCGTTTCCGAGACGCCGGGCGAGCCCACAGGCGCTCTTGGCGTGCTCACGTTGGAAGACGTGATCGAGGAGTTGATCGGTGAGGAGATTGTCGACGAGTCCGACGTTTACATTGACATCAACAAAAACATCAAGCGCAAGAACCCGGGCCCGCTCCTAAAGCGCAACTTGGCGCTGTACTTGCACACATTATACCAGCAGTCGACTGCCAGCTCCAAACGGAACCTGACAGACATGGACACGCTGCAGGACTCGGCTGTTGTCGCTTCGCCGGCTCGTCTGCGAGCGCCGCTAGCGTCGCCTATTTTTGCGCCCGTCAACCCAGCCGCCAACCCATTGGCGGTGTCCAAGGCGTATGTGACGATCAAACGGCCTGCCGAAAGACGCAGCTCCATGGATAAAACGGTGCCGGGGCCTGACCTCCCGCCGCCTCGGAACGGCAACTACGACCAAGTCTTTACTACTGAAGAAGGGGCGCTCGAGGCGGCACGCGAACGCAGCGACCACGCGAGGGCCACGCCGGAAGCCAGGAAGGGCAACTCGCCGTTTTTGAATGTTCCTGGAAAAGAAGACGGAAGCGCCGGAACGGATCACGCCAATGACGCAAACGGACACGAAGCGACCGAAAACGGCGCCAAGGACGATGGCGTTAGTGGCGACGTCAGCAGCGATGACGAGAACAATAACGGCGCCGCAGAAGTGCCGATGGCCAGGTCTGCGTCTGCAAAGTCGGGCAGGTCGGCCAAGCACTCCAAATCGCCTAAGTCGTCCAAACACTCCAAGTCGTCCAAGTCGTCCAAGTCGTCCAAGTCGTCCAAATCATCCAAATCCTCAAAGTCGTCCAAAACCAGCTCTGGTTCCCACAGCGACGACTCTCCGCCGCCAGAAGAAATCTCCGAGTCTCGCTCGTACCGTACAGGCGGTATAGTGGAGTCCGTGGTCAATGTTCAGGGCGTCCACAAGACCATCATCGAAGACATTAGCGAGGAGGAGCCGTCGGACATTGATATTTCCAGTTTCAGCAGCTCTCTGCGCCGCTCGCGGAAACGGTGGGGCAGCGACGAGGAATCGCAGCGTCTTATGAACTTCTGATGCCGTTTTCGTCCTTTTGCCTGTTTCCGTGTCCTTCATGCTGAAGCAGACTGATTGATTTCGAAAACCTAAATAGCACAGCAATACATGTTGCATTTGAGAGGTCATGACTTGACTCTGTTTTGATCGTAGGCCAATACGGATCATGAAAGTGTTTGAATCAGTGGATCGTTTACTCACATTCGGAATGTCAGATTTAAAGCCCTGGAACGGATGTTGAAGTTTAATAATACGTTACTTTGTAGTTTTTAATTTCTTTAGTGCTTCAGGTATTATGCCATCCTGAAAAGAGATAGTTCAAGTACACGAAGCTATTGAGGCTTGTGAAAAAGAAGAAAACTATGTATGATTGAAAAACGCCACGTAGTAAGGTAGTTTTTACTAAGATTTCTGGAAAGAGGCCATTTCATGTAGCTTAAATAGACTATAGGGTCAAGATGTACCTAATTTGAGTAGAAGAAATTACTAGAGAAAATTAGGTAACAGACAGAAATAGATAACAGAAAGATTTGGCTTCACATTGTGGGGAGACATTCTTCATTTGGTGCAGCTATGTCCAGTAAAACCATTACCTACTTCACTTATAGCGGAATAGGCATAGAACGATCTTGAGTTCGAGCTTATGTAAAAGTCATCCATCTCATAGCAATGGGATTATTTTCACCACTGACTTGCTTTTGAATAGACAATCTATTGCTTATTTCTTAGAATACCAAAATTCAGCAGGATGTCGAAATCCATAGTCCCGACATTTGGCTTCTTGAACCGTAATGATTTCTGATTACACGTGGGAAATGACACAATTAGGCTACATTTCGGGCTAAGGCATGGAAATGTCGGATCGACATGACACAATGGTGTAACCATGGTTTGCATGATCCCATAGTCTGATGCGAGACATTCATCACGCTATTAGACAAGGCAAGTCGGACAATCCCGACGCGTGGTAACAGATGAGGCGTGTTCGAACGAGGCACGTGAGAAGATCTACGGTGACAAAAGTAAAGCCGAACGAATACGATAGTGGAAAGAAGTTGATGCAACGGCGCATGCGCCACAAGAGACAACATAAGAGAAGTGAGGGTACCGACATGCGACAATGTAAGTGACGACATGCGACACTTCTCGACATGAAAACGTGCATGGAAGCGCGGAAAGGAGTGCATAATGGCACGGCAATTCAAACTATATGCAGGCTTATCTCCGCATCCCCAGCACTTCCAGCCCAGGCCCAACCACGCCAGCGCCAGTAAGTGGTGCCAGCAAGCCATGACACCACCGCAAAGGCACCAGCACACGGCAGCGAAAAACAGCGCCAAAAAAAGGCCAAGCGATATTCCGTTGCGGCCGCGCACCTGCATGTCGCACATGGACCCGGCCATTGGTTCAACGTCTCAACATCACCGGTTCCAACCACATTGAATGGGCGAGAAAAAACACCACTCCTTCAAAAACATCTTCCGCAGCTCGGCCAGCCTGGGCCCGGCCAGCCCGGAGCCGCGCCCGCACCGCCTCTTTGGCAAGCACAAGCACGCGGCGTCGAAAAACCTGCTTTCTCCACATTCCAGCGGCTCCGCCACAGACAACTTGGTGGCGCCGCGGGCGCTGGGCGACTCGGTGGCGTCGGGCGGCAGCGACGACCCGCTGCGGCGGCGCAAGCACTTGTTCGGGCACCATCCGTTGCGGCGGTTTTTCCACATTGGGCGGCCCAACGACTTGGGCGACAATGCCACGCCGGCGGCCGAGCCCGTGCTGTACGGCAGCACGTCGGAGTTGCGGCGCGAGTACGACGTGGGCGCGGAGATCGGCGCCGGCGCCAGCGGGCTGGTCAACTTGGTGACGGCGAAACACGGGTCGGGCGAGGTGTTTGCGCTCAAGAAGTTCCGGGCCCGCCTCCCGAACGAGGCGGTCCACGACTACACCACCAAGGTCAAGAACGAGTTTGTCATTGGCGAGCACCTCCGGCACCAGAACTTGATCCATACGATGAAGATGTTCCGCGAGGACAAGCTTGGTTCTGCGACGTATTACATTGTCATGGAGTACTGCCCCTACGACTTTTTCAACTTGGTCATGTCCGGGCTCATGACGCGCGACGAGATCTACTGCTACTTCAAGCAGATGGTGCATGGCGTGCGCCACTTGCACCTGGCTGGAATCGCCCACCGTGACTTGAAGTTGGACAACTGCGTGGTCAACGCGGCCGGGATCTTGAAGCTCATCGACTTTGGCCTGGCGTTCCAGTTCCGCAAGCTCCGCGACGCCACCACGCCGCCCGACGCCGTCGCGCTCGACGACAGGCACGTTTTGGTGTACGCTCGCGGCATCGTGGGCCTGGACCCTTACTTGTCGCCCGAGGTGCTTGAAAACTCGGCCCGCACGGGCTACGACCCGCGCCTTGCAGACGTGTGGTCCATCGCCATCATCTTCTGCTGCATGATGCTCAAGCGGTTCCCCTGGAAGCTTCCTCGCACGGCAGACCCGTCGTTCCGGGCGTTTCTCGGCTTGAACAACCAGGACGAGCCCGTGTCGGCCGAGGAGAAGTTGGCCACCACCGTGAGCGAGCTCAGCGTCAAGGAGTTCCGCGTGCCCAAGTACGGGCCCGACCGCTTGCTTGCGCTTTTGCCCTCGGCCGCCCGTCCGCTCATAGGCGGCATGTTGACGGTCGACGTGCAGAAGAGGTACACGATTCTCGACGTGGCGGCGGACCTGTTCTTCCGCTCCATCGACTACTGCCACTACGAGGAGGGCGAGCAAGGCGAAGCCAGCGAAGGAGGAAACAGCGAAGCCAGCGAAGGCGGAGAAGGCGAGTCGCCGGCGTCGCTGCACAGCGGCGCTCCGCATGTGCCCAGCTCGCTGAACCCCGGCCAGTCGCTTGCGAGCCCGGAAATTGTCGTGAATTCCGTCGAGGACTCGGGCGACGAGACCGACAAGAATCTTTCCGACGGCACCGTCGCGTCAGACAACGAGGCAGCGAAGACGGACGACGAAAAGGAAGTGGACGAAAAGGAAGCGGCGGACAAAGAGAAAGAGACGGACACTAAAACGGCGGACACTAAAACGGCGGAATCTAAAGCGGCGGACACTGAAACGGTGGACACTAAAGCGGCAAAGGAAGCGGAGGACACTACAACGGACGACGCCCAGAACACCTCGAATGCCAGCGCCAGCTCTCGCTCCGAGCCCAGACTTATCCAGGCCAACCACAAACACCACTTGGTGACGGCCAAGGAGCTCGAAAAGCTCCAGGAAGAACGAGAAAAGGGCCGCAAGATCAAGGAACACATGGCCTGATCCACGTGCGGGCGCCGGATAGCCTGTGTCTGTACATAGATGTGCTCTGTGAGCGATACGAAGTCATGACAGGAGTGATGATCCATTAGGTCCCTACTTCTGTCTACCTTTATCACTTTTTGACTGTCCATCACTTTCTAATTATTATAGCTACGGCCACCAGCCAACTGAGCTCAACATTATACGATTTAAACTGCCTTCAACTTAGTACATACGTTATTTATTTAGTCTAACGAATTTATGCACACAGTTCTATTCATAAATTTTCCACAAGTTGACCGAAAGAAAGAATTCCCAAACACTAAGCTAAGACACCAGTTTATCCACTTTTTTGTTCATTAGACAACGAACCCTAACAAGATCTATCTGGGTTGTGGATCATTCTAACAGAAACTTTGTTAATTCAATCCAATAATGAATCAAAATTTTCTCGTCCAAGAATGAAACATCGTCTGCTTGCACTAAAGTATGGAGTTTGAACCGTAGATCGGCCAAATACCCCAATGACACGACGACACGGCACTTCCACAGACGGCCAAGGATCTTTTTCACCTGACTGCTTTTCAGAATAGACTTGCCAGGGAAAAGCCTCCGCAACAGTTCATGCAATAGTAGTTGTTTGAGCTCGTCTTTGATGTCTTCCACCAACTTGGTCATGTCCGGGTTGGAAAGCCGAATCAGACTTACAGTTACTAATTCTTCGGCTGTTTCTTCTTAAGGTACTTTTGGATACCAATAGAGAATGGTTAATATTTTCTATATTTTCTAGTCTATCTTGTGATTCATTATTAGTTTGGATACTTTATAAGCATAAACTGGCTCTTTTTGCTAATTGAATTATGCTTATTTCTCTATGTTTTTCTGCGGCCACCAATTCTTCTTGCATTTATGAATTATTTCATTCACTTAATTATAACTTTAAATTAAATTCGATTTCAATGTCAAATCTATTTTCCCCTTTGGACCACAAAATGATGTCTGAGGTTCTAATCATTTAACCAAACTAGTCTATGAGGCGCGCGTTCGAATCACGCCAGAGGAAGTTTTTGGACGAGGATACTCGAGTTGAGCAGACTAGTGAGCTTAACTATGGGGTGCACGGATCTTTCTTCGGTGTGTATGGGTTTTTACATCAAAAATGTACGGATGTTACTCGTGGTGTATGGATTTTATTGAGAGATGTATGGGTTTATCAAAGGATGTACGGGCTTTTACATGGTGTATGGGTGTTTTGAGAGGTACTGGTGTAAATGTGAGAGGTACGGGTGCAAGTTCTTTTTGTGTCACCAACCAACCCCTACATTTTGGGGTACAAAACCAAGTTGCCATTTGCAACTACTTTTTCTTTATCAATTGCTCTAAAAAAGTGCCTAAATGTGGTTTGGACGTCTAAAATACCACGCTGTCTAGTAACAAAAACAAAAACCGATTTCGATTCGGCGACAGGAGTTTCAATACCACGATTCAAGAGTAGTATCTCAAAGTTTAGTTATGTAGAACATTGAGCTCTGATGTTCGATGAGCTCTGTTTCAAGTCGAGCAGTATGTGAAGCTTAAAGACTCACTATGAGGCCAGAATGTGTTATTTTAGACAAAACTTGATATTACAAGTACTACACCAGCAAAATAGCAGTCTAATGGGCAAAGCAGTTACTACTAAGCGAAAATACACGAGATGGTCATCACATACTTGAATATTGATTTGAAACAAAATCTGAAAGGTTTAATTCCAGGTTTATGTTTGTACATTTTGTTACAGATGAATCTCAACTCAAGTTCTTAGCCAATTTCCAGTCTCGTATTGCTTTTCAGTTTTCTGCATTGTTGTGGTGATGGGCAAGATGTGGGTCCGAAGATATTCAATGATTAAAGAGGATCCTGTTTCAAAACTTCAAAAGAGACAATACATGAAGCTACAACTTGGACAAAAAGCATCGGGCCAAATCACTCATACTTCGGCTGAAGTCTCGATAATCCATTCAGATGTGCCGAAATCGAGCATTTGTGACTGATATGCCAAACGTTCCATTTATAATATTCTGGTAAATCGGGTACAATCAGTCGATTCCAAATACTGGGCCTTTAGTTACCCTACGACAAAGTCTATAATACCCCAAAGGATTATATGTGGACTTGGCTTTCTCTTACTGAGAATACTGGTTGATACATTCTCTTTCCCAGTAGAGATCGAAAAATAGATTCTATGATCGGGCCAACCTTAACGTTCCTATTGAAAAAAAGATAAACAAGATTTCATAGCCAGGTTGGTGTTGCCTGACTGTCAGAATCCAGACTGTTAGTCTACAAGGAAGACAAATTGACAAACTCAATTAAGCCAAAAATCCTTTTAGGAGCATTACAAGATAATCATGTATTAGAAACTTGTTTAATAGTTCTGTAGTGTTATAGCTACTTCTTATGATGCTAATTGTATTAGCATAATAATTAATAGTAAAACTATTGAAGAAAATAACACTAATAATATTAATCCTTATTAGCTTATACATTAGCTACTGCTACTATTTTATTATTAAGTCTCTTTATTCTTACTCAGACAAAAATGTTGACCTCCCGAATATTTCAATGTTGACCTCCCGATATTTCAATGTTCTGTTTCTTAGTCTTCTGGTCTATAAAACCAGTAACCATATCGCGTATTTTCGCACTGCCATCTTAACATGCCATTTTCCACAAAGCAAACATGAAGGTGAAAACGCGAACGATCCTAGTGGCGCCGTTTCTTTTGGTGGCGTATCTCCTCTGGGCATCGGGGCGGCCGTTCTCCTTCCAAAACCTCCTGTCCGACCACATTTTGGCGCTTCTGGAACCTTTGGCTCCCGATTCGAGCCTTGCCCTAAAATGCTCCAGCTATTTCCACACGATCGAAAACAGGGCCGGAGCCGGACCCAGCACGTCGAGGTTTCTCTCCCTGGACAAGATCCGCAACCACATCGACCACTTGCGTGTGTATTTGCGGTGTTTCGTCGAGAATGACATTGTGGACGAAACAGAAGAGCGCTTTTCTCGCCAGCTTTTGCCCATGTTCTCGCAGAAGGTGCCGCTAATGTCGGAGAAAGGCGGCTGGAGCAGCATGGAGGACCATCCAGGCTCGTTCTGGCGCAACTACTTGCGTCTGGCCCACGGAAAAGGCATAGTTGTCAGTCTAGCTGAATCGGACGCTGCCAATGCGGCTAGGCTCGTGAATGTCTTGAAGGCAGTTGGCAACGAGTTGCCCATTCAGTTCATTCACGAAAAGGCCCTTTCGGCAGACGCCAAACACTTGATTTTCAACGCATCTTTGTCCCAAGACTCTGTTTTTCTGCAGAAAATCAGCTTTATCGATGTACGACCGGCGATCGAAAAGGGCTTTGGCGCAGCGTTCAAGGGTTACAATAACAAGTGGTTTGCAGCGTTGTTTACTACGTTCGAGCATATGATCTTGATGGACGCCGACGTGGTTCCGTTCGTGAAACCATCTGAGCTTTTCGAAGCCGAAGAATATCTAGCAAAGGGCGCCTTCTTCTTTCGCGACAGAGAGCTTCTGGAGGCAATAAGCGCAAGCAAATTTGCATTCTTGCGCAGCTTGTTCCCAGAGTCTCTGCATTTCAATTTCCTGGTCGATCCGGAAATGCTAAACAACAACTTCTTCAACTACCACGCCAAGCACGTGATGGAAAGTGGCATGGTCCTAATGCACCGGCCTTCCCATATTAGTGGTCTTCTCATTTCCTTGTTATTGCAGTATTGGCACAAGACTGGGAAAATCATGTATGGAGACAAAGATCTTTTCTGGTTGGGCCAGCTCATCAGCGGAAACCTGAGGTTCCACTTCAATGAAAATGCAGCGGCAGCTATTGGTCTGCTTGAGAATGGACTATTATGTTCCGCTCAACTAGGGCACTTGGATAAGAATTTTAAGCTTCTATGGACAAACGGCGGATTGCTGCTCTGCAAAAGAAATACATGGCTCTATGATTTTTTCCGGCACCTGTTTCTTCGAGCCAAGTTCCAAAACTCGATTGGCAAAATGAAGGCTGCTTATTCAAGTGGAATAAAAATCAGCCAATGTGTTCTTCCTGCAAGCATCAAGCAATTGAATGGCGAAAAATCATCAAACCTACGGTGCAACTTCAACAAGAATTACAGTTACGGTTGTGGGGGCATATTCTACTGCGCAAAACTGGAGGACGGCGGTCGTGTAATTGACTTTTCGACCGAAGAGAAAAAATGGTACAACTGGATTGTGCTGGTGTGGAGTGGAGAAACCAATAATGCTCAAGGAATTAATGGATAGGTTTAAAAACGGGCTTTTGCTAAAGAAAACAGATGTTCAGTGACTATGCTACTTCAATGTCTAGAATAATATGTATTATGATCCGGTTCTGAAATAAAATCCCTGAACGTTAAGGGTATATACTGGACTTGCTGTTCCATCAACTCGGACGAGAATCAAAAGAGGATACTCACACGCTCGTCTTTCGAGCATTTCATATCATTGACTCCTTGGATCATTTTTTTCAGACAATTCCTTCAATTGACTGTTAATTTGTCTATATGGGCAGCGGTTGTCGCACCCGTGCACTTTTGTGTCTCTAGTAGAAGGGACAGGGTACATTTTTGGTGTATTCATCCTTTCCATCCTCAAACAAAGCGTGTATGGGTGTGAAGACTTCAAAGCTGTCTTCCAAAAGTGTTGTTACGATGATGGTTTTGCCCGGCATGTTTTCTGAAAGATATTGGATGGTACATCCGCATCTCTTACAAAACTGCTTGTGCTTAGGCTTACCACTCTTCGTGTTTGTTAGCACATAATCGCCCAACTGCATCTCTGCATCAATGATTTTCATGCTACTGGAGTCATAGGCAGACAGAATTTGACCGAGGTTTCCGGAACTTTTTCTGCAATCTTTGCAGTAGCATATAATGGATGGTTTTGGTCCACCTGTGAGTTCCAATTGGATTGCTCCACAGACACAGGATCCTTTGTAACTTGTTGACATAATATAGTGGAAGGCCAATATTATGGAATGGCAGGCTACTGTGGGCCATTTATGCCTCCTATTTAGTGCCGAGAAGTTCGGATAACTATTCAAGCATTCCGAAATGTTGGGTACGGAATTGGCTTTAAGCTTTGTGCAGTTTGACGGAGATGAGCATCGAGAAAGCGTGGAATTGATAGTGTCGACTGCATGTGCAAGATATTATACGGAGATTATTTCACTGCACACGGAGATAATGTCCTTCCGACGGAATGGGTTAAATACACGTGTTTGACCTTCGATGGAGCTGTACGGAAGAGACAAGTTTGTCCAATTTGGACGGTCGGATGCACCTTCCTCTTCGGTCCGGCCATTGACAACGGCCTCTGCTCCGAATGCTTAGCTTTCAATAGGATTCCTTTGCATTTCTCTATCTGTGCCATTGCGAATTATGACTGGGTGTCCTATCCAGTAGTACATGAGCCTGGGTTTGATAAGTAATGCTTGCAAAATGGTCTACTGGATTATTGATATACAGTACTTTCACGACAATAGACAATCGACAAAGCTGTTGGCACAGTGATTCTAAAGGACCGTTTAAAGGCCACGAAGGCTTCATAGGAATGATTTACGATTTCGACAGGAAAATTCAGTACCATCCAAAAATAGATGAGAACACATTTGAAGGAATCGATATGTTCCTGCTTAAAAATTATTTGGAAGTCGATCTCTTCAATAATCTACGACTTCACTGTAAGAGCAAAGGACAAAGTCAGCGAAGCATCGAACTTGAGTCCTCTATGTTCATCAACTTGTGATTTATTCCCGCATCCCAGAAGAAACAGTAAATGTCAAATAATACCTACATTGATTGCAGTTGAATTGCTCATAATATTGCATATGAACCGTCTGAATAAAAGACTCAAAGGTTGATGCTCTGGACAAATATATTCCTACTTCTTGCCAAATCCTTTCACCGTGCCATGCGCCAACGCCAACTCAAATGCCGTGAACTTGATGTAGTCGCTTGCCTGCCAAAGATAACTGTCCATGTGCATGAAAGGATGTGGGACACCGGGATATCTCTTGAAGACAACTTCGTTTCCGTTGGTCAAGAGTTTGCAGGCATAAGCCTCGCCCTCGTCTCTCATGGGATCACAGCCAGCGGTGATGACGACGGTTTTCGGCAAGTTGGCGAAGCTGGGGGCCTGGAAAACGTCCTTGAACCAGCCCACCTCGGCCATTTTCTGTTCTCTCTCGGCCTTATCTTGGGGAAAAGTGTCCCACTTGAGCTTGTCAAAGTACTTGATGCGGGCCCAGTTCAACGTGGGCGCAAACTCGAACTCTCTCACCGAGCCAAAAGGCGAGTCCTGCGCCGTTTCACAGCTCTCGACATCTGCCACCTGTGGTGTTCCGGCCAAGCAGAGAACAAGCGGAATCTTTGCGTCTCGGGCAAGATGCGACACAATAAAGGCAATGTTTCCGCCCACGGAAACGCCGCCGATCGAAATGGATTCTTTGTTGAACTTCAAAGCAGCACTGTTCTCGTGCACATACTTCAACGCCCAAAAGCAGTCTTTGATGTAGGTCGGATACTCGTAGTCAGGAACCAAGCGGTAATCCACATCCACCACGGCAATGCGGGCCAGGCTCACGTAGTGGCAGAGAATGTGTTTCTCTGTTTCCAAGTCGCCCAAACCGCCGCCGCCGCCGTGGAAATCGATATGGACCGGAAGAACTTCGTCTTCAGAAACGTCGTTCGGCCTGTAGATTCTGATCTTGACCTGGGCGCCATCAAAAGAGGGGAAAGTTGTCTCCTTGACGTTCTTGATTTCCGGGTACTCTCCTGTGCCGTAGGAGTATATCTTGGAGTAATTTGCTCTGAGCTTGACAAGATCAATCGGCTTGTTGGGAATGTTGGCCACGTGCTGGTTGTACATTTCCACAAACACCGGGTCCATCTTTGGAAGAACATCGGGATGGATCGGGTTGACTGCCTCATGGGATTGTGTCATTTTGAAGTGGCGACAACAAGTATGGGGGCCGGGCCATTATATATTATATGGGCAAATTCCGCTCCAGCAGGAAACGGTTTTCCACCGGCGGCTTTTCGCGGTTTGCGACGCATGCACGATAAGCTCCATGCACGTCTATCTGCGGAAAACCTGCAGGGCCTTCTCTATAAGATAATGCCCATTCCGCCAAAAACGTTCCAAAACTTCCGCAATACGTTTCCCATTGCTTCATGACGGTCGAAGCTAAGAAAATTCTCATCAGCGGAGCGGGCATCGTTGGCCTCTTGACTGCGCAAGCTCTCAAAGCCCGTGGCGTGGAGTACATCATTTTCGATAGAGATCCTGACGTTCAGTTCCGAGAAAACGCCGGCTGGGCCATTACGTTGCATTGGGCGCTTGAACGGTTTCTTCGTTTGTTGCCCGCAGACCTTGCCGCCGAGATTTACGACGCTCAGGTCCGGAAAAACTTCCACAGCCACGATTCGGGCACTTTCAAGTACATCAATGCCACCACCGGCGAAACGGTGGTTTCCATTCCTCCGTCCAAGCGCTTGCGTGTTAGAAGAGAGCAGATCAGGCGAACTCTTTTGAAAGGAATCGACGTGCAGTGGAATTGCAAACTTACAGACATTTCGCAATCGGCCTCAGGTGTAACTGTGACATGTGCTTCTGGCCAGACTTTTGTTGGCGATGTGCTTTTGGGATGCGAGGGTTCCAACTCTGCCACCAGAAAGATCATTTGCGGGGACGACGGAGTGCTCAATTACTTGCCAATTCGGTTCTGCGGCGCCAAAGTGGAAATGAACGGAAAAGAGGCAGAGGAAATCGCCCAGAGATTCGATCCACTTTTATTCCAGGGCACTGTTCCCACCAATGAGACATTTTTCTGGTTCTCCGTCCTTTCCACGCCCGACTATACGAAGACGGACGATTTGTATTACGCACAAGTCAACTTGTCGTGGAAATACGGCGAAAAGGAGCCCTTTTCCACCAACGAAGAGAAGGCGGCCGCTATGTTGAGCCATGCAGAGGGCTTGCACCCGGATCTCTATTCGTTGGTTTCCCGTGCCACCAGTGATCCACTGAAATTGTTGGAAATCAAGTTGGCCGACTGGCCCAAAGTGGAATGGGACTCTAATCATGGGAAAGTTCTTCTTTTGGGCGATGCTGCTCATGCCATGACCATGTATAGAGGAGAGGCGGCCAACCATGGAATAACAGATGTTTCGGAGTGGATTGAGCTTCTTGACCACTACTTGGCAGGCGAAATGTCGTGGGAAGAGGCATCAGAAAGGTATTGCTCGCAAGTGAAAGCTAGAGCGGCAGAGGCTGTGCTTTTGTCTCGCCAAGCTTGTCTAGATGCCCATGATATGTCGAAAATCACAGTGGACTCGACGTCGCCTTTGCTTTCGATGAGAAAGAAGACAAGTAAGTAGCAGAACTGTTATGGGAACTTGCTTCTTCAAACCTGTTTGATATCGTACTTCCAGCGGAGATAGTTATGTAGATTATATCAATACTATGACGCATTGATATAGAACACAGGTAAAGTAGAGAAGGCTGCCGTTTGATGGTTAATTAGAGTGATTTATGCATCTTTCATACTAAGGCTGTTAAGTAATCACTATGGTCCCATTCAGTAAAGGCTTGCGTCCACGTTTATTAGGGTAGTTCTCGAATCCGTGTACTCTCATACCCCAATCTTCCAGTTTTTTCTCAAAGTATATGCCATTTGAAAACTCACCCCAGTTCTTTTGAAAGCTGCGTGAGGTTAATACCCTCTCATATTGATCTTGTGTCATAATGTTTCCCTCACGTATCTGGTAAGTCATTTATATTTTCCTTATCTTCTGGATACCGGTTAAAATAAGACTAATCCTTCAGAACCATTATAAGATGTCTTCATTTTTGAATATCATATTCAATGGAATTTTAATACTTGTTCTCATAGCCTCAAATGAGAAGCAATGACCCAACATTCATTTCTTAGAACTGGTAATTAACTCAAGATCTATCGTATATGGATTTTACTATCCATAACCTACCCATTTTTTGTAATATAGCCTCTGTATTTCATAATTCAGTATTCAATACTTCTTACTGGGTGTTTCAACATCAAAAAAGAAGAAAACAAAGCTGAGTATTTCTCAGAAAATATCCTACATTTTTGTAAAACGTGGACTCATAGTGCTATAAATGGTCTTTCTTTTTTCATATTTTTTTCTTCCATCTACAAGGTGGAGCCCATTTAATCATTCAGCAGGACTAGCACTGAGCTAAACCGTAATTGATTGAGGAATTTGGTGTATATTACTTTGATTGCTTAGGTTGGACGAATAATCCAGGATTTATTGCTCGTTGGTAGTAGTTAAAAGTGTTGGCATTGTCTTTGTTTGAATTTCAACTTCTTGAGCGGCTAATGGTCACTTGTTCCGTTTTCTCGGGTTATTATATGTCTCGTGGTATGTCTCATTTGGGTCTTTCAGTCCAAAACATTGTTGACATGTCGGTTTGGATAATTATGTTGATGTTGATTTTCTTCGATATCTAAAACAGAGGGACCATCTTCAATCCGTTCAAATGGAGGCTTAGAAACTAAATGATGTCGATGGGCATACCGAAAAGAACTAGCAAGGAAAAGTCGATATAACAAATCGTACAGTCCGATCATATTTTTAATAATTTCGGTGAATTACGCGGTATGTTGTGCACTGGGTATTGTTTTCTAAATTAGAATCAATAATTTCCAGAAACAGTAATTTGATGCCGATTAACTACCTTTCAGAGAGCGTAGAACGAGTGTTTGTTTAACTTGAAAGTGTACCTGGGTATTTATATACGTTTTAAGCTTTCTCCGTCTTTCCAAAAAGCGCATACACGACAAATTAAACATCATGATATTTCTTGTTTCAGCAACTAACCCCTAAAAGCAAAAGCTTCGCACCAGAAAAGAAAACAATTCGTTCAAAGCATTGTCGATTCTGATCATACGAGAATAATATGATGCATGAAGAGAAACGATGTAAAAGAAAGAAAAACCGAGGTAAATAGGAAAGAGAAGAACGATCAAAGAGCTCCCTCGAAGCCACTTTCACTACGATGCGGCTTATTAGTCCACATCATTCGAAAAGAATTTTCCAACCGGACAAAACTATCGGACGAACTACAATGTACAGTATTTCAATGGTTCAGTGCACACATTCGAGTACAAAAATGGCATGCACACCGAGACTGCCTCCAAATCAGACCTTCAAGTCAACAGAATAGATTCACGTCATTAAACATCAACCCACCTTTTTCAATAGTACCGCACATGCTAACCAAACTCTTTCAACCTGGATTCTGATTTGAGGAAAGTCAGCAACGACAAGAATGGGAAAAAATACGAATGATGCAGAAATGGAGTTGCCTCATTCAGAAAGCTAGGTGATTAAACCATTAGAAAACCACACTTTTTTATATTGTTTCATTTTTCAAAGGGAAAACACTGTTTTATGTGTAGTCCAATCATAAGGAATTGAGATCTGATTGGTATGCATGCGAGTGTACAGCTTTGCGTCATGCATAAGTCGCCTTGAGAAGTATTCTATCTTGAGAGGCACTACATCGACAGAAGCGCAGCGTTTAAACTAGGGCAAGAACAGGTAATATGCATACGTGGAGGACGTCCCGTATCCTATGCATATAAAAATGCCGCACTCCTAACGGTATAAACGTGCTTGCAATTCAAATAGGCGCTGCACGATTTAACTATTCGTAAGCAAGAAAATGCGAGATGCATGCAGCTTCGCGAATACGGAAGCAGTCACTACGAAAGCTGTATGAGCAATGCAAAAGGTCAAGAAAACAAATGGCGCTACAAAAGCAAATGGATGTTATATTATTTATGTTGTTGACATTGTTGCCCATGGAAAAAAGGACGAGAGTAATTCAAAGTGCAAAAGGATCTCCATTAACACTTCCTGCCGAACTCTGTAATAGACCGTGCGTCCTGTATCATACCGAACCCTGTTACTGGATATAAGTAGCTTGCATTCTTCTCACTCAGTCCCAGCCATGAGGATGAAATTGACCCTAGTGTTTTTGTCCTTCTTCGGAACTGGCTTTTGCTTTGCTTCGCCTATCGTGTTTGGGGATGCCTCTGATACAGTTCCTCCCATTGTGCTTGAAGATACAGACGGAAACTCCATTACCAGTATGTATATAAGTATAGATCTTGATAGGTACGTCAAGATTCCAGAGTGGGAAGTTGACCAAACTGACTGTTGGTTGAATGTTTCTTACATCCCAATGGGAAACGTTATTACACCTACAATGAAAGTTTCGAGAGATGAAAGCCGGAGCCTTGCTAATTACGTGACCTGGGTTGATGGAACAGGTGACTGCAGCGACACATCTGTTGGTCTTCCGTACTCAGCATGGGATATAGGACACAACATTTGGCTACATCTGAAGAGCAGAGACTGCGGTATCAAGTTGGGACAAGCCAACAGTTTTTATTGGAAGTACTGGGCAAATTGCGGAGATTATAATACAATAGCAGACCAAAAGACAATTTCAGGGGCCATCATGGATGTCATTGGACGGCTACAAGGAGACTTGATGTGCAACAACTACTGCATTTCTTTGTCAAAAGGAGAGGCGTGGCTTGGGACTTTGGTTGTGGGACCGACCTCGACTGCTTGGAGAACTTTATGTGTTGGTGCTTATACCGGCGAGTGGAATAATGGGTGCTACTCTTTAAATTGGCCATGCTCTTGCTGGAGCTAATTCGTGAATTCTTTTTCAATACGGTTATCTGTATATCTTTTACATTGGTTAACAGGTTTAGTTATGTACAATATGTATCTCGAGCTTTTGTAAGTATGTATTTACGCAGACCAGAACCTTAAACTCGAACGGTTTTCAGGATTGAAATAGACAGTACCGTTTGAAGGCAAACGGCCTGCTGAGAAAATGTTTACCGGGCCTGTTAAAGGCTCCTTTATGGGGAAATATGCTATATCAATGAATGAATTCCTACTTTATTTCTGCTTCTTGCCAATGCATCTGGACAGAAAAGTTTTCCGTGCAATATTGCCTCAGGTTCGAGTTTCAAAGTAGAATTTACAACAACTTCAGCAAAGGGAACTGTTCCAAACACATGTGGTGAAATATAAGAGCTGATGAGGGGATTCAAAACGGACAAGAAAGACTTGGTGTAGCAAAAAGGTAAAATAGAGCTAAGTATCGAGGCTGAGAGCGGAAATGCATATTTATTCTTCCAGAAAGTGTAGGATCTCATAAATTTTGCTCGCCTCCTATATAGTGTTGACTTGAAAACAAAAAAAATTCCATAATTAAGCTGAAACTGGTTCCAAGAGTTTGCTTTTGTTTTGGGAATAAGCTGAAAGAATGAGAGTATAATACCAATATTTGGATTTTTCTGGGTGGAGGCTATCAAGAGCTTTCCGGTAAAACGGGCTCTTCGAGCAAACAATTCCAAGCCATAATGCACAGCTTGACACGTTCAATTATTACTCGACAGCATGTTCTCTTTGATACCCATTCTTCTAGCCTATTCAAGTCTTGAATCCTGCGTTGTTACTGACTCTTCCAATATTGATTCTTAGCAATCCTAACTGTATGAAAAAGGCTACAGTTTAAAATTTGGTATTCTGGGGTACACTAACTACTACGAATCGAAAAGTTGATTATCATGTTTACAAGACTGGTGTTGTGTGTCCGTTAGATATTTCTATGTTCTGTTCGGGAGTGATGTTGGAATGTGTAACAGCGTCTTCATTGGTCAGCTAGAGATACAAGTTTCAAGCAAGGATTATTTCTTTGAAAGGTTTTCCTAGCAAACGTCTTACTGATGCGGAGAATGACACACACATGCGGCGAGATCTTTGAACAAGAGACTTGACGCAACAGCAATTTAATAAGATGGGGGCAGTAACTACTTAGTATACGTTTTATCAGCTGAAACGGAATTTTGTGGTTGTGAAGACAAAGATGTGGCTTGGATGAAGTTTTAGTGTGGCGTATATTGAAGTGCTAAAACTTAACCAATGTTACTTTTTTCCCAGATAGAGTAATTTATGCGAAGGCGGAGCAGAAATCGCCTCTTGAAAATATCCACATGCATTGTTTAATGTAGGAAGAGGATGCGTATGCACTGACAATGTATTTTTTATGCGCAATACTTTTTTGTAAAGGTGATCATAGGCCTACTATACCAGGACCAGATATTGTGCTTTACGGAACTGTATGACTCTGGAGTATGCATAAATAGATGAAACTAAATGTCATTACACGTGTGAATTTCTGTTTGGCCCATGCTGTAGGTAAGATGATTAGCTGCATGAAAGACGCCTCGAAGTTCACGAACATGCATGATACTCCTTCGTAGAAGAGCGGTTTAAAAAGTGTCCTTCGTATAGAATTTATAGAGCCTGGAAATCTGGAATAACAAGACTCTGAGTCACAAAGACCCTAAAATAGGTTTAGATTCTTCCACATGATTAAAATTACTGGTAAAGAAGATATAGATCCAAAGACTGATACGGGACACCAGATACCAACTTCTCAAACATAGGACATCGTCTTAAGAGCCGGATATTAGACCACCGATATTGGCTGGAATTATTACTATATTGGCTGAAAAGATGATAAGGTCACACATAACACGATTGGATACTTGTTGTTCGACTGTACTTGGACTGTGACAAGGTTTGTATGGAATTCTGGAAATAGATTGAGGTTAAACTGTAAATATTGTGATTATCTGCATTTTTTGACTAAGTTTGAAATGAATTTTCGGTGAGTAGAGTATCTTGAAGAAGAAGAGACAGAAGAAGAAGAGTAAAACCATAATTCTACACTAAATACCATGGATAACAAAAACATCCGAAAGACAAACAAATGGAGAAAGTAGATTAATTACAGACCCTTTCTAGACCAAGGAATCGGAATTTAAATTGTCAAAAAGTGAACTTGTTAAGTCGAAATGTTAACTAGGAGCTTTTGGAGCTGTTAGCTAAGCTGTATGAATTGGTATCTTTCTCTATTTCCACCTCCTCTAACTGAATTTCTATAAAGATTGTATCAGACACAGCAGATAATCTCCTTATGCCTTTCCAGTTTTCACACTATCTAGCACAGGTTATCCAGGCACTTGAGAGGGAGCTGGTGAAAGTAGTAGTTTCTGCACATGCTCCAATCCGCTGATACTGATAAAATAGGGCCCATAAGGACTGACATCAGCAACTAGTAAACAGTCAGTCTGTCAAGAAATGAAACAATCTAAGGAAAATCAAAAATCGTTCAATCTAGCTTACTGTAAGGGCCTCCACAGACCTCCAGAACAATCGTGGACAAAACTTTATTTTCTGTTGTCAATTCCATTCTGTGGACAAAACTTCCTGTTGTCAATTTCATTCTGTGGACAAAACTTCCTGTTGTCAATTTCATTCTGTGGACAAAATTTTCTGTTGTCAATTCCATTCTGTTCGATATCACATCTTATCAAAACGTTTCGCAGTCATCAAGCGCAGGCATATTCGCTATCTTATCGCGCATCTTTTCTTCATGATCAAGGCCAGATCGTGCGACCGGTGCCACAAGCGAAAAGAAGAGTGCCGCGGCGAGATCCCGTGCGAACGATGCAAAAAGGACGGCGCCGCCTGTTTGTTTGAGCGGACGTTCAAGAAAAACGGCCGGCCGAGAGGGCCGGAGAGGGCCTTGACCAGAGGCAAGTACAGCAAGAACGGATGCGTTGCTTGCCGGAAACAAAAGAAGAAGTGCGACGAAAAGCGGCCCGAATGTGGCAATTGCACCAGGAGGCAGAGACTGTGTTGGTACGAGAGGAGCCCAAGACGAGAAGATGGACGGAATGATGATAGAGAGGAGAACCGGAGTGGACGGAATGGAAAGAAAGAGGAGAGTTGGAGTGAAAAGGAACAAAACCATAAACAAGAAGACCTACAAGAAGAAGAAGGAATGATGAACGACACACAGCTACAGAGACTTAGTCAAAGTCAGAATCCAAATCTCCAAAATCCAAATCTCCAGAATCCAAATCTCCAAAATCTCCAAAACTCCCCCCTACCCGACCTCGCCCTCACGCCGTCAACGTTCTTCAGCGCCACCGAAAAAATGTTTCTCGACTCGTTACTCGAGGACCCCCACGAGTCCGCCCAGTCGTCGCCGCAGTCCGACACCTACGAGGAGCAGAAACTCACGCTCTTGCAATCGTGTATGTTGAGCACGGTCGGCATCCCGGCCAAAGAGGGCGAGCTTTTGTGCTACTTCATCACCAACGTGTCGATGCTCTTGTTTGTGGACAAAACCACCACCCGTTTTTTGAGCACCGTCATTCCTCTCTGTCTCTTTGACTCCCGTGTCCGGTACCCCGTGATTGCCATTGCCAGCTCGCATCGGGCCAACAGCTCGCCCAAGTCCGAGTTCGAGATCATGCGGGACGCCGTCAAGTACAGGGGAATGGCGCAGTGCTGCTTGGCCGGCCGCAACAGCGACTTCTACCACGACACGGAGAATGTGCTTCTCAGCCTTTGTCTTGTTTCGATCCGGGAGATTTTCGAAGGCAACTCGCTTTTCTGGAGCAGCGCCCTCGAAAAGGGCTCCGAGATCATCCGGCTCCGCGGCGGCTTGAAGAAAGTGTCCAGCGTGCTGCCGCTCTCGATCCAGTTGTTCTGCTACCTCGACCACATTTCCTCCTTGAGCACATGTGCCACGCCGCACGTTGACCGGTCGAAAAACAATCCCTACGCCAACTACAACGGCAACCACGTGGAGGACATCTTGAACTGCAAGTTTGGCTTTCGCTACGGCATAGCGGGCGAGCTTTTCAAGATCTTGGGCAACATATCCACCTTGGCCGGTTTGCGGTCGCACCGCCACAAGTCGGCCGAGCACGAAAGGCAGTTCGAGGCTCTCGCCAACTTGATCGAAATGAAGTTGCAAAATTGGTCTCCGTCGCACATTGAGTACATGGAGAGCTTTCTGTTTGACGAAAACGTGGACGCCGACAAAATGGCTCTATCCTCGTATTGGTTGGCACTACAGTGGTCGTCTTTTCTACGTCTCCACCAGATCCGCGAGGGCTACAATCGCAAGGATTCACGAGTGGCCGCATGCCTCTCGATTATTCTCCGGTCGCTCAAGGCCATCGAAAATAGCACCGAGATCGAAAGCGGGCTTATGTTCCCGTTGATTATGGCAGGCGTCGTTTGCATTGAAAAATCCGACCGAGATTACATCTTATCGCGGATCCGGTCCATCAAGGAGAAATTGCGCTTCAGCTACATCGGCGAATTCGAAAACTTGCTACATGCCGTCTGGGAGCGAGATAACGACGAAGGAGATTGCGTCAATTGGGCCAAGATCCGCTTCTATCAATTTCCGGGCTTGGTTATGTTCTGATAAGCCTGCAGACACTCCCGCCGGCCACTTTCGCCCTTTTCCGACGCCTATCTTATATACTCATCACCACTTTCCCGACATGCTTTCGTCTCCCCAAATTATCCATTCCCAGCCATGACAACTTCCTCTTGGAAACAACTCAATGTCATTGTTTTAGGCGGCGGCCTTGGCGGGCTTTCTGCTGCAATCGCTTTAAGAAGAGCGGGCCATATCGTGAAAATCTACGAACGGTACGACTACGCGGGAGAAGTCGGAGCGTCTCTTTCTTGTGCGTCCAACGGAGGAAAGTGGCTTCACGAGTGGGGAGTGGACCCATATGAGGCCAAACCGGTCATCTTGAAAGACTTGATCAGACACGATTGGAAAACCGGAGAGGTGCAAGGCGTCTACTCTTTGGGAGACTACCAGGCCAAGTTTGGGTTTCCTTACTACAATTTCCACAGAGTTGACATCCACGACGTTTTGAAAAAGTATGCCACCTCCAAGGAAGGCAAAGGTGTGCCATGTGAGTTAATTGTCAACCACAAGGCCGTTGAGGTGGATTTCGAGACAGGCCACGTCAAGTTTGAAAATGGCAATGAAGCCACCGCAGATTTAATCATTGCTGCAGACGGAATAAGAACTTTGACCAAGCCTCAATTAGGCATTACCCCCAAGTTCCGGAATCAGGACTCGTCTTGTATCCGAGTTTTGTTTGACACCAAAAAGGTCAAAGAGTTGGGACTCGCTGACTTTTCGGAAAACGCAGCCATCGAGTTCTGGGGCGGTGAGGATAAAAACAAAATTGTCTTGTCGCCTTGCTCAGATAAGAATGTCGTGTCTTGTTACTGCTTTTATTCTGCTAACCCCGAAGACGTGAAAGACGGGTGGCACAATGAGATTCTGGTGCAGCAACTTTTGGATTCAGTTCCCGGCTTGGATCCAAAGTTGGTAGAGCTTTTTGTAAAATGCGGCTACGACATCAAGCAATGGAGATTGTATGTGCATGAGCCACTTCCATATTTTTACAAAGCCAGCTCGGATGGTTCTAAAGGCGTTGCTTTGTTGGGAGATGCATGCCATCCAATGATGCCAGATCAATCTCAAGGTGCCTGTGCCGCATTTGAAGATTCCGGCGCCTTGGGCTACATATTCTCCAAAAAGTTCAACTTTACCGTCGAGCAGGGATTGGCTCTTTACGAGAAGGAAAGAAAGCCACGTGTGACAAGAATCCAACAAGCATCTTTGAGAGCAAGAGAAAATCTTAATGAAAGGATTGGCTGGAGCTCCAAGGCATCTGGTCTTGATGACCTGAACAAGCTCACCATTGAAGAGGTTTGCGGATATGATATGAAAAGCCATATCGATGAGCTTGCAGCTCTGGTATAGGAATATGCAAATACTTTATATTGAATATAATATTTGGATAAAACATTGTATAGCTAGTGCGATCAAAAACTGAACCAAAGTGGTAGCAGTTCCTCATCCCTTTAATCATGAGCAAAAACTGACTAAGTGATACAACTAAAGCAAGGAATATAAAATAATACGTTAATTTTCATACCAACTATAAAGCAAACTGATTGGCTAGTTCAAAGACAACAACTGGTGGGCCAAGTCAAGAACGCTGGTCTCCAATTGTCTATAAGGAATCTTAAGCACTTTCGAACCTTTGGACGAATCTGTAGTATAGTGAGTTCCAGTGATTCTTTCCCCAGGTTTGCCCAACGGAACTTTACTAGCACACTCATGCGGTAAGTTTTCTCTTAACACGTCGGCAATTTCCTGGTTATCATAGTCGCCGGCCGAAATCAAGAACCGTTGATTGGAAGCTTCCTTTTCTGTCAATGCTGCAACATGATATTCGGCCAAGTCACGGACATCAACCCAAACCGGGTTCTTGGTTGGAGGAATCTCCGCCATCGAAGACTTCAAAAGCGACATGATCATCTGGTTACTAAAGTTCAACTCGCTTAAGCTGGAAACCAACCGGGTTGAATAAACAGGACCAAACACCATTGTTGGGCAAAGTACACACAAATCAAAAGATGGAGAGTTTTTCAGCATAAAGTCCCAAGCTGCCTTTTCTGCCACTGTTTTCGATGCTCTGTAAGCAACGGCTGGGTCTGTAGTAGCTGCTCCATCGGCCCAAGTCAAAGGACTAAAATTGTCCTCTGTAAGAACAATTCCAGGCTGAATACCTTGGCTGGCATCATAAACGGCGGCAAATGAAGACGTCAAAACGACTCTCTTGATGGAAGAGTTTACATTTGCTGCATTCATCACCGCTTCTGTTCCTTTCAACGCTGGAACAAGAAGATCCTGCTCGAAATCTTTTACTGCAAAATTGAATGGTGATGCCAAGTGAAGAACGCCAGTGCACCCTTTCATAAGTTCGGTCAACTCGTCTTGGCTGGTAATATCGGATCCAAACGCGGGCTCCAACAAATGCCTTTTTTCCTGAGGAACACTATCCTTTAGCTTTAGGTACTTTTCTTGGGATCTTGCATGCGCTTTCACTCTAAAATTCCGCTCCAACAAAAGGCCAACGCAATGGGCTCCAATAAAGCCCGTGGCTCCGGTGACAAAGATGTATTCAGAAACAGTCATGGCAAAGAAAAAAAAATGGGTCAGGAGAAATTTTCTTGCTTCAAATAGATAAGCGGAAAGACAGTTGCAAGACCGTTCGCAACGTGATCAAAAGCCCCGGTGATTGCGACTGCCGGCGCCTTTCGCAAATTGCGACGGCTATCTTATCTATGCATCGTGCATGCACATCATGCAGATCCGAAGTTGAAGAAAAAACGTTTCTCTATAAATACGAATGGTTTAGTTCGGTTGGAAACCAGACAGCAATGCAGCAAGAAAAGTTCCACTTGAAGACAGAAGTGAAAAGCATTGGTAGCTCAACATCCATAGCAGTGCACGAGAACAAAAACTTGGAGTACATTAGGAATTTCGATCTTAATGCACACCCGGAAGATGTCACAATCAAGCAGGTAACGAGAAAATTGGACAAGATGCTAATCTTACCTATGTTGCTTGTGTATACTCTCCAATTTCTTGACAAGGTCACATTGAACTACTCTAACGTCATGGGAATGCCAAAGGACTTGAAGTTTGAGGGAAACCAGTTTTCCGATCTCGCAACATACTTCTTCGTGGCCTACATTGTCGGGGAGTTTTTCCAGGCATTTCTCTTGCAGAAGTTCCCTGTTCATCTTGTTTTGGGATGCAATGTTGTGGTGTGGGGCATTTCTACAATGTGCAGCGCAGCAGTGAAGAACTATCATGGTATGCTTGCGTTAAGAGTCATTTTGGGATTCGCCGAAGCGGCCGTTATTCCGTGTCTTGTGCTCATAACCACAAACTTTTACGATAAGGCCCAAGGTGCATTTCGAATTGGAATTTTCTACTCTGGCTTGGGGTTGGGCCAGATTATTGGAGGATTGTTATCTTTTCTTTTCCAGTTGGTGGAAAGCAGCTTCGAAGGGTGGAAAATCTTGTTTTTGGTGGTGGGTTTTGTGAATATATCATGCGGCTTGTATGTGGTATTTTTCATTCCTCCAGAGCCCTTGGCAGCAAAGCAGCTCACACCAAAAGAGAAATACGTTCTCTTGGAGAAATTGACAGAGGGAAAAGTTGGCGTGAACAGCTACAAGTTCCAGCCTCGGCAAGTTTTGGAGATGATCATCGATCCTCAATGCTGGCTCTACTTGATTATCTCGGCAACCATATCTTTTTCATCAAACACAATTTCTTCGTTTTCGTCTAAGGACATTATGTCGTTCGGCTTCACTTCCAAGCAGGCTGCTTTGCTCAATATGCCTTCTGGTGTTGTCAGCATCGTGTCATCTTGTCTATCCACATATTTCATTATGAAGGGAGTTACAAGATACCTTGCAATTTGTGTTCTTCTAATTCCAGCAATCATCGGAGCTGCGCTAATGTCCTATCTTCCCAAATCCAACAAGGCTGGTCTTTTGATTGGTATCTATATGATCAATTGCATTACTGCTCCACTTGCAATTGTTTATTCTTGGGCAGCAGCAAACGTGGCAGGTTCCACAAAGAAGATTGGTGTCACTTCCCTTTACATAAGCATTGGCTTTGCTATTGGAAACATCACCGGTCCCCAGTCCTATCGGGTCAAAGATGCACCATACTTCCAGCCGGCAAAGATTTCCATGTTGGCTACGCAGGCGGCTAGTTTTGGTTTGGCCTTGGTCATTGCTGGCATCTACTATCTCAGAAACAAAGCCAGACAGGGACAAATTTCCACTGACTTCAGTGAAGACAAGGAAGCTCTGGACGTCTGGAATGACATGACTGATCTCCAGAACAAAGCTTTTATTTATTCGTACTAGTACATAGTGAGGTGATATGATTTTCTAAGAAACGTTACTCAAAAGAATAGCATTGTAAGTAAATGAAAATATGAGACTCGAAGAGCTGAGTCATAGGGTTTTCAAAATTTGGTACAATTTTCACATATTACTGTATGCATAATCTAATGCGAGATTATGCGCAATTTACCCAAATTTTGCAAAGTTAGAATCCACTAGCACTTTCACTAATATTATCTTATTGAATATATTTGCAGGCATTCACATTTACTTTTAATATTTTATTGAATATATTTTACGTACGCAACCCCTTAACATTAGCGTCACGAGACCAAGTTCATGTTTTCCTCAAAAAGATCGCCGCCAAGTGAATCAAGCCATGTTCCACTTGTCAATTGCCGTAGCATATCATCCACATCCAAATCTCCAGTTTCTGCGAGGTTCCCCATCTCGTTGAGGTTTGCGCCTTGGGAATCTCCATTGGTATCATATTCTTCAAGCTTAGGCAACTCGTCCTGAGAATATTCCCGAAACCGGCCCATAAGGCCAAAGTTATGCTCGTTCAGGTATCCGCGGTGATCGCCAAGATTCACTGACAGCATGAGATCGATCTCTTGCTCAAACCTAATCTTCATGCTTTGCACGCCTTGTGAAAGCGCCCAAACACATTCGTTTGCCATAGGATAAAGCAGAGAACCCTCTTCGTTTTCGTAGGATCCAATGCCTTTGAGCATGTTGATAGCCGCTATGTACATTTGTCTTGGTTTGGGGTTGGCAGAGCCGCCGTTGACAAGAATGAGAGAGAAAGTTCCCACACTGAACAAGAGAGAAAGCGTGTTATACCACGGGGCTTTGTCTTTGCCACACTTGACATTTTTTTCTGCCAAAAAAAGCGTTTCGCCCATGTATTTTAATAGGGAATCAATGCTCATGCCCCGACTGATGTACTTTTTACCGACAAAGTTGAAAAGAATCGGACTGTGGAAGGCGAAGGCAACATCGTAGAAATGAAGTGCAATCTGGTTTTCGGCCAACGACAAACTACCGTCTGTGATCATCCCGTTAGCTTTGAGCCACTGATATGTAGATTCCAACCTCTCAGCTGTAGACAAAATATGTATGTCTTCTACCTCATCCCATTTTGTTCTTTGTGCATCGTGGGCAATGAGGCCGATCTTGAACATGGCAAAAGGAAGAGTCGGCGGTTTGTTCATGGTCCAAAATACTTCTTTTTCATTGGGAAACGGCACAGTGATTTCTTCGTTTCTCCAAAAACTTGGTCTCCCGAGCTGAATCGAGAAGACCTGGTCGAATGTATACACTGTCCAAAAAAGATGCATTGCCTTGCGTTTTGTGGAGTCTGCTTTTGTCTTCATCACTCGGTTCTGATGCAAGCCCATAGTACGAGCCATACAATTGGTCAGATCCAATGCTCTCATGAGCGATCTCTGGTTATATGTAATGCGCAAATACAAACTCACAAGCAACCAGCCTTGAATGAGCTCGAGCGAGAAGTATTCTGTTGAAATGGTTTCGATCACCTCATAAGCGTACAGAAAACATTCCGTTTCTAGTTCCAAACGGCTTTTCCGGGGGCCCTGCGGTCTCGTAAACTCAGTGAACCGTATAGCGATGGCGAAAATCATATACAATGTAGCCGAATGCAAATGAACGTCGCTTTTAGTCTTTAGCAGAGGGTGTGCCGAGGCACGCATGAACAGGTGGAACTTTGTCTGGAAAAACTCTTGGATTTCTTTAGAAACGATCTCGAAAAGAGGGTTCACCTCGGCGAAAAAATAATCCATGAGCTCGGCAAAAGACGTGGAGAAGTTGAAGCTGGGCCGTTCTGGAAGGCGCCTTCTCTCCAAGTACTGGATCCCCGACATGTTCCACCCGTAGTTATGTATGCGAGGCACTTTCAAGCCTGGATTCTTTTCGGCGGGGATCTGGTCGAGATTGGACTTGCAAAGTTCCCGGAGAAGAAGAAGCTGGCTGCGGGCATAGACACGCCACTGAATCACGCAGCTAATGAGATCGTAGTTCTTATCTCCAATGTGTTCTCCTGTACTTTGTGGGCTTCCCTTCACCTCTTTGGGTTTTCCAATGGGAGCTGGAACATAAGAAGCAAGTACGCTTGGCTCCAGAGGCATTTCGGCAAAGGAGCATTTGACGCCCATTTTTTCACATTTGGAGCACGGAAAGTCGCCCGAACACTTGATCTTCAGCTTGCGGCATCTGTTGCACGCAGTTGACACTCTTTGGCGTTTTGTGGGGCGAGACATGGAAGACGAAAGGGGTCAGCGCTGGGTTTCTTGGGGATTCTGTACAGGAGAAGAAAGTAACGGGAGATTGGTGGTTATATAGAATCGAGCAGGGTCTTGGTCTGGTACCAATGGACAAGTTAAGCCATTTATTAGTAATTCCCTAGAAGTATATAATGTATGTAGCATTCTGCGAGGTGCATGGTGCATCATGCCCGTTTTGCAGGCCATGCAAAGAGATGCGCAAACACCTCTCCTGGCCGGACAGACACGCTTAGCGGATCGGTTTCGCTTGGATCCAAATGGTTTTTAGCCATTTCAACGTCCCGAGCAATGATATAGCCCCTCACCAATAAGGCTGCCGTGGCGCAAACAAAAAAGGCACACCCGGCAAAAATCGCTGTGTTCTGGTATAGGCCCGGGTCCACCACATTGTGGTTTTTGGGCGTGATGGAAAGACCAATGGGCTCGGCAAAAATAGAAGCAGCTCCCACAAACATCCACAGCATACAAAAGGCCACGTTGAGGCGGTGGAGACCAACCAATCGGGCTGTGATAGGTGCAGTGGTCGGGAAAATAGCTCCGATGAACGTTCCTTCAAGAAGCCCAAGCATAATAAGCGTCGCATAGTTGCGTGCTGGAATCAACATGCCTAGTGTGAAAATACAGCCCATGTAGTAGCAAAAGGCAGTCACCGTGGCCGGACCGAGCTTGTCTGAAATGTACCCGATGAGCGGCCGGCCGTAGCAAAAGCCCACTTGGACCATAGTGGCCACTATAGCACCCTGGTGTTGGGAGTAGCCCAAAGACGAAGCCAAGTTGGCCATACTGTAGAGAACAATCACGTACCCGAACATGCACGTAACGTAGTAGAGGCACAAGATCCAGAAACCCACACATTTGAGCGTAGGCACATCAATGGGCGTGAACACAGACGCATGTTTCTTCGTTTTCACGAGGAGAACACCAATGATAACTAAAGCGGCACTTATAATTGCCTGGGCCCGAAGAGCCCAATGGACGCTCCGAACTTCCATGATCTTGTACATTCCCATGGTGAAAACCACGCCTCCGGCTCCGCTTCCCATGACCGAAAGGCCGCTGGCAAGAACCCTTTTTTTATGAAACCAGGGGCTCACAAGCGGGATGGCAGGCAAACTGATAAAAGCCAAGCCGTAAGACTGGAGTAAGCCCTGGGTCAAGTAAAGGTGCCAAAGTTTTGTGGCGTAAGAAGCAAGCATGATGGCCGTGAACTGAATGCAGTTACCGATCAAAATAGTGGCGTGTGTTCCGATCTTTCCATGGATGAAGTGGATCAAGGGTCCGCTGAACAAACCTACTCCAAACGAGATTCCACCAATATAGGCATAATCCATCTTTGTGGCGCCCTCAAACGTGTTGTTGCGGAGATACTCGGCAAAGTAGATACCGAAGGCCGAATTGACACCCCAGGTCGAAAACAAAAAGAGAAAGGCACAAAACACAATGACCCATCCGTATCCACCATCTACATCATCGTGATGATTGTGGTGGGCGGGCTTTTCTTCTTTATCCGAGGCATTGAATTCCAATTTTTCCACGTCGGTGTTTCTCTGTACATTTGACGAATCTTCGGGAAGAAGATCAAACTCTCTGATTTCTGGACTCAACATTTCTTGCTTTGTTCAGGGTCTTGTTCAAGAAGGGCTTTATAAACTAATTCGCAGCCGATGGTGCGTTAGCCGCACATGCATCCGATATGCATCCGATGGTGCTTCCGACATCAGGCACACAAGCCGCTTTTGCCTCTGGTCCCAACCTTCGGACCTCAGACGGCCTTTTAATTGGGCAAACGGTTATTTCCTTGCTTCGGAGATCTTTTGCCATGCGGCTATAACGGTTCGATATCGGAACAATCTTTTGCATGTCATCCTTTGATAAACGTCTTTATACTGTGCACAACTGTGGTCATGTTTCCAGAAACTTTCGCACCTGTCGAATCCGGATACAAGTGATACGGTTGAAAGACAGAACTTTAGAAAGTCGTGGTTAAATGAAGGTAGCTGCATTTGTGAGGTCTTTTCTTTGTTTGTGTTTCGGCCATAGATCTTGAGTTGGCAATTAACTTGAATGCGAAGAATTGATAGTAGCTCTAAAAGGAAATAGATGGCCCAATTGATCTTGAAGGAAGACTTGGCTTTATCTTTGTCCGCCCCTTAACTGGTAAGATAAATTTTCAATGCATAATGTCAGTTCCAAGTCGTTTATTAAACGCCCTATCCCATTGAACTTTAGTGATGTCATAAGGGTTCTGAAGTACCTATTCAGAGGAATATTATCATATCTATAAGGATACGAACAGGTTAACCGATTAGTTAGTTGTATAAGCTAGAAACGGTCTGGTGATTATACTAATCTGGCCTACTTTGCGAAAGAAGATTCACCCTACAGAATAAGGAATATTAAATTTAGTGAAAATACATAGATCGTGAAGAATCAAAGTCGAGAGGAAAAAGAAATGGAATAGAAAGTCCAAAATTGAGGCTCGAAAAAAAGGGTATACGAAGAAAAAGAAAATAATCACAGTGAACCAGTCACTAAAAGAGGAATAGTGTGACGATTGACACAAACACTGCAAAAAGAGTGGTGCCCTGGAAACTTGCACCTCCAGTTACAGAAATCACTGGAGTAGAGCCAGTTGGGACAGAAGCAGATTCTGATTCTCCGGTCTTGGACGAAGGTGCCTTGTAAGTGGATGTTTTCGGTGTTTCGGTGTTTCCAGGCTGATTGTTTGGTGCAGTGTTTGTCGTGGGGTTTTGCAAGTTGCCAGAATTGGTGTGGGCAGATTGTTCAGGCTTGGATTGCTCGGAAACAGCTGGAACACCAGGCTGGACGTTTCCAGGCGATGACAGACCGGCAGATCTTGGAACGCCTGAAGTATTAGCACTTGCTAACGTTTCTTTGGTTCCACTAGCAGATCCACCTCCAGGTCTTGTGTTTCCACCATTATTTCCAGGGGTACCGTTTGCCGTAGAAGCTGGTAGAGGGGTATAAGTACTCGTCTTCGTTCCAGAAGATTGTTCTCCTGGTTTCAGTGAAGCTCCAGTTTCGGTATTCTTGGGCGTAGAGGAAAGATCCGTTGTGGGTAAAGTCTCAACAGTACTCTTTGAGGTGTTGAAGTATCCCAGGAAAGAGCTTTGGGAAGTACCAGTGACTGGGCCCAAAGTGGACTCTTGTGGGAAAAGAGAGGTCATGGTAGTTAATTGGCCATTCGAAGCGGTCGTCACAATAACCAAGCCAGACTCTGTTTTAACACTTCCCAGTGTAGACAATGTGAATGTGGTGGTGTACTTTGTACAAGCTGGACAAGGAAGCCCACTTGAAGAAAACGTTGATGTGGAAGTTTCTCCAGTGGAGTGTGATGAACCACTGCTAGAAGAACCAGATCCAGACGAACTTGTTCCAGAACCGGAAGAGCTGGCTGAATGTGTAGAGCTTTCAGCTGAGCTCGTTTCGGTAGAGCTAAAGGTCGCAGAGGAGCCTGTGGAGCTAAAGCCCGAACTCAAGTCTGTGGAGCTAGATGAGCCGGAACCTGTAGAGGCTGAGCTGGATGATGAAGAAGTGCCAGATTCAGAAGAAGTGCCAGATTGAGAGGAAGTGCCAGATTGAGAAGAAGCACCAGTTTCAGAAGTGCCAGATTCAGAAGAAGTTCCAGATTGGGAGGAAGTGCTTTCAGTCGAGCTAGAGAAGCCTGAAGAGCTCGAAAATTCACTTTCGGAAGAGGCTGAGGAGCTAGTTTCTGAAGAGCTAGAAGATCCAGACACTGTAGAAGATCCAGACTCTGACTCAGTAGAGCTTGTCGAACCAGATTCAGTAGACAACGAAGATTCCGACTCGGTAGAGCTTGATGAGCTGGTTTCGGTAGAGCTAGTTCCAGAAGAACTAGATTGGGTGGATGAACCAGATTCAGAGCTGGATCCAGTGGAGCTAGAAGATCCAGAGTCTGTAGCAGTAGATCCAGACTCAGAAGAGCTAGAAAATTCGGTAGAACTAGAGGATCCAGATTCAGTAGAGGTAGATCCAGATTCTGTGGAACTTGAACCTGACTCAGTAGAGCTTGAGGATCCCGACTCCGTAGAACTAGTTGAGTCAGATTCCGTGGAGCCAGAGCTAGATTCAGATGCACTAGATGTACCAGAAGTTTGGGCCTCTGTCGTACTTGATGAGCTGAAGTTTGAGCTGGATTCAGCAGAACTAGAAGATTCCGTAGAGCTGGAAGAGTAAGATTCGGTAGAGCTCGATGATTCTGCAGAGCTGGATTCGGAGGTGCTTGACGATCCAGATTCTGTAGAGGTTGAAGATCCAGAGTCTGTAGAGGTTGAAGCTCCAGATTCGGTAGAGCTGGAAGAACCTGAGTCTGTAGAGCTAGACCCAGAAGAGCTTACGGAGCTGGAAGATCCAGAGTCTGTAGAGCTAGACCCAGAAGAGCTTGCGGAGCTCGATTCACTAGAGCTTGATCCAGTGGAGCTGGATTCGGTTGAACTCGATTGCGTGGAACTAGATTCTGTAGAAGAAGACTCAGCAGAGCTAGAAGTGCCAGATTCGGTGGCACTAGACTCAGTTGAGCTGGACTCAGTAGAACTTGAATCAGTAGAACTAGACTCAGTGGAGCTAGATGATTCAGTTTCAGTAGAACTAGACTCGGTGGAGCTGGATTCAGTAGAACTTGATGACTCAGTAGAACTAGATGATTCAGTTTCAGTAGAGCTAGACTCAGTAGAACTAGACTCGCTTGAGCTAGATTCTGTAGCACTAGAAGATACAGATTCTGTCGAGCTTGATTCTGACGAGCTTGAGTCGGTGGAACTGGATGAAGCAGAACTTGAGGATTCAGTTTCTGTAGAACTAAATTCTGTAGAGCTTGATTCTGAACTTGACTGTGTAGAACTCGACTCAGATGTCACACTAGAGCTAGAAACCGACTCGCTTGTGCTTGAGCTCGAAACCGACAGAGAACTGGCAGGACCAGTTGGAAAACCAGGAACTGGCGGGCATGCATTGCAAACAGCGGGACTTGATGCAGAAGGTGGATTCTTGTTATATCTCACATACGACGTAATAAAAAAGCCGCCAGATGAATAAGAAGAACCAACTACAATATACTGCTGGATGTAGCCAAGACCGATTTCAAAACGGTATGTGGTGCTTCCGACTTTGACACTCAAAACACTTCCTGAAAGAGAGACCGACTTAATAGTACCAGTAAACCCAATTCTGTTGTTGTTACCCCAGCCGGCTACTGTGAAGGTGTACAGAGGCTTCTCCGATCCAATGCGGATATGAGACGTAGAGCTGGCAAGATAGATGGTTTGAGCTGCAGACAACGGATAAAGGTTTGGGTTGTCCACAAGCAAAAGAGAATCTTCCCCAACAGAATAACACCCAGTACCTTGCACCTTAGAATGCTGGTACATGTTCATATGAGACAAACAGATTGTACCGTCATTGCGAACCGTTTGACCGTTCTGGCCAAAATACGAAGTTCCTCCTATCCTAGTACCACTTTGTGCATATGTGATGGTACCATGGTTCTCTGGTACAGAACTCAAAGCAGGCCAAATGTCCATGGTAGAACCTCCTGTGTTTCCAATACCGGCCATGAAAATTTGACCATAGTTGAGAAACGTAGGACCAAGATAATAAAAACTGGGAGCAGAAGTTTCGTTCACGGCATTAAGAACAACCTTGCCGTTATTGGTGAAGCCTTTATTGAAGTACACAGACATTCCGGTGTGTCGTCCACTATCTCCAATAAACAATTCTCCATTGACAGTCACCATACCGTTGAAAGTATTCAAGATAAGGCCATTCTTGTTATCAAAGGAGAGGTAAACTTCTGGACTGACAAGAAGATCGTCATAGTAATTTGCCCTGCCAACAATGTCGGTATTCTGAGAAATGGTAATTAATCCGAAAACGGTGCTGGCAAAAGTGGCCAAAGCGAAGGACAAGCTGAATGGACGCCGCATTTCTTGGAGATTTTATTAGTATAGAAAGAACATTCTACGCTTAAATACTGGTTTTTCTTATGTATTGTTTATGAATACGAATTTTTCCCATTGCAAAATTGAACAAAAATCCCATGCTCCTCTGACAAAGATCTTTAGGTGGTCTTGCGTTGTGCATGGATCTCGTAATTTCTTGGGTATTGTTTCGTACTTCTGAGTTTTCAGGCCTCTAATTAGCAAATCGGGAAATAAAAGTTCTCCAATCGTCTACTGTGGTGCCATCCCTTACTCTAGAAGTGCATTTTGTTACTATTCTTTCCCGCTCTGCTTATGAAAGGGTCTAGAATGGAATGAAGTATACTTGTTTAGGTGTTTCAACATAAAAAAACAGTTTGACTAAAACATTTTACGGTAGAGTACCAACAACGCCCAGCACAGATACGGAAACCTAATTTCGTATATGTACGTTCAGTGTAGTGCATTACATGGTTACTAATCTGTCTAAGTTGCTAGTAGACATTTAGAGAGATCGTCTTCTTTCCAAAGCAAGAATACAAAGAGACAACTTTTCTTCATAAACTTGTAACAAATACACCAATAGTATCTTAACAAATGGCTGAGCTCTTAAGGCTCATTGGTGTTGGTAGATATTCTGAAAATTCTTCGTGTAAATTGGTCTTCTCCACAGTGCATAATCGTGCAGAAACGTATTTGCTCTTGCATATGCATCTACACCCTTTATTTTTCGTTCTAAGTACCTCTTTACGTTGAAAGTGTATAATACCTAGATATCTTGTGCAATTATCCTATACGCTGAAAAGAGAAAATTTTGCATCAGCTAATATGTCTTGATCTTCCTGGTCTGGACCATACGTGTTCTTGAACCACCACAAACTCCTGCAACTTCTTGAGGCTAGACCGCTTCCTAATTGGGCTCCGAAATGACTTAATCTGAAATTCATGCATCCCGCTTTCCTTCCAAAATTTAGTCCCTGTAATTTGCATCTTCGTAAACTCTCGTAACAAATCGCATATGTACGTCTGCAAAACTAAACCTGCAGATGATCTTCCGCCTCGAAGGACTAAATTCATGCTTTTGGGCAAGAAGAGAAAACTTCATGAAATTTCCCTTTGGTTACTCGAAGACGAAGCCCCAACGGTACACCAAAGGGTATTTTCATACATTTTCGATGAGAACTGCCCGTAAAAATAATTGCGATGGCCTGTACGGCATGCATACTTAAAAATGGACGATGCGCCCCAAAATGGCCTTGCAGGACCTGCCTTCATGTGCCAGTCGACATCAACCTACTAGCATTCGGTTTCTTCCACGGCTGGTGTAATTCTCGTTCTGGCATATGATACCATCATATACGTTGTACCGGAGATACCATATCTGAATGTCCATGATGAAAGGCCAACTAATGAGTTCGAAGCTTGTTTCTTGCTTTCCAGTTTCATGATTATCACATCACCAGGTCGCCATGCCCAACACTAGTATGAAGAAGTGAAAACCAACATCGCAAGATATAAACCCAAGCCTCTTATCCTGGCTTTGCATTTTTGCATGAGGCGCTCGGCCATATGTAGGATTAAGCCTAGCCGAATTGGCAAGTGTCATCCTTGTTCACACATGAAGAATCAGATACGGAGTTTCCCGTTTAGCCGACGCGCATGACTTTGTGGAGATCTCTCAACTTTGATGAAAAGTTTTCTCCTCAAGTGAAGTTTCAACCTATGGTGTTTTAAGTTTATGATTATTGGATAATTTTTGGGAAGTGCGATACTTTGGATTCCTTTCTTCATACGCCGGGGATGTTTTAGAGCAGGTTTGAGTTCCATTTGCGCATAAAACCTACCCTCGGCAATTTCCGAACTAAGATGATCAGCCAAATTGTTCAGGCCGTATTGAATTTCCACGTGAAATCAACATTAGACCCACGGCTTGCCTCATTTTTCGAAAACTTCCTTCCTAAAATTTGTTCCGGAAAAGAAATGACGAAACACATACCTTCGGATCAACAATTTGTAATTGCTAGCAACTAAAAAGTCTAATAAGGAATTTAAGCTAGCGATGGACCTAAACATTTTCTCAAACATGTGCTATTTATATCTTATCCTATTCCTTCGTGCCCATGTTTGTAGATAAGTTAAACTATCCATACTGTGATAGATGGGATCTTGTATCATAGCCACAGTTGAAAGACTCTTGGTAGGCAGACTCAGAAGTAAAAATTTGATCAAATGTGTCCTTGAAATACAAATAATAATGCTTAACTCATACTTCCACCCGGCTTAGGTCCTATCCATTATCACTTTGTGCAATTTAACGATGAGAAAACTGTATAATTTCCAATCACTTTATTATACTCGTTGAAGATACATTTTAAGCAAAGAGCAAGCTGTTGACTTTGTCAATCTTTCCATCTTTCCATCGACAGCCAAGTTTTGATAGCCTTCTTTCTGGTGAATTTTCGTGGCCATGATGCTGTATAACACTTAAGTGAATTCATCCAGTTTCTTTAGATACTATACCTCCTTGTCATTTTCAAGATCATCGAAGTATAAGACGATTTATTTCATTGACAAAGTCATGAAACTACTTGCTTTATGTAAAAACAATTGTTATACTTCATTGCTGCAAGCATTTGAATTGCGTATTTATATTAGAGTTTTGTTTTCAAAGATTCAAAAAACCCAATATATTATTTTGCGCAAATTATGAAGTTCATTAAAAAAGACAGTTTCAAACACTTCTGGAACAAGATTAATACTTTGGTATGGCATTTTTCCTTTATAATGTGGCGATTGGCTAGAGAACTGTTTGCCTTGGTTGATAAGAAGGAGTTGCATTATAATAAGCCCTCTCAGAGGACTCTGTTTTAAAGAGTAACTTACTTATAAAGATTCCGTTTTTATATAAGAACCATCATGCGAAGGATATTCTGAAACTTTAAATTAATACATTTTAGTAACTCATACCAGAAAATGTGTTGCTTCGATTTGTAGGAATGTAATTACAAGCTGGAAAACACTTTTGAAAACCAAACTCTACTTTCAATGTGAAGTGTACAAATATGCATTCCTTTTGAAGATCTTGGTTCCGCAATATGATAGAGAACGGCTAATTTCCTATTCAGTATATCCCTATCAGTTCCTTGGTTTCAGCAAAAGAATCTATACAAATTGAAGTATTAAAAGCTTCATCCAGAATAGGAGAGGCACAAGAAATGACTCAAGCGACATGTTGAGGAAAGACACATGGTGGCAATGTTTCACGAAGAAGTCCGTAATGAATGATTATAATCACTTCGTGGGATGGTGAAAGGAAAAAGCATTTGTTATCTTATTTGAGTGAAATGTAATTCATAATTTGCAATAATAAGTATTCTTGTTAATATTGTTACTCCAAAACAAGAGTGAAACAATTGTTACTATAGACATGCTTCTTCCTTCTCAACAGGCACCTATTACGTGTAGGGGAAGAATAGAGTCGACAAGGAAACGACAGTATCATAAAAAAATGACTCTGAACCAGTAATACTGTGGTCTTCGAAAAGTTTTGATTTGGTGTCAGTCCGTTTACCTAATTTGATAGTGACAAATGAGTAGTATTGCTTGTGTACAATTGGCTGAACGTGAAGACCGAAGAGACAAGAAGTGTTACTTGATTCCAGTGCAGATTTTTTGTAAGTCTTCGCTTTTGGAGAAGTGTGATTTGTCTTGAAGTTAGTACCTATATTACTGAGACTATTCTTTCAAGGCCTTTTGATACTTGGTTAACTTTTGGTTTGTTTTTATATCCATATTCTTCTCTTTGGGTACTAAAGCCACAAATGAAGTAAAGTGATTCTTTGGAACGATAGGAAAAAATTCAGAAAAGCCTATACTCAAGTGGAAAACTTCCTAAAGTGGGGAGAAGCTTTCACTATATAATATCTATCTTTGGAGCAAGAATGACAATTTGAAAGATGAAATAGTAGTTTAATTGACCCCCGAGATCAACACAGGAACTAAACTTTAGAAAAGATTGTTGGCAAAGAAGAATCCTCGTAAATTTAAGTGATGAACAATCGTCGGATTTAAAGTGATGGGTGAGTCCACTGTTTATTTGAAATCACAAAGATAAACTTCCCATTTTCCGCTTTAGTGTGCACTAAGTCTCATAGAAAAGGAATTGCTCCCTATCAAGCAACAGGAAAAACTTTTTATCTATTCCAATGAAGTTTGACTGTCACAGGAAAGAAAGACACTGAGCTTTGTACCTTTTACCTTTAATGAGTCATTCTTTCAGGGGGTATGTTGAGTATCTGGGTTGGATTAGTCTTGTTGCACATGATCATTGATATGAAAATCTTCCAGTTGTCAAAAGAATAGTAATTCATTCAAATATCGAGACATACTCATCTAACAAAGCAATCTGGGTTTTCTAGGAATAACAAAGCGTTGGACTCGTGTCTAGACAAGCAGTAGATTATCTCTGAAAAGTCTCTCAAGAACTTTTCTTTTCGTGCTATAAGATTGAGAATATTTACTAATGCGTGGCCAATATACTCTGCGTGATTTTAATGATAACCCTTTTTCACCATTGCATTCATTTCAAGTACACATTAAACCTCATTTCATTTCTTCCACGCTTAGTTGGATTTCGGCATTTCTATATATGACTAAAACTCTCAGCATATATGTTGTGATCCATCTGTTTGATTTCCCACTTTAAATTTCCGGCCTCCTTTTCCCAAGTGGATCACGAAAAGATGATATAGTAAGACAGAAGCTACATGGAATATCGTCAATTCTGAATTATATCATTCGGCCTTGCATGTCAGGAGCTATAGAATTCTTATGAACATGTCCTACTAACAGTAAGTGGCTCATTGCAGTGAAATTCTCTTGCGTTCTAATGATCCCTCCTTTGATATTAAGAAATGGTAACGTTTTCATAGTCAGTCTTCAATTTTGGATTAAATTCTTGTCTTACCGACCTTCCTTCGAACTGTCATCACCAATAGTGACTATTG